TTAACATTTAATTTAAAAGGAATCTCCATTTTAATTCTATTATTAAAATAGCCTAATTTAAAGTAAAATAAATAATAATACTATAGAATAATTTAATAAACTTTTTTTATATACTTAAATTCCTATAAAAGGTTAATATTAACTAAGTTAATATTAAAGGTAAGGTTTAATACAAGTATATTAAAGGGATAGCTATCTAATACTCACTCTTTATTTTCCTTAAAGGGTACCTCCCCTAAAATCTTTAATAGCAAGATAACAATTAAAGTTTAATCTCATTAAATGAAGAATATTTTTAAGTTTAAAGCTATAAAGAGTACTTTAAAATATCTTAGAACTTACCTTTTATAAATAATAATAAAATAATTATTAAAATTAAAGAAAAATAGGATATATACAACACTATTTATAATATTATTAATAAAGGATCTATAAGTTAATTTATAAAAGTTAGTAAGAGTTTATAACTTAATAAAATAACCTTTAGCTTAGATAAAGAGCTTTTAAAACTAAACTTATATATTAAAACCTTTACTAAAAAGAACTAAGTACTCTCTACTAACTTTTAAAATAACGCTCTACTAATTTATAAAAAAGTTTCTATAGTAGGTAATATAGATCTTCTAGCTAGTATCTACAATTAAAATAGTCTTATTACTTATATAAAGCCCCTATTAAATATATAATTAATATTACTTAAAGAAAGAAAGTTTAAAAAAGAGACTATAAGAAAGGCTATTAATAATATAAACTATTTTTATAATAATTTACAACTATTATTTATAGTCTAAAATATTAATAAATAGATTAACTTAATAGGTAATAGTTAGATTATCTTTAACTCCAACTAAGTAAATAAGGTTATTAAAGGATTCTTACTTTAAATTAAAGTAATACTTAATAAATAATTCTTAGGATATTAAAGTAGCTTTAAATATAGTATTTAGTATATTATTAAAGGGGTCGCCAATAAAGGACCACATTATTATACACAAATAATCTAGTTTAAAAAAAGAATAAAAAAAGGAAGTAAAGTACTTAAATAGATAAAAAAAGATAGTATCTATTAGAGGTCCTTAAATATTACTATAGGTAATCTAGATATTAAAGTTATTTCTTTTTAATAGAGTTTTAAAGTTAGAAATAGGTTTAGGCTTCTTATTATTTTATTTAAAAGGCAAGCTAAAAAGAGCGTTTTCTAATAGATTAGTAGAAATATTAGTAATATTAGTAAGGTTAAGAATAGATAAGGTTAAGGACTTTTAATTAGGTAAAAATATCCCTATTAAGATTTACTTATTTAGTTTTCCCACTTAAACTTAGGATCCTAATTTAATTTAAAACTTTTATAAAAGGAAGAGTTAAGGGAACACTAATAATATTACTATATCTCCTTAATAACCTCTAGTAATATAGTCTTAAATTTATCTTTAACTAAAGTTATATAGACCTTAATAAAAGAATAAAGTATACTATTTATCCATTACTACTTATTACTAAAAAAGTAATTATATATAAAGTAGCTTTATTTATTTAACTTATTAAAGGCTAACTAATTAGTATAATTTATAAATTACTTAAAAGCGTTCTTATTAGCTAAAGAATTATTAATTATCTTTCTTTAAATGATATTATATAATAGGTTATATATATAGCTAGAGCTATAAGGGTAGCCCTAGCTATATAAGTAATTTAGAACCTAATTATTATAATAAATATAAAAAGAAAAGGTTAAATAATCTTAGTCTTTATACTATAAAGCCTAGTTAAACTACTTTATTTAATTATAATAATTATTAAAGTACTTATATAGGGTAATAATCTAATTTTATAGCTCTTTAATTTATTTAAATTAAATATCTTTAACCTCTTTATTCTTACACTACTTAAAATAGATATTATATTTAACTTAACTAATAAGTATCTTAAAATCTTTAAATATATTCCTCTAAGATTATAAAGTAATAACAACTTATAATTTAAAGTTAAGTTTAGTATAAATATATTAAATTTAAACATTCTTATTAATCTCTCTAACCTTATTATAAAAATAGATTTTATTATTAATATACTTATAAAAAGGTAGCTTATTCTTATCCTAAAAACTATAGCTTATTTTATTTACTTTAACTATAAGGTCTTTATAATCCACTTAAAAACACTATTAAAGTTTATTCTTTTAAAAATAAAGGTTTATTAATAACTTAATTTATTCACAATTCATTAAAAATATAAACTAATAGATACCATTTAAATTTAGTTTTAATATAATACTAATAAAAAGATATATTAGGATAGCATCTTTACTATAAGTTTAAGCGAAATAATTAATATAAAAGATATAAGCATTAATATCTATACCGGAAAATTTAAACATCTCTAATTTTAAATGTAGGGCTACTTTACAACTAGACACAATTATTCAATTTAAGCTTAATTAATTACTATAGTTATTTAAGTAAAAACTAGTATAGGACCACCACGAGCATTCCTATTCCACCTCAGTCTCTAAGTTGTATAGAAGAGGATTATAAAGTTAATACTAATTAGACAAACCGCACTCCTATTATTAATAGTTTGGAGATAGCTATTTAACTAGATATTATTCCAATAAGTATTAAATTAAAAAACGTTAATAGTATTCCTCTAAAAGAGGTATAAGAGATTTAGAAATAAGGCCTATAAAAAAACATCCTACCATAATAGTATAAACCTTTAAGGAAGATATAGCACTTATAAATTTAATAAATAAATAATAAGCAATAATTACTCTATCCTAATAAGTTTTTTTATTAAACTTAGATATTATTTAACAAATAATAAAAAAAACTAATTAAAATATAATTAGATAAAGCTTTTAAAGTATCCTAAAAACAATACTTTACTCCATAGTATAAATAATAATAACATTAAAAAAATAATCTACTTAAATATAGGGAGGCTACTAGATTATAGATTCTAAAAGTAGTATCTTAGGTGAGGTTAGGGGGTTAAAAAGGCCGTAAAAATTAAATAGTCCTACTTAAAATATAATAAGAGTATAAAGGGAAAGAGAGAATAATTTTATAAAAGGTTTAATTAAAATAAAAAAATCAGGAATATTGTTTTTACCTTACTTAATAATAGAAACCATTTTATTAAAGATAGAATACTAGTTATAAAGGAGAGCTAGATTTTAAATATAAAAGAAATAGTTTAATAAACTTAACTTTAAAAATTTAGTAGAATTCCATTCCTATAAGGGAGATATTTTATTCAAGCTAAAAGTCTATATTTAAAATAGTTCCTAATAAGTTAATTAGAACAACTAAAAAGTAAAAAGCAAGGTTTACTTTATAAAAACTATTTTAAAAAAGAAAGTATATTTTAACACTCACATACCTATAACTTAAACCTAAAAGGCTAGTTAGAAAAAACTAACTTAAAGGGTTAAAGAAGCTTAAAAGGCTCTTATAAGCAAAGTTAATAAACAGTAAACAGCTACTAGAGGCATCACTTTCAAAGTAAACTTATTATTTTACTCTACTAATAAGAATAGTAAAATACACTTTACTTAATTTAAAAAGTTAAAAGGTTTAACTTAAATAAAGTATCCTTTAATATCTCTAAACAACTTTTTCTTTACTTTACCTATTAATAAATAATAAATATTTTAGTTAAATATCTTATTATAAATTAAAAATATTAAAAGATTAAATTTAAGAAAAAAGGTTTAATAAAGAGAGTTTAATAACTAAAAGTTTATTAAGACTATTAAACTAGTAATACTTAACGCTTAGTAAGCTAGTTACTTTTTAATAATCGTTTTAATTATTATAATTTAATTAAAACCTCTAGCTAACTAAACTAAATTATTTTATAAAAGTTTATAAAAAATTTTATAAGTATTTAAGAAATTTTAGTTATAGTTTAGTTTATATATAGTCTTTAATAACTATAGGATTAATCCTTTATATTAAAAATAAAAAGAATATTAACTAGTTATAACTATTATATTATATAATACTTAAATAGAATAAAGCTTTAGAAATTAAATAAAGAACTAAATAAAGGTTTTTATAGTTAATTTTATTAAAGGTATCTTATTTATATATATATATTTAAAGAAGAAGCTAGCTTATAAAAAGCTATAAAAAAGGTAATAGTATAGGCCCATCAGCTTAATTAGTCATCCCCAACAAGTTAGCATGTAGTAATACTAAAGATACATTGCCATGTCCTTTTAGGGCAATTACTAATATTCTAACTTAGTAGAGAAACTCGAAGAATATAAATAGTTCTAAGCCTTAAGCTATATACACATTTAAGATAAAATTAACACATCCTTAAACTTTATATTATAGTATCAAAGAGCCTATACACCACTACCGCATACTTAGATCTAGCTTATTATTTAGGAAATCTTTTTTTAACCTATTTAGATATCTTCCTTAGGAAACTTTCTCTAAACGGGCATCCTTTCGGAAAGGCCTTCAATAACAGGCTGTTTTATTGAAGGTCAGGGCTGCCCTGTGGAAGATTAATGGCTGTCCTACGGGAGGCTTCTTATAGGAGGTTATCCGAGAAGGAGCTGTCCCATAGAAGGTTACAGGCTGTCCTGTAGCAATTGGAGACAGATGCCGTGACCGCAAAGTGGACACCTGAGTAGAGCATGCTTCATCGGAGGCTGATGAACTCTTACTGCTATTAAGACTAGTTCTAAACATAGACTTATTGCAAATCTTCCAAGTGCACGTGCATTTCGCACTCTAGTCTCTGGTTCCCTATTCACGCCATGTTTGGAGCATACTCACAGAGATTTCGATATACATGCATACCTAGGTATCTGTGAAGATTGAGTGCGTTGGAGAATGCGGTGTACCGCCCTTGAAGCATAATTGTACTTCCGCGGGTTTGGTTCTTTCACATTTGGAGTCACAGTCGTCTCTGCGTTCTATCATCGAAATGAAATGCAGTGCAGTGCACAATGGCACCGCTGACAAGAATTAAATGCGTGAAGACTAGCATGCTGATTTCTCTGCAGATATGACGCTCGCCCTATTCAAGTATCCGACTGTCATTTCCAAGGTGGTCATCTCGCTGGCATTCCTCATCAGCCTCGGTCTATTACCCCGACTCGGCTCCAGCAGCTGTCCAAGTACTGATCCACCGGCTACGCTTGCCTTTTGGTTTACCACGTCACCGGCGTCGAACGATGACGGCATTGGTCTTACACGGAAGATCTCACCAGATGCCGGCTCTGAAATGGGACTCTGGTCTGCAGATTGATCGCTGCTATTTGCCACTGCGGTAACTTCGGAAGGGCTTTCGGGGGTTGGGCGAGGTGGTGCTGAGAGCGATGGTGCGTAATGATTTTCGTGAAGCGCAGATGTGCTCTTGACAATTTTGATGATCAGTTCGGCCATATTCACTAAAAAGGACGTATCATTAGTCTCCATTCTTGCGCAATGGGATTTTTGAAAACTCACTCTCAATCGCCAATTTCAAAGTGTAAATAATTGGATGGAATTGGATGTAACTGTATATACTGCCGGAAAATGCGCAGTTAGACACTTGAGCAACGCTTGTGGAATGTCGCAAAGCGGGGGGCTCGTTCTCTGCAGATGCTCGAAGATACTGCTTACACAAAACTGTCGGGAAGAGACATGATACCAATAAGTATAACCTGAAGAATCGTCAGTTAAAACCCGACATTGCTGCGCTTGTTCTTGCTTACATCTAATGATAGCGAAAAGACAATCATCACCAAGTTGAATTTGTACAGCGCTGTGTACTTGGTCAACCCGTGAGCGACAAGCTCTGATCGAACCAGGTAAATAAAATATAGGTTGAGGCCGAGGTCTATCAGCGCAAATATGCCTTTCTCAACCCGATCCCATATCTCGTTGAAATGGATCCAAGCTGGGCTGATCTGCAGGCGTGCAGGCATCCACACGATGAATACGCTAATATTAACCAGTCCGAGAATCAAGGCGACAGCCCATTTCAGGCGGACCACTCTACGCCCATCGTATATTATGAGCGCTATGCGGTTGATAATGATATGCATGAGGCATTGAGTCTAATTTCACCCATTCAGAATTTAAAAATCCATGTTAGCGGAGTAGAGCTTGCAGCACTAACCTGTATTGTCCACAAGGTGACTAGATGAGCGGATTTTGGTATTTAGTATGGACCCCGAACACCATATCGTTTGATGTGTCTAATGAACTCACGGATGGCGAAGAAAAGCCAGAAACTGCAGGAGGCTCGGGAGTCAGCACTTGAGCGCACTTTCGACGTCGACCGGGTTGTCAAGCGGGCTGGACGACAGGTACCTTGGGGGGATCTTGTCCTGAACGAAGAGGTACGAAATGAGAGAATAGATGACGCTGGACAGCCACACCGCCGTTATCATCACGACATAGGGGTGCGTAAAGAGTCGCTTTGAGCGATACAAGATCCGGTATGCTTGGGCAACGATTGTGGTGGCCGTGAAAACGGCGCATGCCGAACTGAAACCAAACAGGAACGTGACCAGAGTCAAAGATGACTGAGGTGTTGCTTCTTGTTTGTACCAAGAAGGGATGAGATATCCATTCATAATGCTAACATCGATACAATGAACCAATCCATGGATGGCACGTACCCCACACGTTTATAATGGAGTACTCTGCCGTGGTTCTACCAGTTTCCGGAGAACAGATCGAGGAGTACCGAACGGGTGGGTGGTCATTTATGAGCATTCACATTCTCAACGGCTCGGGAACTACAATTCCAAGGTTGTTTTACGTTGCGTCACTGTGGGCATTCTCGCAGGTTCAAGTGGGGCTCAAGGAGGGCGAGATAAACTTTCGCTTCCAAGATAACTCCAGTGCGGCTCAGTCTTTCGGACCTCATCGTAGAGAAGGATCAAATCATTTCATCTTCCGTGTGCTAGAGAAGGGGGGGTGGGCTCGTAGATCGTCGGGAGGTGCACTCGGATAGGAAGGCTTCTCCTCTGGGCGACGTTCTAACTGAGATTAAGACGGCGCACGCACGCGGGGGAGGTGATCGGCCACCCTTTACCAGGACCACATTCGCAGAGGCCTGGTCGAAACTTAAAGGGAGGCAGATGCGGACGAGATCATATTCATTCCAAGTTTCTGTCTCTGACGTAGCCTGAAAGCTAATCAACCCAGCGATGACTTCACTCTGACATTGCGAGTCAGTGTCTGACTCGGCCGGCTCCTTACAGAAGTATGAACGGCAACGCATTTAGAAATTGGAGTGGCCGTGACAGGCAACATGAGCCCCAAATGGTGGCAGCCATCAGAATTAAGGTTCATTCCCGGGCAATTTTCAACAACAGATGAGGAGACATGACGGCCGCCCAAACCTTGCGACAAACGTGGAAGTCAGGAACCTTGGACACCCAAGGTATGGCAAAGTAGATTCTGGATTCATGAGAGTTGTTTCCAGATTGTCAAAGCACATTCGACCCGCGTTGAGGTCATCTTGCCGTCATGAACGTGGCTTTGAGGTTGGTGGAACGACCCTTGTGAAGCACCCTTTGCGCCCGAGTTCAACTGGTCTGGACCGGCGATCGCTTCTTGCACTAAGCGGAACTTTGTTGTTGACCTTGAGTACAAGACAGAAGGCGTGAGAGCTTGCCTGTACGTCCCTTATTATCGTCATCCACAAAAACTATGAGTTGATATTTCTCAAACAGCGTGCGGTTGTTTGGTACGAGTCTACCGGTTCTCATATCAATACAGTCTCCAGGGTGGCTTCCACCTGCCAGTTTGCACCGCGCGGCAAGGGGGAGTGGAGTACTGGTGACCACACCCCCAGCTCGTCCAGGTGCATGAAACTCGTAACTCACCAGTGCTTCCTGATGATGTCACTCGGGGAACGAGCGACGGTCAGATCCTATGAGGCCGGTTTCGTTGCGTTTGCCGAGTGTTACATCTTCCCACACGAACATGAGCCTGAGGAGGATAGGGCTTGGCAGCATTGCAATGCGGGAGTGAGTAGCCGGTGATGAGAGCCGTGTTCTTAAGAGTCACCTTCGCAGTCTCTTATAAAACCTCAACGTCATAGGAGGCGAAGGATACGTATCCATGGCGTGGTCGACGTCCGGGCGTATTTAAGTAGCAGCAAAGAGAAAGGGGCAAGAGATATACTTTGGGTTGACACTCGGCCCATGCCACCATGACGTTAGCCAAAGCAATATTGTGATAAGCTTTCTATCTCGGCACATTCGCCTTGCTAGGCTGATGGACTAATTTTTCCGATGAACGACGCGGCCAGTACTCAGTCTGAAGAAAATCTATGTAGATGCTCTCTGCCTACAGGCATTCATATCGTGACTTCAACACGTGCCACACTTGTAATGGGTGCTGCAATCACAAAATTACTATAGGAACATTGAGGTAATTCCATAAGTTGCAGTCGTCATTCCGAAATCTCTGTAGTTGGTCTGCCTCTTATGCACCCAAGTAACTGGTTTCGATTTTGTTCCGCATACGTCCATGTATTATCGTATTATAACTATTGTTATCGGCATCGTATTCTTTCCAAGCGCTGGGTCTTGAGTGCTTACCACCGTATGAAGGCGCCATGTATGTCCTCGGACGTATACGGAATAGAAGCGAAACCACATACGTCCGTGGGCGTACATGGCGGGTATCCAAGTAAATAACTTAGCAAATGAGTCTCCAGTAGGAGATAGATCTGTTGGTCCAGCTTTGTAGGATCTTTCTGTGTGGCTTGAGGCAAGAGGCTGCTGAGTGAACAGGTGTAACATTTGAAGATGGGGAGTTTGGGGATCTCTAGGGGGAGGCGATGGGGAGGAGGTAAGGAAGAGAATATGGGATCTCAATTAGCAGTTGGCTCTTAGTAAGAGGATGTTAGTTGAAAACTCAGGACTTTATTAGAGGATTATTTGCTAGGTACCTAGGTAGTCTGTGGTGTTCAAATGCGGCTGCGCACTTAAGTAGCCGACACATCAGAGGGCTTTATTTTTGCATACACTCAACAATCTTGTTAATAGTCTTTATAACCCATGCCGATCTTTCCAAACTATTTCCCATTAATATCTACTGGGAAGCGTCAATCATAATGTACCAAAAACTCCCTATTAGTACTCCCAAACTCCTCTAAGCAATATTCTCTCCTACATTCTCAATCTACAGGTAGAGATGCGTCACGGGGCATGAGCCTCCGTTCCGTTTCTCTCTCTCCGCGATCATGTCGTCAAACTCTTCAGACACGTCGCTAACTTTGGCCACCATCTCGGGCTTCTCTGCGCTGGAGCCCCTTAATATCCTGCCAAAGACTGCCTTCACCAGTGTGTCGACGTCTCGGGCATTGCCCCAATCCGGGAGCGCAGATAGTCGCTCAAAGGAGCTCTGCAGCTTGGCCTTAACTGGTGCGGGCTTCATCGCGGTGATGTCCAGTTTTTGCTCCTCGAGGCGCTGGACGAACAGGTGAACGCAGTCCTTTGGCTTCAGGCTCTCGAACTGGATCACTTCTGGGAACCGGCTGCCCAGCCCAGCATTCACCTGCAGAAGCTTGTTTATGTCGTCGGTGTATCCGGCAAGAATGACCACGAGCTTGTTCTTGTATTCCTCCTTGGTCAGAAGGTTCAGCATCTCAATGAGAGCTTCCTTTCCGAAAGGGTCGTCATCATTTAGCCGGTATGCCTCGTCAATGAACAAGACCTTGCCGAGAGCTCGCTGGAAGACTTTCTGGGTCTTGGGCCCTGTCTGCCCGCGCCACTCGCCAATAAGGTCTGTCGTCGAGCAATCGTAAACTTGGTCCGTGGCCAACAGACCCATATCGTAGAACACCTGCCCGATTCTTCGAGCTGTTGTCGTCTTGCCAGTGCCTGCACAGGTCATGAGCTTCTGGGTCTACTTCAAAGGAGGACGAGATGCTTACCTGGGGGTCCTCTGAAGAGGTAGTTGAAAGGTATCTGCGAGCGAGGGTCCATCTCAAGAGACTTGGCATTTTGGACCATGCGTGAGTAACCAACTAGCTTCTCAACAAGGTCATTGGCGGCCACAAAATCCTTGAAAAGATCTCGGATGCGGGTTTCAGCTTTGCTGGGTCTCTCAAAGTCGGCATCGAAGTCTTGAGACACTAGCAAGAACGGGTCATACTCTTCGGTGCAAGAGACGAGCCGCCCTTGCTGCAACTCTTTAGCTCTGCTTAGGAGGATATCAATCTCCCCAGCATTGCCGAAGTTACGGTGGTTTCTTGCCCGGCTGAGAACCTCCATCGCGACATTCTTAGCATCGTCCGATGCTGTGTAGCTCTGTTCTTTGAGCTTCAAATCGAGAATCTCACGCATCTCCTCGTCTGTGAAGTCGTCAAACTCAAATGCAGATGACATAGGGAACCTTCGCGTCAGACCGGGGTTTGAAGCCTGGAACATGCGCTCCATTCTGTCGCGGTAGCCGAGCAACAAGATGCACTCGTTGGGGGCACCCTGGATGTTCGCAACTAGAGTGTCAATGATAGCGGTCTTGTAGATATTTCCGGATGAATGCTCATTCGCCTCATCACTGCTGTCACTGAGTGAATATGCCTCATCGATGATGAGCACTTTGCCTCTTGTCGATGCGAGGATCCTCTTGGTGATGTTCTCAGACTCGCCGAGGTACTCTCCGATGAAATCTGCTGGGCTTTTCACAACAACTTCGCCGTCAGTCAACAGTCCAATATCGACCATGATCTGTCCGTAATATTTGGCGACAGTGGTCTTGCCCGTTCCGGGGTTTCCGAGGAAGATCCTGTTCAACGGGCAGTCGACAACGGGCTTCTCGGCGAGCTCACGGTCGTAGTTTATTTGGAGCCGATGCACCATTGCCTTGAGGGATTCCTTGACGGATTTCAGCCCGACCATGCCTTGCAGGTGTTTCCAGGCCTTACTGTTCTCAAGTGCGACAGATGGAGGTGGGCCGACAATGTCTTCCATGGTGAGGAAAAGGTCGTCAACCTCCTCACCCGCTTTGCGGGCCTCTTCAAGTCGAGCCGCCTGTCTGAACAGCATCCTTAGCAGTGTGTTCTCGACCTCCCTGGCATTACCGAAGCTAGATGGCCCCCGGCACCTGCCAATGCGTCGTGCTACAATGCGCATGTAGACTCCATTAACGCCCTTGTCCACCTTCATCTTGCCGTTGAACTTGTCGTGAAGCTGCTTCTCGAGGATCTGCAGCAGTTCTGCATCCTGGTAGTCCTCGAAATTGATTGTAAACATTGACGGCACTCGGCTCTGAAGGCTCCGGTTGTGCGCCATGAACGTTTCCATTTCCTTCCCAGAGCCAGTGAAGATGAAAATGACACTGCCCTGTAGCCTATCCATCTCAGTCACAAGGTAATCGATGACTTTGCGTCCAGTGCAACTGATATCAGGACGAAGGATGTGAGCATCGTCTATGAGGATGACGCCTCTATCATCTGTCATGCTGATGACATTCTTCAGCTCATTCACTCCGTCAAAAACGAGTTTCGAGCCTGAAGTCGTCACGAAAAAGTCGTCGGCCAGCTCAAGTGACGACAGGAACTTGGCGTAAAGCTTGGCCAAAGTTGTCTTGCCAGTTCCGGAATTTCCCACCAACACGGTATTGAATCGCTCCTTGGTGAGATCAACTTCCTGGCGACGGGCAGTGTCGACAAGTGTTTTGATCTCAAGCATCTTCGATTTCACGGACTCGAGCCCGATCAAGTCCATGATCCCGTCAAGGTGAACGTTCTCTTCCTCCCTCGACTTCTTTCTCTCCTCCCACTCTTGCTTCGCCTTGGAGCTGACGGTAGGCCAGGCGTTGGTGTCCTTGGCCTCGCCTTCCTTGTCGTCGTCAGCCGCCGATGGGTCGGGCTCCTTTTTCGCAGAATCACCATCCTCGCCTCCTGCGGCTTTGTCGTCTGTCTTTGAAGGGGGGCACTCCGTCTCCGGTGACGCCTCTACATCTGCATCCTCGTCATCGCTCGTCATGTACTCGTCGTCGTCAACCTCCTTCTGGCACAGGCGTTCCAGTCGTTTCTGAAGTGCCTGCAGCTTTTGCTTGTGCTTCTTCTGGTCTCGACGCGATCGGAGGACTTCGCGTTGGTGGGCAATCTCCTCCATTAGGTCCTCCACCTCGGCTTCATGCTCCTTCTTCCTCTCTTCCCTCTTCTTCTTGAGCTCTGCAGCCCGTTGAGCCTTGGCATCCTTGCTCAGCTTCTTGGCCACGCCACTCGCTGAAGCCTCATCCTTCGCCCTTGGGTGTGATGCTGATTCCGATACTCGGCTGAAATCCAGCCCCGGCTTCTCGGCTGACTTAGCAGCCTTTTGTGCCGTCTCGATGGCGAGCTCCACCGGTTTGGCGTCATGGGCACTAGGCGCCGCGGCTGCTGGAGAGTCCGTTGCAGGTGTTTTGGCTCGGCCCTCGCTCTTTGCGTCCCCGGATGGAGTTGGCGGGCTTGGCTTCGAGGTGATGGCTTGGCTCCCGCCCTCAGCACTGTCTCGTGTCTCTGACACATCATCTTTGGGCGTGTCGACTAGGTTGTCTGCACTGTTCGAACTCGCTACCGAACTAGCATCGGTAGAACTGCCATTCGAAATGAAAGTGGCAACGGTGCCGTCACTTGCGGTCTGACTTGGGTCGGATGTCGAACAGCAATCAGAGTGATGTTGTATCTTGTTCTGCTCAAGCTCTGAGCTGAGCTTCCAGATGGCGCTCTTGAAAAGTGCATCCTGCAGGGCGGTGGCATTGAGTTGGGGAACTGAGCCGTTGTGCACGTAATCCGTTGTTTGCAAAGTGCAGCCTGCTGCCTCACAAGCCTTGAAAGCATCCCTAATGAATCCGAACGTCAACACATGGTGACCTTGAGATGCTGCTTGCTATGGGCCACTTACCTCTGGACGAGTCCCGCATCCTGGCTGTACTCGACACAAAAGTTGCCTGATAGCCTAAGAACAGCCTTGGTGTTCTTGTGATTCTCACAGACCAGCTCGACCGATGTGCTCAGTGCATACTGGCCCTGTCCAGGATCCACGCCGGCGTGTTGGGATGAGCTCTTGCTCGTTGTCTCGGCTGTTGGACCCTGGTGCGCGGATTCTCGAGCAACCGCCATTGCGAGACTAAGTACCTAGGTATAGTTGGGTGATGGAACTTTGAAGGATTCAGGTCCAGGGCAAAAGTGCATCTATTGCCTTGTCTTGCCTTCAATCCGGGGCAACGGGAACGGCAGCCCCCAGGTATTAGTACCGGCGGGCCGGCGTCGACCCAGGAGCCTCATTCCGGGACTTGAGGGCGCATTTCGTACACTTCCAGGCACTGATTGAGGCATCCATTCACGTTGGGGCTGAGACCGTCTGAGGCCAACAATACCCACTCGTGCAAGGCAGCTAGGCCAGTCCCTAGGTATGTGTCACGAGTCTACCGGCTTACGAGCATGCAAGTTGGAGATGGCGCAGTGCTGTTGGCCTGCAGACACACCCGGACTGCGCCGCTCGAGGTGGCCGATGCAATGCAGCCGTTGCTGCCTAAGCCATCCAACCAGCCAACCTGCACTGGCGGCCAGGCCTGCCTGCCTGCGAGGCCTGCGCAGGCAGAATCCGGGGCTGACTGGACCGAGGCCCCTGCCCAGCTGCCAGGAGCCTGGAAATGCACAAGGGTCCAAAACTGTTGGTCGGGTTAAGCGAATCTGGGCACACGCCACAACCAGTCAACATGCTGTGCACTCGTCAACCCACGCGGGACCCCCGGCAGTCAGTCGCCTTGCCCAAGACTGGCTGGATATCAGTCTCTCGCCCAAGATGAGACGTGGTCAGAAGGTGGCCGACCCGTTCTTGCTTTTTAGGCGCCACGGGTTCACGCTTTACCAAGTCTCCAGCAGCCTGCATGCGAGGATGAAGCACAGCATTGATTGAATCATCTCACGTGCGGGAGAGTGGTGGTAGAATCAATCTACCTCGCCGTACTTGGCGACCTGTAGACCTCGGGAGTATCCGCGGAAAAGTACGGAGGGGAGCATCTTATTTATTCTCTCGGTGAGATCGGTCAATAAGTGATCCAAGTCCGCACCACTGTCTCAGAAACACGAAGGGTGATATATCAATGGTGGACCCAACAGACTAGTACACTGCGAGTATGAGCATATGCACCTGGGCACAAGACAAACTGGCTTCGAATAGTCCAAGTACTTAAGTACTTAAGTACCCAGGACTCTAGTTTTCTCTAGCGTCAGTGCAAGACCAGTACTTACTTACAAGCTAATAACGGGAGGTTCCGTCGGGCCATTCTTTCCCGGGCTGCCCGGCTTTATTGGGGTTCCAAGGCTCAAGAAGAAAAACGTACTTGTTGATGTGCTGTTGACTAATCACCCTGAGCTGCAAAATTGTGGAGCATAGCATCATACCTTCTCGCAGGGCCCAGCTTTTGACCGATTAAATTGAGATGAGATCCAGATGAAATTCATCCCGAGTTGAGCCGCATCCACCACTTAATGTTGTTCCCGTGTTCCAGAGATACACACGTCTTGTCGCAGATACAGTCAAAGCTCTGACCAAAATGAAATACCTCTAGTACCATGTACAGAGTGGCCAGGCCGAGCTTGTAGGGCGGAATGACGGACATTATTCCACATGCATCATCCAGGCTGATGCCAGGGGTGATGGGAGGCGCGACTATCTCATTGCATCTCCAGACTATGATTTCAAATACTCCACGTGACTAACCATCACTAATACATGTCGTTGCTAGTCCGGCGTGAACACCGATGCTAATTTTGCGATGGCTTGGACCGATATTGGCGTGAAGATGGAGACGCTTTTCTGGCGCATGAAGTTTCTCGCGATAATCTTCACTGAGACTTATTATTATTATGAATTGCGCAAATCAGGCTGGAGCACCCGCCCTGTTTCAAAGCAACCCAACTTAGGACGCTGTTTTTAGCCACTCACTGCACGTCACCGTTTCGGAAGCACCCACGGTTCGGACGGGCTGCCAAGGTGATTGGGTACGCGAGCATCTCTGCTCGGGTGCCCCGAAACCCGCTCCGCCCCGAAGGGGTCCCGGGCGACCGACTCGGTCAGCATTGTTGCTAATTAAGATACCCCAGGGTACGGGGAGTCATACGCCCGTTCATGCCCACGTGCGGTGGCGGGTTCACCAGGGCGGACAAGGCCATCGCCTGCAGCGCGGGCGAGGCTGGCGTGAGCGGTCCGGACACTGACTCGGCGACTTCTGGGTCCACGTTCTTGGCAGCAGGTGCCAGATCGTTGATGCGCTGCCTACCGCTCGATGGGAGATTGTCACCCCTCTCGTTTTCGGGTTCCAAAAAAGATGGCCTTCCGGGCGGGTTCGGTGCGTCGCCGGGTACCATGGGATGGTAGAGTTCAATGTTTCCGCTTTCGGATGGAAGCGATTCATCTCGATACTTCAGATGCGATCACACCAATCTCACAATCTCTCCAAATTAGTTAGTCTATTGGATAACTAATTTGTCTCTGCAATCAGCGTGATTCAGCATTGTCCAACCCCTGGCCGCAGATAACATACCTCCTACTAGTAGGTAGTCGGTAGCTCCGTCACCAAGCTCCCAGGGCTCTGTGCTTCTTGGAAAGACAAAAGCTCACAAATTGTGGAGCACGCCAGTGAATCTGTCTCTCTCCCTCTCTCTTTCCGAGGTGGGTTCACGGGGCCGGGACCGACTTCAAGAGGGGCTAGAGTCTCCGGCCACTAGAGTGCAGCGCTCGGTGTGTGTTTCAAAAGAGGCTCCAACGGAATCCCTTGTTACAACGCGGGTCGAAGTGAATTCCAATGTCAATGCCAGCACTCCGAGAGAAGTCCTGACGAAACAAAGCGAGGCGGGTGCGAAGCGGGTGTTCATGCCGAGGAAACTAGATAAGCTTTTCCAATAGTAGTTGGTAATATTGTATATTCATCCAGCCAACCGAATCGAAATCTACATCAAGTAGTCTTAACGTCAACGTCAATTACATGGAACAGCGATGCAATCGTCCCCGATGATCGGCCCCATCTCGCTGTATCTATCCTCAATAATATGCAAAGGCTCACAATCGTGTCATCGTCTATTCCGACCAACCCCGCCTCATTGTTGTCCAACGCCAATGCGTCACCACATCAGTGTTTCGCAGCAGGGGCTGCAGCACCAGCACCGCCCAGGGAGCTCATGCCGGCGGCGGACAGGGACAGGACGTTCTCCTCACCGGGAGCGTTCTGAGCAAAGCGGGCATTGTGGCCAATGACGCTGCGGGCAGCCTTGTAGGTGTCGAGGGTGACGGACAGCGGCTCAGTAGCGACGAACCAGTTGACGCCCTCGGAGCATGGGGGAGTGGTCAGGGACCCGGAGTAGCTGGGGGACTCACGTCAGCACGTGTGCTTGTACCTTTTATTAATAGATGCGACGGGGCTGGTTCTCTTGTGCTTACCTCTGGAAGGTGGTACCGGAGAGCATGGCAACGAGGCCGGACATGGCGAAAGCCGGCGTCTTGGTGGCGGTTCCGGGGTTTGAGATCTCACCGACGGCCCCGAGGACGGTCTCTATCATCTCGGATGCGACTTGGGCTGGATTGGCTTGAGGTTCAGCATCCACATCGATCACTTCAACGGTCTGGGATGGTGATGATGATGACGCGCGCCCACCAGTACACTTCTTGCCACTCCTCTTCTCACTGCGGGCTTGGGTGTGCTTGGTATTCTTACCGGCTTGACGCTTTGTCTTCTTCGCACCTGGTGCGGGGGCGGCAACGGCGGCAGCGGCAGCATTGTTGATGTCGAGGTAGACACCCATGACGGCGATCTGGGCGTCGGCGCTTTGGAAGACCATGTGCATCTCCATGGCCATGCTGGTACCATTGTCGAGATGCTCACTCGGCAGGTGGAAGTGGAACTGCTGGAACTCGAAGGTCTGGTTCCTGCTGGCCAGGGTCATGCTGCCGCCCTCGCCAACAACCTCGACGGTGGTGCCCAGGTTCTCGAAGGTAGCACCGGCAGGGAAGTCCGGGATGGTGACGGCGAGGTCAGAGCCAGCCACCTCGGTAAAGGTACCCGCCCTCATGTCGATGGGGGACTGGTTTGTCCCAGTTGCGCAGGCGCCGTTGGTAGTAGTGTTCAACAAGTGCCAGCTTGCCGGACCCTTTTTGCGGAGCCATGTTAGTATATGTCCGAGACCTGGTCGGGGAGCGGCGGGGACAGATGAGATGCGTGTCATACAATAGTACCGCTGTACCCAAAAGTATTGATAGGGACTTTTCCATCCTCGGCACGAGGCATCAGGTGAGTGCCATAGGCGCAAGATGCAGCAACCTCAGTTGCGGCAAAGGCCGCAACAAGCGCAGTGCGTAGCATAGCCATTGGGTAGGTAATAAGTGGTTATAAGTCGAGACGGCACACAGTATATTTTGGCGACAGGGAGTGGGCGTAGCAACAACAAGGAATCCTTTTTTGTTGTTTTCACGATGTAAGCATGAATGGCTTAAAAGAGAGAGACTCGGTGTAAGTGAGAGTGATTGGCTGGCTGTCGGTTCCCGGCAGGTTGGATGCTTGAGATGAAGGAAGGAGATGGGCCCATATTGGCATTGAGGATCGGGAATCTTATTATTCTTTATAGAGGCCGAGAGATGGGAGGGGGGTGGGTGTGTGGGAGGGAGTGGGAGGGCATGGGAGGCATGGGAGGCATGGGAGAAGTGGTCCTCGACTCGGTACTGGGGAGTGTCTGTGGAGTGGCGGTTCCGAGGGCTCAATTGCAACAGACTGGGGGAGAGGCCTGGAGGGAGTCGGCCCTGAGGGAGACGACACAGGCTGAGTGCTTGGCAGCCCCCGGCGCCCACATGAGAGACCGTCACTCGACACCGTATCCGGCTTGGAATCGGACCACATTTCGCATCCAGCAGATAAACATTTTTGTTTACGGATCTCCTGGATCTCCTGGGTCTCCTAGTTCTCCTAGTGTACATGACAAGCTGCCGCCAAGTGCTGGCGCTGACGTCGTGCTGATTGTCGGCCGCGCTCGACGCTGCTGGCACGGCATATGCCAGGTAGCAAGGGGCTGGGGCTGGGGATGATGGTCGACGAGCCTGACCGATATGGGAACAATCACCATGCCGCCAAGTCCCAGCGCCACCAACAGCTCGCTGTGTAATATTCCCTAGTCAGCGCGGGCGGCGGGCATGCAAGGTGGGCCAGGCGGGCTGGCAGCACGAGGTGAGGACGAGGGACTCGGTACCGGGGTTTGGGGCAGGTAGACAGACTATAGTATGGGGAATGGAGAATTGGCGTGGGTCCTCGGAGGCATTGGGATGAGAGATCTGGGCTCCTCCTCCCCCTGCTCCGCCCACGTCGCCCACGTCGCCCACCTCGCCAGCGCACACCAAGCAAAGAGAGAGGCGCTGTCTGTCCAGGGCAGGGCAGGGCAGGGCAGGGCTGGGCTGGGCTGGCAGGCATGCTGGCAGGGCACCCGCTGGCTCAGATGAACCCGCCAGATTGGAATAGTGGCTCCCGGGTGATGCACGCACGACTGTGCAGGTGAGCTCGCGGAGATCAAGGCCTGGGCGATCCACTGCTTTAGGTTCAGGATGGATATAGAACCCACGCCTAAAGCAAACAGTTTCAGACTTCAGATGACCTCTTGCCATGCGTGGTGTCTGCGGGTCGAGTCGACATACGGTGCTCCGTAGATATTAGCTCCCTGTGGGATAGGGATATCGCGTGTTTCGCCGGCTTGGTGTTTTGTCGAGCCGCCCGCTCGCAAAGGGAGTGCAGTCGCCAAAGTCTGGTAGCCCCTCGGGACGGCAGCGCTAAGTAGCAGGTCTTCCTGGGGCCGTCTGCACTAGTCGGACCACACGTCGCATCTCCAGGCATGGCCGTTGGGGCCGGCCTGGGAGCTCCCCTGCCAAGCTCCCCCAGACTGTCTGGCGGCTCCCTAAAACCCGGCAGAGACTGACTGAGCCGCCGTGTAATCCCCCATCCCACCCAAGCTCACCCAAGCTCACCCAAGCTTGGCCTGGCCAGCAGCAGGGGCTGCCCTCTGGGGCCTGCCAACTCTTGGCCGCCTGATAAACGAACCTGCCCCGCGACGGCCATCAATCCGAAAGCGACGGCCACGGCTTGCGTGCCCAGGAGGCTCCAGGCTGCCGGCCGCAGGCTGCCCAGCACCCCCAACCGCCCAGCAGTGGGGCCAATCCAACTTGCCCAGGTCTGTTGACTCGCCTGCCAGGACAGTCAGTCAGCAACAACTCTGAGGCTGTTGGACGCTGTTTCAGCCCGCGCCACGTGCTGACGAGACCTGTCGCTGCCACCCGCCTGCTAGGTACCTAGGTAGACTACCGTGTAACCAATATATCCTCAAATCCCCCTTCGCTGCCAGCTCTGCCCTACGGCTTGGCATCTGGCCACATGCGACGAGCAAGTTTTGTTCCGACCAGCTCCCGCACTTGCACGTCTACTCAAATCACCTCGGCGCTCGATATTGACTTTGGTCATTATTGGGCGCACTAGTTGTTCTTGGTGGGGTGCAGCTAGGTTGAATATGTTCGTCTGCGGGTGGCTTGGAGCTACTCCAACTTGCCCCAGACCAGACTGTTTGCTTGGGATTTATGCACAACTGTTGACTCAAGTATCAACTGCCCGTATATGATGCCAAGCACATACATCCAAGATGCACCCGCGGAAACTTGGCCATGGCCGAAATCCGCCGCCTCGCCAGTCTTGGAATCTTTTCACACTGATTGACGCATGTGGTTTTTGAGTTCTGTGGCCCTTGGAGCTCCACCAGTCTCCTCTTGGCCAATTTGTCCCCCTAATGGGGAATGGTTGCTTGGCTCAAGTGCTATCTTGCTGCCGGTTGTTCTTACTAAATTTGCTCGACATCACGAGCGTGGTCTGCGAGACATGTGAGCACACAGATACAGTTACTCTTGATGCCTTCGGGTTTCCAGCTTGGGAGGCCGGTTCCCGCTCTGCAGCGCCTTGTCAAGCACAAGCAATTGCACTGGGAACTTTGCATGCTCGCTTATCGTTATCCACAATTTTTTTCCTTTGTGCTTCGGGTCTTGGGTCAAGGGGGCCAAGCAAGGGATTGTGTCACAAACTCCACGCTCCAAGGAGTTATCGCCAAACACGGCAGGACAAGGGCTTTCGCCTAGACGCCCAGCCTCTGCCACTTCACACCCAATTGCTTGCCGCCTACATGAAACTAGTCAACTCCATGGAAGCTTCTCAAGAGAAGTTTCCGCAATTCCTCCGTCTGGGATAAGTGGCGTGATCTCGACATTGGCATCTACAAGCCTTATGGTGTGGTGTGACAGCCACCGTTTAGTCCGCCCTTGCTTCACGTGGCACAACTTCTTGTCGCTACGCCGCCTTCACGATGCCTCCAGGCTTTCCACAGCAGGGGCGCGCGCCCGCAACGCGGGCCGGAGGCCAGTCGTCAGCTCGCCGAATAAGAAAAACCAAGCCGACCTCGGCGTGGAGCACGCCCGCCCGTTGTTCCGAGTACGACGGATGCCGGACACGTGCACCCGCCCGGTTCCAACGACATCTACTCTCCAGGGCCTAGATCCACCCTTCTGGAATACTCCCAGCCGGAGTCATACTTGCATGCTTTCGCCCAGCTTGCTGGGACAAAGCATAACCGTCCATGCGGCTACAGACCCCGGGGCCTCACCGTGGAGGACCCTGTCACTCTTCCCCGGGTAATCAGATTTGCTCTCCGATCTCATTAAAGTAAGGAGTCAGCAACAATGCTTGGTGTGCCCAAAAAGGGGAACAGCCACGTGATGACCTCCTGTGTCCTGGGTGGCTGGGTCCGTCAAGGTCTACAGGTGGACAGGACTCAGAGCAGGCTCGGCACGATCGTCGAACGGGGTGGCCGACGGGGCGCTCCGAAGCACAATTTATCACAGAGGGTCACCTGAGCGAGAGATTTGCATCTGCTTGATTCGGTCGAACCTGGTCGCACCGTTCTTCACTGACCAATACAAGAACACGCTGGTGTGTATCGCTTAGGTGAAGGCCCAATACCAGGCTCAGGGGAGGCGGTCCACCCTCCTATTGGAGCTAGAGGAGTACAGACTACCTCGAAATCTCGGGTTTCCAAGCATGATGGCCAGACGGACAAGTCTACGGGCTCTACCACAAATTACTACTCAAATCGTCGCGCTACGAAAAGACGGTGGAATTCCGGACAAGTCCGCGAACTGCGGACTGGTCATAAAATTACAAGATAGGGGAAAAGATAACGCTCGTGCATTTATTCTTACGAAAACTATTGAAAAATCCAATAATTAGCAACAGTACATATTTAGACTTTGTCAGACACAGGAACACAATGCTATTTCAGCTGTCTACGACCAGCAACACTCTCCGCCTATAGACACAGGAAAGGAATTAGCATGCCACTTTCTCAGGCCCAGAAAAATAATGCATAGAATTTTTCTAGTATGATCTGACACGGTATGTAAAAGAGGCAACCAGACCAGCATCCTGCTTCCGGGTTACCTTCTGCTGCGGGAGGCATCCCTTCTATGATCGATAATATCACCAATTTGCTGAATGCACCTCTTCGATACTATCATGTTGTAATGGTCGAAGATACATACGTAACAGCATGAGACCAACACATGAAACTTCTCGCTGAGCAAACTCTGTGACAGGCAGCTTCATTGTTGTTAAGAAAAGGCTCAGAATTTTGACAGGGTGGTGATGAGTTGCATTTTCGCCAAAGGTTATGAAATCTTTTCAAGGCAAACTTCGATTATAAGAGCTCCTTTAAGCAGAATGCTGAAACTTCACCTTTGCCTCCCGTTCGCTTGAGCACAATGTGATGGTACAGGCTTATAGACTCAATGCTGCTGGAATAGCCAATTTGACGAATTGGTTATTATGGTCTTTTGGCCGAGCGGTCTGTTGCTAGCAGTCAACGGAGTTCCCGCCATCTTACGCATTGAATTCAGCAAGTCTAGTGGTTGGAATTGAGCGTCCGTCCGATCTTACACCACTACATTACAGGAACGAAATACAGGACTCAGAGTCCTCCACAGCCTCGCCATAGACAGGGGATGAATTGAGTACATGAATCCCCAGGTATATTACAAAGCGAGAATGGCTTGTATGATTTCAGATCACTGCATATTTCTCCCCGCGTCGTGCCCCATCGATTTTCTTAATAATTAATTTCTCCACATCTAGCCCGGTTATCATCCTCAGCTAATTTCACGTCAGTGTTCGAAATTCTTAAGAAACACTTTGTGGCTCATAAATTCGGAAGATATTTGGCTACTGACATTGACTCCCATGATGGTAGGTAGCTTCCCCCCTCTCCGCTCTGCCTCGGCCGCCGCGTCTGGTGGTGGGCGCAGGACTTCAAAGAAGACACTGCTGCCGCATTGTTTGCAGAAGTTGTGCTTGACACTTTTATTTGCAAAGCAATAAGATCCCATGGCCTCTTCGGCGCCATCACCAAGATCGACGTTCTCCTTGATTGGGTATACAAGTAGATACCCATTGCGCTGGCACACAGAGCAGTTGCATTCAACGACGGGATAATTGTCGAGAGGCGGTGAGATGGAAAAGGTGAATCTCACTGCGCCACAGTGGCAGTTGGCCTTGTGGTTTGAGTATTCTCCCGTCGGAGGCGGGAATGGTGGCCCTGTCATTGCCGCGGTTGAGTTGTATGTCCTCAGGTAGGTCGCCCGGATTTCTGGTCTCAATCTTTTTTTTTTTTTTTGGCTTAAGGCAAGAGGAACTGAAGCGCTAATGGGACTACAGTAATAATGAAACCCCGGGCTCTTTATATCTGGCGCGTTGGGCGGACGTCCGACCTTCTGCTTGGCACCGGTGCCGATCCCGTAGCGCTGATGCTGATGTCTGGTCGGAAGTGCCCGAGAACTCTCCGACACCAGCTGATAGCAGCGGCAAACATTGTGTTTGGTCGATCTGCCTTGGATAAAAGTCAAGTCTCACAGACTATAAGTCGCGAGACGATGGAAGAAAGCGGTAGTTGGGCGGTTATGTTCGAGAATCTTCCCTATTGCTATCGAGTTACTTGAACGGATTGTGCAAATTTTGAAGGTGTCGTTCGTGTCAGGTTCAGAAGACGCGTCAGTACCAGGATGCCGTATTATTAATCTCTTATCTCTCAGTTTCAAGTTGTGAATCCATCAGTGCTGAATCACTTGACTTCCACCTGGGCAAGGTTGGCTAGAGCAGTGAATGGAACATCAAAGCCTCTAAGAGGAATTAGGAACTTAGACAAGAAAGCAAGCTAAAGAAGGTTTTCTCCCAATTGCCCAGTCCTAACCTGCCATGTACTTTCGCATAATTAGATGGATTATTTGTCCCAAATCAGATCGTGACACATGCAGTATTGGGATGCCACACGAGCAGCAAGGCAACCATGGCCGAAGACTGTCTTTCCAAGTACAGACACTCACATGGGACGACAGGAAAGGCATGTATCACTTGCTGAAGGCCAGCCTTTAGTGGCAAGTTTTGCATCTAGGAGTGGAGTTCAGGCCATGACAACACGGAAGCCAGATTATCTCAACAGGGGCCTTCACTACCAGTCGTGTTTACCTAGGTCCACTGTCAGACCCTCGGAGTGCATGCATACAAGCTGATTGTCGTTGCTCAAGGAAAGCAGGATTGCAGGATTGCTGTACGGCCAGTCCCAGTCTTTAAGGGGATATAGCCCCTGCCGAAGTCTTCAAGGTCCCGACTCATTGCTGCTCTTGAAACCATGAGCAGATCTGAATTTTACGCTTCCATGTGCCCACCCTGGGCCCTTCACGTAATGCGTTCATCGTAAGCCTCGAGGCCATTTGTGCTTGTTCTGTAGCTGTGCGCAGGTGAGTTGATGGTGAGTGGGCTGGATTGAGTCCTGAGGTCCAAGTTCTTTCAAACGAGCGAAGGCATGATTGTTTCGTGTGTGTAGGGTGTCGATCGAGCGGGAGCGGCCCTCGGGTGAGGTCAAGACGATGGGGTGACGATATTCGACGCAAATCCTCGCGGGGCGCAGGTCTTGCCGGGGTGTGTGCAGGTGCAGCGGAGGGAGCGATAATGGACGTATCTGCTTGGGCCCGTTCGGAGTGACGGCCATCCAACGTCGATCAAAGCCGTCTGTCGATACCTTCGTCTGAGTGACTGTCGTGTTACTTGAGCTACAGCACCAGGCAGCAATCCGGTCTGTCAGGTCAACCAAAGGGTGACGAGCAGGTGAAATGGTGGCATCACGTGCGGGAACGCAAGGCAGCGGCCTGCGTAACGGCAGGTTCCTGGTTGATTCAAGCATGGAAAGGACTTCTTCCTCACGTCCCAGGCAAGCCTTGAGACAGCAATGAAAAAGAGGGTTCGCGTCGCTCGGAGGCAGTGTGATACCGAGGACACTGTGGAGGTCGACCATGGGCAAGCCCAGAGGGCCGTCCTCCAAAAGACAAAAATTAGAATAATCACGATTGTACTCCGTAGAGTACTTTCAGAGATTAAACTGAAAAGAACAGATACTACACTTGATCTAAGCCCTGTTGTTTGATTCCGTTAGCATGCTGGGATCATGAGTAGGGGCTAATGTTAGGGGTACACGTACAAAAGGCAAAGAGAGCTAAAGAGGAAAGGAAGGAAGGCTCGGGAAGGGAGGTGGGCAGCGTGAGTTTAAATATTCCCAGCGGGAAATTCTGCCGCATGTGCGGACGGTTTTTGACCGCCTGCTATTTTAGGAATAAAGCCACCTGGAGCTGAATCTAAGGCTGACCGCCTACCCTTCCCGTCAGGGAGCTTCCCCTGCTAGCTTGCTTGGTCAGGCGTTCTGCCAAAATCTTCCGCGGCTGCTTGCATTTACGGAAACACTCGCACGTCAACATCCTCACCTACCCTAAACACACAACAGACCTAGTCGGTCGATGATGGCTCCATGATCATCTCATCAGAAGAGAATACACAAATCACATCACCACAATTATCTATCAATTCCCGCTAGATATCCCATTGCACATCCCCTCGTAAGCTGCCGAAAGAAGACATCTGGATCCGACGACGCGTGCTTTAATGGTAATAACAAGGCTTCCGGCGTGGCGGATGACATCTGGAATCTCGAGCTCGCCATCACGAATGCCCAGTTGAACCAATTGATCACAACACACCTCAACAGGCTTTCAGCCAGATTATTATCTGACAGAAGCTTGTTCTGGAAGCACCGCCATTACTTAAATACCTCATAGTTCAATGTTGGCCACAAGAACGACACCCTTGAATCTAGCGTTTTTGTAGTTGCCGATTTGTCTTTGGACGAAGATGGATGAGAAATGTATGAACAAAATGACTATCTCAGGCAAATCCCACTGCCCACAGGCTCAGCGCGGTGCCCTGATGGAGTTAGAATCGTTTGCCTCAACGTTCGCATTCCAAGCTTGCCAAGCTGGCAGCATGCGCCAGATTCTGTATTGGCCCTAGAAACCATTGGTCGAAAGAGACACTGATGAGTCTGACGAGAGGGCTCTGAGCCTTTGTTCTCAATTCTTTGAATCATACAAATCGGTGTCTGAGATAGTCTCACTGGCTCACCCTTTCCCTGTGAGTTTTGAGATTTCCGCAGGTCCTATCTTGACACGAGCATTCTGGTTGGCTTTCTGGCCTACATTTGCGTTCGACTCAGCTTATTGCCCACTGAAGCTCTTACTTAATGCTGCCAACTAAGGCGGTCTACCGCTGACTAGAAGCAGACCACTGTCTGTATCTTGTTGGATGTTGAAGATTGGAGCACACATCACAGCGTGAAGGTACCACATACATTTTACGTGTGCGTATGTATGGGGATTAGAAACGAAACCACCTGGAGCACATAAGTACCATCAAGGTCGAGGTACACGCTTTTTATGTGTTGTGACATGGCCACAGACAAGATCTTGTTGGGATGTGAACACGGTTCTAAGGCTACTAAGTACCCTACCTAGGTACCTAGGTAACTGACCAGTCGACTTTATTGCGGGCGGTTGTCACATACGTCAAGGTCAAATATTGGCCTGAAGAGAAGCACCTTATCGTCATTGAGTCCAGAAACAGTGAACTACATGATGGCAAGTTAACATTGGTGACCAGGAATGATAATAGAGTGTGAAGTTCAGGGCAATGGAAAATTAAAAACCCCTGGGGACTGGAAACTTTCTGTTGGGCTTTCGATGCTTGGACTGTGCGTCTGAACAGACAAAACCTGTTGCAGGAGCTCAAGTGCTGTCAACCTGGACGCGTTATGGTAACGGAGCAACCAGCATTGGAACCATTACCCCATCAATCCGTATTTGCCCTTGGTTCAGTCAACAATCTGGATCTTTCAACCACACCATCACCACAGCCTACCACAGGAGTTTGTCAGCTCTCAATCCTCAATAATCCAACATCGGCCTACATCAACCCTTAATCCAGGACACCAACCTCAGGATGCCTCCCAAGAAGACCACAAGTTCTTCAGCTGAAGGTGGCGATGGAGCTATTGCCGCCCTGGTGAGTGTTCCAAGCATCTACTTGTTCCTGAAGCACATAGCACGACTCCTTGAGCGTGTGCTTGACATAACACAGTTTGCTTCCTTCAACAACCATTTGCTGACCTTGGTGTCGTCTTACAGTGCCATGTGCTCATGAACTGCGATGACTTCAAGATTGACACCCATAAGCTCGCGCCAAGTAAGTGGACTTGAAATGAATCGTGCCTGCCGTGGCCTTTGACAAAGGGCAGCGTGTGTCGCGCTTCATCAGCACCACATGCAGTCTTCCCACGGGTTGCTTGTCTCTCAACCGAGAAGTTACCCAAACAACAGGCGTTCCACCATGAACGTCACGTCCCTCTTTATCTCAAATAACAACTTTAGAAGCTTATTTTGCTAACGATCTTTAGTTCTCGGTGTGAGCCACCCCAAGAACGTGTAAGTAAAGGCCTCCAGATCACATGTCCCCGCACTTTCTCCTTGCCCATATCTCTTCCCCAGAAATCTGCTGCACTGTTCTTGGTTGACTGGGATTGACTCCGCCACGCAGACCCCGCAAGATCAACGGCATCATCAGTCCGTACGGATTCGAGTTCAAAGGTGGCAAGGTCGTCCAGTCCGGTAGCCAGGCTCCAGCTGGCACCGCCGGTCCCAGCAGCGCTCCTGAGAATGGCAAGGGCGAGAAGACCAAAGCTCGCCAGGGTCCTGCTCCGAAAAAGCGGAAGCTTGCTGATGACGATGACAGCAGTGACAAGGAGTAAGACAGTCACGAGGCTTGATGGGCATGCTAGTCTGTCTTCACAGGTCTCAAGCACTTGCCACGGGACATACATTTGGCGAGGAGTTTTTGATCAAACAAACCCTGGCAGCTTGCGTCTTTCGACATCCTACCTTCATCCACAACGGGCACCCAGGGAGAAATCAAGAAGCACGATGATGGAGGAAGCTTCAGGTTGAACGCCCATGTTTGGAATACGCTCTTGGCTCTGGCATCTTTGGGGTGGGGAGTACAGGGAGGCTTAGACCAATACGACTCGCGTTACTCTCCTTAGGAGTATGAGTACCTAGCACTTGAGGAATGCTTTCATTTGGTATTCAAAGCCTTCCAAAATGAAGGCTCGCAATCCCATGTGCTCTTGACAACCATGCCCCCATAGATTCACAAGACCGCATGGGCTTTTGGTGAAGTGAACAGCAGTAGTCCTTTCCCAACTTTGCGTCCTGAATTAACAAGTCCTTTGGATTTGGCTGATGTTTCGCCACTCGTATGGGGAGACCGCATGTACGGAGTGATCTTGAATGGGCCCATTTTTCCAGACCTCGGGAGGTTCGCAGTGGAAGACGAAGTCACCACTCGAGTGAAACCTGTGGCCGAACGTGATGTTCTGATCTTTCAACCTGTCTTTTCATCAGAGCAAGCGGCAACAATTTTCGCCATGTCGTCTACAGAGGCCTTAACCCATACTTTGTAACATGACAGGAGTTTGCCCTCGCCTCATGGATTGATTGCATTGATTGGGGATTGGTGGCGGGAGCTGTCAAGTACCTACTACGCCATGCTACTGTGGTGGGGATCTGTGCGTGCCACAAAAGTCTGTGTTTGTATAAAAGCAATCCCTAGCTCTAGCCTTGAGAAAGTAACCCGCTGCGATTTTCGGTACTTGGGACCCACTGCTTACGATTTGACGCATTTCGAATCTCTTACTCCCAGCCATGCTGGACCTGCATACGCAAGGCACTGGGACCAGTCGACTCTGCTTACTTCTTGCTCGATCTGCCAATTGGATATCACGGCAGCACTCCGAAAGCTTAGCAAAAGTGGGATTCATATGAACACCAAAAATCGGTTAACTGAGATGCCGCGTGGCCAATGGTGCGAATGGGGACACTACTAGGTAGCCGACTCCCTATCAATTGCTGCTAGCCATCTCAGCCGTTGGCCGGCTTGTGTCTTGTCATCCAGGCCAATGAGTATAGATTCAATTGTCTGGTCTTCTTATAACAAAGAGACTTTAGCTTCACCTTAGACACCCGCCCGGACTGGTCGTCACCATTTCTTCTTTTATTCATGCATACCCGTAGATCAGAAGATCTAATGCGTTCTAATTCCAAGAGGTCCAGGGACAAGAAGATAAATATTTTGCGTCGAATTCTGGAAATTACTCTTGTCTAGGATGACAGCATTACTTAAGTACTTGGCAGTCTATTGTACAGATCAGCCACATACAATCGTTAACTTGCTACCACTAATAAAAACACAGACACAAAGTGCTCTACTTTGCCTTGATTCCCCCTTCCGTATTGTCGTGCATGCGTTCTGACAACTAGAAGGAGGCGATATTTAAGTATGCTCCAGCTAGGTCTTGAAGCGTTTAAAACTGTGTAAAGGGACCTTACGACTTCGGGTTGTATATTACGAATCAAGAACAAAACCGCATGTGTTCTATATTGAAGCTGGCAGCCGAGACCTCGAGGCAAAAGCCACTCTGACGATCCCGTAGCCGATGAATCTTTTCCTTCCGAGCCTATAGTTGAGCGTCACAGAGCTTTAACTCGTTCAAGTGATAGTCTTAGCTACAAGAGTCCTCGTCATACAGAAACAAGTTGCTGCTGTGTCTTTTTGACGCCGAAAAAGTAGATCTTGCAAAACCGCCCAGGTATGTATATGTTCACCCGTCACCCTCTGTGGGTCAGTTTCACATCCGCTGTCTTGTAAAGCAATTGATAGAAAGCAACCAGAATATGTGCGCACATGTGCCCAAACCTGCGCAAAGTGCCGAAACTACCATCCTCGGCCGGCCAGCTTCTCGTCCGCTCTCATGTTGCCACAGTTGATTCCGACCATGGCCTCCCCGAGACCAGTGCTGCACTCTGCCAGCACCTTGGGGTCCTTGAAGTGAGTTGTGGCCTTGACGATGGCCTTGGCCCTCTTCGCAGCGTCTCCTGACTTGAAGATGCCGCTACCGACAAAGACACCGTCGCACCCGAGCTGCATCATGAGGGCGGCATCCGCAGGCGTTGCGACTCCCCCGGCCGCGAAGTTCACGACAGGCAGACGACCCTGCTCCGCGGTCTGCTTGAGGAGCGCGGCGTCACAGCCCAGCTCCCTGGCAAGGGCTCGGATTCCGAGCTCCCCCTCCTTGGCAAGCGCCGCCTGCGCCCGGGCGATGTCGGCATTGACCTGGCGCATGTGTCTCACGGCCTCGACTACGTCTCCAGTGCCCGCCTCTCCCTTGGTGCGGATCATGGCGGCTCCTTCGGTGATACGTCTGAGGGCCTCACCCAGGTTCCGGCAACCGCAGACAAAAGGCACACTGAAGTTGTTCTTCTCTACATGGTAGGCGACATCCGCAGGGGTGAGAACCTCAGACTCGTCAATGTAGTCCACACTGGTATTTTGTTAGTCACCTGCTACGGATCCTCCCGGCGATACACTTTGGGAACAATGGAACAACCCCACGTGTGAGAGACGGGGCCCAGTATAGAGGGCGGTGGAGGTACTCACCCTAGAGCCTCGAGGATCTGGCACTCGACGAAGTGGCCGATACGGGCCTTGGCCATGACTGGGATTGTAACGGCGTCTTGGATCTCCTTGATCATTGCTGGGTCACTCATGCGTGCAACACCGCCGTCCTTCCGGATATCAGCGGGGACACGCTCGAGGGCCATGACAGCACAGGCGCCGGCTTCCTCGGCGATGCGGGCTTGCTGGGCGTTCACGACGTCCATAATGACTCCACCCTTGAGCATCTGAGCGAGGCCGGCCTTGACGGCGAAGGAGTTTTTGTTAGCGCCATTGGTACTGCCGTTGGTAGCCGGGGCGGCCAAGTTGACGGTGGTGTTTGAGGACCCGTTGGAGGTTGCCATGATGGATGTGACAGAGATATAACAACTTAGGGGGCTGAATTGACGTGTGAAGCTGTGGCACGGACTGTGGGTCGAGTTCTGGAGCAGGACGGGTGGTTGCAGAAGGAGGGGAGCAGTTCTTTTTGACTGCCAGGTGGTTGGTGTCGTGGGTTGGGTGTTAGTGTGAGGATGTGTGAGAGTGTGAGTGAGAGAGAGAGTGTGTGTGGAGACAATGACTAGTAGACTGTAATCTGATCTTCTAGAAGTGTTCGGCTGCAGGGCCTGCCGTTATAAGATGGACCGGGAGGGAATAGAGTGCCAAGAATGCGACCCTTTGTGTTCAAGTGCGCCTGAACCTTTTTTTTTTTCGCCACCATGCGGCGAGAAAGCAGCGTGCCAGGTGGTTGAAGCTTGGGCAGTCGCGGGCGGCGGGCGTCCAGCCAGTCGACGATTGAGTCTCGGGGAACACAAGGGTCGGCACGATTCAGTGGGTTGCAGCAGGGAGCACTGAGTTGTCGGTGGGCATGCAAGGTGAAGCGGGCTGGCGGGCTGACAACCACTCGCAAGGCACGTCCCACGCGGACGGGCGCATATGATTTTATATTTGATAGACAAGCTTGTCGTGAACGGACGCTGCCAACAACCCAAACGCCTCCAGTACAGTCAGACCTGATTTCATGGCTGCTGATGACTCAGAGACTGCCAGTTGACAAATGGCCACCAAACCACCAGCGCCCGATGTCGGGACGGAATGGGCCAGGTGCAGGCCCGGCGCACAGCTCCCAAGACCTTCGATCCGTGTCTACCCTGGATATAGAGTTCAGATCTTCGGCACTGGCGCCAATGGCCCCGAGCGACAATTTTGTCTGCGTAAAAACGGCGGAGCACATCTGCCCACGGGAGGGGTAATGTTGGCTGGGCCAGCGACCGCGGATTCCAACAGTCACGAGAGAGGGAATAGATAATAATACTGTATGTACTATCTAATAATACATAGCACCCAAACGACCACACGGCCACACGGCCACACGCCCCCCCCCCCGGGCCCCCCCAGGAACACTTGGCTAGCCGCAGCTCGTCCCGGGCCTCCGACAAGTCACACCCAATCTGGTCATCCATCCATCCATGCTCATTTGCGACGAACCAGAATAACATCGCCGCCCCCGTCACGACTCATCTGCCGCGGTCATCGTCGAATGAGGGAGCCCGAGCCGAGTCAACCCACACGTCAGACGTCAATCTTTCCCCCAAGGTTCAGGGCCGTCCATAAGAACCTCTTCCCCTAATCCGGCCGTACTGACTGACCGCAGGCAAGACTGGTTCTCGCTCGGCCTCAGACTGACGATTCCACTACACAATGGCGGCTACTGTCGGCGTCTTGGCCCTCCAGGGAGGCTTCCTCGAGCACCTCTCACTCCTCCACAAGTCCGCTCAGCATCTCACCAGCACAACCTCACATCACAGGAGGCCCTCGTTCGATTTCATTGAGGTCAGGAACACTGCCGACCTGGCACGTTGCGATGCCCTCATCATCCCCGGCGGCGAGAGCACTACCATCGCTCTCATAGCAGCACAGTCGGGGCTCCTGGAGCCACTGAGAGATTTCGTCAAGTGAGTCCCCCACGTCAGCCACCCTCTCCCCTCCCCCTCCCATTCGCTGGGTCCTGGGAACGCGGTCCGGACTGACGGCGCCCCAGAACCGCTAAGAAGCCCACCTGGGGCACATGCGCAGGTCTTATCCTGCTTGCTGAGGCAGCAAACGCCGCCAAGAAGGGTGGTCAGGAGCTTATAGGCGGCCTGGACGTCAAGGTGCACCGCAACCACTTCGGCCGTCAGATCGAGAGCTTCGTGGCAGACGTCGATTTGCCGTTCCTTGCGCAGTCGCACCTGCTGACCGGCTCGGATTCCGCCGCCCCCTTTCCCGGAGTCTTCATCCGGGCGCCCATTGTCGAACAGCTGCTAGCACCCGGCGCCACGGTGCACTCGGTGGAGCCCGGAGTTAAGGTTCGTAATGGAAATCCAGACAGGGCAGAGGTTGAGATTCTGGCCGTCTTGCCGCACAGGAAGAACCAGGTCAAGGGCAGCGCGGTGGACAGCACCACCGAGGTCCACGGCGGCGAGCTCAATGACATTGTTGCTGTCAGGCAGGGCAACATTATGGGCACCAGCTTCCATCCTGAACTAACCAGCGACATCCGTATGCATGTTTGGTGGCTGGAGCAGGTCCTCAAGAACCTTTCTTGGACTTGATGGGCGGGAAGAGGACACAGTTGAGAACATTCAAACATGTTTTACCCCGTCGCCATGTGTGGCAGGCCGTAATTCTGCACATTTAGACATAAACACATAGACCCAGCGCAGCTTTAGAGAAATATGTCAAACAATACTTTTACCGTCTCTGCCCGATGACTCGTATGGTGAGAAGGTTGAACGGACCGATGATATCAGTCGGGGCCCTTCTTTCGAAAAACTTGTTTCTTCTCACTGGGACACAACTAGTAGAAATTGTTGAGTGAAGTCAACTGGTAGCAGCCTGAGGTGGTTTCGTTCTCATGCTCATGTTTCGTTCTTATTCCTTACACGTCTTAAGTGGTACGCGGTGGCTCCATGCAATGGTAAATGTTCAAACACCTAGCAGTCAGCTTTCTTTTCTTTTTTTAAAAAATGATTAAATGAAATAAACCGAAACAAAATGGAAATGAAGCCGATAACAGGATAAAGAGAAATGAAGTACCCTAGAGTAGCATAAGAGCTCCGAATATCTCTTCTAACTTATGACTCATGCCCCGTAGTTTGTAAGGCCTTGGACTTGGTACTAGCAAGTGGCAGCACTTGATATGTTATTTGCTCAGGATTACAGACCGACCAAATTGAGGCCCAACTCCCTTCAAAAGCCAAGCATGAGGTATTATTTGGTTATGCTATCTTACACTCTTAGAGGTGTGATTTTCTCTAGGAACAGGCGGGATGACGAATCCCCAGCGGCAGTGAAAGGGACCAGAAGCGTTAGAACATGACAGTCGCACTCCGCTGTCCTGTTTGAAGTCATCACCAGGTATTTGAAAATGTTTATGTGCGCACCTGCCCACGTACGTATGACATGACATGACTCTGCCACCTCAGAGCTGGGCAGAATCTCAATGCAGGAAGCAAGTTACACATGCTTGATGGCAACACAGGCGGTGCTAGTCAAGCCAAGAGGAAAATGGATGCACCCACAACCTCAAGGCGAGGATTTGATACCAATAACCGATTGGGAGACCAAGCTAGGGTTTCCAACTGTGCTTGAATGTTAGCTTCAGGGGATGCATTATGTTTCCAGGAAGGCTTACGAGAGTAACGTGACTTCATAAAGACAAGAAAACGTGATCACCTTGGGCCGTCGAAAGGTCTTGATTATCAGAATGTAGAAGCAGTATTATTCGAAACATTCCAAACGTGACTGTGACTGCGACTGCGACTGCCACTGCCACTTTACTCTAGAGTGCTGCTCTTGCTTTCCAAGTCTCCAAAGGAGTGGCTTCCACTTCTATCAACATTCCCGGTCTGTCAACGACCTTAGTGGATCACACCCCCCAAAGTCGATCTCTGCTCACTCTTGTGTTATGCCGCCTTCCATCAACCAGTCTCTTTTCTTCTAGTCTCAAAAATTACAGCTTTCCATAAGCTAGTCTCCTTTCTTCCAGTCTCAAATATTTCGGCCTTCCAACTTCCAACTTCCAACTTCCAACTTCCAACTGCAACCGCTTCACCACACTCAACACCAACATCACACTTTTGCGCAGTCTACCCACTGCCAAACTCAGCCAAGTCATTCTGAAGCAAAAAGCCCCTCTCAAGCTTTCCATCATGCAGAACCTGATCTTCTTCTTGATGGCCATCATTGCCAACATGGCAATGGCTGTCATGGGCTCGCCTCTTGCGACCAGGGGCGACGCGCCCCCTCCCGTTGGAGGCAAGTAGCTTTCCGACACAGTCTTTTCCACTTCAAGAAGAAGAAAATCCCTTTGGCATCCTACAACGAGATCCTTTATGGCCTACATGTGTTGAGACTGGCCATAACCACCTTGTGGCCCACTCCTTGCCGTTTTGCTGTGAAGCTGCCCTTGCTTCTTGGATGAATCAACAGCTGACTCGGGATACCATAGGTGGTCTCCTCTGGTGCACCAACCAGGCGGACAAGTTCTGTACTGTTGGACTCCATGACAACTTCGACACTCATGAGATCGATGTCTACATCTTTGACAAGAACTGTAATGGCCCATTTCCAATCCCGCAATCTCTTTGTACCTGCTTTTCTAACCTTGTCCTCCACGGGATTTAGGCAACGTCTACGCCAGCACCAACGAAGTCCTCACTGAATCGAAGTACACCATCAGCTGGAAGGACGGCTCTGGCAACCCGCACTCGGGAGACGTGCTTATTCACGATGTTATTGGAGGAACCGACGAGTTCTGTAAGCATCACTTTTCACCTTTTACGGCATCTTTCATGTTTTGGAATATTCTAGAATACAACACTTTAGGACCCGTGGCAGGACTAACTTCACCACTAGGGTTCGGCAGCGATCACTACCAGGAGGGTTGGACTTTCGAGAGCCCGCTGCCGGTCTACTACGAATACCGTGCGTTCAAGTGCGAGGACTGAGGGGAAGGGGTTTGGCGAGGAAGTGAAGATGATGTCTACCTGTCGCTGAGACACAAGACCAACACTCCCGGTTGAAGCACAAAAAATCCACATTCTCCCCAGCAACAGGCGCCAGATCTTGATTTGGGCCACTGAGGTTGCAGACAAAATAATGAAAACAAAGGCCATTGGACCCTTATGACATATGCTGACATGCTGTGACATACGGCCCAAATTTCCACCGCCCGGCACCGGCAACTTGAGCCATGCCAAATCTTCAGGTCACCATCAAGCGTGTCCCAGATGAACAAGACCGCCAACACACGAACTCGATGCTCCTTGGCGCAAAATTTGGCCTTTCCCCAGCACCGTTTCGCCAATCAGATGCTTGCACCTTGATCCCTATTTACCTCTTCACTAGACGGCCGACCCAAGCCATTCCTAATGGCATCTTCGACCTGCACCAGCCTCTTTGGCAGCGCGAAACCGATACCGAAGAACACAAATATAGCCCACTTCCATCTGAACGGATTAAAAGCCACAGAGAACGTGAACCACCACAGCAACTCCAGATACGTGAAGAAGTCAAACGCCCCGGTGGGGCTGCGGGCTTTCAGGATCTTGGTCATATCGATCCACCGTTCCATCCAGAACGGGCTCGGGCGGGTTAGGGGGTCAATGAGGAACATGAGGAGAACCCGCGTGTAGATGCCAATGTGCCAGTTTCCCACAGTGCCGATCGCGGACAGGTAGGTGCAGTTGATGGCCGAGATCGAGGGGTGATTCGGCGGGAAGGTCTGGAGGTACCAGTTGGGCGCCCCGTAAGGCTCCTCGAAGCTGTCCTTTGGGAGGAACGACAGGGAAGGGCGCTGGAAGCCCGTGGCGAGGACGATCATGTCCGCTTCGATCATGTCCTCGCGTCCCGGCCCGCCGGGGGGTACGCCCTTTGCCCGACGGTTCACCCTCACTCCATCTTCTTCGAACCCTTCGATGTCGCACCTGACCCACTCGGCCTTTCCAGAGCGAATCTTGTCCATTACATCCGTGTTGACCATGGGCGTGTCCATAAATATCCCTTTGTTGTAGGGCGCAATGTCTTGGAGGTCGCGGTAGAACAACTTTTTCAGTATCAACTCGGGTATCCATGAGAAAATAGTCTCCTGCCCAAAGATGTTGAAGGCGAGGAGAATATTGACGATGGGGTTGCGTGGAATTATCCACTTTTCAGATCGGGCAAGAATGTAGACCTTGGCAGCATCTTCGTCGGCTGCGTACTCAAGGGCTTCCACTGCGCTGGCTCCACCGCCGATAACCACCATGGTCTTGCCCTTGGCGCTCTTGCCGGTCAACTGACTGGAATGATAGATTGGCCCGCGGTATCTCTCCATGCCTTCGATATGAGGGCCTGGGAAGATAGTGTCAGCAAGCGGCCACTCTCTTCGAAGTGCTGATGGCCGACTTACGCTTGGGATCACCACAAGTGCCAACAGCAGCAATAAGACCGTCAAATCTCCCATGAGAGGGGTCATTGACCACCCAGCGGCCTTTCTCGTCTTGGTAGACTTTCTCGGCCTTGAAGTTAAACACAGTCTTCTCGTCTAGGTTGTAGCGCTTCCATAACTGCTTGACCTGGCTCAAAATCTGCTGACGGTCGGGGTAGCCTCGTTCCCACTGCACCGAAGGGTGAAATCGATACATTAATGAGTGTATCTGGAGACTGGATGTGTTGTTGACTCTCTGAAAGCCGTCAGCGGGTTATCACATGTGGTACTCGCGCAGGGAGTTGGAATCGGTCACCCACACTCCAGATTCCGCCCAGATTGTCCTCCCCGCCGGCCTCAAAAATGGTGACATCGAACCCATGGCCGACGCAGTGTGCTGCAGATGTAACACCAGTGATACCGGCCCCAATAATGGCTACCTTTGGTCTTAGCAGGGGCTTGCTCCTATCCGGAGGCGCCGGGGACAGAATCTTGTCTGTCAAATACTGGAAAACTTGGAACCAGAACAGAAAGGGGTGGAATAAAGGGTTCTCGACCCTCGACTCGGAAGGCATTTTCAGGTCTCGAGGGGGTTTCAAAACTCCGAGCCCAGGTCACGCACAATACTGCAGGAGGGAACAGAGGAGCGACCGGCCTGGAACTCGTCAACGTCCATGAGCGTTTTATATGGCTGCTATGCCCCGGACGGCCCTGGAGGGTCCGGGCCATCGTCAAGTAGCAATCAGCTTTGAACGTCAGTTAACATTGGCCTGTTATTTGTCGCACCATTCTGTAGACGACGACAGCTGCCAGCTAAGCTCTCGACATGCTAGGTTACCCAGGTAGCTAACATGGCTGCATGGTGCGCTACCAATCGCGGAATTTCGATCCGAGCAGACGACGTCATTTGCCGTGGGGCTTGACGATGTCTGATGCAACCGGCCCAGGGCATTTCTGGCATGTGAAAGGAGCCTCAATCACTCGCGCCAACCTGCCTGCCTGCTGTCCGGGAGTCCGACTGCTGATGCAACGCTGCAAAACGCTGTGCATTGCAAGCAAGCAAGCATGCCGGCACGATGTGGCATTTCAATAGAACTGTCGACCGCTTCTACTGCAGCTGGCTGTCCTCGGTGCGTGTTCCAAGTCCTCTATTCCTCGGCCTAGAGACGGCAAATCTCGTCGGCCGAACGTAGTCGGGTCCGAGCGCGCCGTCTAGTCTACTGTTGTAGTTGAACTCTCCAGCGCCCAGTTCGGCTAAGTCGAGAGAGACCACCACTTGTATAAATCGAAGGCTCTAAAGGTCGGCAATTGCAACCATGAGCCTGTGGGTTATCTGCTGCTTGTGTCGCCCAGCCTAAGCATCTTTGCAGGTGAAGACGGTGTGGATTCCACTCATCTCCTCTTCCCCCCTCTGTCCCGCCGACCGGATTCGAGAACTTTGAGCCGCTTTTGATAACTCTCGCCTGCTTCTCCACTGCCTCGGGGGCCATCCACGGTGTCACGACCTCTCTTGCGACTCTTCTCCAGTAGAGCCTTTGTACCCCGCCCGCCGTCCTTCCTATTTGTCATCTTGTTGATTCGGTCGACACCCATACCTAGATCCCGCCACTCCTCGCCGCCATAGTCCATGCGGCCACTGCGGCCATCGCGCGCAGCCTTCTGGGCCCGCTCCTTCTTGCTCTCCTTGGGCAACCGGGTGAAGTTCCGCTCCTCGTATTCACGACGCTCGTCTTCTTCCTTGCGCTCCGACGCAGTCTTGAGTCTTCTGCCAAACTGGGCAATATTCGTTCCGATACTTGGTTGTGCAACAGGCGCTGTAGACAGCTCATCGGCGACAAATTCGTCCATGGTAGCGGACTTGACCGGGCCCCGTTCCCTCTTCTCGCGCTTATCGAAAGTGGGCATGACTGTAGGGGCGACTTTTGGAGGCCTGTATATGCCGTCGTTCTCCTTGCCGTGCTTTCCGGCTGCGTCGGCAGCAGGACGCCGGGCCATAGCGCCGAAGAGGGGACGGGCTTGAATGCCAGCCATGCTCGGTGCGGGTGCAGAGTCTGCATCACTCTGGTCCTCCTCTTCGGAACCCTCATCGCTAGACTCGGAATCGGAGCTGGAGGCGGCAGCTGCCTGCGCGGCTTTCTCATTGCGCTCTGCATTGTCGGCAGCGCGCAGAAGCCTTTCAATCTGGTAACGCAGCTTTTCCTCGAGTGGGCGGACTCCCTTCTCCAGGTAGAGGCGTAGCTCGACCAGCTTCCTTACAACTTCTCCGTCATCGAAATGTTTATCATCGTCGTCCGAAGTGCTCTCCCTTGACTTGCGCAGCTTGACTAGGATGAGGAAGATCAGGTTCTGCAGGTACGAGAGCAGCAGCTCGTTTTTGACATCGAGCAGGGAGATGCCATCTCTGGGCGCTTCGACCGAGGTTATCTTGGAGGTTGCTTCAAAAACTGAAGAGAGGGCATGCGTCAAGGAGTCCAAGAGGACGGGAAGGGTTGTCGCTGCCGCCATGCTGCAGTGTGGAATTGTTGGTAGAGAGCAACAAATCTCCAAACTTTTTTTTTTTGGGCGATAAGATAGATTTCTTAGCTTGCGTAGCACGCTCCTGCCAAGACCTTCCCAATGGGAGACACCCCGGCCCTGACTAATCCGTCTAAGGCTGAGCGGCAGGGGTCGGGTCGCTAGAGCTGCCAGCCTGCCGTCCATCGAAACGCCTGTCAGTGCCTCGCAGTCAGATGTGTGGTGAGAAGTTGACAACTGGCGGCACGAGAAGGAAGATACAACAAAGCTGCATCAACGCTGCGCTGACTGATCGCTGCATTCCACGAAAGCAGATCATATATGTGCCCGCCGCAGCTACCCGGTCTAACAAAAACTTCCGTTACTTAATAATACGCTGGCATGCTCGGCGACAGACAGCTCTGAGCGTTGCGCCCCCTTACCCCGAGCTATTCTGAGAGAGATCCACCCACTCGAAGAGGCACGTTCCACGTCCAAAGTAGCTCGCGTACGCCTTGGCGCATTGCCTACTTTGTTCTGTCAACGAGCACAGAAGACTGACCTACGTTACCATCGAGGATACAGAACGCCCGAGATGCAATTGCCGACCCTCCCGTCGTCCCCGGCGGCGGCGGCGCTGCTCTCCCTTGTCGCCCTCCCACATGTCGCGTCTGCCTTCTACCTGCCAGGCGTGGCCCCGACCACGTACAAAAAGGGCGATGTCGTGCCTCTATATGTCAACACAATAAAGCCGATTGCTCCTCCAGGAGACACAATGCTACATTCGGTCGTCGCATACGACTACTATCTCCCGATATTCAAGTTCTGCCAACCCGACGGGGGGCCGCAATCTGTGGGCGAGAGTTTGGGGAGCATATTGTTTGGCGACCGAATCATGACGTCGCCATTCGAGCTCAAGATGGCGACCAATGAGACGTGCAAGGCCCTCTGCGACGTCAAATACACCCAGGCCGCCGCCAAGTTCGTCAACGAGAAGATCGAGTTGGGCTACAGCCTGAATTGGCTGGTGGACGGGCTCCCGGCCGGCCAGGACATTACCGACAAGCTTACCCAAACGGACTTCTACAGCCCCGGCTTCTTGATGGGCGAGGTTTCGAACAACAAGCCTGCTTTTAACAACCACTACGACATCATTGTTGAGTACCACGAAGTTGGCGGCAACCCCAACCAGCTGCGGGTGGTGGGTGTTCTCGTCCAGCCTCACTCCCTCAACTACGGCGACAAGGAACCCGACTGCGCCACCGAGACATACGAGCCAGTTGTTTTGTCTGCTGACGGCCAGACCAACGTGAAATTCTCCTATGGCGTCTTCTGGATCAAGTCACCCACTGCTTGGGCCACTCGGTGGGACAAGTATCTGCACGTCTTCGACCCCAAGATCCACTGGTTCTCGCTTATCAACTCGGCGATCATCGTGGTCTTCTTGGTTATGACCGTTATGTCTGTGCTTGTACGCACCCTGCGCAAGGACATCGCGAGATACAACCGACTGGACTCAATCAACCTGGACGACCTGAACGGCACATCCGTCGTCGAGGATGGAGTGCAAGAGGACTCAGGCTGGAAACTGGTCCATGGCGATGTTTTCCGCACACCATCCCACCCTCTTCTGCTCTCGGTACTTCTCGGAAACGGCGCGCAACTGTTCGTTATGACCGGCTTCACCATATGCTTTGCGCTGCTCGGATTCCTTTCACCGTCGAACCGCGGATCACTAGGCACCATCTTGGTACTGCTTTACACCATCCTGGGCTTTGTCGGAGGCTATGTGTCCGCACGAGTGTACAAGTCGCTCGACGGCGAGAAGTGGAAGCTCAACATCGGCCTAACGCCACTGCTCGTCCCTGGGATAGTGTTTTCTATTTTCTTCATCCTCAACCTCCTCCTTTGGGCGAAGCAATCGGCCGGCGCAGTGCCGTTCACGACAATGCTTGTCATCGTCCTGATCTGGTTCATCATTTCAGTGCCCCTTTCCTGCACGGGTTCTTGGCTTGGGTTCAAATCTGCCCCGATCGAGTCCCCAGTCCGCACAAACCAGATCCCTCGGCAGATCCCTCCGGCTACTACCTATCTCAAGCCTATCCCCAGCATGCTCCTCGTCGGCATCCTGCCATTCGGCGCCATCTTCGTCGAGCTGTACTTTATCATGAGTAGTATCTGGTTCAGCAAGATCTACTACATGTTTGGTTTCCTGTTCCTGTGCTACGGACTGATGATCATCACTTGCGCCGCCGTCACCGTCCTGATGGTTTACTTCCTTCTGTGCGCCGAGAATTACAACTGGCAATGGAGGTCCTTCCTGGCAGCGGGCACGAGCGCAGGCTACATCTTCCTGAATGCGATGATATACTGGGTCACCAAGCTCAGCCTGGGTGGCTTCGTGGGCAGCATGCTCTACATTGGATACAGCGGGTTGATCTCATTCCTCTTCTTCATTCTGACTGGTGAGTTCAATCGTATTTCCCCCTCGTTCATTCCATGTTACTGAAAGTCTCCAGGCACGATTGGCTTCTTCTCCAGTTGGTGGTTCACCCGAAAGATCTACTCCTCCATCAAGATCGACTAAGCACCCCGGAGATTTGCCTTGCTCGTCAGCATTTGTTTGACCAAAAGCCAAGGTATCATTTGTATAGCATTTTTAGACTGTACCAACACTACGAGGGAATGCGCAAGTGCATGCCCGAGGGCACAGCGCCATGAGCCCGGGCGGTTGACATGGGGGTGCGGTCACGACAACAATAGCTTGGCGTCAAGGTCGCATATGTTTCTTCATAGCAATTCAAGCTTGGTAGACATGGCATCGGTCGTAGCAGCGGATGGCATATTGATTCTGAAGCAAAGATGACCATGTGACTGGCTTTCGCAGTGGTCTCTTCAACCACCGGACTGAGTTTGAGCCCCCATTCGATTGATTTAGCCGCGAGACCAAGCTACCTAGCAAAGACCGGATGCTCAGTCATCATCGTCGTCATCGAGATCACCACCCATGAACTGGAACTGCTTCTTCTGCGGCTCGTTCGAAGCAGCCGCACCGCCAGGCGACGGCCCCCCAGCACCAGTGCTCCCCCTCCGCAGCGCCTCTTCCTGCAGGCGCTCCCTCTCCCGCTGCCTCTCCCGTGCGACGCGCGCCTGCTCCTCCCTCATCTTCCGCAGATTCTCCTCCCGCTCCACTGCCTCTCTTTCCTCCTGCTCTCGGCGCTCCTGTTCTTCCCTCTGCCGCCGGGCCTCCTCCTCCGCCGGATCGTAGCCGCGGGGGTCGATGCCCTCCTCGACGAGGTTCTGAATCGACGCGAGCGCGCCCACGCGTATCTTGTCCTCTGTCGCCCAGGGGAGGAACACATGGCCCGTGAGTGGGTCGAGGAACTGCGTCCACTCCTCGGGCAGCGCCGTGGCGCCCGAGTTGGCTGTGGTCTGGGTGCCCTGCTGGCCCTGGGACTGCGACTGGGCCGCTGGCGTGGGGGCACCGTTCGACGTGACGTTGGGGTTCGGCGTTGAGGCGCCCGCGACGGGCGTTGGGGCTGCCGTGGTGTTTGGGGTGTTGACAGCTTCACCGGTGGATGGCCCGCTCTCGGCGTTGGCGGCTTCGAGGCGGGACAGTATGCTCGCGGGGGGCAGCGTCATCTTGCTGATCCTGCGCGCGTAGCTGAGCAGCTCCTCGTAGTTGACATCGTACTGCGGGCCGTCGGGCGCGGCCGTTGTGCTGGTGCTTGTGATGTCCTTGCGCGTGTTCCACAGGGTGCGTATGGTGTCGCGGATCTGAGCGTCGAGAGCAGAGGAAGACGCCTTGAGTGATTCCAGCCGGCGGTAGTTGTTCTGGTGGGATTCCACTGCGAGGAGAGCCGATGGGTCAGTCATCAGGAAGCTTGAGGGCGCGGGCGGAGGGTGAAATGGATGGCATACACTGCTTCAGCCCGCTGCCCAATTCACTATCGGCATTTGCAAGCTCGAGAGCCTGCGAAGCCTGGGGATTGTATTTTGTGATGGACTCGACGAGCGTCGCAAGAGCCTTCTCGACCCGCTCGAAGCGAACGTCAACGATCTTGTCCATTATTGCAGGTGCGCCTCGGATGCCCCACACGGTGTTCATGCAACTGCACTCGAGGCAGCTCGTCAGGTGCGGTTGCAGCCTGTCGTGGGGTGGAGTGGAAGAAGCTGAGCCAGAGCCGGAGAGCTCACAAGTGAAATCGCGTTCCCGCGGGCAAGCTGCCGTCCCGGACCCCACCCCCCTGCAAGCACGGGCTACTGCAGGTGTGCTCCGTAGCTTGGGCCCAGGGACCGGGATGACGCTAGAGGGGCTCGGAATTGGCGCCTCAGGCATGAAAAACCCAATTCCCGGCTTGACCCGGTCTGGAGGACTCGCGCGCATCACTGGCATCCAGTAGCCGTCGCGACATTTCTAACCTCGTCGACGACACTTGGCAAGGCAGAGCAGACACACTCTACACCTCGTGACACAGCACACAAGATGTTCCCCGTAGGTCCCACGCCACCAGACCACTCCCTGCCCATCCATTGAAGCAGTCAAGCCCGCCGCTCGTGTCCCGCAGCTCTTACTGACGACGACCCACGATGATGCAGACTCAGATCCGCCGGGCAGACCCCTACCCTCAGTACAGGAGCCCCTATGGCCCCAAGTAAGACGCCCTCGTTTGACTCGTTTGACCTGCCGATGCGTCCGCAGCGTGATATCGCTTTCTGCCTCCCCACGAGAGGCCCCCGATACCGAGAACCCATCACGGCACTTGGAAGGCGATCGGCGCTAATGGATGAACCTGGCGATTAGATACGGATTCCAGCCTCATGTTGCAGGTGTGACCGGCAAGCAGGCCATTACACTGTAAGCCGATGGCGCCCTTGTTCTCCCAGCCAGAGCCACAGCCAGAGCCACAGCCAGAGCCAGAGAGAGTTCAGCCGACCTACCTGAGGATGCCGAGTGCAAGGCCGGACTCAAAGATCGTGTGCATGTCGACTTTCAGGTCTCTGGCCGATGATAGGATTGGACTGTGGCTTTGCTGGGAAACATCCGTCGCAACATTCACTCGGAGCTAACGACATGTGTAGCGGCACCAAGGCTGCAGGACTCGGCGGTGTTGCTCTGTTCGCGGTCATCTTCTACGCTTCTGGAATTCCCAGGGTACAGCGTGATATTCTCCAGGTATGCAAGGACTTCGAGCATCACTTCAGGTGGTCCTACTGACAAGCTCATAGAGGGTGCCTTTCATTGGCAGCTACTTCGTCAACGAGATCCCCCCAGAGGACAACGTAAGTGACCTAAAAAAATCAACCCGGAATGTGTCTGGACCCTTTGCTGACTGGCAGCATATAGCCCTTCTAATCCGGAAACGCGAGAGGTCGTGGGAAGGGTGGAGGAGCAGTCATAGAAAATGGCCTTGCGGGCCTGGTGTAAAAAAGAGCATTTGCAATAGAGTCAAGACAGACGCGCCCTTTCAAACGTTCGTCTTAACCTTTGAGTCTATTGTGGCCCCGATTTCGGTGACGGCAACCACTTCAGAGCACGCATAACACTTTCATGGTACCGGCCACTGAGCTGTCAATAGGCGTAAACAGCTCGTGGCGACTCATCCGGTCACCGTAAGACTGAACCCTTTTGAAGCGCGCCCCAATATATTCATCCCGCTTAGTGAGATATGGCTCAATCGGTAGTCCGCTGTGTTCGTAGTCGTCGTGCTATCCATTCGGGTTCAGGGGCAGCATCGTCCAGTAGCGGCTAAAGCTCGGGTCAATGCACGGCCCACCTTCGATGCTGTCCTTACACAGTACGCTGACTCTCAAGTCAACCGCGCGTCGACGTTCCTACAGCATCGTATTTGAGGCTCTTCCAACTATCGTCACTCTTTACCTGGCTCCATACGAGATGGGCACCCTGATTGCGCTCCGGAATTTCGTGGTTCTGGCCATCCGCCCGGCGGTCTACAGCCTTATATGTTGCTACCTCTTCCTCATCAACCGCCTGTCTAGGTACGGCTGTGATCGACCGGCCGTCAAGGTTGCACTGCTGGTCGTACCTGCTGTCCTCGGCCTTGCGTGGCAAGCAACCGTCTCCATAAATGTCCCAGAGCCCTATCTCGTAAGCACGCCCGCTAGTCCAGGCTCTCTGCGAGCTGGTCGCTGATGTCTGCTAGGACGAAGTCTTCCACATTCCTCAAGCGCAGAAGTACTGCGAATCAAAATGGCTCGAGTGGGATGACAAAATCACAACGCCTCCTGGGCTGTACGTGCCACACACTCCCACCAACACGGGCGGAAACTGGCCTTGTTGACACCTTTCTAGGTATGCTGTTAGCTTGCTGATCCACAGAGCCCTGTGGTTCATGAACGGGACGTGCTCCGAAACCAGCCTGCGCATGACGAACTGGGTCGCCATAATCGTCCTTACTTTTACCGCGGCCGACTGCCGGCGGCTAATCGAGACGAAGCTTGCTGAGCGGCGGGAACGTCAACCTCAGCCCTCCTCCCTCAGCTTCCATGCCATCCACACAGGCATAAACATCGGACTGTTTCCGCTCTTGTTCTTCTTCTCTGCATTATACTACACCGATGTCTTCTCCACTTTGACGGTCCTCTTTGCCTTTCAAAATCACTTGGAGCGGGTTAGCACGAACGGGAAGGCGTGGCGGAATGATTTGTTCGTCATCTTGCTCGGCGTTGCTTCTCTATTCATGAGGCAGACCAATGTCTTCTGGGTCGTCGTATTCATGGGTGGTCTAGAAGCTGTCGAGGCTGCAAAAGCTGTGCCTATGGTCGAGACCAAGCCACCAAGACAGGATGACTTGATGGCGAACATCACATACTTTGTGTGGAGATCCTCACTTGGAGAGATTCATGACCCTGCGTTGAGTCAGGCCTCTCTGGATGGTCAGTGCCTGCCACAACCATCTTGGCGTTGATGATTCCGGTTTTCCTTGGGTTGTTTTGTTTTGCTGACGATCTTGTCTGCGTAGATGCGCTCTGTTGCGTTGTCAGTATCGCCATCGCAGTTGTCTGCAATCCACTCCGGGTCGTCAGACAGGTATGGGCTCACGTCGCCGTGATGGGCCTTTTCGCGGCATTTGTGCTCTGGAATGGCAGTGTTGTCCTCGGTACGTCCCCGATGACAAGCCGGCCCCTCGAATCTGTCTAACAGATATGCAGGAGATAAGACAAATCATGTCGCGACAGTCCATGTTCCTCAGATGCTCTACATTTGGCCGCTGTTTGCTTTCTTCTCCGCGCCTCTTCTCCTTCCATTCTTGCCGTGGCCATTCGCTCCCCAATCTGGCCCCAGCTCAACGGCAAGTAGTCACACGCGGTCTGAGACAAAGAACTCGCGTAATCGATACATCACGCCCTTGAACATTGCAAGCTACGCCTCCCTAGCCTTAGGAGCGTTGGTCATCGTGCATTTGAACACTATCGTCCACCCCTTCACACTTGCGGACAACAGACACTACATGTTTTACGTGTTCCGCTACACCATCCTTCGCGGACGGTGGGTGCGCTATAGCCTAGTCCCGGCTTATGTCTTGTGTTGGAGCATCTGTTGGAAAACGCTTGGGGGATCTCAGAACACGCAGAGTGCTGCAATTTCTACCGGGGACAATCGGCCTCCGCCGGGGAAAGAGGGCAAAGTGTCGGGCACGGAAAATGTCAAGCTCAAAGCGGCGCCCACGGACGCCACTCTCTCTATCGAAGGCCCAAATCTCTCGACCGCTCTTCTCTGGCTGCTCGCCACAGCTCTTTCCCTCATCACCGCACCGCTCGTGGAACCGAGGTATTTCATCATGCCGTGGGTATTCTGGCGGCTCCTTGCGCCCGCATGGCCAGCCTACTTACCCTTGGTTTCATCAAGGAGAGGTGAAGGTAGTGGCCCCGGCCAACTAGTGCAATCCATTCTGTCAACCGGCCAGAGATTCGACCTACGTCTTTTCGTAGAGACGGCATGGTTCCTGGTGGTACACTTGGCCACGGCGTACATGTTTATCACCAGGCCGTACTACTGGAAAGCTGAGGATGGCTCGCTGCTCGATGGCGGCCGCCTTCAGAGGTTCATGTGGTAGTGGACTGCCAGGGGCTGGGTTTGGCCGGCTCGTCAGCAGATATATAGGTTTTGGCCGTGTATGGTATCGTGAGGGTATATAATTAATGCATAGCAGTGATATTCGCCCTCTCGTCTCGTGAACAGACGCTTTCTACTTCGGATGGCAACAGGCTCTGAGCATACCCTATTCTCGTCGATATTTCCTGATCACTGTCATCTAACATTGTCCTGTTCTGATGATAGGAAAGCAAGGTGCAAAGTTGTATGATGGGGTAAGGCCGGCTTACTCGAAATATGTGTTCAGTGCGTCCTCACGAGTGACAGTAAATTCACAGGTTCCGCGGGTAACCAGGTCAGCGAAACCAATGCCCTGTGAGTTGTAGCCGTTGACCTTCCAGTAGCCCGGTCGGGCCTTCATGAAATTCACAAGCTCTTGGCAGTCCGCTTTGAAGATGTCATCCTTCCCTTCTGGGTGGGTATCTGTGTTGCCGCACAGCTCTTGCTCGTCGTCTTCGTCCAGATGATACCAGGTCAGGGACCTCGCGAGCGCCTCAGCTTGTGTGAGGTGGAGTGCCTCCAGGGTTTGGCTGAGTATCATGGATTTGTTCTGAGCCAGGGTGCCCAGGGCGATGGTTAGGAGGGTGAGGAGGGTGTTTGTTAGCTTCATGTTGAGATTTGGTTGTTAAGCTCCTGAGGCGTTAGCTGTTCAGTATTGGATGGCAAATTTAGGACACTTCCTTGCCTTCGCATGGGATCGATATGAGGTTCCCGCAAGGTTTAGGAGTCTGAGAGGGGAAATATTTATAACATGACCTTGAGCCTGCCAGGAGGCCGGCGATTCATTGCGATTCCATTTGAACCCAACGCTCATGATGGACGTCACGGACGAGCTCGCCCTGTCATGTAGTTCCGGCAGTCCCTCCATCACTTCACGTGCCTGTCGTCTTTTACACTTCTGACTCTGGGTCACGCTGTTGGACTCTTGCGGCGATCTTGAGCAGCCATGGTCGGAGAGAAGGAGCTCGAGCGCTTGTCTTTACAAGGGGAGCCGGTAGTATCTCATGTTTGTTCCAGAATCCGAACTCACGGTCACATCCCGACTAGATCGTAGAACCAGGTCAGGCAGGCAAAGAAGAACATATAAAAAGAAAATCCATATATGCTTTTGTTGGACGGACGATGAGTGTCTGCCTATCACTCTGTCATAACAGAGGCGTGGTCTGTGAGACCGCCTGATGGACATGAGATGTCCTGTAATTCCGTCCTTCCTGGCAACTGCAATAGCAGTTCACTCATTGTTGGTCCCGGGCGATGAGTCATTCCCCGATCCAAGCTCATTCCCTTCCAGTCCCTTGCCTCCCAGTTCCGTAACGCCGGTACTCCGAAAACCAGAATGCCGCGATGATATGCAACGTTTTCCCCTTCAGTCAGCAGTAATCAGCCACCATGATGTGGACGACATCTCCTTTTTGTGTGCCACTGTACGGCCGTGTTCTGGACCTGCGCTTTTGTGTATTTCGTCGTTTCTTTGTCGGCCATGAATCATAAGCTCAGGCGATCAATGCTGAGCCTGTCGCCGCTCCGCACCCTCCTCACCATGCCCAGCTTGAAGTACTTTTCCTCGCCAGCGGCCGTCTTGCCGCCGATGTACATCCTGTCGGCACCGAGGACCTCGCGGAAGCCCTCGGTTGAGCTGTCACTGCCGCGCCGTCGAGATTGCTGGGGGATGGGGATGCCGCGGGGGGATGTGACGCCCCGGGCGGCGGCGGACTGTGACTGGGCGGCGGCGGCGGCGGCGGCCTGTGCTGCTATGCCGCGTGATGTAGAAGGCGCTGTGGTCGACACGGAGTAGGAGGTTGTGGTGGTGGATGATGTTGGCTGCTTGTTTGCTGAGGAAGCCTGGGCGGAGGACTGCGGCATCGAGGAGGGGGGCTGTTGGCGGAAGGCGGCGAAGAAGCTGGAGAGGAAGGGCCGCTGGGGAGACATGGCGGGTTGCCGATGGAAGGATGTTGGAGGAATTCCGCGCAGGCCGTCCGATGTGGGCAGCCTGCGGCGTGGTTGAGTTGAGTCGAGGGCTCGCGGAGAGGAAGGAAGCGGGCTACGACTGGTGTTTCGTCTGGCTCGTGGCTGCGACGCAGGTGGTGTTTTCCCCTGGGACAGCAGAGCACAGTGCGATCATCGGCAGGCAGGGTGCAGGTAGATGTGTCGTCCAGACTGGCCAAGGAGGGTGGGTATGGCTGAGGTTAGACAGGCGAACAGAGGCGGAGAGGAGGAGGGAGAAGAGCGCATGTTGACGTAGTGACGGCAGGAGTCTGGGGCACGCTGGGGGCACGGCACTGGGGGGGTTCGGGGTGTGGGAGTGGGGGGCCCCAGAGGCCCGTCGGCCAATCTCGGGACAGGCGATGACAGCACCTAGCACCCGACTCGGTTGTTGGTGCCCTGCACTCTCTGCCTGCCTCCTAGCGAAGACCACCCGCTGGTGGCCTGATTGCTCTGGTCCAGGAGGGTCGGCTACCCAGCCCGTTGGTCCACCCCGCCTCGCTTCCGATCCGCCGCTCTGGGTCAGCCACACCTCAGACCGGATGGCATCTCTGATCCTCTGCCTGGAGGGCCGTGGTCGGATTATGGACCGCCGCCCAGCAGGCCGACAGCTTCTCACAAAGCATCTCAGCCTGTCTGTTTCGGGCCCGGGCTCGGCCAAGTGTCCAACAAAACACTCTGCGTTTCAGCCCCGTGCCCAAGAAGAAAAAGAAAATACCAGAACGAAAGACCCCGACATCCGTCGTAAATGTTCTCTAGATTGAGTCTAAATCTGTAAAATCTCTTGCATCATCTCCTGCCTAACTACTATCTATGAGTTGTTTTGCTGTGCTGCGCCAGACATCCATCAGCTCCCACTAGAAACCGCCTGCCGCCATCCGAGGTCCTGACATATAGACAATCGACGCCATACCAAGAAACTTTTCTTTGGACGAATCATCCCTTCTCGCCCTATATTCCAGTGTATCCCGAATTAGTCTTCGTCCTCTTCCAGGACTTGGCCACATAGAGAAAAGCCGGCCGCTGCCCACAATGACTGCGAAGCATCCAGAGTACTCCAATATTGGTGGCTCCAATCACGATGCTGTGACAGACGACGCAAGCACTGATGCGGGCGAGTCGTTGATGGGCCACGGAGAGAAGAGCTGGGAAGAGTTGCGTGAAGCTGGCCGCCCGAGGCAGAGCAGATGGCAACGAGGCCGCGCCGCTGTCTTCTCATGCCAGGGTGTGCTGAACACCCTGCTCCTGCTCGTGATCCTTTTCCTGCTCCTCGATCGTCGTTACCAAAACGACAAGCACGGCCACTTCGAGGGCAATGGTGATATCTCTGGGTTCGCGCCTCGGGGTGAGTGGCCCGTGGCCCGTGGCACCATCACCACATCGCTGACTGACATGGTGTTTATTAGTCTCCCAGCAGATCAAAACTTTCGTCCCTGACCTCGGGTTCGTTCCGGAGAACGGAACCGAGTTCTTCACCGAGGAGGTGAGGCAGAAGTGGCTGAGCATCGTCCCGAAAGGCCTGGGCTATGTCGAGGTTCATGACCCTTCCAGCTACGACAACCTGCCGCCGCGTCCGCTCGAGGGCCCGGGCATAGACAATACCGTCTATACCACCAGCGTCACTCACCAGCTCCACTGCCTCTACAACATTGCCCAGGTCTACTCAGGGCTCATCTCGGACCCGAGTCTGATACCCGAGCAGATGCAAGGCCACCTGCCCCACTGCTTCGAGTACCTGCGCCAGACCATCATGTGCTGCGGCGACACGGCGCTCGAGGGCCAGCAGACCACCTTTCCAGAGGGCTTCATCGGATCAGACGGCTGGGACGCCAAGCACGTCTGCAAGGACTACGACGCCATCTACAAGCACCTGGAGGTGAACCGAGCCGACAATGAAGTCTGGATCTGAGCTGTTGTGGCATTCGTCTCCAAAGGATTCTGTCTCGTGTTACTTTCTTTGCATCTTCATACTTGCAGGTCCCGGCATAGCAGGCGTTTGGGATATTCTGGGCAGGCGGGATCAACGGACTAATACACCTTCATACACCGGCTACTGGCTAGCTTGATGAGACACCCCCATTCCTTGCCGCTAAAGTGGACGGGCCGAGCAGTAAGCTGGTACAGCACTACAGTACGAGGTTCTCCTCCTCGCCCCGATTCGGCATGCAACGCCCGCCCTCAAAGCTTACTGCTCCCCAAAGCCTTTGTCTTGGCCTTGTACAGTTTGACCAACTGCCGTATGGAAAGATCCAACAAGACATCCTCAGAACCACCGGGAATTCTCGCAGCGGGCACGTCTCGCCAGATCACTGTAGTAGGGGTAGTGTGTCAGTCCGAAACCTTCATGTCAAGGCACCGAGTCCAGCACATGGCCTTCTGGAAGCCGGGGTAACCAAAAAAACGACAGCACTCACTTTCAATCAGTTCACCCTGTCCGGATCTCGTGTACCCGTTGCCTCCAAAGAGCAGCATGGCCGTGTCGGCACACTCCATGAGGACAAGCCCCGCCTGGGCTTTCAGCAGGCCTGTGAGGCCGCCCAGCTCCCGGTCACCGTCCTCCTTGGGCATCTGAGTCAGCTGGTACGCAAACTGCTCAACCCAGGCCCATTGTGATTCCAGAAGGGCCCCGGCTTTGGCGAGGCGGTGCCGGACTACCGGCTGGTTCATGAGGGGCTGCCTGAACGCCTCACGCTTGAGGACGTACTCGAACGCCGCAGACAAGGCCACTCGGGCCGATCGGGTTACGCCGACGGCGATGGAGAGTCTTTCGTGGTTGAAGTTGGTCATGACGTATTTCATTCCCTAGTGTTCTCAACAGTGTCAGTGCCTGGGCTGCCGTTTTCCTCGGCCCAGCGCGATGTGTCACACAATGATAGAGAAGCGCTCTGCGCAACTCACCATTCCCTCCTTGCCGATCAAGTTCTCTACTGGGACTTTGACATCGTCCAGCTCGATGTATGTAGTCCCCGCGCTTGCTGAACCGCCCACTTTGAGGTGACGCATCGTCACGCCGGGTTGGCCCTTGAGTGGGACCACCAACATGGAGAGGCCCGCGGCTCCTGAGCCTTCAGGACCTGTCCTGACCGCCATGCTCGCCCAGTCCTAGAGCCCAAAAGTTAGTAAATACGGATAGTACATGGCATAGAGCCGGTTTATAAGGTTGAGGGCCTGCTGACCGTCCAAATGCCGTTTGTGATCCACTTCTTGTTGCCATTGATGATGTAACTCTTGCCATCCGCGCTCTTCACAGCCGTCGTCGTGATGCCCGCGACGTCGCTGCCAGCATCAGGCTCCGTGATGGCAATGCAGCTCCTCTTCTCACCCCTGAGAAGCTGGGGCAGGAACCGTTCCTGCAGCTGCTGGTCGCCGAACTTGATAATAGGTGGCACGCCAAAGGACATGCCGGTGGTCAGGCTCGAGCCCGGGCCAGTGATACCCGATCTGGCCACCTCGTCGAAGTAGATGAGCCCGTGCAGATAGTCAAAGTCCTCGACCTTGAGTCCGCCCAACAACTCGTGGATTCCCAGCCTCTTGAGCCACGCCACGGGCAGCGGCGCCGGAAGGCACGGGATGAGCATGTTGGCCCTTGCAAAGGTCTCAAAGACATGGGGCGGGACTGCTTCGGCTTTTTCCCATTCCAACGCGTCCTTGACAAGGTTCTTGTCTACGAACGCCCTGACGTTGGCTTGCCATTTGCGATGGGTCTCCTTGAAGATTGGGGAGGGTAAACCAAGGAGCCATGGGGGCTCAGAGAATGGAACAGGCGTAGACATGATGGGATTGAAGGCCTCAAAGCAACCGATGAGTTTTGTAAATAAGCTTGATTGTGCAGACTCGAGGAAGTTTCAAAGAACCAATTTGCTTGCTCAATTTGACCAACAAGTACAAGATAGGTGGGTGGCCACAGGCCAATTTGTACAAGGCTGGACTGCGGGGAAGAGTTGCCGAGGTCTGGAGCCTCCTCGGATGTATGCAATGATTCTCCAACTTACAAGGTTCCGTAGTTGCTTTGCGACCGAGCTTGTTACTCATCAATACATGTCACAATCCTATTCAAAAAGAAAATAGTGCTCTGGTCGCACAAAGTAATGCCTACAACACTGACACGTATTATGTCCTAGTGATATGTTAAATTCTTTGGGCCATTACAAATGACGCTACTATATAGGCTTTCTTGTTGATTTATGCTCAAACTGGTTTTGCTTCTATTCCACATACCTATGTCCGAGGATGTATATAGCGTCTTTATATGGTGGTAAAGGCTCAAGACCCAGGGTTTAAAAAACATATGGTGTCAATGATAGTAGTTAAAATACAACAGTTGCCTGTGGCCTCAGCCTTGCAACACACATCAAACAGAATAACATCTTAAAGACAACACTCATGTGGATAATCTACTATGTTACTAGGCTTGTTCCTCTATCATACCCTTATAGTGGAAAGGAGTCACCTCCATTGTTCCTCAATGGGTGTTTTGAGGTCTTCAGACCAGGTGGCTAAGTAAGTTATCGTTGGAAGGTATGTGAATGCACACTTATGTCAGTTCAACAACTCAAGCTTAGAACCACCTCTGCAGACTGAGTCAATGCTTGAGCTCGCACAAATGATGATCATCTCACGACATTGGACACAGACTAGGCATACACCAATATTCATAGTTTGATAATTTCATACTTAGTATCATTGCTGTACTCATAAATGAAGCATGCCACCTCCATGGCCCCGACTCCGACCGGGTAGTATTGGTGAAACATCATCCCAGTTGTGTGAATCAGCACTGTACTCCACTGGCGCAGGCTTGTCAAGTACCTCCAGCTTAATCTCCACCTCCGTAGTCACCTGAATTTCCATCTTCCTCTCCATTGACAATCTCCTCTGACGAGACAACACACCCGGATCGTCGTCCATTGCCGCGTAGGATGCCCTCGAGGAGGTCATTGACTGATCTGATCTGGCTCGCTGGAACCTTATCGGTACGAAAGTCTTGTACAGCTTCCTCCGGAACTGGCGTGTTGTGCCGAAACAAATGAGGAGGAAAAGACCTGCCACACATCCCGGTATAAATGATGCTATGATGGTTTGAGCCTTGCTGGCTGAGAGGTCCGGCTCCGTGGTGAGAGAGTCGGAAATGTCCATGTGGTTATAGTTCAGCTGGACAAAGATATTATACCCCTCGAAGGCACTGAGGAAAACCATAGGAACAGTCACCCTCACCACCAACCATCTATCATGTATGGAGCTTGGTCTCTGCTGAAGGCTGCCAAACTTGGCCCCTGAGGTTTGGATCTTCCGGAGGAGCATTCGTGTCTGGATGTACTCCAGGAAAATGAGCCCGAGCATGAAGAGACCCCCTAGACATGAGAGCACGTCTTTCAGATCCTAGTTAGCAACAGCGTCATTGGTAGTGTAAGGCTTGAGAACCTACAAAGAACATCTGCAGTAAAGCAATACCAAAAAGCAGACTTCTTCAAGGGGGCCAATTGTAGAAGACCAGCCTGGATGATAGGGAGGACTATAACTACCGGCTCTACGGCACGAGGAGTTAGTCATGAAAGAACCAAAGGATTAGCTTCCAAGCCCATGTCAACACGGCCGAGAGTAGGTAGGCTACAAGGTGCTCGTAGCATCCATGGATGTTTTACAACCTGCAGCCCCTAAATTCTTGGACATTTAGGCTATGAAGGGGTAAAAACTGTATCCAGAAGGCTGCTTACTGCCAATTCGGTTGATCAAGACAAGCGGACGTCTCATTGAGGGAGACTCTGCTAGGCCATAGACGGACTGCATCAATTTGAAACTCCAGCAAAAGGCGAGGCCGGCCTCGATGTTGAAGCAAGCCCATCCTACCACGTCAGTCGGTTAGCATCTAGAGCTGTGAGGATAAGGACCGGAGGTATGTACGGACTCATTGACGATAGGACCTTATCCGCGCCTGTGTCGTAGGAATTCAACGCAACGATTGCAGGAATGCCCGCCTTGGCCAAGTACTGCAAGTATCGAAGCCTGTCCCACATTATGTCCTCGTAATTACTGCGATGCACAAGCCTGAGTCAGCTCAAGTGCCCTCTTGCTCGGTCATGTGGTCTCCTCCCCCCATTGTTGGACGAGCTTGGTTCGGACAGGACAGGAGTCCGGGACGAGATGATGGCATGTAGAGACGGTCTGTTCTGACTTTATGAGCATGAATAGCTGAGCAATGCTCGTGCTGTTTGCAATGAGTGCCGCGGAGCTTATGAAGAAGAGATCTGGAGCAGTGTCAGCAGAGGTTCAATGTTTAGGGCATGGGAACGAGTCAGCGCCGCCTTATCTGGCTGGGGCTCTCGAGCAAAAACGGGCGAGCGCTTACAGCTGGCCTTCTCCTTGCCCTGCGCAAGCAGCCATAACATCAACAGGTTGGCAAGTAGACAGATGAAAGCCCACACGAGGACGCCAGAAAGGACGCCCTCGGCCCCGGAGGGCAATTGTGCCATGGTGACCCGGCTGGTCGGGTGGGCTCCGCTCTCAGCGAGCCCGGGTTCTCATGGACGGGGGGAAAACAAGCAACAGAGAAGTCAAAACACCGGAGAGGGAGCGGACAAGAGAGATGGGCAAGATGCCGGAATGCCACGAAATGCCACGCGGAGAGCGGGCCTGTTTTACTTGTCCTGTCTGCACGCCGCAAGGCGCTGGGGAGGGGGCGCCCGTTGAGCCATTCTGGGGTTTGTGCTGGCCCACCCTGTCTGCCTCAACCTGTCTGCAGTCCGGGAGGATCGACACTGCAGACGACGAGACAGTCCCGAACACGGGGCCATGGCTGCCATGGCAGGGGAGCCAAGACGGCTTTTGCTGACGGATTATCCAGGGCATGGCAGGGCATGGCAGGACATGGCAGAAGGTTGGGGCCCGTAGGGCTCTCACTGGTCGCATTCCATCAAATTTTAACCAACAGGCCATTGTTTCCCTCGTCAACGGGCCCTTGCAGCCGTGACCCCATCGCCATCGGCCATCCTTTCCCCAAGGGGACTTGGGCCAAGGCCAAGCGAGGCAGCTTTCTTCGCCTGCCTCCCCGGTTTCCACAACCTGGTTAGGGCGGTCCTGACTTGACGAGCTGCGGGTGCGTCCGCTAGTCCGGTGTGATGGCAATAGTCCACATTTTACCACAAAACGTCGGCAGATCTCCCGCGTCTTCCTTTCCGCTTGTGGTCGACCCAATGCCCGCCCAAGGGATACACATAAACGAACCGGTCTCCCGTGATAAATCATGCCATTGCTTGATGTGCACATGTGTAGCCCCGGAGAACTGAGGGAGCACCAAAGCACTCAATCACCTCCTGGGGCCGGCTATGCAGATTGCACCAACTCTCCGAGCCTAGCTTGGTGCACGAGAGTGGGGACTTATTTGACGACGGCAATTATGTCCCGCCAATATTCCTCCTTTTCTTATCGCATCTGGTCTGTGAGATACTTCAAGCGGAAGCCAAGTCGCCGGCAATCATATGGTCTTGTCTTCTCGGTGAGCTCCTCTACTGCCATGGGCTGAGGTGGAGAACCGGTCTCTCAAATGCAGCACATGCAGCAACTCAGACGTATGTCAACTCAAGACTGCGCACTTTTCATGACCTATACCCACATCTCTAGCTGAAACACAGCCGCAATAGGCCCCAGAGCTTTACCCAGCTTCCAAGGTTGCAGCAACGTCACCATAGATTCCCGACTGGGAATATTATCCGTGGTAGGCCTTAAGAAGTGGCTCAGCAAGCTCAGTTCCAACTGCCGCCACAGGATTCATAAACATCCAACTGCCAACTACATTCATTAGACTAGTGGCCTGCCTCCCTGTTCCAGGATTGCTCCCTATGGGGAACAATTACTTCCCAAGGTTTTAGCTCAAAGTCAAACATGGAATGCGACACTCTTGCCCCTCTTCTCGACGGAACCGAGACCACCTGAGTACATGGTGGACTTTGCCATGGTCTATTAAACGAAGCTTCGGGCGTATAATGGAATAGAAACGAAGCCAGACCAGAAGGCACGGCGGCAACAGCATATCGTCGAGAGACGACGGTGTCGCTGGCGAATATGGCCCCACACCTGACACCGTCCACCGCGCCACAGCTAGCCACCAGACCCGCCTCTGGGCCCCCTTGCCTACATATCTACTTATTAGTCGGTGGGGACACCGATATGACACTCCCCAGACTCGTACAGCCCGTGGCATAGATCCACGTTGGTGCAGTCCAAACACAACGTCTCGTCGTGACAGGCCCGTGCAGGGGCAAAACGTGCGTGTCTTCCAGGGGTGTCCTGGTGTGCCAACCCGACCTTGTCGGCTATCGCTGCCAATGAATCCACATGAGCTAGCCGACTACTGTGTACCTAAGTAGTGACCCTTGAACCCCCTGCGTCAATACTCGGCCCAGTTCCTTCAAGCTTCTCTAACGTTCCGTGTGGTTGAGAGCTGCAGAAGTTGTCCGAGTAGAAATGCTCCCCGATAACATCCCGAAATGACCGCTCCTCATGGTGTTGAGGCACACGCAGTTCAACGTGTTTGTGAGCACTTCCAACACCGAACAATATATATTCTTGTCTTACTTACAACTGTGCTAGAAGAGCACAGGTTGCTCTTATGGGCACATCCAGGGCGCCGTGTCATGCAACGTATGCGCTGTTATGTAAACGACAGAAAAGGAGATAAATAATTGTCAATTTCCTTTTCTTGTGAATATAAAGATGCTGGTGTCCTTTCGGCGGCTCTCTAGGAGTGAATTCATTCTACCGATGTTAGTTCAACTGAGGACCCTTTTCATGGATTATATCCCGCACTTATTAGCTTGCTTTGGGGAACTGATTTCCATCCAGGGGTTGTACAAAGTACCCTAGGGTAGCCATCAAATTGACACTTGATCTTCAGTCTCCAGAAACTCAACTACTCCGAGTCTTTACGAATCTTATATCCATCTTGGCCGATGTCTGTTCTTCTTTAGGACAATGCTCATGTAGCTTGATTCCTGCACGACGATGTGAGATGAGGGGGCTGCTATTGAATGATCTTGTCATGCTAACTCCCGTATGGATTATCTCCATGTGGTGGCTAGGACCTATGAGCACACTGAGTACTGACTCGTGCCAGGATTTGATTAGCAACCAGCAGGGCGTCTCACAAACCACAGGTCAAGTATACAGTATGTATTTTGTCATCATCCGGTTAATTAGTGTCTTCGGAGTCTTCATCGCTCCGGTGCTTCAAGTTTGAAGCGAGTCCGGGCATGCAACAATCGCATCCCCACCACCCTCTTGCAGATCACTTCCTGTCAGACGGGTGAAGAGCTCCCCGAGACCGATACTGTATTTGTGTTTGCGTTGATCTTAGTCACCGTCATGTTCCGCGAGTCGTTCCGATAACCCTGCGTACCGGCCTGGATGAGATCTTTATCAGACCCTGTTTCGTCGACGTACGCCTTCATCTCAATAGACTGCTGCACCTGGATCTCCAACCTCGTGCCACGCCGCTCGTCCTCTTCAGCCTGGCTTCTCAGCACTTGACTCTGTTTGCGAGTCGCAGACAGGCCGTATACACCATGTGATGGCGTCGACCCGGGCTTGGTCCCGAAGATCACCCGGGAGACAAAAGCTTTCAAGGACGGCACTGACCCACAAATGATGGCGACATTGATTTCAATGACGGACCACAGGGCAATGGGCACGCTGGTAACTATTTATCTAATAAGCAAACGGACCTGCTCAGGTGAGCGTTGCCCGGTCGGGACCTTGCTTGCACATACCTGACTGTTCTTCGTACGGTCCATTCAGATTCTGGTACAATGCCCGAAGTCTGACGATGGATACGACGGTCGTGCTAGAATGAAGTCAGTAGCTAGCTATTGGCCGGCCAAGAGTGATGTAAACCATGACTGGACTCACAACAGGCCACAAGCAAAGACCGAAATGAGGATGATTCGCTGCTTCCGAGGCAATTGTAGCTTTGTAAGGAATGGCAAGGGTATGATGAGCAACATTATGTCGTTGAGAATGTTGAAGCCCGCGACAGAATAGTTCAGCGCAGGTCGGTTGACACACCAGCCTGGTATTGAATCGTCCCACGCCTTTGACACCGGGAAACAGTAGAAGAGAGCAGCACAGAATGACATTAGTCCGCAGGCGCAGACCCACACAATAGCTGCTCTCATGATCCTCGCAGCAGTGGTCGTTGTGAACAGCCTTGCAGCTTGTGTTGTGAGAGAAAGTTTATAAAATGTCTGCGTGCAATTGTAGAAGGGCACAGTGACGAAAAGCGCCTGAGATAATGGTGTCAATATCCATGAGGCACGGCCCACAAGCGTGAATTGTAGGGCGGTTGGCACTGACGGTTAGGAAGCTCTCAAGATTGGCAGGATTTACAGCTTGACCAAGACCCCATCTGATTTCTTCACCGAGCGTTGCTTCGTCAGCGATGCAACTATTGAGAGCCGAATAGGGGGGGGGGAATCAGAATGTTTGACATACGATACATGACAGCCACCAGAAATCCTATTGAGCAAACCTGGTGACACGGTCAGCATGTAATCCTGGGATTCTCGGACAGCGAAACGCGGTACGAGGTATCATGGTCACCTTGCTGACTTCAGTCATTCCTGAAATGAGAAAAGGGGAAGGTGACTGGGAAACATGAATGACAACAACCGTTGATGAACAACTCACCATGGCGGCCGCCATCAGATAGTCATCCCATCCTGTCCTTTTGACAATCAATCCTCGTGTGAACAACCGCAGACCAACCGCGATGAAAGCCAAAGCCGTCCATAATATTGCGTTCACGACCAGATCATGGCACTCGTCAACGATCGGCATCGTACCAACGTGCCACATCTTGATATACAATCCCTCCGACCGGGGACAGGATTAATGAAGATGTCGTGGAGATGGAAAGGAGAACAAGACTTTGCAACAAAGAGCACGGCCTCAAGCTGAGAACCAAATCTCGCAGGACTTCATCTAAGACAAGTGCTGACCTGGTGGGAAAGGGAAGTCCGGCTCCCCACACTGATGTATGCCACCAGGGCCCCCCAGGGTACCAAAGACGGTGGTCTGTGGTTGATCTCGGCTCGACCCTTGACAGGCCATCAGGGGCAAGACATAGTTCCTCGCTCCGGTGAAAGTCTCGCCATGGCCGGACGGCTTGCAGGTCCTGTGGTATTGCGTGCCAGCCCCTTGGGGGGAGGGGGGGAGGGGGCCGACGATTATTAGGCAGAAGGGCCGTCCCGTCAAGTCCCAGACCCGGCAAGAGGTGGTCAGAACCTTGGATTGCCATTTCGTGGTTTGCTTCCAGACGAACCCCCGGGGTCTTGGCCTCCCCGCGAAACTGCCGCTACATTGGCCTGTCACAATGCAGTAGTCCTCACCCAAGACCTCTCCGCCGCATGATCTACATGAGGGGGCGCCCTGCGAGGTCCATGTTATCGATCGAGCGTCTCGTCTGAGAGACCTTGAGCGGGCTGCTTGCCTTGACAGGCAGACCCGAGACGTCATCCTGGCCTGAATTTGAGAAGTCGGCTAACTCTTTTTTTTTTCTTTCCACGTAGGAGCCAGTCCGTGTCTATAACATGATACATGTTTATTTGCTACAGGAAAATTGGCAATCATAACTGCGATGAGTCCAGCGAATGTGCTTTGGGAAATCTGACTGCCCGCGGACGTGCTAACCATGCATGACCTGCTGCTGCTAATGAGTTCACTGCTGACCGAGGCAGGTTGTCTCAATTGCGATGGCCAATGGCATGTTCTGTGGCGATTACTGTTGGTGCTTATGGTGTCACAAGCTTTTGGATAGTCGTCGAGGGTCTCAACCAGCAGTCTAGTGTCAAACCTTGTGATATAAAGTGCGAGAGATGCAAGGAGCTGCTTGGATTTCTCTTCGATGTCCGTTTTCTTCCCGTGTGCATGTGCAGATCATGGCTGGATGAAACCAGCAGTGGCTAAAGACGTTGTCCACTTCATTTCTGCTAAAGCATTCGTCAGTCGACAGACATCTGCCAACCTGCAAGGGTCCTGCAGGGCATTACTGCGTACATACACCGCAGTGGGCCCAATAACTTATCGTATGCAGCCGCTCCTGTAGGCCATCGAGGCTAGCGGAGCCGGTGAGCAAAACCCCGGAAATCCGGCGTCCTCCCAGCCGCCCAAGAGAGTTGTGTGTCACGCGAGAAGTATGGGTGGTATCATCAACAAAATTTTGGACTCTTACTTGGTCTGAAACAGCGAGACATCTGATACCTACCAGTGCCTGCAGGCAGGCCGGTGCTGCCGTAGAACCGGGCAAAGTCGCCAAATGCAGTCCCCGTGGATCTTCTCTCGTATCGGACTTGGGTTCCAGCGGCGACCTTCTAGAAATGGTCATTGAACCAAGGAAAATCTGGAGCGGACCGATCCCCTGCTGTCATGCCTACTGTCGAGCGAGCTCAACTGGTTGGACTATGGAGCTCATCCGGACTTCAGCTCCTGTCTGACCTCTAATTTTCACATGCTGGGTGACACCGCACAAGGGCTGACATTTTTGTACCACGCTGCCACTGATGTGAGGCAGCCAGTGGGCACGACGGGTAGGCTTGTGGTTTGGAAGCAGTTCGGTACCCGCTCGCTAGCTGGGACCATGCAGCCACTGTGATTACTCTTACTGGCATGCATGGATGTGTCAGAGCTCATATCCGGGGACTTTTCGCCCTTGATACGCGATAGCTGCAAATGAGCGGCCGATGAGTGGTGAGAATGTTTGGGTTGGTTTAAAAGAATCATAACATTTTCAAAATACAAAGTCTATCTAAAGGATTCATATGGGGCTCGATGTGGATTTTCTTCACTTCGAGTAGAGTTCGGTTCGGTCCTCTACCGGAGCATCAATGTGGTTGTTGAAGTCCTCAGTAGGATCGAAAAGGAAAACGGCCGCTACGCATGTGATGTCAGCAAGTTCTGTCACACGAGGTTCTTTTTGGGAAAATGATCGTACAGATAGCAGCGATGCCCAGAAAGGGAATCGCGGTGAGCCAAACGAGTCGGAACGCCGCGGCGTAGGTGTCCAGAAGGGCCTCGGCACCAGCGGAGATGATATCGGCTGTGGCATCAGAGATGGTCGCGAGGCCAGTCTCGTTGTGCGCGACCATGTAGCCGACGAACTCGTCTACCGAACCTGACGGGAGGCCGGCCTCCAGCGCGGCAGACGCGACGTTGCTAGGGATGTGATTGGTCTCGGATATGAAGACGGCGTTGTCTAAGGCACACAGTCAGCTCTCCACGTGACGAGTTGCGCCTCTCAGCAATGGTGTGGATGTGTGTGCGCCATTCTTACAGATAGCAATGCCAATCGTCCCGCCAAGAGACCGCATGGAGATCATTATACCGCTGGCGACAGCGATTAGGTCAGGCGGTACGGAGAGCTGTCCAGCCGCAACCAGCGCGATCAACGTCATGCTCAGCCCGGCTCCCATAAGAACGGGGAAGCCCCAGACTTCGTTCCTTGTATGAGCATTTGTTGTGCTCATGCACGCGAAGAACACGATGAAGATGACAAATGCGAGGACGGTGATCCAGCGCACTTTCTTCGTCTTGGTGCAGTAAAGACCAACTGCCAGGCTTGCGGGGATATACGTAAGGAACACGACCCCAAAGTTAAGCCCCACGATCAGTGTGTCTGTGGAGTATAGGACATTGACCTGTCTGCGGTTTAGTGCCAAAACCCTGGTTCAGGGCGAGGGAAGGGACTGCTCTTACTTGGTAGGCGAAGTATTGGTTTGCGGCGAAGAAACCGATCCCCTCACAGAATATACAGAGGAGACTTATGGCAAAGTTCCGGTTTCTCTCGAACAGCCCATGATGGAACATGCCGTCCGTCTTGAACTTATACTCATACACGCACAGGGCGATCGCAAGAGCCAGCCCGATGGCGAACGGAGCACAAACGTGCGGGTCAGACCAGGGATACGGGTTCTGGGAGTACGAGAGCCCGAGGCAGAACAGGACGAGGCCAGATCCGAGGAGCGCATAGCCGACAAAGTCGAGCCTCGCCATCTTTTCCGCGAACGGAAGCTTCTGCAGCTCCCTCTGGGGTGGGCGGTAGGCAAAGATGCAGATGGTGCCGGTGGCGAGGAAGAGGGCCATGCCGATGTAGAAGAAGTAGCGGAAGCCGTCCGGGTCGCCGCCACGGCTGAGGCCGCCGCCGATGACTAGGCCGCCAAAGAGTCCCAGGGCGTTGGACATCATGACGATTGACTGGGCCCAGCCCCTCCACGCCCGGGGCAGAACCTCGGACACGACCGCGTGCAGCAGCGGCTGCATACCAAATGCGGTCCCGATGAGGCAGCAGCCGGCGATGAGCATGTTCATGCTGGTGGCGAGGGCCGTGACCAGCGCCCCGAGGGCGCCCGAGAAGCTCAGCCCGACGAGGAACCACTTGCGGCCCCAGTAGTCGGCAGCCTGGCTGACTATGGGCCCAAGCACGACGGTGAAGATGGCCATCGCCCCGGCGAGCCATGACGACTGGGTCACAGCATTGAACTGTGCCGCGATCGCCGCGCCTTGCTGCGTGGCCTGTTAGACAGACTGACGGCCCTGGAGTCCCGTGCGGCAGGAGGCGCAGGAGGTGACACTTACAGCTCCGGCTCCGACCAGGCAATATACTTGGGCGAAATATATGGCAAACACGGCGAAGACGGCCAGGAATGTCTTGGTGTGAAGGCGGGGTCTGGGCTCCTCGCCAATCTCATTCAAGACCACGCTGTGATTGGTGGGGGTTTCGCCAAGGGGACTGCCCTTCTCTGATACTGATGATGGAGCATCGCCTGGGGTATGGCGATCATGGGTGCTGGACACAGACATCTTGGTGGCAGGCAGAAGAGTTCTGAGAGTCTCGAGAGGTTGAGTCTGGGAGCACTTGAGTGCCAACCGTGGTAGGCGTGAGGGCACTGAGGTGGGAGCTGGCAGCTTATCACGTCCGGTACGACTCTGCAGACTGCATCTTCAGCCCCGTCTCTCAACGCACGAGGTGAGTAGCGTTGTTGCGACATGGATATCGGGTGAGATTTTGGGGCGGGTGGAGTGCTCAGGGCCTCCCTCGATTCGGCCTCCTCGACGCAAGTCTCGGGGCCGAGAAGGTCAGTATACAATGTGATTTGAAATGATCCGAGGGCGTTGAGCGTTGGCACAATGTCCGATCTAAAACTCTGCCTGCATTCCACGCCTCTGACGGGCAAGGGTTTGATGCGGCCCGTTGTTGCACTGCAGTGGTCGCAGAGGCACCAAGCATGTCGGCCAAGGCTCTGGAGGTTCTGTTGGCCTTTTATGAACATGACCAGCAAGTCCAGTAATGGTCCTGTCGATCTGTGGACTTTTGTGACGAGACAAGGGAGACGGCGCGGCTGGATCACTTCTCTAAGTTGGTTAGTACGGTCTCGGAGCCAGAAGAAGGCCGGCGGAGGCTGGCGAAGGCTCGACCTCGGTGGGCTGTACACGTGTAATGCACGGAATACCTCGTGGGTTATGCATCATGGTGCACGCGAAGCGTGAGTATTTTGGCTAATGCCGTCCGCACAAAGATATGCGGTATCGGATGCTTTGGCTTTTGTAACCCGAATGCAAGTCGTCATCATTTGTCCAAGGGGCACCAGCTCTCCTCATGTCAATTACCACGTTGTTTCCAACAAGGGTGAGAGCCCCGGAAGCCCACAAATCCTCGCCAAGCTGCAGGAGTGTCGCCCCTGCAGAGTAACGACGGAGGACGCAGCGGCACCGGTTTATAACATAGCTCCGTGCCGTGCGCGCGAGGAAAGCCGGGCTTACCTCCGGCAGGGTGCCCCGTACTAGAATTGATCGTACATGGACAAGTATGTAGATGGGGGAAATATGCGCGGCCAGAAAAGAACACCGGCTGGGAAGGAGCTTGACGGATAACTTGTGACAGATGGTCTTTTTTCTTCTTTCTTTCTATCCGTCTTCTCTCCTTAGAAGCGCCTGCTCGTGGCTGGATCATCGTATTCGCGCTGTCAACATGTCCACATGTTGTCCACCGCAGTCTCTACCTACATATGTAGGTGCGGGAGACTGACTGCGGATCGTCCCCCCCTAGCATGCCTAAACGCAATTTCGTCTCTGATCGGTGTGGCTGCGCGGCGTTTTCGCAGTTGATCTCCTTCCTCGCTGCATAAATGCAGGGTTTACCATGGAATTCGACCGTCGCTGCAGAATTACCCGCCACCATCGTGAAGCACTACGCTCAAGTGCGATGCTGTGATACACAAGCTCAACGGCGGGCCAGAGGGAGCAGCCCCCGCCTGCCTGGTCCTAACAATGTCGCCCGTTTACGCAGTCTGCCACACGAGATGCCGCCCTCTTATTGACCTGCCATGTTGGAAGATGCCCATCAGGGTGTTGTCGTCCACCTTGAAGATGCCTGGCCAGAACGAGTTCGGCGGCTGTACGGTCTCTGCCGGCTGGTGGAATTGGATCCTCCCATTCACCGGTGGGCCTGCGAAAACGGCCTTGATCTTGGCGCTGCCGGGCCACGCGCGCTGACGTTCGGGCGTGTCCTCGTCGGTCATGAAGACGACTGCGATGGAGCCGTCCCCGAACGCCTCGATCTGGGGGCTGCCCGCGTGGCGCCCGTGCGGTGAAGGCTCGTAGACCACTTGTCGCCAGCCCCACGTATACCCATCGTCGTACGACAGCACGCACTCTATCGAGAAGCAGCGGTTGTGCCTCGTCGTCTCGAAGACCATAACGCTTACCTCACGCCCTTGGTCCATTGTGCGGACTATACCAGTCACTAAACGCTTGCAGGTTAGCTGTCTGGCGTCGAAAAATACATGGGAGACGTGCATGGGCCATGGGGAAAAAAGATCACAGGGCGGGAACACTTACTCCCATCCCTCAACTGCTCCCCAACTCCCGTGACTGGCCTGGGCTGGGACCATGTCTTCCCCTGGTCCTCAGATGTAAGGAACATGGTGTCCTGATCTATATGGGAAAGCTCCTGTGAGAACGTCATCTGGATCTCGCCTCTCCGTCCGATACGCATGAAAGGTTCCCACAGGCCGTTTGGTGCCGTAGGCTTCTCAGCCGCCTGAGACAGGTATGTCCAGTCCTTGCCGCCGTTGAATCTAAGGGTGCCGTCAGTGCTGCTCCATATCCCAGGGTGTTATATTCAAGGTCAACCGCTACTTACGACTGACAGACCGTGATCCTGTACCAACTATGACCACCCCCGGGGGCAAAGTCGTGATTTCGGAAGGCGGCCAAAATCTTGGGCCGCCCGATACCGTCGGTATTTGGCACTTCAAGCAAGAACATATTGTCACAGTCCCGCGCGCAGCGGTCGACTACGCCGTGCGGGTGGAACGTGGCGCCATTGTCGGTACTCCTATGCACTGCCAGCACCCGGAGCTGCACCTTGGGGTCGGCCGGGTTGGGCTCGAAGCGCGTGAAGCCCAGCAAGATGGACCCGTCAGACAGGCGGCACATTCTTGGGTACGTGCCGCCGTCGGCGTGGAGCACATGCTCTCTGTCGAGGACACGCCCGCGGCCGGACGGGTGGAACACGGGTTGTTGTGCGTCGTGCCGACTCCCCTGGCCTCCGTGAGGGAGCAGGTCACCGACCCCAAGCTTCCCGGCGATCTTCTGTGCGAATTTGTCCATGTCGACTGTGAAATATCCTGGATTCAATATGCAAATGGTGATGACCACGATTGAAATGTACGTTGCGCAGACCAGTTTCCTGACAGTAAAGCCTGAGACGCTCCGATACGGCCTGGTGGAGCCGGCCAAAGGGGGCGGTGCTGGATGCCATGACGTCGTTCGCACTGGACCCATCCGCACTGGACCATCGCACTGTCAAGTCGTAGGTGTCCAGCCTTGTTTGAGATACTAATCACTGTGAGACGTGAATGGGAAAGATGATGTTACTGGGGCAGAATGGCAATTTGACACTTGGTGTAGACAGCCAGCCTATTTATCGTGTGTGGTCTGATTAGGTGCGACGGGAGTGCGTCTCCCGTCCATCTGCAGGTCCGAGGCGAGGTTCAACCCCTGACAATCCACACACACTCTGGCGTTGCCATTCACTGAGGAAAAGGGAAGTCGATGTGACCAAAGACTGCTCCTCGCGCTTGAAAGCGAGGAATAATTGGGCCATGGACATTCAGCTGTCCACTATCACAATTGTTGTCTCATCATGGAGCCTCCGAATCTACCCGGCCCACTGATGTGGGACAGTCTCTTCTGGGACAGTTCCCTCGGAGACCAGCGACCCAGTACCGCAAGACAATACGACCAGTAATGGATTCCCAGAGTGCTGGTTCTCTTTTGACAGGAACGCGTCGGCGGCTAGCATCCTTGAAAACTGATAGGCTTGGCATATAGGCATTGAGCCTGAGAAATCTCAAAAAAAAAAAAAGAAATCCGGATTTTCTTGAATCGAACCACGCAGCCATCCAGCTCTTTTGGTGGCATATATCCGCAATTATCCTGTGTTGATTTGTATGCACGTATGCGCAAAAGTTTCAGACACAAAGGGAATGACACAAATTTCAGCTGGTAAGGCGTCGTGGGTCGGGGAGCTAGGTGACGAAGCGATGCATCCGCCTCCGGCCAATCTGCAGACTTCGGAGCTGGCGATGCCGGGCCTATGTCGGCCTGCTGCCGTCAACGAGCCACCGGCCTGACGAAGTTCGACAGGAGAGCCATGGGCTATAGTGCCTAGCAGGAGATAGGTCGTTGGGATCTTCAGCCTAGAGGTCGATGACGCTGAGTATGGGTCGCCGGTCTGAAAATCCGTGCCAGTCGCAATGTCTTTGCATTGCAAGGAGCTCGCGAAGGGACTGTGCAGCAGACAGGCTCACAGGCCGGAAAAGCCCGAGGGTTCACCCCTTCGAGCGTTGGCCCAGAACACGTGAGGGCTGCAGCTCTGAGTCCTCGTCTTGTTCGGAGGAAGATCACTCGAGCCGCAAGCCCCTTGAGATGCGTTGACAGTCAGCGTGAGCCCGCTGAGAAGGGCCCAAGGCTGGCCTGGCCGGCTTGATGAGGATATGTCCTCTGATCGCCATGCCCACTATTTCCCGGTGGGAATGTGGGCCGACCGTTCTAATTGAGCAGCTTCCGTGCCAACATAATCCTAGCCCCACCAGCCAGCCCATTGCAGCGAGGCAGGATCTGTGTATCTGGAGGAGCATGCTGAGCAATTGACGTGGATGGACCAGCCTCCTTTTCTGGGCTGAGAGGTCCACAAAGAGACCTGCCACCCGGTCACTGGCGAGGAATCGGGAGCCTAGAGCCTGGAGCCTGGAGCCTCGTCTTGCGGCATCTGGGCCTGAAATACACAGTAGAGCACTTTCAGACGCAGGTCTAGAGTCGGAAGGCTGGCCGACGTGCCTTTCCGCCGACACTGATGTGTTCGGCTGCGGAGTGTGTGGTGCCACACGTTTCCTGATGGGACTCGATATTCTCGGTGCGTGTTCTCGCCCGCGCAATCTCCGAGGCGGGCATGGCGGGACAGGAAATACGACGAGTTGGCTGCGGCTCTCACATCTTTGAAACTTTTATTCCCGCCGGCACTTTGTGAGACGGATGGGGATCTTGGGTTGTGGATACTGGATGGCCTCTGCCGTGTTCTGGATCGTGACAAGAGTCGGCCGAGTCGAGCAAGAGGGAGGGCCTGAGTGGGTGCGGTGGTAAGCAGGGCGAAGCTGAGTGGCCAGAGGGCAGGGGGCGAGTCTCTTTGGCGGCGCGGGTGGGTCAGAGTGGGTCTCAGGGCGTGTGGCTCCCGTCTGGGGAAGCGGGGAAGCCTTGACGCTAATCGACCCACTCAATCCGCCTTGTAGTGTAAGACCCCCGGTCCAGAAGGGTAAGGGGTCGTGAGGGTCTTGCTGCTTGTTATAGGGGGAGGGCAGTCAGCCTGGAGTGTTGGAGATGCCCTGGAGATGGTCCTCCAAGAGCTGTATTCTCAACGAACAACGGTGGTGTCTGGCGTTCTGACAACGCCTCCAGCCCCAGGGTAGCAGCTCCAGGGCACCGGCCACAGCGTCAGGCAGGCTGGCAGGCAGTCAGGCCACGGCAGGACCCTCCTGGCGCCAGATGGCATGATGCCCCTATGCATCGACACGGCCCTGACGTCGCCTGCCTGGTCCTGATTGGGCAGACGTGGCACCGGGCAGGCATGTTGCTGCGACGCGACCCCGCTCGTTTGGGCAGTCGACCTGGGGCACAAGGGCTGACTGGCTGGCTGGGCACAGGGCCTGTGTGTTGGAGGAGAAAGACACCAGAGAGAAAGACGAGACGGGACGGGCACCAGCGATGAGTCCTGTTGGAGAATGATGCTTGCCTGGGATGTGTCCAGCTGACCTGACCACCCAAGCTTCCAGGGGGGCTACGAACTCAATAAGAAGACCACTGTCCTTCGTTTTCTACATCACCACCCTCTTTTCCTCCCGCCACACAAATCTTCCCCAATTTACGCGGTTCGTCTCTTGCAACCATACGAGTTATTAGAGTATAGATGAGAAAGAAGTAGAGGCTATTCCTACTGAGTCCCCGAGGCAAGTTCACCCTCCCGTTGTCCGGCTTCCCTTCCAAGCCATCCGTCCCCCCTCCTTTTCTAGCTCGTTCCCCTCACCTTCCTTTCGAGCTTCCCCCCATCTCTCTCTTGTCCAGCTGGTCCAAATGAGGCCATCAAGAATCATCATCACTTGGGCCCCCCTCCCGCATGAGTGACGAGACTGGAATCTACCGCATTTTCATTCATGCTATGAGAGAACACTCCATCACCGATCGCCAACAAGACGCAAGACTGCCTCCAGATCCGACTCAAAACGCCCTGTCCAATCCCATCTAACACCTGAGAACAGTTTCATCAGTTCAATCTGCCAAACAAAAGGACAACAATTGCTGGAAACCCCACCAGCAAGACCAGACAAGCCAGCACACAACCACAGGCACATCAGCCCCAGTCGAAACAACCCCCTTCTCCCACAAAATGCCCGTCCGCATCCCCGCCGCCCGCTCTACAGAGCTCTACACCTTTGCCGGTGCAGGCGCCTTCGTCCTGGCCCCGCTCTACATGCTGATGCCGGGCGCCACGGAGCGCATGGCCACCCAGACCGCCCGCTGGGCCCCTCGCTGGGAGCGCAACATCAGCTACTTTACCGCCCCTGTCGAGCGCACCACCCAGCGCATCACCCCTCCCGTCGAGCGCACCGTCAAGCGTATCGACAGCCGCCTGCCCCTCGGCTCCGTGGCCCGTGGCGTCGACAGCCGCATTCGGCGAGGCATGACCCGCTTCGGCTGGGCTCCTCCCCCTCGGAGCGCCTGAGCTGGCCTTGGTCTCTTCTTTCTCTTCCCTGTCACTTGGGGCATGTGGGGTCGAGGATCAGACGTGATCTGAGTGCATTGGATGCGGAACTGTTCTCAGTCGGAGCTGTATCGAATCTTGTATAGGACAACATGATTTGGGCGTGGCTGGTGGTGTCCAGGCTGAGCACCCATGAAGAAAAGGCGAAGGTGAAACCTAATCGTCGGCCATACTTAAGTAGTCAGCCATGCTGCTTAACCCTCGTTGAACAGCATTGGGGTCACACCCCATGGTATTTTCAGAAGTACTACGTACATCTGGACTACCCTCACTGTCACGAATATTGAGCTTCGGACAGGAATATAGCTGGCAAACATACGTCAACTCCAAAGGCTCAAACAATCCGACCGTGATTCATCTTGTATTTGACGCCACTTGCCCCTCTTTTCATTGGTCTATGCCGCCGTCCAGATTATACTCATCTGAAATGGTGTTGCTTATTAGTCCAACACCCTGACCGATGCTGCCTATACCGGCATACATATTCTCAGGTTGGTGTCCAACTCCAAGTCCGAGCACTGGCAGCAAAGAGGTTAGTCGCCTTGGCTGTCATGATATATCACGCAGCGCGCGCGAACACACATCTCTGTACACCATGTGAATCACGATATCTTTCACTGCAAATGGTATGACTAGGTATGGATATAAGCAAGGAGGCTGTCGAGTAGCCATGATATCATTCAGATTACTATCCCGTCACCTGACAAAGCAAATAGACCGCGGTCCGGCCCATTTGAGCTCAGCCATGAATCCATCACCGTACACGTACTATTCGCCCACGATACCCACCATCTTGCGCTCTTGTCCGCCTTGCCCGTAGAACATACTCGTACAATACTACTGCCTCCAAGCGAGCCTGTTGCGGGAGGCAGACATAGATATTGGAAACGGGAAAGTTCAGACAATAAAAAAAGCCCAGAACCAACCAAACCTACGCCTTGACTGTAGACAGTCGAGCTTCCCAACGGACTCTACTCGTCAACCCATGACAAATCGCGCAGCCCATTCCAAATCAAGGCCACCCCAACATGTCGGTCCAAGGGGCTGACGACGGATGATGTCCTGGTGCACCGACATATCACCGACAGACAACACGCACCAAAAAGGACTTCAACGCACCCAATACTGTGTACAACGGCCGTGTCCCCTCTGAACCACCCGTGTTATCCGTGACCAAAAGAGAAGGGGATCAGAAAAAAAAAAAGATGTCTTCGCCGGTTCAAAAGGTCCTCCCGACAACGCCTTGAGCATGTACGCCAGCCAAACATGAGAAACAAGTACCCTATGGCATCTTTACAAGCGAGGCCACGCCCCTAGATGTAACTTTTGCGCGGAGAAAACGCCGAAATCAAGAGAATCGCTTATTTGGGGGCAGGAGCCCTACGGCCGTCAGAAAAATAAGATTCTGGTCATCAAGGTCGCGATCGAACGGCGAGGAACGAACTCACACTCCGCCTCCCATGAACGCGGCAAGATCGTCCAGCTCGAGCAGTTGCCGCTCAAAAGCCGCACAGAGTTCTACCGGCGTCATGTCGACCCCAGAACCACTGCTTTCCTTGGCAGGCGGAGGAGCCGACCCCGAGCCGCCAGCGTTGGACCCGTTGGACGCGGGAACTGGAGAGTCCGGCTTGAACTCAGGCTTGACGTCCTGCGCAGCTGTTGGAGGTGACCCCAGGGCGGCGGGGGTGGAGCCTCCAGCAGAGCCCCCGTTGATAGTGGTGACCCCGGATGGCCGAGGTCTTGGAGGCTCGCTGTCGCGGCTGTCCATGGGTGCGGCAGGCGCAGCTTGGGGGACATCTGGGGAAGAGACACGTGGGTCCTGTTGAACGGACTGGGAGGCACCAGAGGCTGACTGCTGTTCGTAGTCCATTGGCTCGTGGTGTGCATCAGCGCGGCTCACTCTCTCGTCCTTAACCGACGGCGATCGCTGAATTTGCATGCGCCCGTCCTCGCTCACCCTCTCCTGCTCGTCCCCGATGTTAATCTCGTTCAGGACCCGACTCATGACGCTCAGGTGACGGTGCCATGGCAGGACCAGATTCCATGAATCGGCACCATCCTTCATGAGATGGAGGCACTTTTCCACCATGAGGTGGATGGAGTCGTGTGTGTGAGGCGGCGACAGGCCCTTTAGGGCCAGGTACGCTACGGTTGATCCAGCAGTAAAGCCCGAGAATAGCATGAAGATGGGCAGGCAGCACACCGCCGTGGGCTCCGTGGCCCTCTCGAGGGCCGTGAGCATGGATATGATACTGTGAGAAGATTCCAGGATGCGCTCGACGTATTGCATCTGGCTCTGGCTGGACATGCGCCAACCTTCCATGCTGAAAGTCTCTGAAGTGACAATCTGCAGTATGCGACGCCGATTGATAAAGATGGCAGCGCAATGAAGAAGGAGGTGTATCATGGCATAGGTCACGCCACTGCCCATGGTGATGTGCAATTCCATCTGGCCCGGCCTGTCGGCAAATGGGTGAGGCAGGTTGGCCCGAACCTGGGCGACCTTGACCTCGAGCATCTGGCACTGGTCCTCGCTGAAGGTATCGAGTGTGGTTGTGGTCATCATCTCCACGACCATGCGCCACGCCTCGGTGGCCAGGACGATGTGGCCAAACTCGCCTACGGGAGCCATGATGGCGGAGCTGGGGGCGGCGGGGGGCGCAGTGCCGTCCAGCGTTCGTACGTAGACGGGGTTTCCAAAGTTGAAGTTCATATCTTCACAGGGGAGTGCCACATCCTTGACGTCGAGTGCGGACAGGGCGGGGAAGCGTCCAGGGCTGCTTGTCAAGAAACAGTCGAGGATGTAGATGAGCCACAGGGTCCGACGGAAAGACTCCTCCTGGAGGAAGCGGTCGGGATCGGTCGAATGGCCGTTGTTGTGAACAACACGGTACATCTGGGCCATGCGAGCAGCCTGGCCCAGGTAGATGTAGGCGCGGACGGCGCTCCTGGAGCCCCACTCATGAATGACCATCAAGCAGAGGGCCTGGATATCCGCCAGGGTGGGATGGTCGAGTGACAGCCAGATGAAATTGCTGGCCTTGAGGCCGAAGTGCTCGGCCGCCTGGGAAGAGCCCTGGCCTCTGCCGAAGCGCTGGATCAGGGTCGGCGAGTGACTGTCACAAGATATCTGGTGTCAGCAAGACGGAGTGGACCCGAAGGGTGGCCGAAGGGTGGCCGAAGGGGCAGGGTTAGTCCGTACCGGGCAGCAGTGCACAAGAGCGCATTGACCATGACGCTGTCAACGGCATTGTTCCTGAGGGACTGGATGAATGACGGGCGGTGGAAGGCGACACATGCCGGCAGGACCTTGTTGATGACCCTCTCACACTGCTCGAGCATGTCCGGGCCAAGCCTGTTTGAAGTTTGCCATTAGTACCATGGTTTTTTTGCCAGCGCGATGAGAGCAGGCCGCGGACAGCGACCCAAGAAAGACATTGATTGGCTGGGGGGTGTGAAAGACGCGGTGGCAGTGAGTGTCGGCGTGGCCTGTTGGGCGGGTGGGCATGATGGTGGGGATCAATCACGATGTACGACGTGGTCGTATTCTGGTGGTTTTGGGGATGCCGCTGGCGGGCTGGCGGGCTGGCGGGCTGGTGGACATTGAACAGCTCCAGGCCCTTAGCCGCGGCCGATGGGCCACCGGGCCCTGTCCGGCAGGGCAAAGTGCGGAAAAGTGGAGATGGGCCGTGCACACAGGCTGGCTACTCCCGCGCCAGGGAGGGTGGTCTTGTGGAAGACTGCCCCGGAGCATCAAGTGTCGGAGCTATGACCTCCCAAGGAATGGGGGGACGGGGGGACGGGGGGGAGGGGGTAGGTGGGTTCGACGGTGGGATGCGTGCGTGCCGGAACTGGCGGCAGCTCGCCTGGACACAGTGGCAGCAGGGGAAGCAGGTGGAAGCAGTGCAGGCAGGGAAATGAGATTGAGCTTGGGGGGGGGGGGGGCGGCCAGCCGGAGAAGAAGACGGGTGCGGGAGTCCACCTTGATACGATGCATCATCTCGGATCCCTTTGACCACGGCCAGACAGCTGCAGCCCTTGGACGAGCCCACGAGGCCGACCTGGGCCGAGCCGAGCTGAGCTGAGCTGAGCTGAGCTGAACCAAGCCAGCCAGCCAGACAGACAGACGGCCCAGAGCTTGCGCAAGCAGTCATGGGCAGAGAAGCCGGCGGCGGCGGCGGCGGATGCGACGCAAGGGATGCGAGCCGGTTGCGTCGACATGACAACCCCCCGGGAACGTGACCTTGGGGCAAGAATGAAAGAAAAAGAAGACGAGAAAAAAAAAAAGCACAGGCAAGGAAAGACATTCAATAGGCAGACACACGTACTTTTCGGTTGCAGGCGCCGAGTTACGCGAGACGACTGTGGTCGGGAGTGCAGAGCCGTGGCGGTCGGCGGTGGCAGGTCCGGAGGCTCGCTCGCTGGGCAGAGTCTCGCGTGCGCGAGCTGCGCGTGCAGGGGAGACGCCGTGTCCACCGTGGCTCATGGACTCGGAGGGCAGATAGCAGTCGTGCATGCCCTTTGAGCAGTTCTTGCACGGCGCCCGCCCGTTCTCGTAGACGCATTTGGTCTTGCCCTTGCGACAGCGCACGCAGGCGCCGCCTGCCCTAAGGGCCGTCGCGCGGACAGCCGACATGCTGGCTGGCTGGCTGGATGGCGGTCTTTGGGGGCGGCCGGTTTGGGCGATGTGAAGGGATGCGCTGCGATGCGATGCGATGTGACGCGACGCGGCGCACTCGCTGGGAGACGGCGACGCAGGGGCAGGCAGGCTAGCTAGCCGTCGGCTCTTGCAACTATGGCGATGGATGTTGCTGTTGTTGTTGTTGCTGTTTGTGGTGGTGGTGGTGGTGGTGGTGGCGGTGGTGCGTGTTTGCTGCCGACAAGAGGCTGGCTCTGGTTCGGAGATCCGGGGGACCAGAGGCGCCAGAGTCCGGGTGCTTGAGCCCGACGGGATGGGATGCGACTCGAGGATCCTGACGGCCGCAGATGGGGGGATGGGCCGACCAAAAACTGGCAGCAGACAGAAGGGGGGGAAGTCGACGAGAGCAGAGCTGTCCAGAAGGGAAGAGAAGAGGGAGAAGAAGACGGCAGCCGAAGAGGATGGATGGACGGATGACAATGGGCAGGATTTTTGCTCGCACGGAACGGCGAGACAAGATGGTGGCTTTTTTCGGGGCGGTCGGTCAATGGGGGGAGGGGAGGGGAGGGAGGACGGAAGGCAGAGGCCACAGAGGCAGGGGTAGGGCTGGGGCAGGGCTGGCCTGGGCTGGACCTGGACTGCACTGCACGGGACGGGGGAATGCGAGGGTCGAGCTGCAGATGGGCTGAGAAGAGAAGGCCTGGGGCTCGAGGGGGGAGGGAGGGAGGTGACGGAGCATGAGGTGGTGGCCGACACAGCAACAAAAAAAAAGAGGCGGCAGCTTTCTCGGGGGTGGCACTCCACAGGCATCCGAGATTCATGGCAATTCATGGATGGGCTGACTGGGCTCGATGGGGGGTGGCAGGGAGCCCAGAGCGCGCTACGGTGTCCGTGGTCCCGAGAGCAGCTTCCTTGTGGGTGCCAGTCTGTGGTGGCAGGCGCTGGGCCACAAGTCGGGGTGCGCTCATTTCCCGGCCGGAGCACCGAACGCTGGAGCCTCTCCCTCCCTCCTCCTCCCCCCTCCTCCCCCCCCCCCATCTGGTCAACGAAGGGGAGGGGGGCAAGGCGGTTGAGCTGGTCTCGCCGCGGGCCAAACTCCCCTCGGTCAAAGGGTCTCGAATAAAGAGGCTTCGTTGTGGCCCGACTTTGTGCACCGGCTCACGGCGCCCCTTCTCTCTCCCTCTCCCCCTCCCCCCCCCTCTCTGGCTCAGGTCTCAATTCCAAGCATTTCTCGAGGACAGCAGGCACGGCAACCCGGCTGGGGGAGGCAGCGAGACCACCGGGAGACCGGGGCAGGGACCTGACTGCCAGCCTGCCAGCCTGGGCTGCCTGGGCGCAGGCCTGGTTGTTGGCGCGGCCTGGGCTGGGCTGTGACTGGCGGCTGCTCCTTTTTCTGTGGGACCACCCGCCATTCCAGTCCGTCTCCGTCCCCGTCCGCTTCCACATCACATCGCTGCCCTCCGCCTGCTGTGGTGGTCAGTCTGCCGGTCTCCCGGTCTGCCTCGTGCATCGGCGTCGCTGTCGTCTACGCTCTGGTCTACAAACTACGTGGCCCACGTGTGTACTTTCTCCGGGTTCTTGATAGATACCTACCTAGGTACCCAGGTACATAGGTACTGAAGTATCTAGGCAGGTATTTGTACAGCGTTAAGGACTGGCTGGGTACCTGCCTACCCAGCAGCCTAGGTGAGAGAGAGCTGGGTAGGTTACCGAGGAACCTAGGTACCTAGATACCTGCCTAGGGCCCAGGCAAACCGCCCGCCCGCCCGTCCATCCGTCTTGTCGATGGCTATGACGACGGAGCTGACAGAAACAGCCACGACCGTCTCATTCCCTTCCGTCCAGTCACTTCCGTCCGTTCAGTGTGCGGCCATGCTGCTGCCGCCGCCTCTCTTTTTTTAGACCCCGGCGGGCGCAACTGCTCTTTCTGTCTCTAGGAGGCAGTGCCGGGGATGCAGACGAGAACAGCCTCGGACCGCAGGCGCAGGCGCAGGTGCAGCACAAGCACAAGCACGGTGTGGCCAGCCCCGGGGTCTCGTCTCGCATGCCTCCCACGCATCCTTGGAGGAGGCTTGTTACACGGTGGGTTGCTGCAACAAGGCGACGGTGGTCGAGCCTGCTGTGTAGTCTACCTAGTACTATGTAGCAGATACCTACCTATGTACCTGGGTACTTGGGTAGACAGTCGACATGACGATGGCTGGCGACGGGTCGGCCCAGCTGCCCCCAAGCAGGAGCGCCAGTCTTTCAAGCCTCGCTCTCGTCGGGGCCTTCCCGTCCCAGCTTCCCGCCCATCGCCCATCGCCCATGGCCACGCAGCCACGCAGCCACGCGACATTGACAGCTCCATCGGCTCTGCCTTGGACCACGGCCCCAGCCAGCCGAATTCCACCCTCGCAGCTTCCGAGGCTACATTCTGGCAATGCCGCGTGGCGTGCCGGTCCCCAATCCCAATGCCCACACCCTCGAAAACCACGTTACATGCCCGTCAGGCCAGCAGCCCAGCAGGCCAGGTTGTTACTACAGTTATTACAGTTGTCACAGTTGTCACAGTACCAGGCTTGTTATCGCCGGAGCCGTGGTGCCGCTCCAAATTTCACACCGGCCACAGATCCGTTTCTCCCAGTGTCTCACATCACATGCCCCCAGTTGCTCCGATTTGCTCGCCCACCGGCCCAACAAGCACACCATGAGACGTCACCGCACTGGCTCTGGCACCGCACTGGCACCGCACTGTAGCCTGCAGCGGCGCCCCTCGGAAGCTAGTGGGCCCGCCGGGTGAGAGCGCCTTCGACGCGCGACTCGCTCCCTCTCTGGCCAACCTGTCAGCCTGTTCGTCGCCCTGCGCCGCCGCGCCCACTTTTTTCGCGACCGCCTCCTTTCCCTTCCCTTCCGGCTGCCCGCCGAAAGAGCCGGCTTGCCGCTGGGCGACAGTGGGCCGACGCTGGCATTGCTGCATACCACAAAACCTGCCCAACATGGCCGTGGCATCTTCCGGTGCCCGATGAGCCACTTCGTGTGCTAGCATCGGCCTCGACGATATGTCACAGTGGTGAGGTTTGGAGGCGCGCGGGGGAGGGGGATGGGGAGGGGGAGGGGGCTGCTGGCCGAAAGGCAAGCCCGCGCCGACTGTCCCGGAGCTGGGCTTCTTGTGCTCCGACACAGTGAGACTGTGCTAATAATAAGGGGTTGCAGATCTGCCGTCAAACCCCCTCCTGCGACAGGCAGCCCCGACCTCTCCGCTCCGTCTGAAAGCTGGGGATGATAGGGTGAATGCACAATCTGTTGTTTGTGTGTATATTGTTTTCTACATTTGATCAGGTGGCTTAACAGTACAAATAAGGCAGGCCCTTTCGGACCTCGAACGCAGCTGATCACGGGAGCATCGCGATGTCAATGCCCTTATTGCGTGGGCCCAAAGCACCCGAAGCCGCGCTAGCCCGACACCGCTCCATCAGGCTGATTCCCAGTCCGCCAAGGTCTGATGAGCCCGGGGAAAGCTCCGGCCTGTCCAGTCCACCACTCACTCAAGCACTCGGATGACCTCGGCGCAAGGCAGGTGTCCCCCGCCACCCTTGGATCATGGGCCGAACGAACAATAGACGAAGCTAACAGGGGCGCACGGATGGTTACACAAATGCAGAGTCCCAATCCGTTCGCTCCCGGGAAATGGCCAACCGACACCAGACTGCCAGACCGAGCCAGCGAGCCCCGTGAGCATTGGGCGGCGCGACACCTCCTTCGGCAGTGCAGGGATCAGTGTCAGGAACCACTCCCGACATTCCACCGCTTATTAGTCTTCGGCACCCTGCATTGCATAAGAGAGTCTTAGAGAGACCCTACTTTTGCCCGCCGGCCATCTCCGGAAGCGACTTTTTACTTTTGCTGCTCGTTTGTCGCCGTCTTGAGGCACAACCGCGTCATAATGTGTGACTTTTCTTGCTCCTTCGTCTCAATCCGGCGGGCATGTGCTTGCTGATGATCGCTTGCTGCACTGACGATCGAGACGCCAGGATCTGGGATTTCGAGGTGCACGCGCCTCGCGAGTACAATTTTACCCTCCTGGCCCTGTTGGAGAATGGGCTGGACTCGTAGGAATTGAACTGGAATTTTTCTTTCATTATTCAATGGCATGTCTTTTGTTTCGCGGGGGGGCGGGGCCGCGGGTGATGGCAGGGTGCTGTGCTGATGAAAGTTGTTAGATCCCGACGATCTGGACCGGCCTCCTCGTCACTTCAGCGCATGCATGGGCCAGTATTCCTAGCGCATCTTGGGCGATCACACTGTAAGGCGCTTGGGCTCCAGGCTTGCAGGGCCCTAATGCGTGGCTGGTATGCAGGAACTGGTCATGCTCGCATGCGCGACCCGCGCGTATCCCGGCATCTTGAGGCGCGTGTTGCGCCTAAGCGCTCACGTTGACCGCAGACGTGTAGGAAAACTCGGCAAGAACTTGCGTCCTCACCATCTATTCCACACCGGCGCTTTTCATTCTACCCGAGGAGCTCCGCGGGTCTCATAGCGTTTGATTGTCGGTCCCCATGCTCACATTGAGGCTCTCGACGGCGGTTGGCAACCAAATTCGTGCGCACCAACTCGGTTGTGGGTATGATCGTTCACGATGCAAAGAGAGGCAGCACAAAATATTTCTGTATAGACAGTAAACCGCGGTGATTACAAGCAACTAAAATCAAACCAGAGTTTTTTTTATAGTCAAGAATCAATGCAAGAAGCCGTGGCAGCCAGTGCCCGGAAATGCTGCTCCAACATCAATCAAGCCTTGTGTAAGCCACCGGCCGACCCACTCGCTCGAGATCTTGTAGGCTCTCTCGAGTAAGATTGGTCACCGTTCCGCACACAGACCGTCTAATTATCTTCAAATTGATATCCTTCGGCAAGAAATACATGAAAAATGGACCCAGGTATGCTGCCAGGGGGTGAAATGTGTATATCCACGCTTCTGCGCGCCTGGGTGGATCAGCAGATCCTGGCAGGATCTCACTACTTCTCTACTCCGTACACCAGCATCACAGAGCCAAGAACCATGGGAAGGACCCGAACTATTATTTGAAGAAAGTCTTCTGCGTTGCGACAACTTACAACTTCGACCCAAGCGCCAAATAAGACCTCACAAGACCTCGAAGGCCTGGGAACGCTCAGGCGAGCGAGGACGGCCTGGATTCTTACAAAGCGGCCACCTCAATCTGCCTCCAGCACTACACGCTTCATTGTGATCCCAGATTTCCCGTTCTAGAATACGTTACTCCCCCATGACCTACTCCACCGTTCGCTCTGGGTCCAGAAGCCACGCCAGCTCCAGGAACAGCCTATACAGATACAGCCCCTGGTGCACGGGTGTGAGGGCGCGGTAGTACCACTTCCTGCCCTCCTCGGCGATGCGGAACGCGACCTCCTGGCCCTCGTCGGTGGTGGCCAGGAATCGCATCAGCTCGGGCAGCTCCTCCATGCCCTGGCTGACCGGAACGTAGTGCAGCCAGGGGACCAGGCGCTCGTCGTGCCACTCTCGGAAGATGCTCATCTTGAGCGGGGTGGTGTGGCCCGCGAGGTGCTTGTGGAAGCGCCCGCTGTAGCTGTTGCCGTCGATGTCGAGGGCGAACCGGTACCGGTACGGCTCGGCCGCCGGCTGGTCGCTGTGCTCGGCGACCCGGAAGAAGCGCTCTTGCTGCTCGCACTCTTCCTCGTCGCACTGCAGCGCCGCCGAGATGTGCACGTTGTATAGCCTGCGGTCCAGCTGGGGCGAGGTGTATGTGTGCCACGGGTCGCTCGCCTGGCCTGTATCGTTGGTGAGCTGCAGGTACGTGTAGTTCTGGCCCTTGGCGTGCATGTTGGCCAGGATCGCAAGCCGCTGGCGGTGGCCCTTGCGCCACGAGGTGTCCTTATGCTATATACTTGTGAGCCTTTTTATAAAATATCAAGTCTAGTTTACTTTGTTTTTTATTTGGATAGTAGGGGGGGGGGGGAGATTACCCAGTGGCCACCAGTGGTGGACCCATGCCAGAACACGGCGTTCTTCTTCTTGTGCCACGGCTGGTCCAGCCTCTTGTCGTAAAGATTGTGGGGGAAGGCATAGTGAGGTGATGGCATGTGAATGTCAGCGAAGGGATATGGCGATGCCCTTGAGAGGAGCGGCACGGGGGTGCGGAGTTGTCGGAAACTGGTAGGGGAGTTCAGGAATCCGTGGTACTCCTTGAATTCCGGATGGAGGCACAGGTCCTTTTCCTCGTCGACGCTCTGAACGAAGGGCAGCCCAAAGGTCTCGACCCTGTTGATTAGGAGAAGCCTGTCCACGGTGGTCTGGCCTCGGACCTGACACGCTTCTGCGACCTTATCCACGATGTTCTCACGGGCCAGGTTTGGCCAGTCAGAGGCCATATCATCGCTTGCGTCATTCACCAGCAGGACGGATGGCTCGTCGAGGGTGTTGATCGGGATCATCAAGTCGGGAAGAAGCTTCCTCGCATCACCAAAGATCCAGTCCATAGCGTCGGCGAAGTATGCACAGTCCTTAAACCCATCTGCCTTGGTGTAAGAGCACAAGGTTGCCGCCTCATTGTCGCCCTTGGTTGCCTCTTCCATGAGGTGCTTCAGCCTCTCGGGGGAATGTCCGTGAAACAGCTCCACGTCCTCGAAAATCTGGTCGAAGTCATCGATGATGGGTGATCGCTGTCGCAAGGCGTACTTGGCCCATTCCTTGAAACCTGGCGGCGGCGGCCTCCCATAGCGTTCTTCATACTCCACGGCAGCCTCGTCCGGAGTTTGTGACTGCTGAGACAGCAGTGCCTCGAAATCGAGAAGGGCTTCTCGGTGTAGCAACTGTATTGGGTGTGGCGGCTTGTTGGACGGTTCCGTGGGCGGGCGGGGCAGGACTGGCCGTGGCCTTGGGAAAAGAAGCAAGATGAGCAGGCCGCAGAGGATGCCTAGAGCCACAGCTTCCTTGTGGAACCTGGCCTTCCTGGCCATGTATGAGGGAGGCAACATGAGGAAAGAGGCATCAGAAAAAGAGAAGTCTCGCGCAGGTCCAGAGCTCTGCTGCTCCGGGGGCGCCCGGTGGTGCTGGTGATATTCTGACGCGGGCAGTCCTCCTCTCCCTTGGGACGGCAGATCTCCCTGGCTCCTCCTCCTCCTGGCTCCCTTTGGAACGGCGGGACACAATCCATGGCAAATATGGGCATGCGTTCCACACACTCACCTCAAGTATTTGGCCATCTCCTCGATCCCTTTAGCCCTAGTCGCAAGTGTGTCAAGAACCCTAGATTGCCCATCGCTGCGACACGAAGCCCCGGCTCGAGGACTGTTGGGGACAACCCGAATTGAAAGGGGACCAAGTGAGAGCAACAGCCAGCTCCTTTGACACTTGTCAGGTCACGCTAACCTGGACTCCCTACCGGCTTGTGTCTCGCAGAAAGGCCCAGTCACGTCGAGTCGCATTGTGCAAATGGGAGCGAGGAGGCATTTCTCACGACTCAACTTGTAACCCGGGAGTCGAGCCAAGATGCCAGCCTGGGAGTGAGTGCTCGAGGCGTGGGTGGCCAGGTGGTTGGTTGTCGTAGGGCCGTTGGGAGGATCAATAGCCGTACATACAAGCCGTAGTGGACCCTCATCTGAACCCTGCAGGTTGAGGTGGTGGGGCCGAGGCGGGCTGGCGGGCTTTCCGGTCGGCGCCGCATTGGCCGGGATTGCGGCATCGGCATTGTGCCTATCACAAGTCTGGTCCGAACGGCTTTTCTCTTTTGTTCGCGGGCCGCTGACCCTTTTCCAGCAAGCCCCCCCCCCCTTTTCACCAGAAGCAATGTTGCCCAACACATAACCACACTTGAACAGACTCGATTGGGGCATGGCAGCGACCCCAGTTGGAGATGCACTCTTTCCAACATGGCGCCCTTTTGCGCCAGCAACTGCGCCTTCTCAGGCCCAGCAGCCGGGCGCGGCAACCGCAGCGAAGATGGAAGCACAGCAAACCCGAAGTAGACGCGACAGAGAAGGAGATACCAATCCCCAACACGGTGCCTACGGCAGACATCCCCTTCTGGCTGAGGCTCGGGCCCTTGACCCGCACCGTGCAGGCGTATGGTCGAGCACAGAGGAAGCGCCCTTGGGTCACTCAGATCTGCACGTCCCTGACCATCTACTTCTTTGCCGACCTCTCGGCACAGCGCATCAACGGCAACGAATACGATGCCGAGAGGACCGGCCGGTCGCTGGTCATCGGCGGCATCTCCTCCATCCCCAGCTTTGAATGGTGCGCCTCCCTGCCCGTGCCCCTGCCCGTGCCCGTGCCCCTTCTCCTCCCCCTTGCCATTGTATATAATGCAGCCCCCGAGCAGTCCAGCTGACCCTGCGTGTGCGCAAAGGTTCATGTGGCTGTCGAGGAACTTCAACTACTCCTCGCGGGTCCTCTCCATCCTTACCAAGATCGTCATCAGCCAGTCGATATTCACACCCATCTTCAACACATACTTCTTTGGGATGCAGGCCTTCCTTGCAGGCGACAACCTTGTGGAGATCTGGGAGCGCGTCCAGAAAACAGTCCCGACCTCCATCATCAACTCGGTGAAGCTGTGGCCCATCGTCACCGCTATCAACTTTACATATGTTCCCATAGAATACCGGAGTGTGTTCGCGGGGGTCATTGCCGTCGGCTGGCAGACCTATCTTACATGGCTGAACCGCCGCGCAGAAGAGGAAGAGGCCATCTCCAGGCCCGGGGGGAGAATACCGCCGTCAGGCATGAAGGCGGTGGCCTCTTAGTCCAGACTCGTGCATTTAAGAGAAGGACCATGGAGAAGCAGGCATTAGACTAGATGGCGTTTGGGTTTTGCGTGGATCAAGTAGACAAGTTCAAATGCCCAAGATACCGGCATCCAAGAAATCTGTCGACCAACTTGCACTGTGCATTGACTCGTGCCCGCGCCATGTCGTACGGTGTTGCAGCCCAGATCGCACGGTAAGCAAACCACATGTCAGGCGAGGCGCGTGCTGCCTCTTCAAATCCCCGACTGCGGCAGCCTCCTTGCCAGCTCAACGTCATCCCTCCTTCCTACTTCAGTCCTCGCTCCCTCGACGCCAGCGAGCCATTGAGCCCTGGCACCGCCCGGCGCCACTCCTTCAACCATGGCTCGACTGACACCCGGTGGTCTGCGCACCCCCTTGACGGCCATGCGCCTCTCCAGGCCAGCTCCCCGACCTCGATTTGCATTTGCGCTACACCAGGCCGCACTCCGCTCTGCGTCAACCTCCCCCTCGTCCTCGACCGCTTCCTCTTCGAGCTCCCAGCAGCAGCGCGAGGGCCCCAAAGAGCCACCCAGGCGCTCTGCCATCGGTTTTGGCACAGTCGCCCTGTCCACCTCGCTCCTGGCCTCCGCCTACCTCCTCTACCTTTACGCGACCGACACGCGCGCCTCGTACCAACAATGGCTCGTCCCACCCCTCCTGCGACTCGTCTACCCCGACGCCGAGGAAGCACACCACGTCGGCACCAAAGCCCTGAAGCTCCTCTACGAGCTGGGCCTGCACCCGCGCGAGCGGCCCACCCGGGCCCCGGGTATCGTCCCCGAGCCCAGCGACCTCGCCACCCAGGTCTTTGGCGTCAACCTCGCGAACCCGATCGGCATCTCCGCAGGCCTGGACAAGGACGCCGACATCCCCGACATCCTGTTCGAGCTCGGCGCTGGCGTCGTCGAGGTCGGCGGCTGCACCCCAAAGCCGCAGGAGGGGAACCCCAAGCCCCGCGTGTGGAGGGTGCCCACCGTCGAGGGCATGGTCAATCGCTATGGCCTGAACAGCCGCGGCGCCGATGCTATGGCCGCGAGGCTGCGAGACCGTGTGCGCAAGTTTGCCAGGTCCCTGGGCCTGACCGAGCGGCAGGTCCTCGACGGGGAGGGCACAGACGTCCCCCCGGGCGGCTTGCTCCCCGGGCGGCTCCTCTGCGTGCAGGTCGCGAAGCAGAAGGACACGGACGAGCGCGACGTTGACGCCGTGGCGAGGGACTATGTCTACTGTGTGAACCGGGTGGCCCCCTACGCGGATATCCTGGTCGTCAATGTTTCCAGCCCCAACACCCCCGGGCTAAGGGACCTGCAGGCTGCGGAGCCCCTGGGGAGGATACTGAGCGCCGTCGTCCAGGAGGCAAGGAAGACGAACCGTAAGACAAAGCCCAAGGTCATGGTCAAGGTCTCCCCAGACGAGGACGAGAGCGCGCAAATGGCCGGCATTGTGCAGGCTGTGTACATGAGCGACGTGGACGGCGTGATTGTGGGAAACACCACCAAGCGGAGGTCTGGTCTTGTCCCAGAGGGCGTCAGGCTCAACTCCAGGGAGCAACAGGCGCTCACCGAGACTGGCGGGTTCTCCGGCCCGTCCATGTTTGAGCGCACGCTGGACCTGGTCGGAAGGTATCGTAAGATGCTGGATGCGCAGTCACTAAAGGCCGATGAGGAGCAGGACGGTTCTACGGCCGCCCAGGCCCTTGAGAGCACTGTGTCTAGCAAAGCACAGGACTCGAAACAGGCTCCGCGGAAGGTCATCTTTGCCACCGGCGGCATCAAGAACGGCGAGCAGGCACTCAGGGTCTTGAACGCGGGTGCCAGCGTGGCTATGATTTACACCAGCATGGTCTACGGCGGGGCTGGTACGGTGACGCGGATCAAGGGAGAGATGAGGTCGTCTTTAACCGAAGGAAAGGCTTGAACGGGTCCCTGCAATACTTTGGGAAGCGGTGAATAGACAAAATGACGTTCTCAGAGGTATATACACAGCGTTTGAGTTAGATATCCAACTTCAAACTGAATCTTGTGATACAGCAGTTTGTATATAACCTTGACAAGACCGTGTTGATTCCAGTCGGGTGTCATATGGTACGAGGTGTCTGTATGTGACCATTTTCCTATGTAGCTAGGTAAGTAGTGAGCCGCTATGTTGTGTCGTTATGCAGTGTTTTATAAAGATATGAAGATATTTACAGAGTGGTGGTTGAATATAAGAGTGCATACCAATTCGCTATTGTACTGTGACCCTCTTAATCAAGGGACGATGGCTTTGTGGTGCGCCCCTAGTTACAATTGTAGTAGGGTCAATCACATTGCATATTTTCTTCTCATGAGATGTGGTAGGTTGGGTGTCTGCAGTTGTCAGTGGATACGTTTGGACTATGGAAGAATTGGAGCAAAGAGATCTCTGGAAAAGTTGGTCGGTGTGAAAGCAACTTATACTTTGGTTTGGATAATGAGATTTTTTCTTTGAGAAAATATTTAGCTACTGAGAGACCTCAAGGAAACATCTGAGAAATCTCGAGTTACCCGGTGCCCACGCAGCCACTTACGTTTTATACGGCCCAAAGCCTATGCGCGAAAGAAAAAAGCGCATATATACTTCTTCGGACGTTGCGTACTTTCAATTAAGACGAACTGCTTGTGGGTAACATGTGTGCGATTTCTTTTTGTTGTTCCACACAGCATCGTTGTGGCTGGTTCAAATGTTCTTGACGAACGGGCTGTGTTCAAGTAACGTTGCAAGATTTACAGCAACTTTTCCAACCTGCTTCGTAAACCAGTCTTCTCAGGGTCGCCGGCCTTCAGATCAGCGCTCCCGCTTCCATCTCCAGGGCTGGAGCTCTGCGCGTTGATGTACTCGGCCTGAGCCGCGTATATCTCATCAGGCCTGACAGCCCTGTCTATAAATGTCTCCTTTGCAGGTAATAGCAGAGATAGTCCGGTATAAACAATCGCAGTCCCCACGAACCCGATCATCCAGCCAATCTGGTATGGGTGAACGCCCAGGCCTACGTTGATGGCAGGATTGATGCCGTTGATGAATCCAGGAAGACTTGGCGCGACACCAACGAGAAAAGCCACAATGGCTCTCCAGTTGACCCCGCCCTTGTACCGATATATGCTATGCGGGTCATACAACGCCACAGTATCGTACCTTCGCCTGTGCACGACCCAGAAATCAAAGAGCATGATTGCCGCGATTGGGCCCAGGAAGATGGCGTATGCGGACATGAAATTGAGGAAAGAGCCCGCCGACGCCAGGATCTTCCACGGCACCAGAGCCCAGCAGAGGACCGCGCAGAGGAGCTGCCCCCGGCGGAGGTTCACAAAGCGCGGGAAGAGGGCCATGAAGTCGTTCGCGGCCGAGAGTGAGTTGGCCGAGATGTTGACGCCGAGGGCCGCGAGGGCGAACGAGGCTGCGGCGAAGAAGCGAGCTGGCCTGTTGCTCCAGTGCGAGATGAGGGCGACTGGGTCCCACTCTATCACGCCGTAGTGGACGCCGCCGGCCGAGGCGGAGGCGATACCCACAAAGGCGATGAAGGTGAAGAAGGCCGGTAGGAGGGGCACATACATGCACTGCCACCTCACGGAGACGCGGCTATACCTCGAGAAATCAGCCTGGTTCACAGACAGTGTCGCATAGTTCCCGATGACCGAGTTCATGGAGGCCAGGAAAGCCCAGCTGTAGCTGGACCCTGACACCGTTGCCCGCTGGTCGAAAATGTCTGACCCGCGGGTGCTGACGAGGGCCCAGATCAGGATCGCGATCCAGGCAATGGGCACGATAATTGACTTGGCCATGAAGAGCCACCGGAGCTGATTTGGGTGCATGAGCAGAAAGGGGATTTCTGAGGGCAGCGTTAGTCCTGCTACGGGTCCTGAAGCGTCGTATTCCAGAGCATTCCAAAACACGAAAGACGGGGGTCCGTAACATGGGAAGTGAAAACTGATGCTTACGGGCGAACCAGAAAATCGCAAAGCAGCCGAGCGTGGCATCGTCAATCCCCTGCCATGGCGGTATGTTCGATGGGAGGGTCAGGAAGGAGGGCCAGATTGCCCCGATCATGCAACGGACCGTGAAAGCCCCGTTCATGGTCTGGATAGCGAACCAGAAAGTTGCCAGGATAGCCCGCGAGACGATGGCGACGTAGGATCCCCAGAAGCCCCAAGCCGCACGGGCAATGACAGGGAAGGGTGTGTGGTGGATGACTCCGGTGGCTCCGTTGAAGGCAATCTGAGATGGGATCTGTGAGTCTTACCGCGGTCGAGTCATGGAAAGGGGGGGGCAGAAGCCATGGGCCGCGGGCGACTTACGACGATGGAGATGATGAAGAAGCTGAGAGCCACGACGGCGATGCTCTCACGCCATGTCAGCCCAACTGCAATCACGCTGGCCCCGAACTGCCATGTCGCTGCGTTGAAGGCATCTGAGATCCAGTACGCAATGAAGCTTGTCACGCCCCATTTCCTTTCGTGTGGTGGTACCGGGTCGAGGTCCTTGTTTGTCCTATTTGCATAATAAGCACACGTACCGGTGGCATTTGCTACGAGCGGCTTGAAATCCGCATTGACTGACCATCTGGCGTTGCCTTCTGCGAACGATGACTTGGGCTGCTCGACATGAAGTCTGGGCTTCTCCAGCCGAGGAAGTCGTATTTTGGAGATGGCCATTGTCCGTGCCACGCGTGCGAGTCGTACCTGTGTAAAAGTGAAGCACGGGCAGACGTCACTCGAGAGCCAAAACCTGCCCCCGGCACACTGCAACGCAGAGAATGAAACCAGAAGAGAATCAGTGAATGTATTTCAAAACACACGGTCAACTCTCGTCGCGCATGCCTATCTTCTGCGCCACTGCGAGCCGGCAGTACGGCTTATCGTTGGACAAGGGGACGGTATTGGCCCAGAGATATGTAGCCGTGAGCTGAGCTATACCAGGGTAGCTTCGGCGGGTCTTGGCAGACCTGCATGGTCAGATTGATAACGGTAGTGAGTGCCGGCTGTCGGTCTAGTGTAGATTGAAAAAAGTTGGACAGAGTTGGAGCTACTGTAGGACATGAGTGAGGTCCTGAGGCTTCAATACTGAGAAAAAAACCAACTAGATCAAGATGTGTTGGCTAGTCTCCTCTAAAGTGTGCTTGTTTGATCACCAGACCCCAGCGTTGCGCGAATACGTAGGTACTTGTGTCACATCGTTGCTTGATCTACTAAGTAGTTGGATAATAACCTTGGAATAGATGCGCCCCAATAACCAATTGGTCCCGGGAGACTTTGAAGGTGCCGAATGGAACGACTCAAATGTTGTGTTGATCCTGGTGCCAATTGTATTGTATGTGCGGACGGACATGTGCCCAGGTGAGCATACATGCGTCTTCGAATTCTAAATACAGTTGGGCTTCACAGCAATTCTCCCAGTGCTCGCAGGCCGTTCTCCAAAACATCGGGATCGCCCAGCCTGAACCGCAGGTAGCCTTTGAAGTCGCCACCCTCGTCCTCGCCGAAGCAGCGGTCCCCTGGGACAACACACACGCTCTTCTCCGCGGCCAGCCTTCTCGACAGCTGCACGTCGTCCACGGGCTGGCCGTCGCTCGCATCGAGAACCTGTAAGAACACCGTACCAGCACCCTGCGGCTTGATCCAGCGGCACCGGTCCCGATGTGTCCTCACGAAATCCTCCACCTTGGCGATGCTCTCCGCACAGCTAGCGAGGTTCCGGGACATGAGCTTCGGGAGGACCTCGGGGCTCAGGGCGTGGAGCGCGATGCCGTCATCGATCTGAGACACCGAGAGCGTGGTGTAGTCTCGCAGGTTGACGATCCGCTGCATCAGATCCAAGTCTTGGGACACAGCCCAGCCGATTCTGATGCCGGGAAGGCCATGAGACTTTGAAAGAGAGCCGGTGGAAACACTCTTGGCGTAGGGGAGGGAGACCACGGGAGGCGGAGGGACGGTAGGTGCGTGGAAAAGGGGGCTGAACACCTCATCGGAGAAGACAGTGATGTTGGCATCTCGGGCTACATCAATAATCCTTGCCAAGAATTCCTTGGAAAGGGTGTACCCGGTGGGGTTGTTGGGGTTGCTTTCTTCTGTTAGCATAAATGGCCCATCACTCTTTCGGCATGTTTACAAACTTGATGATGATTGCCGTGGTGTTGGGCTTAATCATCCGTCGTAGTGCTTCAGGATCAGGAGCCCACTCGTCTTCGGCTTTCATAGTCCAGAGTTCCACATCGACGCCCTGATGCCTCGGCAGGAGGTACAGCTGTCCGTATGTAGGAAACTGGCAGATGATGTGATCACCGGGACCACAGATCGAGGCAAGGACGAGGTAGTTTGCCATGATTGAACCCGGGGTGATAACGACGTGGTCTTCTGTCAACTTGACATTGCTGGAGGAATGGAGAGCTGCGATCCGCCTGCGGAGCTCCGCACTGCCCTTGACGTCGCCATATGTGAGCTTTAGATTAGGGTCGACCGGACTTTTCTGGGCTGGATGAAGGTCTTGCAAGTCTTTCAAGGAGAGAGCTGAGGCATATGATCCTGAGACGTTGTGAGCAGAAGAAGCACAGAGGGGAGATCTGTGGCATGTCAACCTTGGAGTTGATATTTAGCGCCGGGCTGCCACAATGGGCGTATTAGTTACTTATTAAAGAGTCCGTGGATCCACACTCGCAGGTCCCGCTTTTGGGTCTACAGTAGAGTGAGCTTACCCCATAGTCTCTCACTATGCAAGGATAATCAGCCAGGCCTCATAACAGTTGCAGAAGTTGCGGGAAGTAACAAACCCCAAGCGTCAATTTTAAATTCGGGAATACTATGCACGGGCATGGTGGCTGCCGAGGGAAGGGGGATAAACAATGAGTGGGACAGTACAGCAGTCGGTAATCCTCACACTCAGACGCAGTGCTGTGTGTGATCTACTTGCAGCTCATGTCGTGGGCCTTTTAATCATACATGTGATGGAATTCCCAAAAGAGGGGTTCCTACTTAAGTAGGTACTCGATACGAAGTCAACCTGCAGACACCGAAGGGCGCGCGTTGTGTTCCCGCTGCGGTCTCGGTCTTAGTCTGGTATACTAATTTCTCACGCGGCTAGAACCGAGCTCCCATGTGATGCCGAGTTTGATCGTACGAGTTCCCCTTGTGCCGCGTTCTATATATGAGATCATCCGCATGGCCCGTGTTTGCAAGCTGTCCTCACCTAGCTTTTCTTACTTAAGTAGAAGCGGCTAGTCAACCGCGATTGTCCTCGTCTAGTGAGTTTGGAGAGTTACCTAAGTACTTAATACTAAGGACATATGTAATTATCCCCCCCCCCCAAATCCTCGGAGGTCTGGAATGACATGATTACCTCATCGGCCACAAATCTTCTAAAAACCCTGTCCTTTTCAGGTGTTTGCCGTCCGCCGCCGCGCTCTTCCGTTGCACATGTGCTTACAACCTTTTCTTGCTCTTTTCCTGTATCGGAGTCAAGAGTTTAGAGCCAAAGTCACCAGAGAGGTCACAATATGGATTGTCCAGCTAGGTTTCCTAATTCTCTAGCCAGGGATTTGGCGCTCCTGCTATACACTCAGTCCCAGATATCACAGCCCGTCCGCTCGTCTTCTGAAGACCAGAGGCGCATTGGCCCTACTCGCCCATTCCCGAAAGATACATCTGTACCGGTTTTATTACCTCTGCCCGATAAGATGATGGGCACCGGTAATCTCGAGAAATCCTTCCTATACTGTTCAATACAGTAAGTACCAGGGTACGCTGGTCTTTGGGTATCAATCGCTTCTATGCTATATCAACGGCTCCTCTGACATGACCAGGGAATCTTGGATGGGAGCCTGCCTGCCTGTCCTGCCGGGCCTCGGCCGCCCCTTTTCTTTTCTTTTCTTTTCCTTTCTTCTTCTTTTGTTTCTCGAGGGGGCGACAAGACGACTCACGCGCCGATGATGCTCCAGGACCTCATCACTTCCCTGAAACCCCCGCAGTAGCCTCTTAATGCCAGGATGTCGCCCGTCTTTTCGGTGTCGCCGAAGCAGTAGGAAAGCACATCCATCTCCTCTGATTCGTAGGTTGGGATGTCCCAGAAGGTCTCGAGGCGCTGGCCGACGGTGGGGATGCTCATGTCCGGGGGCAGCTTGACGGGGAAGAACAGGTGCAGCTCGATCCTGACGATGCGGCCGGTGTGGTAGTCCATGGAGACGGTGAGGTAATATGACGAGTCCAGCAGCACGCCGACGATGTCGTTGTAGACGTCGTCGGAAGGTGGTGGAGCGCCGGTCAGGGCGACCAGCTTGTCGAGCTGGGCCTTGGACAGGGGGCCCTGGCCGAGGAAGTAGAAGGATACAAGCTCCTTGGGGTAGTCGAAGTGCGTGACGACCAGCTGGTTGAGGTCAGCATCGCGGAACTTTTGCCTGTTGGCCTTGATGGCGTCGGGCATGCCGGGGGTGGCGAGGATAAAGTCGAGGTCGCGCAGGCCGTTGAGGTACATGAGCATGGCATCGCAGCCCTTGTCGGCGGTGAACTCGGGCTGCTCGATGGAGCCGTCACACTGGGTGCGGATGGCCCTCACGAGGTTGGGGACGGGGTCGTCGGGATGCAGCCAGCCCTGGGCCTCGGCGATCTGCAGGGTGTCGGCGCGGGTGGCTATGAAGAGGCGGAATGAGATTGGGTTGCCGGGGGTGCTGGTGCTGCGTATCTGTATGGCGGCGTCGTCGATGAGGTCGCGGTAGGCGTTGACGACCTCCTGCAGGACGTGCTTGTTGAAGGGGGCGCTCAGCAGTTCGGAGCCCTTCTCCAGGTCGTCGAGGAAGCGGGCCTCGACAAAGGGCTCTCGCTCCGAGGTTGTGGACATGTTTGAAGCCTGGCGGCGGGCGGGGAGAGGAAAGCAGCCTGGAGGGAGGTGTGACGAGAGCAGGCCCGGGTGAGCTGGTGGGGAGCTGGTGGGCAGGTAGCCCTACAAGATGCGGCAGTCGAGGTGTGGTGTCGAGAGGGTGGTGGGTGGTGGGTGGACGAGTGCTCGCAGCAGCAGCAAGCAGCGTTGGATCGTTGCGATGCGAGGCACACACACGCTCACACTCACTCAGTCACACACACACACACACACACACACACACGCAACAGACAGACTGACAGGCACGCACCACCACACACCGGTCCCGGCTGTTTGACGTCGACGAGGGAGGAGGCGGTTGATCGCTTGACCCGGCTGGGCTGGGTTGGGTTGGACGACTGACGGCTGACGGCTGGCGGCTGACGGCTGGGGATGCAGGAGGCTTCTTTCTGCTGGCCCTGGCTGGCCCGGCGGCGCAAAGGTGACGGGCAGATTCTTATTTGTTCAGTCTGGCGGCCGGGGCAGCGAGATGCCCATCACCGCCATAGACGAGCCAGAAACGGGGGCCCACGGCGGGGGGCCAAAGGGCGGTCGTTGCTGGTTTTGGACACTGCCCCGCCGACAGAAATTCAAAGGGGACGGCGTCCGCGAGTAATTGCCAACACCCCACCGATAGAGTTCAGGACCAGTCACGTCCACCACCGACGGCCCAGCGGTGGCCCAGCAGTGGCCCAGCAGTGGCCCAGCGGTGGCCCAGCGGTGGCCCCAGCATGAGGTGTCGGAAAGCATCCGCCTCATGCCGCGACCGCGCCCTGGTGTCATGTCGTCTCCCGGGTCCACAGTCGCCCGTTGCACATTCCATTCCGCCCAGGCCCCACCCTGCCCTCCAAAATCACCAGCCGATGTTGCATTCCCGCTGGCGGCGCGTGGAGCCTATTTTTCTCTGCCACACCCCTCCCCCCACAACACCCCCCACACACTCCCCAGCTCAGGGGTTCGGCCACAGAACTGTCAGCCCAGGGCTCGCTTCGGCACTGGGGGCCTGCAGGCGCCATGCAGTGCCGAATCCACACAACCAACCACCAGGCAGGGACAGCCACCAAGGCTGCAAGGATCCCGACCTGCTGGGACACTTGCAGACCTATCTGCACTGTACTGTACTCTACTGTGGTATGTACCTTACTATACATACACAGAGTACATGTATACAGAAATCTGGAGGACAAGGGAAAAGAAGAGATATAAAGAGAGACAGAGACAGACAGAGACAGACAGAGACAGACAGACAGACAGACAGACAAGGTTCCCCCTCCCCATCAACGGCGGACACTTCCGTGCGGAGAGGACTACCTGCACACTACACTAGGGCAAAGAACCGTTGGGCGATCTGGACGATCTGGGCTGCCCATCTTCAGGGGCGACCCCATTGCCCAAGGGAGCTTCCGAGAAACCGAGAAAAGCCACCGCCACCAGTTCGACTCCCCTTCAGCCGCACAACCGCGCCAGCCTTGACAGCCCTTGGGTGGCCCAACCTCAAACACAAGAACAAGCAAGTACATATGTAGTAGTCCGACGCGGGACGGCACGGGGCTCGGCTCGGCCGTGGGGATGCAACCAGCGCTGCCATGTTGGTCCATGTGGATTGGATGTTGGTTGCGCGAACCACACCTGTGTGCTGTACGGACTCCGTACCGTCAGCCACCTCACAGTGTCAGAGTGTCCACCATGCTACCCTACATTGCACTGCACCACACCTTGTTGATATAAACCAACTGTCCTTCTATAATGCACGTGTTGGTTATTAATTGTGGGAAGGGGATGACATGCCGTGTATTTGTGGATGGCTTTGACTGTATACCTGGGTACTTTAGCCATCCCTGCTTGTGAGTGTGTATATGTGGGTAACTGGGGGCCCTACTGGCTGCCTACCTGCTTAGTCATCTAGTATAGCCTATTCACCTATACCCTTTAAAACTTAAACCTTCCCCTTACAATCCCTTTAAACTTTTCCCTTTATATAAATAGTAATACTATCTTAATTTAAATTAATATATTAAAGATAGTTATTTTTTTTATTTTTTTATAATATTATTTATATAATATTATATTAAATAAGCTATTATCCACTTATTTAATAATTATATCTACTTACTTAATTCCTACTAACTACTTATTTAATATTAATTTTTTTAAGTAACTCTTTTATATTTATAAGTACCTTTTAAGTTAGTATTAAGAGACCTTATAGTATAATTTCCTTCTTTAATTTTTAATACTTTTAATATAAACCCCTTTTAGTATACCTTCTAGTATACCTTCTAGCACCCCTTCTAACGCCCCTTTACCTTTACCTTTTAGGCTGTATGTATTTAGGTACTAACTAAGTATTTAGATACTAACTAAATATTAGAAGGCTAGAAGTTAAAAAGGTAAAGGTGAAGACTATACTCTTTCTAGCCTTTTAGTACCCTTTCTAGCCCTTTAATACTCTAAATTTCTAATCTTTTAGCGTTTAGTTGGTATTTAAATGCTTAGTTAGTACCTAAATGTATATAGTTTAGAAGGTAAAGGTAAAGGTGAAGGTAAAGGTAAAGGGGCACTAGAAGGGGTGCTAGAAGGGGTGCTAGAAGGGGTGCTAAAAGGGGTGCTAGAAGGGGTGTTAGAAGGGGTGCTAGAAGGGGTTTATATTAAAAGTATTAAAAATTTAAAGAATTCTAGTTAGGTATATAGTTTTATATAGGCCCTATATATAAATTCTTATATTAAGTAAGTAGTTAAAAAAAACTAGGTGAGTAGATATAATTACTAAATAAGTGGATATTAGTTTATATTAAATATATAAATTAATTTAATTTTTTTTAAAAAATAAATAATATTTAATTATTAATAAAAAATTAAATTATTTAATTAAAAGATAATAATAATTATTTTAATATAATTAAATATTTAATAATATATATTTTTATTTTTATTTTATATTTAAAATATAAAATATAAATTATAAATTATTTATATTTTTAAATTTTATTATTAAATTAAAATAAATAATTAAAGTTTTAAAAAATAAAATATAATATATTTTTAAAAATTAATTTAATTAAATTTATTATATAAAACTTTTATAATAATTTTATAATTATTTATAATATTATTTATTATTAAAAATATTTTTATATTAATATATTAAATTATATTTTTTATTTAAATTAATATTATTAATTTATTAAAAGTTAAAACTATTATAAATTATAAGTTATTTAGTTTTAATATTATTAAATATTATATATAATATTATTATATAATTTAAGCTTTTAAGTTAATTAAAATAAATAATAATAAAATTATTATTTCTTTAAAGTTTTAATTTTATTTAAATAAATATTTATTAAATAAAACTATTTAAAAATAATTATTTAATTAAATTAAAAGATAATTAAATAAAGTAATTATACTTTATTATTTAAATTTATAATTTTAATAACTTTATAAATAAAAAATAATTATTAATAATTAAATTTATAATTATATAAAATAAATCTTTATTTTAAAAAGTTATTAATATTTAAAATAATTAATATAATTTTAAAAAGTTAAGAAATTATAAGTTTAATTTAAAGAAAATTAAAATTTATAAGAATTTTAAATTTAAGTTTAAAATTTTTTAAATTTAATTTTTTAAAAATATTAAAAGAATTTAAAAGTTTTTAAATAAAATTAAATAAAATTATAATAATATAATATAATTAAATAAAAATTAATTATAAAATTATAATTATAAGTTTTTAATTTTATATTTAAAAGAATATTTAAAATATATATAATATTTTAATATAATAATAATTATTTATTAATATAAGTTTTATATTTTATATTTTAAATTAATTTTATTTAATTTAAAATATTTAAATAATATAAATTTAAATATTAATTATTAAAATAATATATATAAAATAAAGGTAATTATAATTAATAAATAATTTAAATTATATAATTTTAATAAAAGTAAAATTTATATTTATTAAAATAAAAGAATTTATAAATATTTTTTAAAAGTTTTAAAGTTATATATTAATTTATATATATAATATTTTATTTTTTATTATTTTATTTTTAAATTATTTAAAATATAAAAATAAATTTATTATAAATTATATATATTTTTATTTAAAATTTAAATTAATAAATAATATTAATTTTAAAAGTTTTTAATTTAATTTTAATAAAATTATAATTATAAAATATATATATTTAAATATTTTATTTTATAAATTATTTATATTTTTAATTTTATTATTAAATTAAAAGTAAATAATTAAAGTTTTAAAAAATAAAATATAATATATTTTAAACTCTTTAATATAAAATTAAAAGACTTATAATTATAATTTTAATTAATTTTATTTAATTAGTTTTTATTATAATTTAATTTAATTTTTAATTTAATTTAAACTTTCTTTTAAATTATATAAATATTCTTATTTTATAAATATAAATATTAAATTAAAACCTTTAAATTTAAGTTTAAAATTTTATAAATTTTAATTTTCTTTAAATTAAACTTATAATTTTTAACTTTTAAAATATATTAACTATTTTAAATATTAATAATTCTTTTAAAATAAAAGTTTATTTTTATATAATTATAAATTTAATTATTAATAATTATTTTTTATTTATAAATTATTAAAATTATAAACTTAAATATTATATATAATAATAAAGTATAATTACTTTATTTAATTATTTTTAATTTAATAAATTATATAATAGGTTAAGTAATTACTTTTAAATAGTTTAATTTATAATATAATAAAGCTAATAAATAGATATTTACTTAAATAAAGTTAAAACTTTAATTAAAAGAATAATAGCTTTATTTTTACTTATTTTAACTAACTTATTTAAGTTATATAATAAATTTAATACTTATATATAATATTTATTAATATTAAATTAAATAGTTTATAATTATAATAGTTTTAATTTTTAATAAATTAATTTATATTAAAGTTAATAATATTAACTTAAATTAATTAAATATAATTTAATATATTAATATAAAAAGTATTTTTAATAATAAATAATATTATAAATAATTATAAAATTATTATAAAAGTTTTATATAATAAACTTAATTAAATTAATTTTTAAAAGATATATTATATTTTATTTTTAAAACTTTAATTATTTATTTTTAACTTAATAATAAAATTAAAAATATAAATAATTATTAATTTATATATTTTTAAAAATTAATTTAATTAAATTTATTATATAAAACTTTATATAATAACTTTATAATTATTTATAATATTATTTATTATTAAAAATACTTTTATATTAATATATAAGTTATATTAATTAAAATTAATATTATTAATTTTAATATAAATTAATTTATTAAAGATTAAAGTTATTATAAATTATAAATTAATTTAATATTAATAAATATTATATATAAGTATTAACTTTATTATATAATTTAAATAAATTAATTAAAATAAATAAAAATAAAGTTATTATTTTTTAATTAAAGTTTTAATTTTACTTTATAAATAAATATTTATTTATTAACTTTATTATATTATAAATAAAACTATTTAAAAATAATTATTTAATTTATTATATAAATTAAAAATAATTAAATAAAATAATTATACTTATTATTTAAGTTTATAATTTTAATAACTTTATTATAAATAAAAAATAATTATTAATAATTAAACTTATAATTATATAAAAGTAAATTTTATTTTAAAAAGTTATTAATATTTAAAATAATTAATATATTTTTAAAAAAATTAAAAATTATAAACTTAAAAAAATTAAAATCTATAAAATTTTAAATTTAAACTTAAAAGTTTTTAATTTATATTTATATTTATAAAAATAAAAATATTTATATAGTTTAAAAGAAAATTTAAATTAAATTAAAAATTAAATTAAATTATAATAAAAATTAATTAAATAAAATTAATTAAAAATTATAATTATAAATTTTAATTTTATATTAAAAGAATATTTTATTTTATATAATATAATTTAATTATAAAATTTATATTTAAAATAAATTTAATTTAAAATTAAATAAAAGTTTTAATATAAAGCTTTTATTAAATTTAAAATATATTATTATTTATTAAATATTATATATATATATATAAATAATTAAAGACTTTATTAATTATTTATTATTTAATTATTTAATATAATTTAATTATTTATACTTTTAAAATTTAAACTTTCTTTTATAATTTAAACCTTTCTTTTTATAAAAGTAATATTATTTTAATTTAAATTAATATATTAAAAATAATTATTTTATTTTTATTTTTCTTTTATAATAAATATATATTTTATAATAATTATTAAAATTTAAATTTTATTTAAAATATAATATTAATTTAAATAATAATTAATATATATAATTTAAATAAATTATTTTATTTTTTAGTTTTATTATTAAATTAAAATAAATAATTAAAGTTTTAAAAATAAAATATAATATATTTTTAAAATTAATTTAATTAAATTTATTATATAAAACTTTTATAATAATTTTCTAATTATTTATAATATTATTTATTATTAAAAATATTTTTATATTAAGTTATTAAATTATATTTATTTAAATTAATATTATTAATTTATTAAAATTAAAGTTATTATAAATTATAAATTATTTAATTTTAATATTATTAAATATTATATATAATATTATTATATAATTTAAATATAAATATAAATTAATTAAAATAAATAAAAATAAAAGTTATTATTTTTTAAAAGTTTTAACTTTACTTAAATAAATATTTATTTAATAAACTTAAAAATAAATAAAATTATTTAAAATAATTATTTAATTTATTATATTATTAAATTAAAAATAACCTTTAAATAAAATAATTATACTTTATTATTTAAGTTTATAATTCTAATAATTTTATAAAAACTATTAATAATTAAATTTATAATTATATAAAATAAACTTTTATTTTTAAAAAGTTATTAATATTTAAAATAATTAATATATTTTTAAAAATTTAAAAATTATAAATTTAATTTAAAAATATTAAAATTTATAAAATTTTAAATTTAAACTTAAAAGCTTTTAAATTTAACTTTAAAAAAATATTAAAAATTTTAAAAACAACTTAAATAAAATTAAAAATTAAATAAAATTATAATATAATAAAATAATTAAATAAAACTTAATTAAAATTTTATAATTATAAATTTTTAACTTTATATTTAAAAGAAATATATAATTTAAATAATATTTATAATAATTAAATTTATAATTAAATTATATATTTATTTTAATAATAAGTTTTTTTTTTTTAATAAATATAAATTTTATTTTTATTATAATTAATAAATTATAATAAAAATTTATATAAATTTTATTTTAAATTTAAAAATATAAAGTTTAATTTTTAAAATAAAATAATTAATATTTTTTAAAAATTTTTAAATAATATTAAAGTTAAATAAAATTATAATAATATAATATAATTAAATAAAAATTAATTATAATATTATAATTATAAGCTTTTTAATTTTATATTAAAAAATATATTAATATATATTATTTAATTTTTTAAATATAAAATTAAAAGATTTATAATTATAATTTTATAATTAATTTTTATTTAATTATATTATATTATTATAATTTTATTTAATTTTTAATTTATTTATTTAAATTTTTTAATATTTTTTTTTTTAAAAAATTAAATTTAAAAAGTTTTAAACTTAAATTTAAAATTTTTATAAATTTTAATTTTCTTTAAATTAAATTTATAATCTTTTAACTTTTTAAAATATTTTAATTATTTTAAATATTAATAACTTTTCTTTAAAATAAAAGTTTATTTTATATAATTATAAATTTAATTATTAATAATTATTTCTTTTATTTATAAATTATTAAAATTATAAATTTAAATAATAAAATATAATTATTTTATATAAATATTTTTAATTTAATAATATAATAAATTAAATAATTATTTTTAAATAGTTTTACTTATAATATAATAGAATTAATAAATAAATATTTATTTAAATTAAAATTTTAAAAATAATAGTTTTTATTTTTATTTATTTTAATTAATTTAAAAGTTTAAATTATATAATAATATTATATATAATACTTAATAATATTAAAACTAACTTATAGTTTATAATAGTTTTAACTTTTAATATATTAACTTAAATTAATATAATTTAATATATTAATATAAAAGTATTTTTAATAGTAAATAATATTATAAATATAAATTATAAAATTATTATAAAAGTTTTATATAATAAATTTAATTAAATTAATTTTTAAAATATATATTATATTTTATTTCTTTAAAACTTTAATTATTTACTTTTAATTTAATAATAAAATTAAAAAATATAAATAGTTTATAATTTATATATTATTTAATTAAATTTATTTTATTATAAATAAAAATTTAATATATAATAATATTAGTTTTAATATTTTAATATTTAAATAAAATAAATAAAATAAAATAAAATTTATTTTTAATAGAAATATATTTATATTAATAAAATTTATATAAATTAGTTTAATTATTTATAAAACTTTTTTATAAAAAGTTAATTAAAATAAATAAAGTAAATTTTAAAGTATAAAATATAATAAAATATTATAAATAAAATTAATAAATATAATTTAAGTTTTTAAAAATATAATTTATTTTTTTTATATTTTTTAAAATTATAAAAAAGATATTTATTAAAGTTTTTATAACTTAAAAATTTTATATATTAATTATAAACTTATTTAATAAAAAAAAGATATATAAAATTTAAATTTAAATATATAAATATTTAATTTAATAATTAAAGTTACTTTTTAAAAATATAATAAAAAATAGAAAATATAACTAGAAGTATTTTAATAAAGAGAACGGAAATTCGCGCACCCTTAATTGGAAGGCACGCACCCTCCCTACTATTTAACCAATTAGAGCATAGGACCTTAAAGTCTTTACAACTTTAACATATAAGGCTTCTTCACAATTAAGGGACCATAAACAGGGCGGGTTGGTTCTTTGGGAACTCGGGTCGTGCCTACCGGCCTTACTTACGGCCCTTCGCTATGCTTCGCGCTTCGGGGCTCGCCCCCTTCACCCCAGCCAGCCCTTCGAGAAGAAGTCATCTTGTATTCTATACTTTTTAGTCAGCAAATGGGTGCGCGCCTTTTGATTGAGGGTGCGCGAATTTCCGTTCTCTTAATAAAAAGGAAAATTTTATTAAGTATAATTTTAGAGAGACTTAAAAGTCCCTTCTTACCACTAATATATAGACCTAATATTTTAAAAAGGTCTATACTAAAAAGCTTAATTCACCTACTTGCTTTATTGGTGATTGTGCGTTTGATGATAACGGTACTTACTATAGTAGGCACTGAACTTAGCTCTAGCGCCGAGCTGTTCGAGCATGACTCAGGTATATCCTTCCTTTTACACTACAGGAACAGCCTCCCACCAGCATAGGGCCTACTAGAACCTGCACGAGCATATGTAATATTGTAGGGGTTGACCCTGGCGCTCTTTTAAGGTATCCATGATGCGGCAAAAAGACCAGCAGTCGATAATCCGGGCAGTATATGACATGTAAGTGCAACTTCTGACATCTTGATCCACCTGGGCAGTGAGATTCTGGCGTACAGCCGAAGCCCAATACTTGATCTTGCAACATCGGCCTAAGAATTGTCTGTATGCACTACTAAAAAAGACCACCTCTATGAATACCTAGTCATGAATCAATCCTTTCCAAGCCTTCAACGTTATGAGTCTCTGTTATGACCCCTCTCACTTCTGTGGTGAGGGTGTTCCAGGTTCGGCTGACAACGAACAACCTCTTGATCTTATGGCTCATTCCAACCACTCCTCAATGATTCCACTAATTTCAGTGCTTCAGTATACATAGAAGGTCGTGGTCTCATTGTTGGAAGCACGAAGCTTGTTGTTCCTTTTCATTAGCATGAACTTGGCCAGCCATGCCAATAGGAAAGTAGCCAAACTGAAGCCCGCACTGGCTCCCATGGCAATGGCGTATCGAGGTCCGTCACTCTTGGGCCACAGGTACGGAGTCCAGATGAAGCTTGCATTCATGATTGTCGTCACGATAGCGATGGACGCGCTCTTCTTCTCCTTGGTCTCTGTAGTAAGAACTTAGCATATGCTTATACAACGTGATTGAGGCTGGCAAGACTGCGAGTATCATCCGAAATCTCGATTGGAAATTAATGTATGATGCCAGGGCGTGAAGCGGGGGAAGATTCGTATCGAAACCTCGGAACAGCTGAGATTGGGGAACTCACGTCCACAGACACTACCACACCAGCCTAGGATGAGACTATTCACTCCATAAGTTCCAATCGTGAAGATAACCATGGCGACATAACGGCCTGCCATGTTCATTGTAGCAGCTGCGGCAACGAAGCCAACTATGGCCACACACTTTGAAACCGTAATGTGCCAGGTGCGCTCGTTATAACGACCGGACGACCAAGACAGCAGGATCGTAATTGCGCCGGCGATCAGGTAAGGTGGGCATGTGAGAACAAGTGTAACTGTTTCACCAAGGCCGAGGGTCTCAACAACCGTAGGGAACTAAATATCAAAGATTTGTCAGAACCAGATATTCCCAAAGTACGGAGCAAGTCGTTTCGTTTTTAATCCCCATACATATAACGTATGTGGCGCCTGCATACAGTGGTAAACGCTCAAGACCAGGGCAGAGCAACTCACAAAGTTTTTGAACCCGTTAGCCGCAAGATGCATGTGGGCCATGCATGCAAAAACCCCTAAGTGGTCAAGTTAGTCCTGCTACGGGCCCTAAAGTGTTGTATTGTAGGACATTCCGAGACATGAAAGACGAGGATCCGTAATAAAAAGGTGAAGAGTGATGCTTACACACTAGAGGATCACGAGCCGCCTGTTTGAGACCGGCCAGAGTGCCCGTCTCACCCTTGTTCTGAACAGTGTCCAATTCCATTCGGTTATATGCTAACTGCCGCTCCTCCTCGGTGAGCCATTTCGTCGTAAGCGGGAAGTCCGGAAGCACGAAATATCCCACAAGAGCACTAGGCACAAAGTCATGTCAGTATGATCACGTCGGGATGCAGAATACCTGTAAACTAACATCACAAAGGTCACAACGCCCTGCAAGATGAATAGCCACTGCCAACCTGCAAGACCCATGGCATTGTCCATGCCATGGAAGACACCAGCGGCGATCAGACCGGCGAAGGCCGTGGCAAGGACGTTGCCGGTGTAGAGAATGGCGATGCGTGTGGCGATCTCCTTCCGGTTATAGAACACAGATAGGATATATACGGCGCCAGGATAGTAAGGGGCCTCGGTGACACCCAGGAAGAAGCGGGTAAGAAGAAGGCCGACAAAATCCTTGGATAGAGCCGTAAGCGCGCTGACCGTCGCCCAAAGCATCATCATGATTCCCTTTATTAGTAGCAAAGTCAGCTCTCCCGCGGCCCAACCGTTAACGATTTTGACTTACCATGTAGCGGCTAGGCCGAGTTCGGTTGATGAACATGTTGGACGGAATCTGACCCAGGATGTAACCAACAAACAGAATGCTCACGCATGTCTGATACTCTGCAAGCAATTGTCAAAACTTGCTCGAAGTATTCCGTAGCGGTACGACAACTTACGGGTACTCGACAGGTTAAGGTCTTCCTCCAAGTCGTTTAGACGAGCCAGAGCGATGGCGTTCCGGTCAAGATAATTGAGCCAGTACATTGCTGAGCGAGTCTGAGTACAATGATTTATGGGTCATCTCGACCGATAGAAGCAGAATCTAACTTACACCACAGCATAGGCATAATCCATCGATCGAGTTTCTTGACCAGAGCGATCTCTTTCGGGTCAGTTTTCTCGTACGCTCCGGAATAATCGACCTTGGCCACGCGAGGGATCGGCTTCTCTGGACCAGCCTCGCTGGCTGTGTGGAAGAGAGCATCATCCTGGTGGACGATGTCAGGCTTCTCGCTGCCCGAATCATTCTTGGTCATGGTTGTGGACATGTCTGCTAGGAGAAGTGGGACAAAATAGAAAGAAAAGCCAGGTCATGTGGGAGCCTGTCGATCGCGACATTTGAGTATAACAGGAATACCCTTCACCTTTATATCATTCCCGCCCAGTCATAGAGCTGCAGAACGCTCTCACTACATGCGGCAGCCTGATACGGGCGGTCGGCCACCAGGATGATGTTCGTGTCATTCATGAATGTATCCCGCCAATCTGGGCATTCTACATCTCGAGCAGGAACCCCTCAGGCCAAGCTCCAGGGGGTCCATTCACCACGATCCGAGCTGAGTCTATTCGACGAGAAGTGGGCCGACCTGTTGGCTCGCCTGTGGTGCCACGGCGCTAGAGGCAAGGGCTGATTTTGGAATCCGGGGGAACTGGAGCTTTCGAGGGGGAGCCTATCCGATTCTCTCCTTTAGCTTCCGGTGTGCCCCTTCAAAAGCCTGGGGAAGAATACCTCAACGCTCTTAGCTGCTGCACACCATAACTGACTAACAAGATAGCCAAACTGGCCACCTAGGTAGGGGCCTGAATTGAGCGTTGCGGTCAGGAATGCCAAGTTGACCGGGAAAACTTAATGTTGTTTACATGAGGCAGCGCGGAGCAGCCCAGATCCGTTGTCAGCTGTGAAGTGACCACCTTAGTAGGTACCTAGGTACCAAGGCAAGCACAATTGACGAAAAGTTCGTCACTACACAGTAGAAGATCGTACTTCGAGCGTCCTCGAGTCCGACTGGCCTTCTTGGAGACTGTTGTGACCAAGCGTCACGAGTCGGGACATTGTTGGAAGGATTTGTGTTCCAAGAGCCAAGGCCCCCTTGGCGACTTGTCGACACCACCACGATCCATCCGACCGCACCCTCATGTACCTCGCCCAGGAGCGCCACCCACCCCATGATACGCGGGTCAATCATACCAAGAGCCGGCAGTGATCACAAGCCTGTGGCGGCCTCGCAAACTTATGACTAAGTCAACGGCCCGGTGTCTTGGGTTGCAACACGGGCGAGAAACTCTCGGAAACATCTAGTTCGAGGCTCAGCCAGATCAGAAGTCCGCTAAAAAAAAAGGCCTCATGCTTCTGGCTTCACTAAAATTGGTTCAATGCTTAGCTTGTCAAGCACGATAAGAACGGGAGATGGAACTTTCTCAAGCCACTAACAGTCTTGTACAATTGCTTGTCCCCCCACCCCCACAATGCAACCGGTCGAAGAACAAGTCTCGGCGAGCGTTGGTCCTGAAGTCGTCGTGGTGCCGTAAAGATCCGCATCACTTACCTAGAGGGCTCACTGCAGAATCCAAGACCTGTAGAGTACCCAACTACGTCGGTGCAGTGATGCTCTCTCAAATGCCAAAAAGAAGCGAAGGTGGGTCAGGAGGTGGGCTGAGTATTAAGCAGCGAATGCAAGTGTACCTAGGTAGGAGAACACTCTTGTCTTTGGATCTTAAAGTCTTGGCGGACAACACTGCGACAAGACCAGCGACTAGTTGGATCCAGCGCCGGCCCAGAGAAACGACCGGGACAACACGGAATGACTATTGGGATTTAGGCACAGCGCGTTTGTTGTTTGGATTTGCTCGGCCGTCTTCGCCACTGTTAGGCTTGTCGAGACCATTCTAGACCCCCGCTCGGGCTCATAGCCCGCTTCATGGTGAGAACACAGACCCTTGTTGCCAATCCACAATTAGGTGCTTGATGTTGGCCGACGGCGCGGTGGAGAGGCTAGCCTATACAAGGAAGCCGCGCCTGAGTTATGCTTGGGGAGAAACCCCGGACGCCAAGGTGTAAACTTTGACCGTATCTGCGAGCGGTGTTTGGATCTCCAATCTCCCAGTTCCTGTCGGAGAACTGACTACCACCGTGCCCCACAACGTCTAAGAGAAAATTCTTATTACTGGTTTCGTTTGTATTCCATCTACATCCGAATACGTGGCGCCTTCATAAAGTGGTAACATTTGAAACGCTTAAGACCAGCGAGAGGCCACGTGCCCACAGACGTACTGTATTGTCCCTATACTGTTATTGGCAATGTACCTAGGTATTCTTTTTTTTAAAGGCTGGGACTAAAGTGTTTACCGCTGTATGAAGGCACCGCATACATTTTATATGTATGGGGATTATAAATGCAACCACCACAAGACCCAGCGCTTATTTAAAAAAAAACATAGAATATCACAAAACTTGGTATATTATATACCAACCCAGGGGTGACCACTGTATCAAGGGATGGTACGCCTCGGGATATATACCTAGGAACCTACATATGTAGGTATGGATTAAGAAAGAGACCACACTCACATATCGACTGCCTTGTCACGGCCCTACCAATCACCAACACATGGACACCGTGTATGCTATCTACTACCCGTCTAGTACCTGCTCGCGACTAACATATATACCCGCCTAGCTTTGCTCTTTGTTCTTAGGCTTCCTATATAACCCGAAGATCTGTGCAATTTCGATCCAGAAGCCAGGAGAGTCTTCCTCATAGTTGGCCTCGTACTCATCGATGGCTGGCGCGACCCAAATGAGATCAGCCTCTTCAGGCTTGACCATTTTAGTACGATGCGTCAACTTCCACCCCAAGAAGAGGACCGGTGCAATAATGACCATAGCGTAGTACGTGAAGAAGGACTTGACGTCCCAGCGGCCGGGGAGAAACACGCTGTAGCCATAGACGCAGACGATGGTGGTCATGAAAAACACACCAATGAAACCGCAGTATGGTTGGAATCTCCCATAGTAAGGGAGACGTGACCGGTCGAGTCCTTGAACTTTGCACGCTCTGTAGAAAAACAGGTATGTCGTACAAATGATGATGTAATTGATGACCTGTGCGCCTGTAACAAGGTTCACAAACCAGCTGAGAACCTGCGAAGTACTGCTAGACAGGTTGAGGAAGGCCAGGCAGGGGAAGATCATGGTGCAGCCAAGAGCGTAGACGGGCGCACCAGATTTGGTGCATTTCCTCAGGAACTTTGGCGCATGCCCATCAAGAGCCAATCCATAGAGACTCCGGGCACCACAATAGGTATAAGCATTTCCCGCCGAGAAGATACTTGTGACCAGAAGTGCATTCGTGATGTGAGGCAGAGTACCAATGCCGAGGTTGTTCATCGCAATCACACTGGTGACGTTAGTCCTGCTACGGATCCTCAAGTGCTGCATTCTACAACATTTCAAAAACATGAAAGAAGGGGAACCGTCACAGGTGAAGAGTGATGCTTACTAGGGGGATGCGGCAGCTGTTCCAGCGCCTTGGCCTTCGCCGGAAAGAATCGTGACAAGAGTCTCGTCGTTGTAAGCAATCACAATGCCAACACACAATGCGCTGCCAATGAAGAAGAGCCCGAAGCGGAGGTAGGCTGTCTTGAAAGCAGCCTTCAGGTGTCGTCGGGGCAGCTTGGTCTCACCAGCCACCATCGCAACATATTCAGGTCCAACGATTGTGAAAACGGCGCTCCACAAGGCACCCAAGAAGCCCTGAAAGCGGCCCAGGTCACCAGTTGTAATGTGCTCGGCAAAGGCACCGGGATTGTTCCAGTATCTGAAGCCGTATGCGTCGTGTTTCGGATTGCCTCCAACCATTGTGACGAAGGTAAAGCAGAAGACCATGGCCAGTAAAGCGATCTTGCCAGTAGCAAGCCAGAACTCACACTCACCGTACCACTCAACGGCGAAGACATTAATCGTACTGTGGGTGTTCGTAGTTAGTACAGCCCTGACTGAGGACCTGAACTTGTGGGGCAGACTGACAAATACAGCACGATGCCGACCGTGACCACAGCAGCAACCGGTATATCATCACGCCAGAACGACAACACGAGAGTCAAGGCGGTGAGTTCGAAAGGGATCAGGATGGCTTCATAGATGAAGAAATTCCACCCAGCCAGGAACCCAAACGACTCGTCAACCCATTTGCCAGCCATCCGAATGAAGGCACCTGTCACGGGCTGGAACGAGGCCATTTCGGCCATGCAGTTGTTCACGAGGCCCATAAGACAGGAATAGAAAGTGTAGGCGAGGAAGAGGCTGCCCGGGCCTCCGGCCGCGAGGCCAGTGCTGATGCTGACGAATGTTGCTGTGCCGATGGAACCACCAATTGCAATCAATTGGATCTGCCGATTCCCAAGGTGGCGCTTGAGCTGGTCTGGATCGGAGACGACATGGCCGACATGCACGCTTCCGTGTGTTTGAGTCAAGACGAGGCTCTTGCCTTTGTCTTCGCTTTTCCTGTCGGTGTCCATACCCACTCCAATGTCGGAGCTGTCCTTCGAGGAAAACATCAATTGATGGCCACGTGGTGGTCCAGGAAGTGGGATCAAGTGACAGAAACTGCGGGTACAGGACAATAACGATTGTGTAACAGGAAACTAAAGAATGGATTAAATACTGGAGTCTAGAATGCTACATGGCTCGGCCAATCTATTACCACCGGCAGACGGAAATGAGCCCGACATGTGCATCGGCTGAGCCGCAGCTGTTCGTTGTGATCTCTTATCTCTTCTCAATACTACCCCAGATCCAATGCCATGGAACCTGGGGTAGACCGGGATGGACCGTCCTACAAGCACCGGTGGTGGTGTCCTCCTTATGCCCTAGTGCTGTCTTGGGATCGGATGGTCTCCCGTCGTTCACTTATATAATCAGCCTTATCGCTACCGAACGGTATCATCCGTGATAGGCCCAAGCGGGCGAGGGGGAATCCAGTAAGTTGATAGGCACAACGTGCATGGCTGGGGCTGGACTGATACCTACGGTGCCATCACCTTTATGCGAGATGGACATGACCTGGGCCGTGAGCGGGCTCATGCATGTGATGTGCTGCCGGAGGGTGTCCAGGTGACAGTTATCATCGCTTCTGGCTCCCGGCGCTTGACGATATCGGCATCATTGACCAATGGTGTGTAAGAGCAGGACGGATGGCTACCACCGTGTCCCATCCGAAACTAAGCGTAACTCAAGCTAGAAGGGATTAAGTTGTGTTCGTTGTCCCTATATTGTCCCCGAAGTCTTGATGGCCATGAAGTATATCTACCCTGCCCCAGATCCATCTACTTGGCTGAGGAGGTGAGCCTTTGCATCGACATCAACAGAGACACTGCTATGAAAAAGGTCAACCGCTTCTTTGGATCTTTACGATCTGCCTCTCATGTCCTCGCGGCTCCTCCGCCAGTCGCTTCTCGCCCATCACCCCTCGCGGCTTTGCCTAATGGCAATCTGCTAAGGTCCCTATTCATAGCGGGGATCTCATCGAAGAAAGTATTCCTCATCCCTTGCCTCAAGATACTTTCTTTCCTCTCACAGCCCGGAAGAGGCTACCTGCTCAATGTCGACAAGAATCCTCTGATTCATGCAATACTCAAGAAAACGTTCTACAATCAGTTCTGTGCCGGCGAGACGGCATGGGAGACGAGACAATGTGTCCGCCATCTCAAAGACCTCGGCTTCAGCGGTGTCATTCTTACATATGCTCGTGAGACGGTCTTCGACCACCGGTCTGATAGGGCAGCCTTGAAAAGTGCATCTGAGCCTAAAAGTGCTGTTGGTTCCGATGTTGTATTCTGCAAGCACATTGACGAGTGGCGAAGTGGTACGCTCGAGACGATGAAGTTGATCGAGGATGGGGATTATCTCGCGCTCAAGTAAGTTGGACTGTGTTCTCCGAAGTCCGATCCCATATGATACTCTCTCCAACCAATACCTCTCGGAGTCCTCCGTGCCTATCTTGTACATCCGGGGGTCAGTAGCTGACTCCACGAAACAGATTGAGCGGAGCTGGTCCCAGTGTTACTGAAGCCTTCGCCACCGGTCAACCCGCGCCACAACAATTCACCGATGCCCTTGAGGAAATCTGCGCCAAGAGCAAGGCACGCTCAATCAGAGTCATCGTGGATGCTGAATCACAACACTTCCAGAAGGGCATCGCAGCGGCCACACTTGACGCCATGCGCAAATTCAACCGTGATGGCACCGCCGTCGTCTACAACACCTACCAGGCCTACCTGAAGCGCACGCCGGACGTGCTCGCCCAGCACCTCGAGGCGGCCAACAAGGACGGATTCACTCTGGGCCTCAAGCTTGTGCGCGGCGCTTACATCCTCTCAGACGACCGCTCCTTGATCCACGACTGCAAACAGGACACCGATGATGCATACAACGGCATCGCCAGGGGCGCGATCAAGCAGCAAATTGGCGAGTTCGGGGCCGAGGGCGGCAAGCCCTTCCCCTCAGTGAACCTCTTCCTGGCCAGCCACAACAGGGAGAGCGTCCTCGGAGCACACAGGCTGCACCAGGAACGGACGAGGCAGGGCCTCCCCACCGTGCCTGTGGGATACGGCCAACTGCACGGGATGTCGGACGAGGTGAGCTTCTCGCTGCTTGCTGAGAGGACCGGGCCAAGTTCCGGCCCGGAGGTCTTCAAGTGCTCTACGTGGGGAAGCATGGGCGAGTGTGTGGCCTATCTGCTGCGGAGGGCGGTTGAGAACCGCGATGCGGTCATGCGGACGACTGACGAGTACACGGCACTCAAGTCCGAGGCATGGAGGAGACTCAAGTTTGGATCGTGATCTTGCTAGCCTGGTCTTTCTGTACGTAGCATGCGTCGTAATGATATCACCATGAACAAACCACAAGCCAAACCGCATCTCCCGAGGCAAGCCGCTTGTGACGATCTGAGTTTCCCCTATCCAACGATTCATCTACGTGTCACTTGACCACGTCGTTATCGGAGACGCACGTCTGAAACCCAACCGCCGTAGAGCGGGGTGTGGGTCGCACCATCGGGTGAAGTCCCGGTGCGGCACCGGAGAGGCCGGCTTTCCCGTCAAGATAAGGAGCTTACAGCACTTGAGCTTAAGGTTTTACCCGAAAGGGAAGCGCGGCACACTAGTTAGTGCCTTTGCATGTCGTGAGCTGGGATTGTGCTACTTTTGCAACTTCGTCGTCAAAAGTGATCAACGTTAAGGCGCATATGACGATGTGCCATACCCCGTCCAGGCTCACTCGTAATCAGTCCCGTCTCTGTTTCTCCACCACGCCCACCTCCTTGGCCTCACAATTTGTTCAGTGCGTCACCCAAGGCTGACATCTCCATCCCGCGATTCCAATATGTCAACCCTGTGTGTCCTAGGTTGCGGTAGGTTTCCCCCACACTGCACTGCTCGCAGACGCACAGGCTTGAAAATGTATTAACGGGTGGTGCAAATAGGAAACCTCGGAACGGCCATCCTGACAAGCCTGGTTGAGGCCTCAGGGAAGGATGGAGGCTCACTAAAGATCAATAAGTTCATCGCCTGTGTGCGGAGTGAGCAGTCTGAGAAGCGACTGCGTGACAAGTTCGCCGGGGTCTCTGAGGACCGCCTGAGGATTTCGAGGAACCAAAATGCAGACGCAGTCAAGGACTCTGGCGTTGTCTTGGTGGGAGCTGATCCTGCAGACGTCCGCGATCTGCTGACGAAGTCGGGCCTTGAGAGCATCTCCCTTGAGGGCAAGTTGTTCATAAGCATCGTTGCAGGCTGGTCTCGACAGGACATCGAGGCTTGCCTCCCCAACGGTGCCACCACCGGGGAATCGAGGGCCCATGTTGTGCGCACATTGCCAAATATCGCGGCTACTGTCGGCCAGTCCATAACTGCAATCGAGTCGAATCCGGACCTGCCTCAGGAGTACCTGGAGCTCACAGAATCGATTTTCAATCACATAGGCAAGGCAGTTCAGCTGCCCCCGCGCCAGCTGGATGCCTTCACCGCGGTCGGGGGATCTACGCCGGCATTCTTCGCCGTTATTGTCGACGCCTTGATAGACTCCTCGGTTGCTGTAGGAGTGCCGAGGAAAGAGGCCACGGACATCATTGTCCAGTCGATGCTTGGGACCGCTACCCTCTTGCAGAGTGGGATTCACCCGGGCATCCTTCGGGATCAAGGTACCTCCCCTGAGGGATGCACGATTGGAGGTTTGATGGTACTTGAGGAGGCTGGTGTTCGAGGCCATATTGGTCGTGGACTTCGTGAGGCTGTCACAATAGCTCGGCTCATGGGCAAGGATCCTCACGTAAATGACACCAGGCATTAGACATGCGCAGAGCCGGGGGGTCTGACAATCAAAAGTTTTTCAAAACTAGTATGGCTCGGGTCGAAGAGCTGAAACTTAGAATGCAGAATGACCATTTCGCTCCATCATGTCTTTTAAATTACTGCTCTACTATTAAAGTTTCAAGTGCTCTGTACAACTCGAGATGCCGTGCTAAAGTCGACTCATGATCTGCCCAAAACGCCCAGAGCCACCAAGTGGTAGACTTTCTTCGATCTTTGCGCACTCGTCTGTCCCTTTTCGAATCGTCACCTTGGCTGTCTCGGCCAGTGGGGTGTATGGTGTCCTTGGCTGTAATTTCTTCTCTGCGTCCTTGATACCGGCATAAGTGGCGCTCCGGATAGCAGCTGCGTACTTGGTCGCACCGATTCCCTCCTTGATCTGCTGCTCGGCGAGTGCGCAGGTCTGGTGGATCTTCAATGCCTCGTCGTACTTCCCTTGTCGATAGAGATCATAGATCTTGACAATTGTCTTGGGGAAGACGTTCGCGAACGCAGCGATGCAGCCGACGGAGCCGGAGCTTAAGCCGCCAATGATGAAGTCGGACTGGCCGCCGAAAGTCGCGAATTTTGAAGGCGGGAGAGCAGCCGCGAGGCGGGTGATCTTGGCCACGGAACCACAGGTGAGCTTAACCCCGACGATGTTGTCGTGCTTCTGGGCAAGCCTGGTAATGATGTCTGATGAAAGGTCGACACCATTGCAGACCCCCGGAAAGTTGTAGATGACGATGGGCAGCTTGCTGCGCCTGGACACGTCCGCGTAGAATTTCTCGATGACTGCTGGCGTTGTCGCTTTGCCAAAGTATGCGGGCGGAAGGAGAAGGACGCAGTTGGCTCCTGCTTCTGCTGCATCGTCGATGTGCTCAATGACTTGTTTTGTGGCGTGTGCCCCGACACCAGCCATGATGGGAAATTCAGGACCAATCGCCCTCCGCGCCGTGGCAATGAGCGTCTTCCGCTCCTCCCTCGTCAGCAGAAAGGCTTCCGCATTGGTGCCGAGGATGACAAGACCAGCTAGCCCGGTCTTGGACAGGTACGCATAGTATTTTGCCTGTGATTCCAGGTCTAGCTCATCTGTATTCGGGTCGAAGAAGGTGACGGCGGGACACCAGACACCTCCGGGAGGAACCTTTGCAGCCATTGTTGTGATTGCTGCTTGCTGCTGTTGACCAATGATGGCGATGGCTTGCGCAATGGCTTACACGCAGAATGACCAGGGATGTGTTTCTAGTGTAGACCGGACCACCGTCTCACGCCTCAGTGAAATATTCACCCGGGCCTCTTGTGGTTATATTGGCTATTTGCTCATTGGTATTCGCTGCTCAGAACGCATCTGTACATGTGTAGGTGTTCATTTCCGCCCGTGACACCGCCATCGTCTATTACCGACACTGCACCCAGGCATCCCGAAATCTCGCCGGCAAGACCGACTATCTCCAACCTAGCTGGTCGGAGCGCATTGTGCATCGGATGGGCCGTCGCAGTGCCTGGAGCTAAGCGTGTCGATGCATGACCGGAAGCTCGCCCGACACACATGACTTGCTGGTGGGTCGGCCGATAAAGGTGACTTGATAAATGCATAGATTATTCGTCAAAACGGGTACCGGCCGGCTCGGACCCCATCGCCGGAGCACACTCGCTCCGTCTCATTGATTCAGTGCTCCCATGGGACTACCATTTTCGAGATAGCAGATAGATGTAAACTGCCGGATCCTGCCTCCGACTACGGGATGTGACGCATATGCATGTGCATGAATTAAAGGAAACCTCCTACGGACATAGCTTCCTTTGAGGGGAATCTCCATCCTATTGAACCACACTTATACATTAACGCCGCTTTGGTAGCGACCTGTCCAGACGAACGAGCAGCATCACCAATTCTCAGGTTTCTCTTGTGGCACACGCGGGACCGGCATAATGAACAGATTAGCAGCACCAAGCCGGCTGGCAAGACTTCCAGCCCGCAACATCCTACAGGGCGCTGCTGCGAGCCGAGGAAAGGCAACCGTCCCATTCAGGTTGCCAGCTGCGCGGAACGAGCCAAATGTAAGCCTTCACACCTTGTGAAAGACGTCCGAGGATGGGTTTTAACCCGGATGTCTAGCCCGATTACAGGAAAGGCTCCCCAGAGCGCAAGCAGATTGAGGAGACAGTGGCCAGGCTCAAGTCTCAAATCCCACTCAAGAGTGAGATCTTCATCAGTGGCAAGGTGCAAGCACAGTCTGCATCAGAAAGCCAGCCGCTCCCCAGCGAGCATGCCGTCACATTCACAGAATTCCCGTTGGCGACCAAGCAGCAGGTCTCCGATGCCATTGAGTCTGCGCTGAAAGCCAAGAAGTCATGGGAAAACACGGCCTTTGTCGACCGGGCCGCCATCTTCTTGAGAGCCGCCGAGCTTGTTACTACCAAGTACCGGTATGAGCTCATCGCGGCGACTATGCTCGGCCAGGGCAAGAACATCTGGCAGGGAGAGGTCGATGCCGCCGCTGAGCTTGCCGACTTCTTCCGACTAAACTGCAACTATGCCGCCGAGCTGCTCGAGAGACAACCCGACCGTGGAAGCGATGGTATGTGGTCTCGGCTGGACTACCGACCGCTGGAGGGATTCGTCTATGCAGTCTCGCCTTTCAACTTCACGGCTATCGGTGGCAACTTGATCTCTGGGCCCGCGTTGATGGGCAACGTCGTGCTCTGGAAGCCCTCGGCGTCCAACATCTACGCTAGTACCATCGTCTACAAGATCCTCTTGGAGGCTGGTCTACCTCCAGACGTGATCCAGTTCGTCCCTGGTGATGCTGAGGAGATCACTTCCACTGTGCTTGCTCACCGGGAATTTTCCGGCCTGAATTTCGTCGGCTCCTCTGACGTCTTCCGCTCCATCTACGCCAAGATCGGCGAGGGCATCGGCAAGAGGCAATACCGGGACTTCCCCCGGGTTGTCGGTGAGACGAGCGGCAAGAACTTTACCCTCATCCACCCCTCAGCCGACATCTCCAGCGCAGTCAATCACACAATTCGTGGCTCATTTGAGTACCAGGGCCAGAAGTGCTCAGCCACCTCCCGTCTCTACCTTCCACAATCGAGATCCAAGGAGTTCCTCGAAGGCATCGAGTCCAAGGTGAAGGAGATCACCATTGGCAGCCCCGACAAGGACACCTCTGCCTTCATGGGCCCTGTCATCCACCGCCGGTCATTTGACAAGATCAAGGGCATCATCGACGCCAGCAACAAGGATCCTTCGCTGAAGCTCCTGGTCGGTGGTAAGTATGACGACTCGGTGGGCTACTACGTCGAGCCCACAATCTACCTCGCCGACTCGCCGACACACCGCCTGTTCGACGAGGAGATCTTCGGTCCCGTGCTGGCCATCTACACGTACCCTGACGACAAGTGGAGCTCCATCCTGGAGCAGGTCGACAAGAGTGGCGGCGGCTTCGCGCTGACTGGCGCCGTGTTTGCCAACGACAGGCGCGCCCTGAGGGAAGCGGAGGATACGCTGCGCTACTCGGCCGGTAACCTGTATCTGAGTGAGTCAACTGATCCGCCATAAATCCTCGTCCCTCGTCTCTTCTTGGTACAGTTTACTAACAAGGCACACCTGACAGACTGCAAGACCACTGCAGCTCTCATTGGCCAGCAATCCTTCGGCGGTAGCAGGGCCAGTGGCACCAACGACAAGGCCGGTAGCTCGAACGTTCTGTTGCGCTTCACCAGTCCGCGCTTGATCAAGGAGGAGTTCTTTGCGCAGACTGGCTTCAAGTACCCCAGTAATGAGTAGCATATGTATGAATTGATGTACCGTTTTGCCGCTTCACATAGTAACTAGTCTAATGGCCTTCACATGCTATCTGTCGTATGCGGGGCATCTGCCAAAGACGATCACATAATTTCAAGTGAAAATTGACAGATAGGTCTAAACCCAGGAACTTAGGAGGTAAGGATTAAGTAAAAGATCGAGCCGCGTACTTCTGGAGCAACTTTCAATCGTGTGGAGACAGTGGGTGTGGGATCTTTGGTTGCCCGGGGTCAATGGAATGTGAGCAAAATTCATGTCCTATATGACGAAGATACTTAAGCAGATATATCAGTATAGTGTTGATTCGAGACATGTTGCTATCCCTCTGAGCTGGTATATCCTTGGAGGAGCTGTGGACTGAGGCTATTCATCCTTATGCGCGCAGCTGTTTGTGGAAATATATGCAATTAGCGGCATTGTCAGCAATGCCGTTGTAGCATCCATCCTGAGGAATTGTGGAGCAGATAAGTAATCACCCTGAGGCAGCCTCGACGTGAGGGCTAATGGCATATTCCGAGACAAAATAAAACAGGCCATTTGCTGGTTATTATGTATCGGTAGCATGGTCTTGATGAGAATCTAATATCTATGGGTGTGCCTGTGCCCACAACATACTGCTGCCACAAGGATACCTTGAGCCCCTTTTACTTGTCCTTTCCAATCGCCTTCTGAGCACATAACCATATATCAAATCAACTGTCTGCTGGTTCCAATTAAGAAATTTCATGCTTCTGTACCCAGCCCATTCATAGCCAACATCAGCGGCTGCTGGGCACCCTGGCCAAGCCAGGCATTGGCCAATTGTTCGTGATCATCATTTCCCGGCTCCATCTTCTTGAGTACTCTTGCTTCTAAGAGAGGAGCGCATGTGATTATTGAAGATGACCCCAAACCCAAACGCCGGGACGAGCCGGAATGCACGCATGACGGTGGTTGAGGCAAGTTTCTCCCGCGTCTTGCGAGCGCGCTCCGCGAACCCCTGACGCCCGGGGCGGCCGTAAATATCCAGTGCAAGAAGGTGCACGGGCGTGGCCACGACCTGGGTCAGCGCGGGGACGAGCAGCTGGGACGCGGAGGCCTTGGCCTGGGCTGTGTGGGCGAGTGAGTCCGGGATGATGGCCGAGACCTGTGGCGCGAGGGCAAAGGAGCCGAAGACAGTGATGATGTCGCGCACGAGGAATGCCGCCGTGGCGGAGGTGGGCATCTTCCTCGGTGCTGCAGGTTGAGGCGAGATGGCCTTGTGGCTTCCCGCCCCGGTCTGCGCCGCAGCGCGTGATATCTTGGCCGCCTGGGGCCCGTGGGGCGAGCTGAAGATCTGTGAGAAGCGGACGTCTTTCCAAACGCCGAGGGGCGTGTTGACTATGAACACGGCCGAGGAGACGATGGTCCCCGTCAGGGCCTTCTCGACCGCGAAGTACTTCTCACACACCGTCTCTGTGACGTTGGCCGTGAGATATGTGGCCGCGTAAAGGGTCCACACCACAAAGACGGGCTTGGTCGCGAAGAAGCGACGCGGGTGGGTGAATGGACAGAGGAGATTCTTGGCCAGAGCCCTGAGTAGCGGGCTTGATGTTGATACACTCTCCACGACGGACCTGCGAAAGCATGAGCCTGTGGGCTGGGATTTCTGGGATGAAATTGGTCTCAAGGTTGCTCACCTGTCCGTGGCGGTTATGATGGGGGCGATGATGGCTGCCGATGTGACCGCTGCTATTGTGTCCGCCACCAGGTGACGGCTGAAGTCGGTTTCACCACGGCCGCCCAAGGTGCCCTGGTGTGGCCCTTGTTCCATGCTGCTGGTGAAAGACGACGATCACAGTTGGAGACGCACTCCAGCTGCGGCTTCTTGGTGCTTGCCACAAGAGGACGGAGGCCGAAAGGGCTGTCCATGGCCAGCACCGCTCACCTGGGCACTGACGGGGGGTCATCACATGCCCAATGCCCCAGAGGCCTATCAGTGGTATCCTGCATTAGAGTTCATGTGGGCATTTTGGCTGCCCAGGTGGTGGGTAGTCGCGGGCCGGTAACGCTTACCCGCTTTATCGCATTTCGGAAGCCGTCCCGAGGCGGATACTAGCAAGACTAGACGCCAAGGAGGGGCAGATACGACGGATACCACCGGCCTCCGGGCACGGGACGGCGGCCCGTGGTCACACTTGTCGACGACGATGAATGGTGACGAGAATGGAGTTGTTATCTACGACGAATCGGCACGAGTTCGTCTTGGGTCGACGAGAGTGGAATATCAGCCCAGCGCGCTCCTCGCTTGCCTGCTGTGAATTACACGATTTGGTGGAGCAAGGTTCAGCGTTTGTTTTCATCTACACGTTCATCCGCCGTTCCTTAAAGGGCCAGACAGCCCAGGACTAGCAGACCGAGAGTATTTACATCTTGTGGATGCCCGCATAACTGCACCCGCTCAAGCACGACGCCACCTCGTACTACCGCAAACAACAGCAAGATGGGCGTACAGAAACAAGATCACATTATCATCGTTGGCGCAGGGGCCTTTGGCCTCTCAACGGCACTTCATCTGTCTCAGAATGGTTACTCCAACGTCACCGTGTTCGAGCAGGACGATGAGGTTCCGTCAAGGTACTCGGCTGCCAATGATCTTAACAAGATCATGCGTGTTGAATATGAGGACCCCTGGTACACAGATCTGACCATGGTGAGTGACATTTGCTTGCCCTTGGCTCAAAAACGCCACAGCCGGCCAAGCCCATTGAATTACCAAGCGTTCTTGCTAATCAGAGTTCGAAACAAAGGAAGCCTCAGAGGCTTGGAAATCCCCCCTCTTCTCTCCCTACTTCCACAGGGTCGGCTTCCTGCACTGTGCATCAGGCAAGGCGGGGCAAAAGGCGGTTGACACGCTGAACCGGTTCCGCGCGGCCGCAGAGAGGCACCCAGAGCTGCGCCGGTTCGTGGTGCCGCTGGACTCAAAGACCGACATCCAGGACGCAACCTGGCAGCTCCAGGGCCCGTTGCCGGGTTGGAAGGGCTACCTGAACCGCTTCGACGGCTACACTCACTCAGCGGATGCGCTGAGGGCGGTGCACCGGGCAGCGGGGACGCGGGGTGTAAAGTTCGTGCTCGGTCGCACTGCAGGCGCCGTGGAGGAGATCGTGTACGACGGCGGCGGCAGCAGCAGCACGAGCGGGAAGCGGGCCAAGGGCGTGCGGACCAAGGACGGCCGGTTCCACCCCGCTTCGCTGGTCATCGTGGCCGCCGGCGCCGTGGCATCCAAGCTGGTCGCCGGCGCCGGCCAGTTTGTGCACGCCAAGTCGTGGTCGGTCGCGCACATCCAGCTAACGCCCGAGGAGAGCTCGTCCCTGCGCGGGATCCCCGTCGTCTACGCGCGTGACCTGGGCTTCTTCTTCGAGCCCGACCCGGTCACTCACCTGCTGAAGCTGTGTCCCATGGGCGCAGGCTTCGTCAACACCGACCGCGCTACCGGCGTGTCGCTGCCGCCTGCGCAGCACACCGACAGCACGGGCTTCCTGCCCGTTGAGGACGAGGCCAAGTTGCGGGAGCTGCTGCGTCAGACGATTCCTGCGCTGGCGGACAGGCCGTTCGTCCGGAAGTCCCTGTGCTGGTTTGCCGACACCGCTGATTCGGACTTTGTGGTCGACTACGTGCCCGGCTCTTCAAGCTCTGTGGTCCTGCTGTCGGGCGACTCAGGCCATGGATTTAAGATGTTCCCTATAGTTGGAAAGTGGATCACTGAGCTGTTGGCCTCCCCGAGCGGCCAGACAAACGCGCGGTGGCGGTGGAAGGAGCCGCCAAAGGCAGGAGGGGACTGGGGTAGTGCTGTGAGCTGGAGGGTCGGCACGACAACCGAGTTTGCGGACATCAAGAAGGCTGGTAGGGAGAGCAAGCTGTGATTGCATGGTTCTCGCCGTGACACCCGACACTCCTTGTGGACTTTTCTTCGAGGCATGGCTCATTCTTTAGTAGCGTAGCGCATCAATAGCTAGTTTTACCATATACTATTGTCCACTATTGCGCGGTCTATCCATTCAACATCCTCGTCCTGGATAGAACTAGCAATGGCCAATATATGCTCCGCCCATAAGTCATCACCACCTCCGATGGTGGTGTTAGGCATATCAAACGGCCCGGGCTGTGGTAAGTGCATATAGCCTGGGTTGTTCAGAGGAATATTGGCCGGCTCTGACTGAAATGAGTTGCCCTGAAACGAAGTGCCTCCAAGATTCTCGGAGGGAGCAGATCCCACTGACGAACTTGGGGGCTTGATCCGGGTTTCATCAGAGATCTCATTCAGCATCTCATCAAGTCGTTGGAATTCTGACTTGCGCCAGCTGGCAATCAGGTTGCCGCTTGATTCGATGTCCTCGAGCAGTGCAAGTGATCGTCGCACCCAAGAGTCACGGTCTACCAATAGGCCCTTGTCGACAGCTGCTGCGACGAGGAGGACTGTCGACGACACGTAGAGAGGGTCGAGGTCCAGCGAGAGGAATGTCTCTGCAATTTGCGTAAGCAAAAGACTGTACTTGCAGTCGTGGGGGTTCAACGTGGATACTGCTTACCGAGTAGGCCTTGAGCCTGCAGGCTCTCGAGGATTGTGATTATTTGCTGGGCAGCTTCCAAACACATTTGAATAACAGTGCCAAACCGATCTGGTGTGGAGGGCTTGGAACCCGCGGGCGATTCAAGCCTTATTTTCAGGCAGCAGAAGACTAGGGGCCGTGTTGCCAGCACGATACACTATTCATATGAAGACAGGTCGGTCAATGATGCTTAACGGGTATTTGCGAACAAGGGGCCCCCACAAGTTCTCATACCTGGTGATAAAGAAGATGAAGCGAGGCCGACATTCTAGACACCCCGTCGACAGATTGATCCAGTCTCAATGGTAGGGTCTTGGTGAGCTCGCTCGCCAGAACTGCTATATGCCCCAGGGCCGCCTTGGTGCTGAGCAAGAAATTCTTGTTGGGCTTGCCATTTGCGCCGTAGACAGCTACAAGGGAATGGCCACGTCAGTCTGTCGACCGGGGTCACAACATGGTGGCAAGGAAAGAGAACACGGATGTGCGATGACCGGGAAAAGTTTCTCACTGTTGTTGACCTCGGCAATCAAGCGCGCTAGCTTGATATGAAGGTCAAGGGAAGCCGTCCGCTGGGGAGAGCCTTGATATACGGGAAGGCGACAGTGTACATCGCCGTCTTGGATAGATTGTGGCAGGCCCATCAGACTCGTCATTTGGCGATCTAATATGTAGACTGTCCACCAGATCCTTCGACACCTTTGTACATGCGGCTCCCCAAGGTGGACAACTGGCATATCTGTGTGCATCCCGTAGGAAAGAGCGGTCCGCATAGCTTGGCCGATCTGAGGCCTATGTCAGCTTGAAAGAGACCAAGCGAGTCAACAGGCCATGGAAAGGACATACAAACAAATGCGCGGCGTTACGGTGATCGACAGACTGTAGATAAAGTGCTATGCAGCAAAGCATCTCGGTCGCGACAACGGGGTCGTGATGGAGAATGTGTGGAGGCGGGAGAATCTGCATGGCCTTAAGGAAGAACTCTGCCCCGCATGGGCGTTTTCCCGATGGCTTTTTCATGACGAATATCTTCCCGAAGGCCAGGATAAGGAGAAAATGTATGTACCACAGACCGGCGTTCTCCCGTGCGACATGGCGGTCGGGCTCGGCATAGAATTGATGAAGACGCTGGTGGAAATCGTTGTCGTCAAAGAGGTGGAAAATCTGCCCGCAGTGGAATTTGACCGCATTGATGAGATATTCAGAATAGTCGAGACTCGGCACGGCCATGGACGGTTGGTCCTTGACCGAATCCGATGGGGAGCTGGTGTCCAACAAGCCGTCCCTGTTATTCCAACCCAGATCGTAGGCGCTACCATCAAAGAGCACCATAGAGGGTGGCAACGGGGCTTGGTGCAGATACTCGTAGACCATCTGCAACAGTTTGCTGGAGAAGGACCAGTTTGATGTTGTGCCGAGGTAGACTATTTGAAGCAGTGTCAGTCGACATGATGGGGTGGGAAGGCAGTCAAAGAGGGGCCAAGACAAACAGGTTCTTCCGTCTGATGTCGACATGAAGGTCGACGGTGAAGCAGCGAGCGCATTTGTGATGCCCGCCTGGTTCAACCCCTGGTCCTCAGACGAGCCGCTGTGGACGGCATGGTCCATATTGATGTGGGAGTTGCCTGTGTGGCCCCCAGGGGAGGGAGGAGGTCAGTCTCTGGTTGGACGGTAGGACTTGTCTGAGAGCAAGCTGGGCCGACACACCATCTTCGTAGATGCCATCATCGCCTTGAGCTGATACTGACAGGGCCGACACGCTGCCCTCGGCGGCGGGACGTGGTGGTGGTGCAGGAGGCAGACAGCCTTCAGCTGGGGGCGGCGAGGGTGGGTGGTGCAGCTCTAGGCGTCCACTTCTCCGTTGTAGGTCCAGGAGGTACCTGGAAGACCTCTTTCAGTACGCTCAAGGTTGAGAGAGGCTGGCATTCTGGAAGGGGGAGCATGTACGCTCTGGACACGACGACCTTGGTTTCGCTGTCGTCGAAATTGCAGGGGACCTTGCGTTTCCTGCACCCCTCACAAGGCTGCAGCCCCGAGCACTTGATCTTTTGCTTGCGGCAACGAGAGCATCTACATCATGTGAATGCCGTGTTAGATGAGAGAGGCCTTGGTTTTTGGTGGCGGCGGGAAGTGAGTGGGGATTAGGGGCACTTGCGCGTTGGATGATCGTTTTGCCGTCCTTTTCGCAGTCGACGTCTCCATAACAACAACAGCAAACACAACAAATTCCAGATTCCGGCCAGTTCAGGAGAGCGTGAGGTTTGTGAATTCCGTGAGACCAGACTGGCTTTGGGATCACCGCGCTGGACGTGACAATGCCCGTTGTTGTCGACCGAGGTATCCGTGCCTCTTCTGGCAGTTCAGAGAGAGGCTGGGCCTGGGCATTCGGGCCCTGAGCGATTGGGGCGTTATCTGTGGAGGCTGCCAGCCTGCTGTTAGCGTAGGGCCGTCCATACTCCGTAGATAGGCGGTGTTCTTGGTTGGACCCCCTATCTTGCGGTATCGCGCGTATCTCTGGGACCCTGTTATCAGCCGCCTGCCTCCCCCGCATTTCCCCAGATTTTCAGCACAACACCGAAGAGGTGGGTGGGCAACTTACACGGTAGGGGCGTCCCTGCTGGACCGCTTCTGGCAGCCCTGGGAGAGTTGCTCTCTCGCCTCGCTGACCAGTGAGCCACCTCGCCTGGCCTTGGCTGAGAGTCTGAGACGGCGACTCGTCAAGCCTCCACCTGACGACAACGCATCAACCCTTGCGCCGATGACGGGCAGGCAGTGGGCGTGTTCATGCAGCCATGTGCCTCCGTGCGGACGTCGTCGGCGTTGTCATGTTGAATCATGGGCGTGCAGACCAGCCAGCCAGCCAGCCAGCCCGACCAAGGCGGGCTAATTGCATAAATCCTTGGCCCCACACCCTGCGATACCAGCAGTGCACCTGCGTGTCGGCTCTGCCGGTGGCCATCGGCACCTGTCCCGGTCGCCTCATGCGACTATCTCTGGCCAGGTCTAGGCCCTCAATTACTCGAGACCCGTCACGCGCCGTCTGACTTGTCCACCGCAAGAGCTGGGCCCAACGTGTGATCACGATCCCCAACAGCTCAGCTTCTTCTGGCCTTGGTTCGAAACCTAGCTTCGCCGCTGTGGCTGCGGCTGCGCGGGGACTGGGACGGGGAGGGGTAGGGGTGCATGGTTATTACTTGAGAAGAATGCTTCTTGCTCAAGCTTGCCTATCCGAGACAAATCCTAATCACCCGGCGCGGCTCTGGAAAGCTTGCTGTGCCACGCATTGTATCTGCCCCCACCGGTTCGTGAGCACGAGGTCCATATCGGTAGAATCGGCAGAGATACCATGTTATCTGCTGGCTCCTTGGTCAGGTCCTCTCCCACTTCTTACATGCAAGAATTACATCAAGCATGTGCAAGCTGGACCCCACAAGAAGAAGCCGTAGAGAGGAATATGCTGCCGAGCCCTTGAGAGTGGTTTGGGACTGGTTGAAACCTTTTTGGAAAATCGCCATCCAAGGTCACATCGTGCACGATATGTGAAAAACTTCATAAAGCTTGGAAATTGATATTTCACTAGCTCATAAGTACATTGACATGTCGTCGAACGAGCCGTCACCAGGCCCTTCGCGAAAGCTCAGGACATGGCACATTAAACCACGATGGGAATATCTAGACTTTTTGTCAGCTTTTCCTTGGACCATCCAATCCTACGTGGCTTCAAAATGTGGGGGAAGGGACACCAGCGAAAGCAAGTGAGAAGGTAGAGCAACAAGCTATTGTCGTTCCAGTCACGGCGAAGTCTGTGCGCATGTGCAATCACAACGAGGCGGTGGCTGGCTCCAGGATATCAATGCACGGATGGCATATATTCGTGTCTGCCACAGACATCCCAGTGACCAAGGGACCAAGTGGTCGGAGTGTCCTGACAATAAGTCATTTGTAAAGTGGATTCGAAGCCTTCTGCAGTCATCGTCTTGCCAGCCTGCAGGCACGCTACTTCGATGATTCCTTCCCCCCCCCGGGATATAAACACGAGCTTGGGTCTTGTTTTAAGTGTCCTAGGCTCGAGTCATTCTCCTATCCGAACAAGGGCTTGCCAAACACCGGCTGCAAAATTACTCCAAGATTTACCTTAAAAACTTCCATGAACACGACCTCCTGAAGTCAATTTCTGGCCAAGACTCATAATCGTGCCTCGCGGTGTGACTGGCCGTTTCCCGACTTCACCACGTTGTTGATTGCCTTGGCAACATAGTCAATGTTGCCGCCGTTCAGCCCGGCAACATTGATACGACCCGTCGATTCTGGCAGGTGGACATGGTATTCATCTCGTAATGCCACGCATTGGTCTTTATTCAGCGGCAGATAGCTGATTAGAAATTTAGTCAGCCATGTATTCGGGGGGAAGGGAGGGTGCCCAGGTAGTAGTACCAGAATAAGCCACGGGTTGATGTGATCACTGACCAGTCGCCTGGTACCTACAAACTGTTAGCATGTTGGCTTCGCCCCTGTGCAAATATATGAAAGGACTCACTCGATACTCGTTGACCACTGCATTGTACAGAGCTCGCCTGACCGAGACTAGCCTCTCCCTCATAGAATCTAATTCGTCGCGCCTACCAATGATTATACTGGTTAGCATTCATATCTGGTAGAGCGGTTCGTTTTGGAAACAGGCCGACCCACCATATTTGAGCCAGCTCCTTGCTCTCCAAAGCTATGGTCACCAAACGCGACCCATACGCAGGCGACGATGAGAACTCAGCGCGGATCAGCGACCGTAATTGATCACGAACGTTATCCGCAGACTGCCTCGTCTTCCCGACAACATGCAGCGCGCCGCAGCGCTCACCATACAAGCCAAAGTTCTTGGCAAATGACTGTGCCACCATTACCTCGAGGCCCAGCTCCACGAACCGGCGGATGCCGTAGGCGTCGTCTTCGAGGCCCTCACCCAGGCCCTGGTACGCAATATCGAAGAACGGAAGCACTTCGCGCTTGCTGAAGGTCGTGGCTAGCTGGTCCCACTGCGCCTTTGTCAAGTCCGCGCCCGTCGGGTTGTGGCAGCAGCTTTGCAGGATGAATATGCTCCTGGCCGGTGCCGTCTCAACGGCTCGCAGCATCCCTGAAAAATCGACGCCGGTCTTGGCATCGTAGTACTTGTACTTGGCTACTCGCATTCCGACCAGGCTGAAGATTGATTCATAGTTGCCCCATGCAGGCGTCCCAATAAAAACAGTTGCGTCTGAGAACTCAGGGGAGCGTCGTAGGAATAGAGCGGCCAAGTGGTTGGCGCCCGTGCCAGAAATGGTCTGCACAGTAGCCACCTGTGGAGTCCGTGTAGTACTCGTTAGCTTCTCTTTGTATACTCTCGTCCATGCCTTACATCTACGGATATTTTAGGGGGTCATTACCTTTTCATCCTTCACTTGCGAGCTAGACTTTCCGAATATGAGCTCGGCAGCATGCCTCAAGAAGTTCTTGTTCCCAATAGTGCTTTCGTACTGTTCAACGCGAGATGTTCGTCAGTCCAGCCGGCTCGAGGTTGCTTCACGATTAAGGGGTACACGCACATCATGGCCCGGGTTCATTTCACCCAGGATTCTTTTTGCCTGATTGTTTTGCACACCGGTTGTCAGATTGTCTGCAATCTATAAGGACACAACCGACCGTCATCAGTCAGAGCTCACCCGTTTGACAGCTTCTAGTTCATGGTAGCCACCACTATCGTTTCGATAGACACCAACACCAAGATCTACCTTGTTTGGTGACAGGTCGCCATCGGCTAGTTTCTTCAAGGTAAACACAGGGTCCGGTGGACCTGGAGGCACATTTTCGAACATTATGACCAATGTCGGATCTTCTGAGCTCGGTGGAACGCTTCCTGAAGGGTTGCGCTGGACAACAAAGCAACACAGCCCGGCTGAACACGCTGGCGCTTCCGCTGAGCAGCACAAATCCACCTGTAGACCTTTTAAATGCTCCGCTGTGAATGATTGACAGATTCCCACTAGGAATCTTAAGAAGTGCCGGCCGGCATGGCTACATACGGGATACTGGGCGCCCTGGCCGTTGTCGGGAGTGCTTCCGGTCCCGCTCGGGAGAGTACCCGAGTTACCTCAGATGCACGCTGCACGGCTTGATTACTGAAGTATACTTTGATCTGAGCTATTCACAGACTTTATAACGCAAAAATCATTGCCACGTTTTTGAATGAAATCTAGGAGCTTGTTTGCAATTCTTCGAGTTAGGTTCTCTTTTTCTTTTCCGGGGGGGGGGGGCATACACTTACCTTGCTCAAGTGCTGCTAGTTGGTCAAGCACTTGGATGGTCTGCATCTCGCCTCTTCAAATAATGCTGAACCCATTCGCCTGACTCAACCTCCTTATCTATCATCCACGCATCTGAAGAGATCATGTGACATACAGCTATGGAGCTCAGGGTACAGCATAAACTTCATGTCTACTAATAGAGATATCCTCAAACACTGCATATGCATGCTGACTGTGATCAACTGGATGGATTTCAATGCTGAAAAACAGAGCGCTATATCCTCCAACTTCTTCACTCTAAATTCATTGGGATCGAACCGAGCCATTCTGATTTCCTGGACTTCCTAGCCCCAACTGCCATACTTTCAAGCGTGCCTCCTAGACCTTCCCTTTGATCCGCTCTCTCTATTTCAACCCCTGTCGGTCCTTTTGAAGACTCAGGTACCCAGTGAAGATGGACTCCCACTCTCTCGCTCCGCACTGCCTTTCAGGTTTCCAGCCGAGTTTTTCGATCCGGCTTGAACGTACGCACATATGAGAACTCAGCCCCACACCTAGGTGAAGCATCCACGAGTCCGCAGGAGGTAATGGGGCATCTGGGTCATATTCCTTGCCTCCCGAGACGATGGTCCGCACTAGGTCCAGCTGAGACATTGTCTTGATTTCTTGTCGGCTTATGACACCAAGCTTGTGAAGCGACGGCACAATCTCAGACATTCGGTCGTGGAACTGGATGATTTGCCCGACGACCCAATAGTAGGCTTCCCTTCCCCACAGCGGAAAGCCGGCAGGCTCATGTGGGACGTCGGTGCCATTTTGAAGAGCCTCCACAGCATTGTTCACAAGGATGAGGTATGCGCGAGCCAGATCGAGCACGTCTACTTCTGCCATCCGGTTGATTCCATGGTTTACCTCAAATCCCGAGTCGAATGCTTGTGTCGTGAAAATGTAAGCACCAGTTGCCAGAGGAAAGGGGTGCTCGATAGAAGGGCTCACACCCGCAACTAAACAAAGGCGTTACTTAGCAAACAGCTTCATAGCAATTTTCACAATTTTCATCATGATTTCGCGAACATACCGCCTGGGGGGGATACAATGGCTACGTTCACCTTGGAGCTGGCGGCGCGCACGGCGTTATCAGTCACGACATGAGTCTTGTCCGGGCGCATCGCCAGCAACTCGTCGATGTCCGCGATATCGTCCCAAACTCGAGGTTCATTGCCCGGCTCCGGATCTTCATAGATACAAGAAGCGCCGCTGGTGTGGATGTAATAGCCCTTGCGATCTCGAGCGCTGCTAGCAAGGCCATTCAAGATCGCGGCAATACCGGCATCATGAGTAATGTCTGGGGCAGCATTGATAACCAATTCCGCCTTCTTGGCTCCAGCTTCGAGCAAAGCATAGTCTTCGAGATCGCCAATGACAGTATGAACTCGTGGGTATTTGGCTTTCAGTCTCTTTGCTTTGTCCTCACTGCGAACGAGCACCTCGAATGTCGAGAGGGGGTGCTCCGTGTAAAGTAGATCCAGGACAGCACCCCCAACATGCCCGGTGCCGCCGACTCTGAATTCAGATCATCAATCTCAAGTAGCAGCCCAGACCTCCCTCATATTGACTTCACTTACAGGAAAAGTTTAGCCATAGCATCCGGTGTCGGTGATAGTGTCCAAGTTCCGTGCGTGCGGCGTGATCCTGTCCCGTGCGAACATCTGCAGCGCAGACACTGCCCAGCATGGACGAGCACCGCAAGATATAGTAGTTTTGATAGTTCGGACACCCGCGGAGGGCCAATGCTCGGCGGCTTTCACTATCGCGGAAAGTGTGCTGCAGCACAGCAAGTCCAGGGTCTCGACTCGGCCAATTGAAACATCGTGGTGCGATTTGAACCACTTAAAAGCGTCAAACGGACCCATCATTTTGCCATGATTCGTGCAATGCGGGTGGATATTCCTGGGGACGCATGAGATGGGGCAAAGCCTGTCGTATCTCTATTTATTAGGCCTCGGTATATGGAAGATGCCCGAGAACAAGCCCCCTCCTCATTTTGAACACCTGAGGTTTTTGGATTGTCTAGGATTTGATGGCAACGGACACAGACTTGGACTGTGATTGGTGGGTGACATTTAACCTTCACCCATGGACGTCGCGGCGCACCTGCGCCTCAATTCCAAGGTTGATATCCACGGATCAGTACCCAGGTAGCTTTGGGCCGCCTTCAACAACTTGGTCATGGGCCGGCTTGCGAGAAATCACGAGCACGAAGCGCAGTCTATTTTGCAACTCTGTGAAGTCATCTGCCGTCTTGGAATTATCTTGGAATACTCCTGGACCCAACATTCGGCGGGGTCTAGAGCAGGCTTTCCCTGGCTCTCTGCAAAAGAGACACCTGGGCATTCGCACCTTGGCTTTGATGCGGTAGACACGTGGGCATGTCCGAATGCCTCTTGGAACTCAGATTCTGTGCTAATAGGAACTCCTTACGATCGATCTTGGACGTTCCGCCACGTGCAGAATTAACCTATGGCTGCTTTATTCCACGCTATCAGCCTCATTCCGCAATATGAATGCGTGATAAAGCTGGCCTAAATTAAGCGGCATTGCCGTGCTGGGAATATTATATTTCCCAGGTGTCAAAACTTGGAAGGAGTGCAATGTGCCATTTGGCAATTGCATTACCACTGTCCTTTGCAAAACTGTAGACATTGGCCTTTTACTGGTGAAGCCACTCACATCTGGGCGCAATCCACCTACAGCTCCCAGCTGCATTGGTATCAGCTTTGATGTGACGGAGAGCGCGATGCAGTCGTCGCTCTGATGTCTGGCATCCATGAATCTGTGAAGAAGCCAGAGCCTGAACAACATGGTTGAGACTGGTGCTTCACTCGGCCCCTGCTCAAGTTCTGTTAATCCTGACAAATTGAGTGGACTTGTCGAGTCTTGCACCCACAGAGTAATGATGCAGACGTGGTGATACCGTCGGGCAGCCAAAGAATGGCTGGGTACTTAAAGTACCTAGGGTAGGTAACATTTGAACGGTATTGCCCTATCCTTCGGCGCCCGCAGTGAGACTGTAGTGATTGGACATGGTTTCATACACACGCAACCAAAGCAATAGTCCCAAAAGTCCAGAGCGCTCTCGGTCGTTCAGGTTCTTTCGTCTCGATACTGAAAATACAACAAACCTGGTAAACTAGGCGCGGGAATGAGCACTACAGTTCAGTCATCCCGATGACGTCAAAGGCAGCTGAGTTTCTCCATGTCGTAGAAAATCAAGGCATTCTTCAGCTATGAAACGGCGCCAGTCAATAATACTTCATCACCTTCTGCCCTTGTCACTCATTCATATTCATTATTTACAACCCTACCACTCAAACAGTTACATACAATACTTTGGAACCCTCACATCGTCGACGATGGGTGCTGTCTCTCAGTTCTTCAAGCGTGTCCTCTACGGCCTCGCATTAGGTGCAGCATCCGGGGCTTTGGCAGGCATACTTCTCGGGATCGGCGTAGGCCTTGTTACCGGCGCAATTCTTGGAATTGTACTGGCGATTCCCTTAGCGCTGCTTGCGGGCATTGTATTAGGTCTCATTGCGGGAGCTAGCGATGCCGCTGTGGAAAAGGTGGCCGCCATTCTGAGCCAGGCCAAGGCAGCTGTGACAAACCTAATCAATTTCGGATTGGGTCTTCTAGAGGGCGATCAGAAGAGTGATTGATGGAATCACGTCCACACCATTCACGGATGCCTAGACAAAACAAATGAGCAAAATACCAGCGTGCCAATTCGCTGAAGATGCCTGGCAAGAGACAGAAGACGGAGTCGAAAGCATATGAAATGAACGAGACAGGCTTCCGGGAGGAGATACCAGAGACGCGGAAGCCGTGCGGTCCTACAACTAATTACCTCCCGGGGTCAGCAAACCCACAGTTCTTCCACCACCAACGTTGCGACAAGAACACCACAAGCAGCACGAAGGTTGGTGAGGTTGGCAACCTTTCCGGGGATCAAGATACCGGCAGTTAGTGCACACCAGCTGAGGCAGAGATTATCAGGGGCTCAAGTTATTCATCGGTGAAATAGAAATACCCAAAGATGTCTAGGCATTCATATCAAGCTACCAACCGTTCGGTGCGGACCCTCTGGGAATCGACGCAGGCACGATGCCATCCTCCCATTCTTCGTACCCCAAAGATAATTCTGTATCATCCAGCTTGTTTTACACCCATTCGTTCCCGCAGGCTTTCTCGTGCTTCGGGGACACGGCGTTCCGCCCGTAATGCTGGCACCCCCGGAATAGCGGGCTCATCACAAGGGGCATATTCACACATCAATTTGGTTGACGACTGTTTCTGTATATGAGGTGCCCGGAAGCCCTTGCCCAAAGAGGAACCGTGGGTGAACGTATAGGCCGATCTCTCTCTTGCTCATACAATTCCTTAGGAGTCCTCTGCTGCTCCTTGAATGCTGTCTCGATCACATGGGCGTTTTGAAGATGTTTTCGCTGTGAAATTCTTTCTTTTCAACGGTTGACGGAGTTCGAAGAGGTCTCCAACGTGCTGGCAGCTTGCCTGCACGTTGCCCTCTCTCGCGAGAACTCGATTCTCACGCGGCGGCAGGGAAGAGGCCAGTTGAGAAACAACTGCACGGCCAGTCAAAGGTACCCTTCTGGAACTTGACGAAGGGCATTGACGAAGGGCATGGGATGGTATTGGCGCAGTCTTACCTCCAAGCTGACTGACGATATTTGTTTCTGGAGGTGGCGTACATCTGGGCAGCGGGTCTTCCCCTGGTCATTATCCATGCTGGCCTTTGTGCGAGCAAGGTGGCAAATCCGAATGGCACACTTTACAAAATTTCGTCAAGATTGACTTGGAGACTCACTTTAGGAGGCTAGAAATGCGAGGCGCCATAATGGCTCAAAACACCAGGGAGAGCCGCTACACATCGATAGTGGGTGCTCATCAGTGCGTACGAACTTGGTAGCGATTGGTCGCAATTAATGAACACGCCAGCCCGTGTAAGTGTCCCACCAAGACTGGACGTATCGGTAAAATGATTCGGGACACTAACATGTCTGGTGGACAAGACAATCCGCCACTGCTCGGTGGGCTTTGTCCTCACAGTAGGGGGCCAGTTCCTATTGCCTGCTCAGTTTCTGAATTCCACCCTGTAGGAGCCATAGCAGCGCTTCTTTCAACTTGCTGGGACTCGAGGCAAGACTAGCGCAAAAGAATTGCATCAAATAGTGATTCCAGTTTATATGCCACGAAACATAGGAGACCTGTGACCGAGTTTTCAAATTCCTCATTAAACACACTGGCAGTGATGCATTTTGTGTCTGCATAGGTATTTCTTTGCGAATGTATAATACTCGACAAACGCCCGACTCCTCAAAATGCAAGCGAAATCATCAAACAGCTCTTAATCTTCCATAGCTGAAGTGGCCTTCTTCTTGGCATGTCTAAGCTTCGATTTGCGCTCGGCAATATGCTTGTCAAGTTTGTCGTCGTTGCCGTCAGCCACTGCTGCTTTCTTCGCCTTCTTGGCCTTGGGCTCGTCGTCCGAGGTCCCGTCTATTGACTTTCGCTTCTTCCCAACATTAGCTTGCTCCTTTCGGGCCTCAATTGCCCTTGCCTGCTCAGACCCATCAGGGACGACGTCGGTCTCTGCGTCCACCCAGAGCTCCTCATCCTGCCAGATTGGCAGCGCCACAGTCTCAGGCCCCTTGACAAACATACTCTTTATGCCATTCTTCTTCTTGGGCACAAATTTGGTGGCCATCTCATTTGCAACCTTGATGATGTTTTCCGACAGTGCCTTCGGTTGCATGCCCGCATAGCCTACTTTGACGGCAGTATTGGTCGAGGGGGACAGGTTTACAAGGGCAGCACCAATCGCTTTCTGGATCTCGGCAGCAACCTCTGAAGCAGAGCGACAGTTGACTTCGTCTGGGTCCCTCTTCACACGCTTGCCCTGTTTCTTGGGCTTCTTGCCCTGGAAGACAACTGGGATCGGCCGCTTGGTGGTCGACTTGTAGAAGACGTTGATCGCCTTTGGTAGCCGGTTGATAATACGGTCATCCGCGAGGAAGATGTCGTGCTCGGCCAGCAGTTTGCGCTGGGCCTCGTACTGCTTGACCTTCGCAGTCAAGTGCTTGTAGTCGATGACCCTGGTGATACGCTTCCGGAGCTCCTCGGGGAAGTCTTCGGATGCGACAACATTCTTGTAGTGCCGCTGAGGATCAGCCACTATCAGACAAATGGTCGACTCGGTATCGGTATGCAGAGGGTGAGGAAGGTAGATCTTGTTGGGCTTCAGAGCCTTGGAGTCGTGGATGTGTCGCTTGGTAGTGACGGTCAGCCAGACTGGCGTCTCGGCCACAGACAGGCTCTCGTCGGCATCGGCAGCATCGAGGAGGTTCTTTTTCTTGGAGCTGGATGCACTCTCCACGGCGGTCTTCTTGATGTGGGCCAGGAGCGCCTTGGACGCTTTCAATGCCTGAGACAGACGATCAGTATGATGGGACAGCGGGCCGAATTAGATCTTCAGTGTAGTACCTGGTCAGGATCGATGGAGAAATCGCCCTGCTTGGCGACAGCAGTGGTAGATGGAGCCATGATTTATCTGACTGCCTTGAGCTAATGGAGTGTAGAGGAGGAAACTGGTGGGTATCTTCAGTCGCTCGCGGGAAGAAACCCAGGCAGAGCGCAACATTTTTTTGAGCGGGCTTATCGATAAATGGTTAATCGATAAGCGATAGGCTGAGGCTGGCCGGCGGGCCGGCTGGCGGCAGCTGTCTTGGGCCCCTGCACCTCAGCACCCCATCCAGTTGAACAATCACCAGCCTTGGAGCAAGGACATGAGTAGTCTCTTTAAACAAAAAGCAAGATCTAGACTTATACCACACATCTATCGGAGGACTCATGTTTTATCCCAGTCTAATCTATCGTTGTGGACAATAGAGGAAAGCAAAAATCTAAGCATGCTGCCCGCGGGCCAATAGTTTAAGCCCGACCGCCGGCGGTGTCCTCGACGCTGACCTTTCCGGAAACAACGTTCTGGACATCGGCCAAAATGTCAGAGAAGCTTGTGAAGGTGGTGTGGGGGACGTCTTCCTTCTCGCAATACACGACGAGGTCTGCAGCCTAGTTAGTTTGAATTCCAAGGGACTTGGTTCGGCAGATAGACTCACCTCGCCCGGCCTTCACAAACATCAGGTCAGTCTCCTTGGCAGCAGAAAGATCCGAGACACCATCGCCGGCGTAGAAAAGGTACGGTCGCTGGCCCGCGGGCAGGCTCGAGTACTTGCGGATCTCCAGGGACTTGTCGTGCCCGAAGCCGCTGTCGTCGTGGAACACAATCTCCCATCCTCTCTCCTCGTTGATGTTCTTGCCCGGCCGGGCCTTCACGTCGTTGCTCACGATCTGAAGCTCGCTGGCGGCCTCCTCACCGAGGAGGTGTCCCAACAGCCCCCTGATGATGGGCGTCATCCCGCCGCTGAGGACAACAATGGGGATGTTGTTCGCCTTTGCATAGGCGTGGAACTCCTTGAACCCTGGGTCGAGCTGGATGTTCTTCAGCAGAAGGTCGATACACTGATTGTACGGCGCGGTTATGCTGTCCATCATCTCCTGGAAGCTGTCCCTAAAGTCACGCTTGCCATTGAGCACATCCTCGTTGCCCTTCTTGCGCAGCGCTGCACCAAAACCGATGTTGTCGGTCATGAAATCATTGCTGTCCTGCAGTGTGATAGTACCATCGAAGTCGGTCTGGTCGAATGTTTTTTGACATCGTCAGTCCTGCTACGGACCCTCAAGTGTTGCATTCTAGAACAATCCAAAACATGGAAGACGAGACCCGTTACAGGTGAGAAGTGATGCTTACGAAAAAGATGTACTTGGGGTTGGTCTTGAGCGCCGGCAGCTCGGATACAGGAGCAGAGCCCATGATGTCGGCTTGACGAGGGGGCTGTAGATTCAGAGGGATGAGAGGTGAGTGGACGTGACAAGTCTGTGACGAATTCTACAAACAATGAGAACAAACGGCTGACAAGAGGATGAGCAGAAAGCTGACACCTGGGCAGCTCTCGCAAGTTGCAAGTTGCACGTTGAGTTTACCAGGGTCAGACCGTGTTTCCACCAGAGGCGAAGACCCGCAACAACCACGTTCCGGCGGGGAGCTCCGCCGTTGGAGGGGCCCTGGGTCCCTGACAGGACGTCCAGTTCCAGGGCCGCGGTCGGGTCTCGCAAAATTTCTCGCCGCCAAGCAGTACGGGCATTGACGACCTCGGAGCTCATTCCACCGCAGCGGCCGTTCGGGGCCGCGGTCGCAGTCCTAACCCTGCCGGCCTCACACTTACCTAGGTACCTAGGTACCTAAGTACCTAGGTAGTTAGATGAGGCACCCCAGATTCAGCTTCGAATGTTCAGCTACAAGATCTTGTCTAGAATCATTTAATGTCCTGCTATTATCTTGGGGTGAGTCCAGCATCAAAGGACTGCCAGGTTACCAAGACAGGCCGTCGCTCCAACGTTGATGATAACTGCCCGCTCACCTTCCTTCCGAGTTCACCATCTCCCCTTGAATGGCAAATGCGCCTCAGGTGCTTATCAATGCGCCAGGGTCCAAGATATCCAGGTGCCAAGTCCAAGTTGCAATCTCCTACTCCTGTATCTCCTGTATCATGAAAATGTCTGGAGGTCTCCACAGCGCACAGCTGGGACCTCGTCGGTTCCGGCATTGCAACAGATCGCGCCGTTGGTCTCATTGACTCCGATCAAGGTTGCTATGACGGACCATATAATTAGTCACCATTTCCTAGAACAAGTGCTTCGAAGTTCCCTCGCAAGATCAAGAGGCCAGATAACCTACTTAGGTCAATATGGGCCAGGGTCCAGACACCGCAGGCGTAACAGTTACAGCTATAGTCATAGACATTGTCACCGTTGCAATCTGTGCAATTTGAAGTCGAGATGTAGCCGCCACTATCAGAATATGTTAGCATTCTTTTCACTTATACTTCAAACTGGCCCGTTGGTCGGTATACCCTTGGTGAGCGACCAGTTTGGGGGCGTCATAAGAGAGGCAAAGGTCAAGATTGAGGCGTGACTGGTGGTGGGCAGTAGTGCTGCCGCCACTGTTGCAGTCCATTCCGATAAGCGTGGTATCATTCGCGCTGAAGCTTGTATGCGAGCAATCGTGCTTGAAATTGGAGAAGTCCTGGGTGGATAAGGCGGTACCCATCATGAGCGTTACACAAAGGCAATGGCCTTCTCCAGTGGTGGGAAATCTACGTGGCTCTGGTAGTCCCGATGGTAAGGGTGCCCTTATGATTCTTGGTCTGCTTTTCTTTGGGGTTGGTGGAGAAAGAGGTCGACTGGTTCCCTTCCAAGGTTGCCAAAATACGAGAGGCCCGGGCCCTGTGCTTCACAAACACGATAGGTGACGAAATTGAGCTGGTCACCGAATGTGGCGTGTCACTGTCTGACGGTGCCACAAACGCTTTGTAAGAGGCCGTACAGGCCTTGGTTGACGTCGATCTCGACTCCGGGACAACGATGTGGGACTAATTCCTGATTGACAGAAAGGCATGGTCACCATCGAGCTCAAGAGTAAAAGCCTCTCATGATCCATCTCCACTCCTAGCGGCGACTAGGACGAGTCCTCGTCATACTCTTGTTTCTTTATGTCCCATTAGGCTATTTGGGTCATACATTTTGCACTGACAACATGCTGTCGTTTCTTGCGGTTTCCTTCTGGGACCGCAAGCTTAAATGCCGCCAGTCACAAGACAGCTACAATTATAAGACTAGCGTGAGATGGGATTTCGCCTATTCATTGATTGTTAAACATTTTACCACATATTCTATATGAGGCTTCCTAAGCCAGCGTTTCCATTTCGTCCCCTACGTCAATAGTGCCCAAGTACTTAAGTGCCTAGTTGTCAATGCTGCCTCACTCCACGGCATTAACTGGAGGAACCCGTGGGTAAGATCAGGCAGGCAGTTATGCTTGTTTGTCTCGGACTAAGTCATCACCACCAATTCAGAGCTAGGAACTCCTATTTCTCAGATCCTCTGACATTGAACGCACCCCCGCCCCCGCCCCCGGGTTTCCATGGTTGTTATACGAGGCTCCGTCGATCCCGGGGACTGTCGCTCCATGTCATTCAACGCTGGAAGCCAGATGCTCCATAGACTCTCGTCTGCGTTGCGCCGAAGTATCTGATGTCCTACAAAATACCCTGTAAGCAATTATGCCCGCACAGAAGGAGGAATGTGTTTGTGGTACCTGAGTTCTTCCCTAGTGGCTCGCTGAGTTACAACGCGGAGCACACGACTTCAAGTAGTCTAGGCCTTGTTCGTCGTATGAGATACCAATATTTCGGATCTTCTCCCACGCCTCTATTGCCTGCGCTCGAGTTTCTTCCAAGGACTGCTCCTCCTGCTTCGTGTCCTCCGCAGACAAATCGGGCCTCAGAGCCTTGATGTTCTGCAGATATGCCATCTTGACAATGAATGACAGTTTGAAGCAGCTGTAGGAATGAATGAGAGAGTCGATATCGGTACCTCGGTCGTCTATCATTTGGTCGTCTGGCGGAATGACCTCCATGGCGGTCTGAGGCTCAGTGTTTTGGTAGGTGATGATGGCTTCCTGACAGGACTGGGCTGCCTCACCGTCTTCCGTGTCGATGGTCTTTTGGGTGGCCCCAGTAATCTCCGACTGATGCATATTGGGGCCGATTTGGATGAAATTGGTACAATGTGCGGTGTTTGTATCTCACGGTGTTTGTATCTCGGTCGAGATGGATGCCCTAAGTGGCCAATCTGGGTGCAGGGAGGGGCTCAGAGGGCACAGCACCGTTTCAGGGAAAAGAAATCTTACTGCCAATTCACTGGTGGATCTCTATCACTGTATTAAATATTGAATTCAAGATAATGTTTTAGCTTGGGCAGGGTGATGGCCTAGGGCTGCCAGACCCTTCGTGTCAGATGCAAAAGTCCTCTGTGGTCTTGTCGCTAACATCGAACAGTCTTCTTCAGACACAGGAGCTGGACACCTCTGCTTTGGTGCGTCGGAAAGCCTACTTGGGAAGCAACTTCTCGCTTAAATCACATAAAAAGGACGGAAGGAACGACGGGCCCCACTCATTTGCCTGCTCAAGTGCTTTGGTTTGCCGCACTGCACATCCAGCCCTGCCTGTTGGCCTTTCTCTCCTACATGAACTCCACAAGCACTTCCTCCCTTACACGAATGCCGAAGGTCTCGATCAACATACCAACTACTACAAAACAACGCAATGATGCAGATCAAACTGTTTCTCTTCTTGACGGCTACCGCCGTCGCAGCCATGGATCTCGAACCCAAATGTGAGTTGCCTCCTCAGGCAAACTCTTGCTTGCGCAGCACAGACCTCGGAGCTTGTTTGCTCTTGGTAGCTGAGGCTTGGGACCGTTGTTGACTTGGTTAAGTTGCCGCGCTTGCCTTCAGTTACCTGAACATTAGCTTCGTCCCGGGCGCAATTGAAAAGCTGCAGTCTCATGGTCTGTGGATCCCCAGTCCCGCGGCTCTCAACGGCCTCGAGCCAATGTTCGGTGACGGCTTCAACGGCACCCTCGAGAACGAAAAGTTCCAAGACTCCGATCTCGACATCAACGAACTGATCCTTCTCGGCGTCAATCATAACAACCTGCCCATCCCCGGCAAAGAGAATGGCCTTGCCAACGTTGAGGTCTGCAGCCCGTAAGTGTGGCTTCCCTTGATCGTTAGAGTTTTGCCGCTCACATTCCACAACAGATACCCTAGCTGTTGCGAGTGGTGCCACAAGTGTGAGGGTGGTTGTGCCTCCCTTGTAATCTTTTTCATCTTTCCTTTCCTTGCCTGTTTGGCCGTCTGCCACGCCCAGGACTTCTGCCACGGATGCGACTAGCCTAGCTGGAAGGCCGCGTTTGTCAATCAGATTTCAAGGTGGATGCTAAAGCACTCTCGCTTAGAGGAACACACACGGACATGAAAGCAGAGGATGATGAAGCACTGGTGAACGGCTTGCGTTCCCGTCGATAACACACCAGCTATTTGCGTAATCGAAGAGAAGCGAGCAATGCGTTAACGTGAAGTATCTCCTCGACTGGATGCCTATGCCACTCACAAGTGATTACAAGGTTTCAATGTGCATGTTGACGTGTGAAATAATCCTTTCTTTTGGGGGGTCATTGATCTATACTATACCTACCCAGGTATCTACAGAAAATCGCAAACCACCATCAGCAGTAATGGCAAAGATTTTAACTTAATTGACAAGAAATGTGGTGAAAAACAATGCCATCAATAGCCGCCACTCGTCCAAATCACCCGCATTCAGTAGTACAGGCACCAGTCGGGCAGTAACCACGCATACAGCTGAATTTACAAAGCCCCTTGTAACTCTCACTCTCCGCCTCCGCCTCCAACGGGCATCCAGGGGGTGAAGTGTCAGGGGCAAATTCTGGAGCCCCTATCGAAGTGCAGACACAGACATCCTGAGGGCAATAACCCCTGCTGCAGGAGAAGGAGCAGAGTCCCCCGATGTTGGGATCTTTGTCCGGCGCATTCGTGCCTCCGTTGCAGCTCTGGCCTTCTTCCGTTGAGGCTGGTGCCGCTGCAGAGCCAGTCAGAGACGGCGAGACTGGTGTCGGGATAAGGCTACCACTGCTCCCGGCAATGGGGGGCATGCCACTAGGTCCAACCACTGGGCTGCCGCCGGAATTCCCACCGGGACCACCGCTTGGACTCTGGGGACTTCCACTTGTTGAGGTTTGACTTGCCGCCGTCGTCTGAACTATAGTCGCAGTCATCGCTGATGTGCCTGCACCGCTTGCGCCGGTAGGACTTGCGCCGACAACTCCCCCAACCGGAGTGGTCGGTATTGGGGCCGGGGAGCCCAGACCCAACGACGGAGCTGCCTCACAGGTCTTTACGGCTAAGCCTACGCTGAATGACGCAAGGCCAGCTACGTCAAGGGTGTCAGACTTTCCTTCTGGCAAGGTGCCAACATAGGCGTTGAAGTTATAGAGCCCGCAGGGACAGGCATCAGTGATATCTCTCCGAGAAATTCCACTAAAGACCTGCTGCGAGTTCCGGGTCAGAGAGAACTTCTGCTGCCCGACGCCCATGTCCATTTTGAAAGAGCTTGCGCCTGCCGGGGCCTCGAATCTCCGGGTGTTCTTTCCAGATGTCACCTCGATGGACCCGGGAGCTTTAAGCAAGCTGACTAGGAATACCGAGTCTTGCATGTCTTCCCAGCCGTTCGGTTTGCCGTTGAAGTAGTTCCCGCTATCGTTGTTACCAGGCTTCATTGTGTTGTCGGTTGAATCGCAGTTCACCGTCCTCGGCGTTGGTCGATACCAATAGATGATCTTGTCCTCCTTGATATAATCATTGACTGATTTTGACCCTGCCTTGTATGCGGCTATAAAAGGTTTGGCGAGGTCCCTCCATCCGTCGTGCGGCATGTCGTTTACCCATTTTGACGCTCCGTCGTCTTCATGTGGCGAAGACAAGGGCGCGATGTAATGAGATTCTCCAAAGTCGTTCCAGGTGATGATCTCGACAAATGGGGGGCTCCTCTGCAGAACCTGATTCCAGCGGTCATACCAAAGTAGATCAGAAGGAAATACAAAGTTCTTGCCATAAGAAACCTCAGCGCCGTAATGTGTGCTGAACCACTGGAAGTAGAGAGAGGAAGTTAGTATGCAGTTCCACGGGGGATGGCTGGGTTCTTGTGTTATTTTTGGGCATGACACGTACTGGAGAGATAGGGGCTATGTAAGACTTCTTGGCCCCAGCCAACCAGTTGTGATACTTATCATCTCCTGCCACAACGGAGACTCGCGCATCAGGAGTAGGTGCCTTGTTTGCGCCGTTGCTGGGCCAGGCTGCCCAGTTAAGGGCACCCTCAATGCTCATTGCATTTGTGCCCTTATCTGGTGTGAAGTTGGGGGCAAAGAACACGTCCATGCCAGCCGCGGCCTTGACTGCCGAGACATCTAGGCCGTCGCCGACGAAGGACGAGGCGAACGCCTTGCCGTCCACCTTCAGCTGGGCCGGCTCATTGGCCCAAGCTGCGATGATCTGGCCCACTCTGGCAGCGTCGTTGGTAGGTGAGAAATAGTGGAAGTCGAAAGATATGAAGAGCTTCATGCCGTTTCTGGCCGCGCTCTCGTACGCGTAACCAAGCTGTTTTCCTGTGTATTCGTCTGTCCCAATGTTGAGGGCGAAAGCATCAATGCCCAGCTCCTTGCCTTGCCGCATGTCCGCGTCGTAGTCGAACGAGCCCTTGCGGCCTGCGACAATTCCCATCATGAAATGGCAGAAGACCAGCCTGCCAGTCGGGCTCTGGGTCGCCGCATCTTGGCGCTCTGAAAGTTGTGGCCGCAGATCGGGCTCATATCGTTTTATCAGCAGCGTCTGGACAAATGCGGCAGCCAGGAGAAGTTTGAAAAGAAGTAGTAAAATCATGGTAGTTGTAAAAATTGGAATGGCCGAGGAGAGACACGCACCGCCAGCGATGTAGCCATCCCTAGAATATTATCATGGAGCGAGGGACCCATACTCGTCTGTTCCTTTGATCTCGTCGGCCGTGGCCTTTAAAGAGTGTCTAAAGGGACGGCCGGGAGGGTTTGTGAATAGCGCCCTCGTCGCGGGCGACCCACCCGCGGCCAACCAATGAAACGTTTCAACACACCAACACCTTTTCCGACTGAAACGGGGGCACAAAGAGAGAGAGGAAATGTGGGCCAAGAGATTTTGCCAATGACGCCCAACATGGCCACTCTCCGCCACCAAAGTAGGTCTCAGGGCTTGAGGGAGTCCTTTGGTGCTGGTGCCTGTTATTTGCAGATGCATGTGGCGGCTAGGTCCCTGGAGGAAGTGCATGGAGACGAGGGAATGGGAAATGTGGCGCTTGGAGCAAAGATAGGAATTGTTAAAAATGGTTGAGCTCTCACACGACGCCGACAGTCACGAAGTGTCCACGTCAACTGGCACGAGCACATCGACAGGTTTCTGCCTAGCACGGGGAGCAATGGGTGCACTGCGATATTCTAGACCTCTGAAGACGGGTCCCTAGACCCATGGTTCCAAGGCCTCGGTTCCATTCTCATGCACGTCATTGCAGCCGAATGTAACGGGTGGGTAAGGGGTTACTTCTTGGTTGGTGCTTGCTGGGGTTATGAGGCTGACGGCAGGGCGGCAGCCAATAACCACAACCCTGAAAGGCAGCTCGACAGGGTCTTTCAAAAGTCCAGGACCGTAGCAGACGGACGACAGCCCTCTCTTTGGACTACTGGCGGCTAATCTCGCGCTTGCAAATGTCAGGCCGGTCCGCCCCCATGAAGCCTGGGTACAATGGTCAGGGATATAACATGTTAGCTTGGTGCTAACAACGGGAAGAGGGCTTTGGCTGCCGTGTTAAAGAAACATGTGAATGCCCTCATTTGTGGTTATTAGTTCCGTGTTAACACATTGTACCCCTGCTCATTGTACTGTGGAGCTGAATCCACCAATAAGAGAGTTTCAAAGCAGCCTCAAAAGTGCTGGAGCACAAACTCTTTATCTCCGGGTGAGTCATCGCTGGAAGTACAGTGTGCCCTCCAAGCCAGAGAAAACTTAGGTACAATTCAATTGCCATTCTTGGCCGCATCCGGAACTAATTCTCATTCCACCCTCCGATCTGCCCACCACTGCTCGAATTCAACATCATGCCAATGGTTCACTATGCAAGTGCCACCTGCAAATTGCCATTCCGATTCTGACTTGACTCATTCTCAATACTCACTTTACCTTCAACCTTAAGCAGACCTACTCATAAACCTTGGAAAGTCACATAGTTTATTGCAAACTTCAAGCTACTGTGCCGTGAAGCATGAGTGACATTTCATTTTTGTACAATCTGACTAATAGCTGCTTCTAATAGAAGCCCTTGGAAAGTAATTTTTTATGCTAGGGCCTAGCAGCTAGGAATTCTGACAACCCTCCTATGAGAGACAAGGACAAATTACTCAGTGATTGCTGAAGTTCAGGGTGGGCACAGGTGATCCATCATTTCTGCATGGCAACCTGTCCCCAGGTGCCCGTAGTATAGTTGATCAGTCAGCCAGTATAATTATCAAATTTCTCTGATCCACCAAGCCAATCCATCATTTTACTGTTTCTCTGCTCACTTTTGGCCGAAATTGTTCAAGCACAAATGAACTCTTGGCAGTGTGTGGCTTGCAATGTACGGCACAGCAAGTTTTACAAGATACTCCTGTAGTTTAGGACGCTCACAGAGTTCTAAGGTTCCACACTAATAAGACGCCCATGAGTCTGAGACACCTGGCATTGATTCATCTTAAGCAGAAATATAGACCGTGGCCAGGCCCTCAGAGGACCACAAAGAAACCGACTTAAATACCTAGGTAGATTTTATTGATAATTGAAGTGTCAATTTTGAACATGGATGGCTGACGACCAGAAGACCTGGAGCCTGAACCTCAGGCTTGTCTTATCAGCGGGGTATGTGATGGTATGGTTATAGGACTTCCTCACGATAGATAAACAGTCATTTATTGCTGGTCTTTTGCTAGACTATGTAGGTGCACCAGCAGGAATGGGCAAGCCATCCAGGGTGCGGCTCAAGGCTGAGGCCACATGCCCTCGGATTCAACTTGTATTCTTTCTTGACTGTTCTTGCCATCATTCTTTTTGTCAAGAGAAACGCTGGATCCTGAGCGTTTACCACATGCGCACAGTATGAAGGCGCCATGTACACTATACATGTATGGGGATCAGGATCGAAACCACTTATCTCAGTAGGAAAAATCCTACCAGTAGACCCCAGACTCTCCTGCAGCATGACCTTTGTTCTACTGTTAAGCAGGCTTTAGATTAGCAAACAAATGCATCAACTTCAGCGACCCCATGAGTCAGCTGAGATTATACATGCGAGTAGTCAGAAAGCATCTCAAGCCTCACCATTCACAGACGAGTAGTGACGGTACGGCACTTATAACTGGTAGGGAATGCCAATCTGGAGGATTGGTTATTATGGCCTGTTGGCTGGGCTGAAGAGTGTGGGACCTAGAAGTCGCGCTCCTGTTGCATGAGTTCCCTTTCTAGGTGTTTAGATCGGAGGGACTTAAATCGGAGGTACGATTCGAGGGGTGCACAACATGTAGACAGAGACACATCGATCATTCAACAAGCATCAAATGCTCTTTACATAATGTAGTCACAGGGTTGAGCAGTCAAGGACAACCTGATGCTGACCCTGAAACCAGGCTCAGCCTTTGTGTAAAGTGCAAGCGCACCGCGCAGCTCGTCATCGCACCACGTGCATTCGGACGGTACTGGAAAGGCTGGGCGTCCAGACTTCTCGAATAGATGGTTTCAAGATGCCTTCCGCTCAAAATGCATGGTAAGCCCGTAGTAGTATGTAATTACACCGGAGGCGGACTATTGGTTCAAGAATACTGTAATATGATTGCATCTGTATTGAATGTTCTGATGAACTTTGCACATTAGTCTGCTTCTGGTAATCATCTGCTGCTTCGCTTCGACACACAGTCCACGGGTACCTACTTAAGTAGGTACTCATCCTTGGGTGGATGTCTTCCCTGCTGATCGGCCATCGGCCACAAGTTTCGACAATCATACTATTTTGGTAATGAAATGATTTCGATGGGCCATTCTGAGGCTGTGGTGCATCAGAGCAGTAAGACTTGGCAGATCGGCGATGGAGGATCACTGAACACTTGAATCCTGCCGTGGCAGATCATGAAATCATCATCATGTCTCCTTGGTTGAAGAGGGTCCGCCTCACCTGAAAGGCCCCAGTCCCGCCGTCAACCATATCTTGCGGCTCTAACAAGCCCCCACTATTCGTCTTAAGCTCTTGGGTAAGTGCCTGGGGTCCTAAAACAATTCTCCTTGCGCCAAGTGGATTTTCGGCACAGATCTGAGACCAGCGAGCGGAGTCGTATGGGTGTGCTGCAACGCCAAGATACTCGGCGGCATAGCGCTGCCTTCGTCCCATCTTGCGCTCCAATGAGTCAATCTACTGTGTGCGCATACATGTTGTGTGGGGCCGAAGGAAATATGCTTATTACTGTTCTTTTGATAGAATATTTGTGGAGTCTGAAATGTCGCCTCCAAACGTGCTAGACGGCCCAAACCGTCCCAGGTGTTTGGAGCGCTCCAGATCGACTGCTGCCAAGTGGGTTGCAGAAGTTCAGCCGAACATGCAATGGTGCTCATCAATGTAAATACATAGGGACCATTCTTCCTCTGGTGAACCAACCTAAATCCTTCTGGACTTGAAGGAGGTTCTCTCTGCATAGTTGATTGTGCGCTGTGTTCCCTTCGATCTATTAATTATTGAGCTGTGCTCGTTTCCTTTCCACATTCATTCCTAATCTTCGCCGTTGACCGGCCTTGTTCACGTGCGGTTCAGTTAAGATGAGATTTGGCTTTCCAGCGCTCCTGGCCGTCCTGGCCTTTAGTGAGGCTGGGCTGGGCTTCACGGTATGTATTTAAATGATCATCTCGTTACTCCGTTCGAAGCTCTGATACTGACAGCATCATACAGGGGGGGTCCGCAGCCCGAGCTTCAAAGGCTCTCAAAGAACGCCAGATTACGATCGGAAACGGAGGAATCACCCTTGGTGGTGCAGGTGGCCTGACTGTCGGCGGAGGTGGACAACGGCCTGCTCAACAACCCGCTGCGCAGCCTGGGGCAACTGAGGGACAGGCCCCTGCTGCTGCTGGCGCCGAGGGACAGGCCCCTGCCGCTGCTCCTGGCGCCGAGGGACAGGCCCCTGCCGCTGCTCCTGGCGAGGCTCCGGCTGCACCTGCTGAGGGTCAAGGGCAAGCTGCTGGCCAGAACGGAGGTGGAAACGCCCTTGTTCTTCCCGGCGGCCTGACGTTAGGAGGAGGGGGTGGCAACGCTAACCCAGCTGCGCAACCAGGCCAGGGCCAGGGCCAAGGGCAGAGCACTTCACTCGCAGACTTCATCGCCGGTGCTCAAGCAGCTGCCAGAAACCAAACTGGTGCCGGGCAAGGACAAGGCCAGGGCCAAGCAGGAGAAGCTGCCAAAGCAGGCGAGGCCGCCCAAGGAGAAGCTGCCAAGGCCGGCGAGGCTGCTAAGGCCGGCGAAGCTGCTAAGGCCGGCGAGGCCGCCCAGGGTGAAGCTGCTAAGGCCGGCGAGGCCGCAAAGGCCGGCGAGGCTGCTAAGGCTGGTGAAGCTGCCAAGGCCGGCGAGGCCGCCCAAGGAGAAGCTGCTAAGGCTGGTGAAGCTGCTAAGGCCGGAGAAGCTGCTAAGGCCGGCGAGGCTGCCCAGGGCGAGGCTGCCAAAGCCGGTGAAGCTGCTAAGGCCGGCGAAGCTACCAAGGCCGGCGAAGCTGCCCAGGGCGAAGCTGCTAAGGCTGGTGAAGCTGCTAAGGCCGGCGAGGCTGCCCAGGGCGAAGCTGCTAAGGCTGGTGAAGCTGCTAAGGCCGGCGAGGCTGCCCAGGGCGAAGCTGCTAAGGCTGGTGAAGCTGCTAAGGCCGGAGAGGCCGCCCAGGGCGAAGCTGCCAAGGCCGGCGAGGCCGCCGCTGCTCCAGCTGCCGGTTGTGCGGCAGCCGCCCCAGCCGCGCCGCCAGCTGAAGGTGCTGCTCGGCAAGGCGAGGAGGCCGCTAAACAGCAACAAGAACAGCAGCAGCAGCTAGAAGAGGCCGCCAAGCAACAACAAGAGGCCGCCAAACAACAGCAAGAGGCTGCCCTGCAGCAGCAGCAAGGAGAGGCCGCCAAGCAAGCCGGAGGAGCCGCTCAACAACAAGAAGGTGCGGCGAAGCAGGCCGGCGAAGCAGGCGCCGCTCCAGCCGCAGGCGAGGCGGCCGCGGCACCCGCCGAAGGAGCAGGCGAGGCAAAGGCCACCAAGGAGAGCGAGCAGTTCAGCGAGAACGCAGGGATCACGGTCGGCGCCGACGGCCAGACGCAAAACCTGGGAGGGAACCTGGGCATCACCAAAGGAACCGACGGTAGCACATCTGTCGGCGGCGAGAACGGGATCAACGTGACGCCGGCGGCACCGGCCCAGGCACAGCCTGCTGCTCCCGTAAGTCGATGATGGTTCCCGCGGCACTCGTGTGCCAAGTTGTCGTTGAAGGCACAAATGCTGATCCATCATGAAGGCACCCGCCGCCCCGCCCGCCGCCCCGCCCGCCGAGGCCCCGGCTCAGGCACCTGCGGCCCCGGCCGAGGCTTGATCTGACCGTCGCTGCATCAACCGGGCGCGGGTCGAGCCCGTGTTGACGTGCCGGTAACGGGTCGATGGCGGTGACTGAAGGAGCATGACGATGTAAGGAGATACCTCATAGTCGATGTACCCAGCCTCGGGAGTCCTGCCAAGACAAATTCAACTCGAGCCAGTAAAAATTCGGGTTTCCTTTGGTGTGTTCAACGCTGCGATGTTGATGAGTGAAGACTACCTAGGTACCTAGGTACTTAGGTAGTTAGTTGGTTTCCCGTTCCTGCCAGCGCGGGCCGAGTCGGGCCGCGTGACTAAGTAGGGACACCAGAGACGGGCGACACCCGAGGCTGACGTCATGGCACGGCATCGTCAAGGGTCGTCGGAGATGAGAGCAGTCTTCAGTGAGCTGTCCGACCGACCAGCCGACCAGGCCGGCGCCAGAGTGCCAATTCAGCCCAGGGCCCGCCTGGCTTGGCCCTTTTACCCTGGGTTTCCCCGCGATGTGCCCCAGATTGCTGCTAAAATACCCACTTCTTCGGTTGACCTCTCGCCCGATGCCGAGCCCGTCGCGCGCTTCACCGCCAGTGAGCCCAAGTCCGCACCAATCTGTTGAGTCCGCGAAGTCAACTGGTCCCCTACTAGTGCAACGAGCCGAAGTAACAGCCTGCCATGTAGAAAGCCGTAACCGGGGGGCGTATATAACAATGACGGACGCGCCGGGTTGGGTCGTGGCCGCCAGTCGCCAGTTGTCGGACGAACCGCGCCGCCCCCTCCCAAACACGCGTAGCCCGAGAACACTGCTTTGAATCGCCTGGTTCAGCATCATGAGGATCTCAGGGACAGCGCTGCTGCCGCTCCTGCTGGCGACAGCCACGGGTCAGCACATCAAGCTGCCCGGCTCCGCAGTCGAGCCGCGGTGGGCAACAGCCGATCGCCATGTTTCGCCAAGGGCCGGCAACTCGTCCTCCTGGCCGTACGGGCCCTTTAGCACCAAGGGCAGAGATATTGTCAACTCCCGCGGCGAGGTCATCACCTGGGCCGGCGTAAACTGGCCCATGTCGGGCGAGACCATGGTGCCCGAGGGCCTCGAGTGGGCTTCCGTCGACGAGATCCTCGAAGACGTGGCCAGCGTCGGCTTCAACTTTCTGCGCATGGGGTACGCCATAGAGATGGTCGACCAGATCTACGACCGCGACGGCCTGGACGTTCCCCTCGAGGTTGCTATGATCCAGGCCCTTGGCTACATCAACGGGACGAGGGTCACAAACGAGATTGTCTCCAAGAACCCCGCTTGGACGCGAGAGACAACCAGGTTTGAGATTTGGAGTGACATCGTCAGCGCCGCCGCTGAGAAGGGCATCTTTGTCCACCCGGACGTGCACACCGGAAAGGCCCAGTGGTGCTGCTCCCACGTTGACGGCACTGCCTGGTTCGACGACCTGTATTTCAATGCCAGCAACTGGCTGCGCGGCCTCTCGTACGTCGCAGAGTGGGCCAAGGGCCACCCCAACATCGTCTCCATGTCGCTGAGGAACGAGCTGCGCGAATCGTGGAACGTCACAGACCTCTACTACAACTGGCAGACCCTCGTCGGCAACATGTCCGCCGGCTGCGACGCCATCCACGAGACCAACCCGGACCTGCTCATCACCTGGTCCGGAATGCAGTACGACCAGGATCTATCGGCCTTGACTACAAGGAAGAACATCCTCACCGCACCCTGCTATAAGTGCACGGCCATCAGGGACGCCCAGCGCCGCGATCCCGTCTACTTCGATCTTGATAGTTACCCCTGGGCCGATAAGTTGGTCTGGGAGCTCCACCTCTACAGCTCCAGCGAGGACGTCGACACGGGCACCTGTGAGATCATAGAGGCTGGGCTCTACCGCAACGGCTTCAACGCGCTCGGCATCGACCCCCCTCCCGCCTGCAACGTCACAAACGATTGTTCTCCGGCCCAGCGGGTTGCGCCAGTCGTCTTGACCGAGTTTGGCCACGGACAGGACAACTCGATGTACAATGTCACCTTGCAAACCTGCCTGAAGGAGTACACCAAGAAGCATGGAGTATCCTGGGCGATGTGGAGTCTTGCAGGCAGTTACCGCATCAGGTCTGGCACCCAAGGGCTCATCGATACCTGTAAGTTGTATTTAAAACTCACTTTTGGACGAGATCCCTGCGTTCAAGTCTTGGGAACTGCCCATTCGAGCAATTACTGATCCGCTGAATAGGGGGTCTGACGAATTACAACTGGTCTGGCTGGAACTTCCCCGAGGGAATTGAGGAGTATTGGAAACCCTGGGTCGCGAGCATGAACGTGACGAGGCTTACCTAAGTTGAAACCTTGTTCTAATCGTCCAAATAATGTAACATTCAGAGCTTGAATTCGCCGTCAGGCGCTCTTGGTCACCAGTGAGGTCCCGTGTAACACAGTACTCGGCGTATATTTTTCTGTGCTGTGCCTCGTTGAGACATGTTAAGACAACGAGACGTGTCTTTGCATTCCGACCAACCACTGGGATATCTATTACGTCTCCAGTCTGTGTGCATAGCTCGCAAGGCTCATCGACCGGCGATCACAAGCACCGACCTTAATGACCTATGAGGACGACGTCCCTGTTCAACGGGCCAAAAGCCAGATAGAGGGGGTCCAGAACCCGGTCGACAATCCAGACGCACCCGTTCGATCCGCAAACCTGCTCCTGTATCGCCGCGTTGTTCAGAAACGTTGCTCCCCCGTCGGCCTGCGTCGCTGTGACGTTGATGCCCGTGACACTGCTGGGGACATTGATCGGGCCGGACGAGAAGTCCAGGTCCGCGAACCTGGCGTCTGTGCCCAGCAGGCCGAAGCTGTACAGCTGCAACGACAAGGGCTGGTTGGACGGCGCGATAGACGAGTCGACTGTGTTGTCCGGGAGGCCGACAAACGCGTCGTTCGAAGGCACGGCAAAGATCTGCGGCGTGCCGCCTGCCTCTGCAAGGCGGAGACGGACATTAATCAAGTCTGGGCTCAGCGCCTGCAGGATGTCGCGGATGGTGCTCAACCGCTGGTCACTCAGCAGTATGTCGCCAACGGTTCCACCCGTATCGGAGGTCGTTGGCGCAGCGGTCGCATTGCTGATTCCGAAATAGCCTGTGAAAGGGTTCAGGACTTGGTCAATCTGATGAACTACTCCGTTCGATGCGAACGTGTCGACTGCAACGATCTGCGCTTGGTTGTTGACAAGGATGGCTTGCTCGCCGCCGACTGCGGCTGTGAGGGGGAAGCCCTCAATGGCCTCAAAAGGCGAGGCGCTCACGACGTCGGCCGAGGTGACGAGGCCCTCGGCGACATGAGTGCGGATGATCGACTCGAAGATGGGGTAGGCGGGTGCCGCAGTCAAGGCCTCCACCACAGCCGGTGAGATCTTGTTGATGGCCTTCCGAGGATCAGTCACCTCTCTTGATCGTGACGAAGACAAGCGCTAGTCGCATCTACTTACATCGTTGGTTGGTGCTAGGGCCGTATAGTTCCTACCATCAAGCACAGAATTAAACCTCTCTTCAAAGGCCGGGTTGGGCTGGCTACCTCCGCTGGCGAGAACAACAGCAGAGAAAGACGAGAGCTCAGGAACGGTTGCGATAGTGGACAGTAGAGGTCGGTCTTGGGCTCTGACGACGGCGAGCATAGCCGCGGCGAACATACAATGGTACGTCATGTTCACAAAGAGATCTGAAGTTGCGCACAAGCAGTTTCTTTGGAGATCTGGGGCGGTGCGTCAATCGTCCCCCGTCCATGGCTGACCATTTTATACTCGCGCCCATGGCCAGTTGCCATGGCATTCAGAAGCAGTAGTACACCTGGTGATGTGAAAGTTGGGTAAGTATGATAAGGTTGGCACTTTCTCAAAAAGCTGTGACTTGGATGGAGCTGCGCACGCATTCAATGTGGACGTCGGTTGTTGGGGATTGGCTCTGCATGAAGTCTAATCTTTGAATGGAGTACTGGGGTGGTGGCCGGAACCTTGGCCGAGATCTGCTACAAGCATTATCGCGAGCCGAAGAGGGGTGAAGCCACCGGGACACAAAACCACCCTCCTGGAAAGAGGCGACCGACATCGACGCAGTCTAGCACGCCAAGATTACCACGGAAGCGAGGGGCCCCAAAGTTCAATGGCCTCCTCCTTCACGGGGTTGTTCCTGGTGGCAGGCGCAATGAAACATCGAGACCATCACGTCCGTACGACCATGTCAACGGGCTTGGCAGGTTGTGAATGAGGAGGTCACGGGCTAGGTTTCGGCATCGGGGAAATGGGCCACTCTGCTTTGGCCCCAGCCAACACGACTCGCATGCAAGCTCCCATCTTGAAGACACTGCAGCAGAGCATGCCCGGCCGAAGAGAAGCCCCGGGCAATTGCGTTTCGAGAGATCCCCGTAGAGCTTACAACGCAACCGCAGCGGACTCCAATGGTTCCCGTTGTGCTTCCCACATCAGCCAATCTGATCGTGTTGTCCTGTTTTGTCTCGTTAGCCGATTGCCCAGGCGTGTTGGCCGAGGGTAACGCACGGTAATAGGCCCATTGCATTGACCTTCCATATTCCCACAGCCAGTGCGACCAGCTGCATGACAACATAGGCAAGCTTGACCTGTAGCATCTTGGTCTTGTTTGTGTCCGTCTCGAACCTCTCAAAGGCCTGGTTGGTGCCCAGCAACCCAGCGATAGGGTTCTTGAATGCCATGAAAACCATCATAATACTGAAGATCTGCAGCGAGTTTCCGGTCATGTACATCATGATGGCTGTCATGGGCAGGTTCTTGACGGGGGCCAGGGCCACCTCCCAGGCTTTCTTGAGCTTCAACGTGTCCATCTCTTCGGGTGTGGCTTGCTTTCGCGGCTGGGCCTTGGTGTCTTTGGAGGCATCGCGCTGCTTCTATTGCCCTTGTTAGCCACGGACTCGGGAGCAGGCGCTGACTCGGAAAGGCCCGGCATACCTTGGAGGTGGGCACTTGTGAAGGGTAGCCAGGAGGATCCGGAATGCCGTTCGCCTTGGACCTATACGGAGGCGGCGAGCTGAGGTCCTGCACCCACCTGGGCGGGTTCGCTTGGGACTTGAGTTCCGACATGGTTCGACGGCTGGCGCTGATCTGTGAGGATGAGGCTGCTGTGGTGTTGAGGCCGATGTTGTGGTATGAGAAAGGCAGCGAGCGACGCCAGGTGGGAGAGCAAAGTTGACGTTGTGACGATCAAGAGCTGTCCGCGGCGGCAGGTAGCTATCTTGGGTAGTGGTAGTCAGCCTGGTCTAATCTGATCTACCAGTAATCTAGAAGAAGGGCAGCTCCACAGAGCTGCAGGCCTAGGCACCTAGGTTGACAGACAAGTACCTCCATACAGAGTACTATGTAGTAAGTACCCAGGAGAGGACGTGCGTCAAGCTGCCCCAAGACCCCTGGCGGCCCCACCAGCCGCAGGCTTGGGCCTCAGTCAGGGGCGGCGAGTCCACAGGGTCGGTCTTATTACCTAGGTGGTTTGCCAATCCATCCTGGTGGACGTCGCTTTGTGATGCTTCTTCTCAAGGCCCGGTGCTGCCGGATCGACGAATTGACACGAACAAGGCCAGACAAGCTTCCTTCCGAAGACGAACGAACCCACGAGACGGCCACGGCAACGAACGAGCGAGCGAGCGACGGGCCCCGAATCAAATAAGTTGCCATCCGAGCTGCAGAGTCACCAACAAGCCACATGGGCGAGACTGTTTGAGACACGGCTCGACTCCAGAGGACAACCAAGATCCGGCCAGCTCATTCCGATCACGCCGCATCGTACGCGCAGGGGTCCAACAGGTGTTCCCGCGTGGACTACTGCAGCCCAGAGTAGCGGGCGCGGCCGGGGAAACCAGCCAGGAGTCGAAAGACACGGGCGGGATAGCATCTTGGAGGTGGACGAGTACTCCGTACCAGCCAGCCTGCCAGTGAGGGGTTTCGCCATTCTCGGACTGGCTTGTTGCACTTTCGCTATCAGCGTGCCGCCGTCGCCAATCGCAGCGCTTGATCTTGACATCGGGGGCCTGGCAGACTGGTCCCGTTGTAGAAGCCACCGACCGTCCATCTCGCCCAGCAGGTTGCAGGGCCGCCGCCGACCACGCGACATCACCACCACCTGCAGCCACACCTCCTGACCCGTACCGTCTACAGTTGGAGGGCCGGCCGTCGACACCATGGCGAGCGCCCAGGGAGGAGGGGACTCCAAGCTGTTCGCCCGGGTAAGCAGAAGCTTCCTTTGCGCCTGTCTGTCTCTCCTGAACACACACCACCGACCTCTCTCGTCTCGCATGCTGCTCCTTGCTTCCACCACCGCTGTGATTGGCATGTCTCGGACTCGAGTCTGCTCATCAGCTTGTTCCTGTGTCCGCCTCCACCTCCCCCGGCCTCCTCCTCCTCCTGCCCTGCCGGCCTGCACCCCCTCCCCCCCTTTGGTGCCCGCCGTGCTTCCTCACGCTGCTGCCGCTCTCCTCCCACCCCTCCAGCGCATCCCATCCGTCCTGCCCGCGCGAGCATGACCCAGCGCGCTGCCCCCGCCCGTCCAAGATGTACCTGGCATATCTGCCCCCGACGGCCTCGGCCACGCATCACACGTACAGCAACTCACGCATTAGACAACAGGGCAAGGTGGCTGAGCTACGCCTCGAGCTGAACAGCGGCGGCAAGAAGGACAAGAACTACTCGGTCAAGAAAGTCGCCCTCAAGAAGATCGTGGCGAACATGACCATGAGCAACAACGACATGGTCGCCCTCTTTCCCGACATCATCGGCTGCATGAACATACCGAGCCTTGAGATCAAGAAGATGTAAGGCCTGGGACACCGGCACCTGTCGGGTCAGCGCGCGGATACTGATTTGCCTCGCTCTAGGTGCTTTCTGTTCCTCGTGAACTATGCCAGGATGCGGACAGAGATTGCTGTCAAGGCGATACCCGTGCTCGAGCATGTGCGTACAGGCCCGGGGATTCTTTGTGGCGTTTTGAGGACCGTCGCACGCTGACTGACACCGCCGCAGGACATGGAAGACGCCAATCCACTTGTCAGAGCGCTCGCGCTGCGCACCATGTCATACATCCACGTGCGCGAGTACGTCGAGGCTACAGTACCACTTGTCAAGAGATTGCTGCAGGACTTGGATCCGTACGTACGCAAGACTGCCGCGTACTGTGTCGCAAAACTCTACGACCACGACAGACACATGGTGGAGCGGTCCGATCTCATTGACAGACTGAACGGTTTATTGAGGGACGATAATCCCACGGTTGTCGCCAGCGCCCTGGCAAGCCTGATGGACATTTGGGAGAGAAGCGATGCTATTAAGCTTACTATCGACTACTCCAATGCCTCCAAAATGGTTGCCATCCTCCCGGACTGCTCCGAGTAAGCCCACCCGCGTTCCATGAGGCTAGCCCTCCGCCGTCTTTGTCTAACAGAGTCCACAGATGGGGCCAAACATACATATTAGAAGCTCTTATGTCATACGTGCCCCAGGAGTCAGGAGAAGCGCTCTTACTTGCTGAGCGCATCGCTCCGAGGCTGTCTCACTCTAACTCAGCCGTGGTCTTGACATGCATAAGAGTTATCCTCTATCTCATGAATTACATCGCCGACGAGAGACAAATATCCGCGCTCTGCAGGAAGCTTTCCCCGCCCCTCGTGACGCTGCTAGCCAAGGGCCCGGAGGTGCAATATCTCGCCTTGCGAAACGCGCTACTTATGCTTCAGAGGCGCCCGGATGTCCTGAGAAACGATATTCGAGTGTTTTTCTGCAAATACAACGACCCCATCTACGTCAAGGTCACCAAACTTGAGCTGATATTCATGCTCGCAACCGAGAAGAACATCGACGAGGTCTTGACCGAGTTGCGGGAATACGCCACGGAAATCGATGTTCACTTCGTGCGCAAGGCGGTTCGCGCTATCGGCAAGCTCGCCATCAAGATTGAGCCGGCTGCGAGAAGGTGTATCAACCTTCTCTTGGAATTGGTCGCCACCAAGATTACATACATTGTGCAGGAGGCGACGGTGGTGATTCGAAACATCTTTAGGAAGTATCCCAACCAGTACGAGTCCATTATTGGGACTCTGTGCGAGCACCTGGACAGCCTGGATGAGCCCGAGGCCAAGGCAGCTATGGTCTGGGTCATCGGGCAGTATGCAAGCCGCATCGAGAACAGCGACGTCCTCCTGGAGGATTTCCTGTTCTCCTTCGCAGAGGAGCCCGTTGAGGTGCAACTGGCGCTCCTCACCGCAACGGTCAAGCTCTTCATACAAAGACCTACAAAGGGCCAGGAGCTCGTCCCAAAGGTCCTGAAATGGGCAACAGAGGAGACGGACAATCCAGATCTCCGCGAGCGGGCTTACATGTACTGGCGTCTCCTCTCCACCGACATGAACCTGGCCAAGCAGGTGGTCATGGGCGAGAAGCCCCCAGTCACCGCCGAGTCTGAGCGCCTCGATCCGCAAACGCTCGAGGAGATGTGCCTCAACGTAGGCACACTTGCGACCGTATACCTGAAGCCTGTGCAGACAGTTTTCCGCAACGCTCGACCGCGGCGGCTAATAGACTCACCCGCTCTTCAAAAGCACAACCTCCCTGTCGGGTCGGGACCCATGGCTGGTTTCGATACTAACAAGTCACTGTCACAATTTGGCCACGGCGGACAGCCGTCGGACATGGACCCAAGGGACCGCGCGGCGGCGGCGGCGCCCAATGGAGACGGCAACCTCGCCCAGGCCGTCAACGACGCAGACGCCTATTTTGCCGGGATCGGCAGCCAGCAGATGCAAGCCATGCGCATCCAAGACGTGGACGGTGATAACACCTTTGGCGGTGGCAGCGGGCACGAGGCCGGGTATGTGGTAAATCAGTATGCGCCGCAACAGGTGTTCCAACCTGCACAGGGAGTAGGCTCGAATGGGGATTTGTTGATGTTCTAGCGAGGTAAGAAAGCCTTGAGGGCCCGCCAAGGATATCACGAGCAATGGGTGTCCGCTACAATGCGTTGGGTTCGAGAAATGTGTATATAGAGAGGGACATTAATTTACCTTGAATTATGAATCTGCCATGCCCCGCTGTGCTCAACTTGTTCAATGGACAAGCCCTGTCCCAAGAAGACTGAGAATCCAACAGGAAGACCAAGTGCTATGTGGACTGTTTTCTGATCACAGCAAGAAAGTTCTGGCTTGTGCTGCCTTCCACGGACCCCGTAGATGCACGCACCTTTCTCCCAATGTGCGTGGGTGTAGACCTCGGCGCCACTTGCAATGTTGGAGAATGAATTTTGGGGTCCAACTAGAAGAGTGTGCAGATTCTGAACCATTTTGAGTAGGTTGGTCGGGGCGGACTAAGAAACCGGCGGACACGTCTTGTTGACGTCCGGTCGTGGCCGGCTTGCAGCAAGTGTCAGGAACGGGCGGGTAGCATGCAGACATGTATTGGCAAACGCAGAGCGATCATGTCCTAGCCCTTGAGGGTCTTGATACATGTCGAGGAGGCCCATGGCCGTCGCCTTTCCGCATCCTGAAATATCGACGAAGTCTACTAGAATGAATGTGACCGCAAGGTGTTCGTGCCTCGTCCCTGCTCAATACTAACTCCATAGGTACCTAGGTACCAGCAGTCATTCTCTGTAGGACAATGGGCGTTCAAATGTCGCTTAAACCACCCGCTGGCGCACTATCCTCTCTCTCATCACCTTCACACGAATACAAGTAGGTTCCGGGACACTGGTCACTTGCGCGAACCTATTTGTTACATCCGCACTGTCTAAGACTATACAAGGCCCCAAGGTCTTCTGTGGCCATAGATCTCGTTCACTGGTGAAGGGCATGAATCTAAGACTAGACCTTATGTATCTCCAAGAATTCCAATTTGTTCATCAGCCCATATGAGCGGCCTCTGCTGATCTCATAAGTGAGGAATTTGGCCCCGGGATCTTCTCTTTCTCGAGCACCGTATCGCAGTCAGCAAGCCGCAACGATTGTCCCTTCCAGCCCACTTTGCTTCAGGGCGCTTGTTCAGGCTCAGTACCAAAGCGCAGCCGATTTTTTTTTTGAGGAGCGACGAGATGAGCAACACAGACACGCCGTTACCAGCAAGTATAATTTTTCCCGGCTACAACGGTACCAATACTTCAAATATCGACCAGGGCCCAGAGATCGGCCACACGGGACACTACTTGGGTGCTTTGATCGGCGGCCCCATTGGAGGTGCTTTGGGTCTTGCACTCATCATCGTTGTATGGCTTGTGCTTGAAAAGAGCAGAAGGGTTCCAAGACGGAACTCGACCGCACCGCCAGAGGGTTCCCAAGATTCTATTTTAGAGCAAGGTCTAGGCAGTTATAACCTCGAGTCTCGAAGCCCACCCACAGGAGAAACTACAGGCAGGGGACACAAGAGACAGACAAGGGAGATGAGTCCGTACTGGGGAGACCTCTGAAAGGTACTATCGTGGGATTGTTGATTCAGGATCGGCCTACTACTTGGCACTGAAGGATTGATTGGACACGGCCCGTGGTTGCGAGCCCTGGAGGCTCTGTTGTCGCATCGGTCGGTCGGCTTCAATCACTATACCTAGGTACCAAGGTACCTAGTCTGCTTCGGATGTCTTATTAGTATATTGATTTTTAGTGGGCATGGACATCACATTGTCGAGTCCTAACTCCCACTCCGCCTACAGACTGCAGTCTTCTCCCAGATACACGCAACAGTGCGCCGTAGGACAATTGTATGGCGACAATAGCTGGGCTCTTACAGCGTCCTAGCATATCCTTAGCAATTGATGACAGAGGGTACAAGCAATAAACTTTTCAAAACACAAGGAAGGGTGACCTGGTCCGAATTGCGAGTTCTCAGGGGTGCATTCAGATCAAACGGGGTCAGAGCACTTGGAGCAGACAGCTCCCAGACGATGCGAATCCATGGCAAAGCTGCCGATTTGTTCACCACCGTTTGCTGCCTGAAACATCTGTGGCCGTGGGCCCATAACAAGCACATTGGGCAGCACAAGTACTACATCGTAGAAATGTACGGCATGGCTGGCTGAGCGTCATGCTGACTCGAGCGGGTGGGTTTCTTCACGGGGCCAGCCAGGCCGATTGCCTACCTGGTACCTGAGGTAATCTGTGCACATGTCACTTCACTTCCAAGGGTGTGTGAATTGGCTCAGATAGCCTTCGCAGACCAGGGGTAATGAAGAGGAAGGAACGAGCCGCGCAGAGCCACTTGGCATCCCGGGCGCCCCAGTACAGCTACTCCGTAGCCTACATACTAGACTAGAACACTAGGACCCCAGTCTGGATTGCACCCACTGTTCCAGCTGGAAACCCTGGGACGGAGGCACCGTCAACCACCTACATAGTACTGACCTAGCGTGTTAGTTCAGCGCCCCGAACCCAGAAGGCAACAGCAGCTAGCCTTCAAGGTCATGCGCACCGTCACTAACAAGTACTTACCTAGGTACTTAAGTAGGTACTCCGTAGGCATTAGGCACTCGGTTAGCTTGGCTCACACCCCCTCTTGCCAGATCTGCCTAGCACTCCCAGGTGGGCTTTGATCGGTCACAACCTGGAAGTTACAACGTCCTCTACCAAAGCGCCGGCACCACCCCTCCCCTCCCCAAAAGTTGCACAGTCTGGACAGTGCAGCCGTTGCTTTTTTTTATGTATGTAGTAAGTCCAGTTACTGACAGGCCTCTTGGACCCGGTCTTTCGGCCTTGGAGAGTCTTGGGAAGCTGCGCTCTTGCGCTCGTTTCTCAGCTTGGGGGGGGGGGGGGTGTCCGCCAGATGCATGTGTTTGCGCCCGCACTCCGCACCCTGACTGGCATTGATACCACTGGCACACAGTACGGAGTACTCTCCTCGTCAGGGACCCGGGGCTCCACCAGGCGCGATTGCCGGACGTCCAATCCTGTCATCAAACAGCCTAACCATTTCCAACACCGGCCAATCTGGTGGTTTGGACTCTCAATTACACCACGGATACCTGCCAATTCCTCCCCTTTACATACTCATGCACTGATCGCTCAGTCACCGACGATACACCCCATACCCATATCAATCATCCGCTACTCCCCGCCACTGTGGTCCTCCCCGCCTCGCACTGCTCCAACAGCCGTCCCTACGGCAACCCTGGCTTATTGCAGCTGTCCCCATCCCTGTTTCGACGCCCCCCCCGTGGTGCCCCGTAGGTGCCCCGTGCTGCCGACCCCGACGACATCCATTCATCGGAAATCGCCCCCCAACTTCGATTGTGTCCCAACAACGTGGTTCCCCCCGAGCGTCAAACCACCACACATGAATTAGTTGGGCGCCGGGCTGCTTCTTTCGCTTTCCGTCAGATCCCTCCCCTCTGCCTCGGGCATCACCCTTCACCATCAATCCCACGATGGCCGACCCTCAGCCCCAGATGACCGGCGGCCAAGGCGGCTCGACGGAGCCCAAGGAGCCCCTTCAGCAGCCCCAAGGCGCCGTCGAGATGAAGAAGATGGACCCTTCGGTGCCTGATGTCCCGGCCAAAGATGACGGTCCCGCCCCCGCAGACGCCGCCGCATCATCCACATCGGTCAAGGGCAAGGAGAAGGAGGTGCAGCCACCATCAAGCCGCCAGGATCGAGCAGACTCCCTCAGTATTGGAGCCGCAGACGACCCCGACGGCTCGCCCTCAAACCCTGCAGATGGCCCCGTGTGCAACATCACATTGCTGCTTCCTACCGGCGCACGTCACCCATATAAAATCGACGACAAGTACCTGGCAAAGCGGAACGTGGAGGTACCTGAAGTCACCGAGAACGGGAAGAAGGACCCCTTCAGCGTTAGTGTCTACAAGTTGAAGGAGCTCATACTGCGGGAGTGGCGCGACGAGTGGGAGGGCAAGCCAGCTAGCCCCAGCAGCATACGCTTGATCCACTTTGGAAAACTACTAGACGACAAGGAACAACTGAAAAGTACGCCTCTCCCCCCAGACCTTGGAACCCAAGGCCGTTTCGGTATTTGACACAGTGCTGACGTTCCACTCCCCCTGCAGAATACCAGTTCAGTCGCGAGATACCAAACGTCGTCCACATGTCCGTCAAACCGGCCGAAATGTTAGAGGAAGACGAGGCCGGGAAGGGCAAGAGTGGCAGCAGTGGTGGCCGGAATTCCGAGGGAGGTTCGGGCTGCTGCGTCATATTATAAGCGCAACAGCTTAGCCCGGACTGTCCTGACTGTCTGGGCGGATAATATTGTCAGACACATTGGCGGCCCTGTGCAGGTGGCTTCAAGCGTGCGCATGCGAGACTCGGCGTCTGCTGCGGAATGCTGTACAGGCCGATGCAAAGCATATGCGGCGGCAACGCGGCTGGGTGGTTTTGCTTGACGTGAGCGACGGGCCCCTTTCCCAACACACATTGTTATTATACGCCCCCGGAACTGCATTTTCCTTACCCATGGGGCATCATACCGTTGAAACAGATCTGTTCGCCACGGCATTCGGACTATTTCATGTCTTTTCTAATCAAGAGGATTCGGATGGGAGGGAATCGTTGGCGCAATACATCGGGTAATGTTTTGGTTTTTGTTATCGCAGCGGCTGTTTCCACAGGTTTAGCAGTCGTCATCACTGCACTCCCACATGAACACACAAAAGATGAGCGAGGCAAACATTGTCCATAGCTTTGGATAGAAATCAGTCATTAGAAACGTGTGACTGTCCACCCTCGCTCGCTTTGATCAGATAGGAAGAGGGTACGGCAACCTGCCCTAACCGTAAATGTATAGACCTGCCTAGGCGGTTTCTATTCGCCGGTATCTGCACAGAGCCTCTCCCGTCTCGTATGCCGGTCGTTCAACATCAACGCCTGTCACCAGTCGTGGCGCCCGCTCACATCTTCAGCTTCTTCTCCATCTCCTCGTGCACGCCAACAGCGGCCCTCTGCTCCTCGCCCGTGTACACGTCCTCCCAGGTGATGGATGTGTCCTTGCCGCGCAGTATGTCCTCGTGCACGCCCGCGGAGCCACCGCCGCCCAGCGCCATCGGCCGCCACTCGCCCTGCTGGGTAATCTTGAGCTCCATGCCGCGGCGGATGGGCTCGGCGACGCCGTACGTCTTGCGCAGCATCTCCATGCGCAGGGCCTCCTGCGTGGACTCCCACCGCTTCAGGCGCGACTCGAGCGGGTGCGTGGACGCCGGGGCCGTCGAGTCCCGGGCGGATGTGAAGGGGTCCGGGCCCACGCCCGCGCGGAGCGTGTCGTGCAGCCCTGGCGCCGAGGGCGCGCCGTGCTCGCTGGGGCGGATGTGGCTGAAGGTTGACGAGTGCTCGTCGGCGGGGACGATGCGCATCGACTGTTGGGCGTTGCGTCTTGTCAGCAAAGCGTGCGTGGGATGGAGCTGTGCCGCCGCCTGGCCGGCGGGCTGGTCCGCTGGCCTGAGCTTACCATCTTGGAGGGTGTGTGGTGGTTTGTCGGGGATCAGGAATGGCGAGGCTGAGTTGGTTGTGGGGTGGGAGAACAGCAATGTCTATGCTCCGTTTGAGAAGATGGAGAGGCTCTGTTACGATGTCGTCTGCGTGGTCGTGGAAGTTGAAGCTGGGAAGCTGGGCCGCTTCTCAGGGTTGCCGGCCATTGATGGAGCTCAGTGCTGGGCAGGCTGCCGAGCAGCTTCGCGTAATGGGGTGCACGGGCCAAGACACTTAAGCCAGCCAGGCAGGCAAGGTACGTACCAGCGCGGGAAGTATCCCCGTTACTTGTAATGCCGTCTGCATACTAAGTAAGTATTCACGCCTAGGACACATAGTTGCAAGGCAGGCTCAGGTGTAATTGTCAATACCTCCCGTTGCATGGCTCAATTGCAATCCAGGCACCTTCAGTTCACATAATGAGACCTATACCGGTGCGGCCTCCCATTGTGCGAATAGCCAATGGCACATTCTATCGCCATCACCCAAATGCTCATGTGGCGCACCCAAACCCGCCCTTATTCTCAGAATTGTCCTTTGAGCTACCCTCTGATCCAGGCTCACATCACCACTGGGCAGTCTTAGGTCCATCATTATCTGGGAAGACTACATTTCTACAGATATTGAGAGGCCAGCACCTGAGTATTCCCGCAACAGCACGGTCATTTCCTTACCTGGCCACAGATGTGGTTCCTCCTCGTCTAAGAGCCGCCAGCAAGGCTATTCAATACGTCGGGTTCGATACTGATAAATCTGGCGGAGGGCTAGGCCCAGCTACTTCTGCATACCTATCCGCGCGGTATGAATCACGCCGGGAGATCACAGACTTCTCGCTCAAGGACTATCTCATAGGAAATACCGATCTCAACCCATTTTCACTCCCCGATGACGAGGATGCCATCAGCCCGGAACTTCTGGAGAGGATTACGAGGGATCTGAAGCTACAGCCGCTTTTGGATCTCCCTGTGGCATTCCTATCCAACGGCCAGGGCAGAAGGGCGCGCATCGCCAGGGCACTACTCACCAGTCCCGAGGTTCTTTTGCTTGATGAGCCGCTGATGGGGCTCGACCCGCCTACGGTAGCATCGTTGAATCCTTTATTGAAGTCAATGGCTACAAAGGCTTCACCAAGGCTTGTTCTGAGCGCGAGGCCGCAGGACCCTCTACCGGACTGGGTTACGCATCTGGTATATCTAAGGAGTGATTGCCAAGTTGGTGCGATGGGCGACAAGGAAACCGTGATCGAGGGCCTGCGCAAGTACATCCGAGGTGTGCGGAAGGGCGGCCTGGTTGAGGATGAGAAGATGCCGGTGAAGGCTCTCCGAGATATGGGCCACACGCTGACCGAGAATGGCATCACGGGTTCTGGCCTGGGTGAAGAAGGCGAGGCCTTTGCCAGCGCAATAGTACCCCGGCCAATGCGAGAGGAGACCTCGAAACAACTTGGGGAGCCGGTGGTCGAGATGGAAAGCTGCCAGGTGAAATACGGAGACAAAATCGTTCTCGGCAACTGGGCAGTGGAAGAGAATGGTGAATCTATCAAGGGACTGTCCTGGACGGTTCGGCGAGGTGAGAGATGGGGTGTCTTCGGTCCCAACGGCTCTGGAAAGACGACGATTGTGTCCCTGCTTTGTTCAGACCACCCGCAGACGTACTCGTTGCCGATAAAGTTGTTCGGTCGCGGTCGCCTACCGGAGCCCGGGTCCGGGCAGCTGCCTTTGACCTTCTGGGACATACAACGACAGATAGGCCATTCCAGCCCAGAGGTCCACCAGCATATCCCGAGACGACTGACGATTCGACAAGTCGTAGCAAATGCCTGGGCCGACACCTTTCTGATGAAGGCGAAGCTCGATGATGCAGCCAGCGCAAAAGTCGATGCGAGCTTGCGGTGGTTTGAGCCCGAACTGAACCCAGCATATAAAAAGACCGTGGCCAGCCAGACAGCTGACGTCTCGTGGGCTAACGACTACGTCTTTGGCGAGATATCATTCAGCGCTCAGCGCGTTTTGCTGTTCATTCGATCGATGATCAAGAACCCAGACATTGTCGTCCTCGATGAGGCCTTCAGCGGAATGGACGAGGGTGTACGAGACAAGTGCATGCTATTCCTTGCCCACGGAGAGGCAAAGACGTATGCGCCTGCCAAGGGGCAGCTCGTGGTCGACAGTGAGCAAGCGAAATCCGGCAGTTTGAAGGTTCTCGGCCTGTCGGACCGGCAAGCTCTCATCTGTATCAGCCACGTCAAGGAGGAGGTTCCCGACACGGTGCGGGAGTGGCTGTGTCTGCCCGAGGCCAACTCTCAGCAGCCGGCGAGATTTGGACGGCTGGACGGCCCACTGAGGACAGATGCGAGGAGGTGGAGCGAGATTTGGAACGTCGGGAGAATTTAAGCATCAGTCCAGTCCCACCCTGCAGGTACGACGGGGCACTGGCAGTGTAGACCGAATCTCAGTGGGACTTGTCTCGCTCAATTGTCGGCCTTGGAGAGTTGCTGCATGATATTTTTGGAGCCTTTGCTGAGCCGGCAGCTCGCATAGATGCCGCGATCTGGATATGGTCGACAAATACTGAGGTGATTCTCGAGGGTAAAATCGAGCGGACTGGTCCGAATTACACAGTCTCTGCACAGCAATACAGACGCAGGTGGGTTTGGCGCCTTCTCACTTCCTGCTGCTTCTCTCGGGACTGGCTCTCTCGATCCCTGCACCCTGTCGACCGTGGACACCGGGTGGGGGACCGACTGAAAAGATGGGTATACAGATTACTATAGAGGTATGTAGTACACACAGTAGACTACAGTACTGGACTGTCTCAAGGCGACGAGGGGTACATTGCTCCTGTCGTCCCCTGACTAACAGTACACTAGTCTATCTATCAACGGAAATCTCCGCCACCAGCAAGTGCTGCTGGTGTTGTGCATCGAGGTGGGCGGGCACCCAGGCGCGTACGGGTCTTGCTGCGATTGTTTGTCTCGGCCGTGTGGGATCGCGTCTTCTGGATCGGGCTCCTGCCTGCGTTCCCAGCCATCGCTTTTCTATTTTCGAGGAGCAGAAGTCAGTGTCATGCCTGCAGGCCCATCGTATAGGGTTATCGATTGCTGCGAGCCCACTGTTTTCCTGCAGCGTGGGCCGTCGATTGGAGCAGGTGCAGCCAGGGTGGGCTTATGACGTGCGCTCCCAGCCCCCCTCCACCCCCAGCCTCCAAAAGCGCCCGCCCGGTTGCTGTGGATACCACTTACATCCTCTGCGGGCATCAACAAGGCCCGGCCAGGCCTGCATACTCGAATGTTGTTATCGTGCCTGACACTGCCTGCTTCCCTGCCTCTTCCCAATGAGAGCCCAATTGGGGACCTGCACTGCCAACCTCCTCCATTACTACCAGGGCGGGATCCAAGCATTCCCTGGTTGCCTGGGCACACTACCACAATCGCTTCCTCCTCACCCATCGCACCGCATTTGCATTGCGTTTCGCCATTCAGGTGGCTGGGGTCGAAGCTCGAAAACTCTCATTCCTGCATCCTCTATTGCCTACTCTCACTCAAGCCACTCGTTCTGTGCTCAATTCACCTTGCGCCGGTCAAGTCAGGTCATTCTTGAGAGCCTTCTTGACTTATCAGAGCCAGGATGGACCGTTCAGGTTCACCCTCACACCCTCCCGACTACGGTCGACGTCTCTACGGCGACGATGACCAGGACGACGTCCCCCTCGGCCAAGGAAGCACTGCTGCCGCTGTGAGACTCCTCACATCTATGGAGGAGCCAATGTCAGAGGGCCGTCCGTACGTATCACCAGTTATTCTTCGCCCATCTCCTTTGTGTTTGCCAGCTGTCAAGGTTGCGGCTGCTTCGCCCGCAACTTCGACTCCAGTGCACGTTTCGTCGCTTCAGAGGCAGGAGGAAGGCGCAAGCCCGTCCAGGAAGCAGCTTGCCTCAACGGTCCACTTCGCGGCCGCGACATCAGGCGCGGAAACACCACCGCGGCATGACCCCGTGGCAAGCAGACCAGACCAGGGCAAGCTACTGTCAAGAGCCTCTACCGTCAAGCTTCAGAAAAAGAACAAACCAGCACATGTCACGCAGGCCCAGATTGCGTCGATGTTGCCGGCCATCCCGCAGGGGCTCTCCCCTCGAAGGAAGTCGCTGAGGCAGTCCCACAGCGAGCCCTCTACTACCCCTCAACCTTCACCAACAGCAGACACCAGAAGCTCACCAGAATATGAATCTAGTAGCCACCACGCTCGTCAATCATACCAGCCATCAGTCTTTTCCACGCATTCTCATCGCGACTCCATCCTCGACCCGCCCAGCATGCCGCCGCCAGACTCAACCTATATCCCCTTCCGACCTTTCGACGAGGACTCACCACCACCACGGGCATGGAGCCCCTCACGCACATCTGACTATGAGAGGATGCCTCCAGCTCCTGCCCAATACGAGCCGGCGGATCTGAACGGCAGCCCACGGCCAGGTACCCCGTCCTCAAGGTATGGTGGAAGCCCCAGACGGCCTCTGCCCCCAGCACCACTCTTCTCCGGCGGAAGTGCCCGAACTTCAGCTTTTGCCGACGACGCCACGGTCTCTATCCCATTGGAACATGATGGCGACGACGTCTTCGGCCCTGAGTCCTCTGATCACAACATGAGACGCGAGTCCTACTTGTCTCGCCAGGACACCTTGAGCGACGAGCTAGAGACCCCTTTCGATGAGAAGGTTGACCACTATGGGCCCGCACCACAGGGCCGACAGGAGCGACGAGGAGTGCGCGACCCCCAAATGACCAAGAAGGAGGTCCAGCTCATCAATGGCGAACTGGTGTTGGAATGCAAAATCCCAACTATCCTGTACAGTTTCTTGCCCCGCCGGGACGAGATCGAGTTCACGCATATGCGATACACGGCCGTGACCTGCGACCCTGACGACTTCCTATCGAGAGGTTACAAGCTGCGCCAAAACATTGGAAGAACCCTCCGTGAGACGGAACTGTTCATCTGCGTGACCATGTACAACGAGGATGAGATTGGGTTCACGAGGACGATGCACGCCGTCATGAAGAACATCGCTCACTTCTGTAGTCGCAGCAAGTCGAGGACGTGGGGAGAGAATGGTTGGCAAAAGATTGTCGTGGCCATCGTCTCGGATGGCCGTGAGAAGATCCACCCAAGAACACTGGACGCCTTGGCCGCCATGGGCGTTTATCAGCACGGAATCGCCAAGAACTTCGTCAACCAAAAGGCCGTGCAAGCACACGTGTACGAATACACAACTCAGGTCTCCCTCGACTCTGACCTGAAGTTCAAGGGCGCAGAGAAGGGCATTGTCCCGTGCCAGATGATCTTCTGCCTCAAGGAGAAGAACGCAAAGAAGCTGAACTCGCATCGTTGGTGCTTCAACGCTTTTGGTAAAGCACTGAACCCCAACGTCTGCATCCTCCTCGATGTCGGAACAAAGCCTGGTAGCAACTCGCTGTACCACCTCTGGAAGGCCTTCGATACCGACTCCAACGTTGCTGGGGCTTGTGGAGAGATTAAGGCAATGAAAGGCAAGTACGGGGTTAATCTCTTGAATCCACTCGTCGCGTCGCAGAACTTTGAGTACAAGATGTCCAATATCTTGGACAAGCCTTTGGAGAGTGTTTTTGGCTACATTACAGTGTTGCCCGGCGCCTTGAGCGCGTATCGGTACCATGCGCTCCAGAACGATGAGACTGGCCACGGGCCTCTGAGCCAATATTTCAAGGGCGAAGTCTTGCACGGCCAGCACGCCGATGTTTTCACTGCCAACATGTATTTGGCTGAAGATCGTATTTTGTGCTGGGAATTGGTGGCCAAACGCGGAGAGAGATGGGTCTTGAAATACGTCAAGAACTGTACGGGCGAGACTGACGTGCCTGGTAAGTCTATCAGATACCCATACTCAATCCCTGTCTGATGACACAGCACACACTGACATCCTCCTAGACTCGTTACCGGAGTTCATCTCCCAGCGCCGAAGATGGTTGAACGGCGCTTTCTTCGCAGCCGTGTACTCCCTTATCCATTTCAAGCAGCTTCTTGCGACAGACCACACCGTTCCGCGCAAGGCACTACTGCTCATCGAGTCGTTTTATCAGTTCATCCAGCTCCTCTTCACATACTTCTCACTCGCCAACTTCTACTTAACATTCTACTTCGTCGCGGGCGGTATCGGCGACGAGAAGGTCGACCCATTCCCGCACAACCTCGGAAAGTACATTTTCGCCATCCTGCGCTACGCCTGCGTCCTCCTCATCGCTGCTCAGTTCATCCTGTCGCTCGGCAACCGGCCCCAGGGAGCCAAGAAACTGTATCTGGCCTCCGTCATCATCTTCAGCATCATCATGGTCTATACACTGTTCGCCTCCATTTACATCGTCGTGTATCAGATCACGCAGGGCAGCGGGTTTGACATGCATAGTACCATCATGACCAACATGATCCTCTCGGTTCTGTCAACGATCGGCCTGTACTTCGTCATGTCTTTTATCTACCTCGAGCCATGGCACATGTTCACTTCTTTCGTGCAATACTTCGTCCTGCTACCATCGTACATCTGCACTCTGCAGGTGTATGCATTCTGCAACACCCACGACGTGACATGGGGGACCAAGGGAGACAACGTCATGAAGACAGACCTTGGAGGCGCCATTGGCAAAGGCTCAACGGTCGAGCTGGAGATGCCCTCAGAGCAGCTGGACATTGACTCCGGGTACGATGAGGCGCTGCGGAACCTGCGCGACCGCATCGAGGTGCCCGAGGCCCCCACCAGCGAATCGCAGATGCAGGAGGACTACTACAAATCGGTTCGGACGTACATGGTCAGCTCGTGGATGATCGCCAACGCCGTGCTCGCCATGGCGGTCAGCGAGGCCTATGGTCAGAAGCAGGTCGGCGAGAACTGGTACCTCGCGTTCCTCCTGTGGAGTGTCGCCGCGCTGGCGGCCTTCCGTGCTCTTGGCTCCGGCACATTTGCGTTCATCAACCTCGTCAACACCATCGTGGAGGGCCGCGTCAAGATGAGCCTCAAGGTTCCGAAGTGGCTGGGCGGTGTGGGCAGCAAGATCTCAGACAAGCTGAGCAGCGTTGGGAGCAGCGTGAGGAGGTGAAAACAGCAAAAAGGATACCTGACCACACGTGGTCGAAGTGTGTTTCTCTCATATTCATGTCTACTGGAAAGGAGTTCCTTTGAATGGGTTTCTTGTTGTTATTTTTGTACCGCAAGCAGGTTGGCGTTTCCCTCATGAGGCATTTGGATCACGACGGTTGACCAAGGGAAAGAGATGACTGGATGAACGGTGACTCTGGCATGGGTCGGATGGAACATGATGGTCAACCAGGGCTTGTGGCTGGGAATAGGGGCTGGGAATAGGGAATACCCGTAGGAGGTTATGTACATTATACGAAGTGTTGATGCTCCACTATAATCACATAGAGGAGGGACGAAGAAATGTTTTGTCTCAAGGTTAGATAAAAACAATGCATCATTATAATAATCAGCCTGAATTGTCTGTGATCTTGTCAACCTTTTTCAACTGACGAGTGGTGTCAGAGACAATACAGTGGAAAGTAAGATGGTTGTGTATTGTATGCAGCACCTAAAGCCTGGAGATGTCGAAATCCTTGTGTCCCCACTTCTCGGTAAACTTGACTTTGGCCTGCTTCCGGTACGGAATCTTTCTCCTCGCCTCCAGACGCCCTCTGACTAACAGGCTCCGGTACCGATCCTTGAGCAGGTTGCCCTCGGGTTTCAGCAGTCTGAGCGAATCCTGCAGCTCGTCCGGAAGCACCAGCTCGAGGTCCTTCTCGGGCAGCTTCAGCTTGCCCAGCTGTCTCCTCCGGAGCTCGATGTCATCGCCCTCGCTTTCGTCCTCGCTCATCTCGATCTTGGACAGGGCCAGCTGCCGCTGCTTCTCCTCGACAGCCTCGGCGATCTCCTTTATGTGCTTGGCCTGCTCCTCCTTCCTCTTCGCCGCCGCCTGGTGCTTCCTGAGCCCTTCTTCCAGCTTTCTTCTCTTGGCCTTATTGCGCTGGGCTGGGGTCTTGCGCTTTGGACGCTTCGTGATCACACCCTCGGCGTCGCTCTCAATGCCCTCCCAGGCAGAGTCTTCATCCCACTCTGAGAGCTCTGCGCGCGCCTCCGCCGCCTCGGCCTCGGCTGCGGACCGGGCTGCGGCTTCCTGTCGCCGGCGGTCTGCCTCGATCTCATCCAGACGCTTGCGCTCGGCCTCGACAGCCTTCTCGCCTTCACGCTCTAGCCGTTCGACGTAGTCCGTGACGACGGGGTTGTAGCTGAACCCGCCGGTCGGCTTGGCCACGGCGGGCACGTTCTTGCCGCTCGCGGAGAGTGATATGGGCTTCTTCGCCAGCGTCGAGGGGGGCTTGGCCCTTGTCGGTTCTGGAATCCACTCGTTCTTCTCCTGCTTGGCAGCAGGGCCCGCGGCAGCGGCCGTGTCCATGGCCCAAGGGTCGTAGGCGGCGTCTACCACGTCTACTGCCGATTCGTGGTGCCCATCGGCCACCTTCTTGATGCGGGTCAGCTCCTTGTGAGTGACGTAGTTTGTGCGCTGGCGCTTGACAGGTAATATTCCATCGGTGGTCTTATCGGCAGGTCTCTTCTTGCTGGGTACGGCCGGGACTGCGGACCGCGCGGCGATGATCTCGTCGGCCTTGAGGCCCTTGACCTTGGGAACCCTCTTGGTGTTGTTGGCATCACCGCCGGTGTCGAGGACGAAGAGGTCGGCCGAGTCCTTCTCTGCGATAACACCACCTTGGATGATCTCGTCGTTCAGATCCTCGAGACCCTTCTTCACCTCGGTCACGTCGACGTTCTTCCTCCATGCCTTCTTGCCCTTTCTCGAGGGTTGCGTGTGCTGTTGAGGCGCATCAGGGTTTCCCGTGCGACCCCTAAGGACAGCCATCTTTGTAGTTGGACGTTGGAGGGCAGGCCGGGGCTGGTTTTGTCCTGTGCAGGTGTGAGAGGGCGAGATCTGGACTGGGGCGGTTGATGCAACAGTGCTGAGTTGTAGGCCAGAGGAACAAATTGATTGCTGGGCTGGCGGGCTGAGAGGAGGGACACCCTGGACCCATTTCTCTCTCTCTCCAGCCGCTCTAGTAGGGGACTTGAAAAAATCAGAATGGGGAAGGCTATCGATAAGCATCCCACTAGCTGACTGGGGCCAGGCCCAAGACTTGCAGAGAGCCCTGCAGAGCTGCATGACGGCGGGCATTTCGTCACCAATCACTGGCTGCCGTAGTGCCCCACAGCGCGGGCGCCGAGACGCTGGCCAACGCGGTGAAAGGGGATCCAGATGTCGTGGAGAAAGATAGACTGCGCACTTGTCCGTATCTATTGTACAACTGGTCGTTGAGAGAGAGGGGACCCCGTTTCTACACCGTTTGTTTCCCTCCGCCGGCGTCCCGCATTTGGCCAAGGCAAGCTGTCAAGAGCTCTGAATAAGATTTGAACCGCCGAGAGCCCGGGCTGCCCAGGCACCAGAACAAAGACGACCGACCACCCAACCCTCCATTCATTCTGCTCCATCTTCATCGGCACATACAAGCCAACCTCCAAGCGGCGAGGCATACCGGATCCATACCCGCCTGCCCAACCAACTGCGTAGACGGCTTCTCAGATATTGTCTTGACTACCTCCTGTGCCACCCAACTGACGCCATCGCGCCCCCGATACTTGCACAACCAGCCGACCCCGCGGGAAAACCCAACAAGATGGCGCAAGCAGGAGCTTCCTACAACAACCCCCTCAAGAAGTTCAAGTATGTCCCTCCTGCCCCTTGACTGGTTTATACCGTCCTTGGGCCAATTGAGGCTGATCATTCACTCGTCTGCAGGTTGGTCTTCTTGGGCGAACAGAGTGGTACGTCAAGCCCCGTCAGGATCCCCAAAGTCACGCGAAGCGCATGCTAACCCTGTAATCTCTCCTCCTCACAGTGGGCAAGACATCCCTCATCACCCGGTTCATGTACGACTCGTTCGACAACATGTACCAAGCCACAATCGGCATCGATTTCCTCTCCAAGGTGATTGCAGCCTGATCCGCAGACGCGAGACACGACGTGACGGAGGCTGACGTACCCCAGACGATGTACCTCGAAGACAGGACAGTAAGGCTGCAGCTCTGGGACACGGCTGGCCAGGAGAGATTCAGGTCCTTGATTCCCTCCTACATCCGAGACTCGAGTGTCGCCGTCGTGGTCTACGATATCTCAAGTGAGCCGGCACCAGGACCCATTGCGAATGACCGGGTGGGATCACTAGCTGATAGCCAGGAAAACAGACGCAAAATCGTTCCAGAACACGAGGAAGTGGATTGATGACGTCCGGGCCGAGCGAGGGAACGACGTGATCATTGTCCTTGTCGGCAACAAGACTGATCTTAACGACAAGCGGGAAGTCACCACACAACAAGGTGAGGAGGAAGCCAAGAAGAATAACCTCATGTTCGTCGAGACGAGCGCCAAGCTGGGCCACAACGTGAAGACGCTGTTCAAGAGGATAGCCCAGGCCCTGCCAGGCATGGAGGGTAGCGACGCCGCCGCGCAGGCCACCAACCAGAGTAAGTTTGGGCCCTGGCTACATGTTGCGACAGAGAGCTGCGACGTGCTGACATCTCTGGTAGTGATTGACGTCAAGACCAACAACTCGCCGACCAGCCAGGAGGGCTGCGCCTGCTGAACGAGCAAGGCAACTTCAGAGACCTATAAAAACCAGCGGCCTAGGCACCGTGCCGGGAGGAGGCGTCCGGCGCTGTATCTTGTAGAAAGCAGCAGTGAGCCAGGCCCCTATTATCGTTGGCCACGGGCTACCAGCATGAGCGATTGTATAATAAACAACGATTAATGGGTCATGAATGACGACCCATGATTTTCCCGACCGATAAGACCTTTTAGTATATTATTCTAATTCATCTTCGGACAAGCTTTTTGTCTATAAGTCTCGGCTGTGGGTGGCGAGATTGGTATTTGATGTGCGACTTTTATGCTGCGCTGCTTTGCGCTTGAGCCGGCTGTTGAGCCCTTGCCATTCTCTCATCCGGGATGACTCCCGCTTTAGGAGGGATTTAACCCAGCGGTGTATCGGCGTTAATACTCATGGGCGTTCTCATTCAAGGGCGGCTGTCCCCTTTCACTTCCGAGACTGCACTGTGCCATCTGCCATTCCAAAGTAGGCCGCGACGGGCTTCTGCGCGCCGCTCTCGACCTGGAAGCCGTTCGCACCGGCAAACAGACCAATCTCAACCACACCTACGATCTTGATGAGCTTTTCGGCGAGGCCGTCAACGGTCCAGACGCCGTTCTCGCCATCCTGACCCTTGAGGTCCTTGGCCAGGGCAAGCGGCGGGAAGGGCGCATCGATAAGCGAGTTGCCGTTGTCAGTGACTATCGAGCCTGCCTTGCCCGGCAGCCCGGAGCGGAGCACAGGGTTGACTGCGCCCAGCTTCTTGAGCTCTGACAGCACGTGCCCTGTGGCCTGGTAGACGACCTCAATGGGGATGCCCTTCTTCCAGCTTGTCCCCAGCCGGGCCGACATTTTCCTGAAGTCTACGTAGGCGTCGTGTCAGCTCCGCATCGAATCAACAAGAGGGAGGTTCGAGGCTGGCCCACTCACCAGCGACACAGACAAACTTCTTGGCCTTGATGACGATGAGCTTCTCCTGCAACAGGCAGGCGCCGCCGCCCTTGATGAGGTTGAGGTCCTCGTCGACCTCGTCGGCGCCGTCGAAGCAGACGTCGAGCTGCTTGCCCTCCGGCAGGTCCTGGACGTACTGCAGGTTCAGGCCGGCGCCGCGGATGAGCTCGCGGGACTGCTCCCCGGTGGGGAAGAAGGACATGCGGGAGGTGACGGCGGGGCCCAGGGCGGCGATTGCCTCGACGACGTAGACGACGGTGCTGCCGGAGCCGATGCCGACGTGAGTGTACGTCGGGTCGATGTGCTCCTTGACGGCCTCGTACGCCGCGGCGCGCTTGGACGACTCGACCAGGCTGGCCTGCTTGGAGGCGCTGAGGGCCGACGTTGACGTGGTGGTGGCCATGGTCCTGGGGGCTGCGGTCTGGTTGCGACTCTGGAGTGGCTGACCCGCTTGCTGATGAACAGTCCGGGAGGCTGGGCCGGCAGTGTAGTGTCTGCGGCTTATATGAGCCGCTGCAGGTGTCGCGGGAAACGCGGCAATAAACCTGGCAGACGGGCTTACGACTCGCAGACGCATCAATAGCACGGGCTTGCGAGTCTCGTGAGCAGGTCGAGCGAGGTCCGTCTGGGCGGCTGTCTCGTCAGGGCCCCGCGGCCTTGCTCACGATGAGACTCGCCGTCGGCCGGGGCCCGGTGGCTGAGTCATCACAGAACAGTGACCTACTCGGCACGTCTTGCGGGTCATGTCCTCATACTCCGTACTGTGGTAACTGCCCAGCTGCCCAGGCCTAGCGCCACAAGGGGGAAGATGGGTGTGGGTGGCTCGGACCGGGACTGACGCTGCAGCGCTGCAGGGTCCGGTGCATCCGTCGCTGCCGTGGTCGCCCAAGACAGCCAGCCCCAGGCCAATTTGATCCGGACTGTTTCCTGTTACACAACATCGGACCCTGATCTGCCACCTTTTACCTTTTGCATTGACGGCCACCAAAACCCGGCCAGAGACCACCAAGTCCTTGCGTCCAGGATCAGTTCTCCGGCCGAGATCCCCAACCTCTGCTTCAGAGAAGCTCGCGATACTAGGCATTATGGCAACCTCGAGAGGCCGGCGGCTGTCGCTGCCCAAGCCAAAGGTATGCACCGTCGTCGTCGCCACCCCGTGCTCCCGCCGCCCACCCGGCCTGCTAACCACCTAGCCACCGCACGCAGACCTTCCTGGGCCTCATGTCCCTCCAGACCGGCACCGAGATGATTTCGTTAGCCCTCCTCATCAACAAGGTGACGGGCCTGTACGGGCTGCTCGCCATAGTGACCGGCTACTCCCTCAACGCGGTCCAGCTCTCCATGTACCTGTACTCGGTCGTCGTGCTCGGCACCCTCGCGTTCCTTATCCCTCACATCCGGAGGCAGTCGCCGTTCCAGAACCTGTCGCTCGCCTGGCTCTACATTGTCGACACGGCCGTCAACACCGCGTACACGGCGACTTTCGCGGTGCAGTGGTACCTCAGTTCCGGCGGCAACCCCCAAGGCGACCCCGCGGAGCAGGCCACCGATACGGCCGCCAGCATGGTGCTCATTGTCGGGCTCTCACTCTTCAGGGTGTACCTGATGTTCACGGTCATGAGCTTCACGAGGCAGGTCCTGCAGAGGCACGCGGAGGAGCTGTCTGATGGCAAGGGCCTCGCGCTGCTGCCCTTCACCCCCGGGTCGCCCGGCAGCGATGGCTGGCAGGGAAAGCTGGGGCGTGCGATGTTGTTTGTCGGCCAGGACTACTGGATTGGGGCCAAGGACGACCAGGAGTGGGCGCCGGAGCAGCAGGCGCCCCTGGTTGCTGAAGAGAGCGACGGCGAGTAGACAGTGCCGGGCTTGAAAGCATCTGCGGGCGTTGTTTACTGGCGAGGTGTTTTGCATTGGACGAGGGCATTGGTTGGCGTTTCTGCTTCATGTTGCATCATTCGTAGCACATACTACAACACCATAGGCAATGGGTAATGGGTAATGGGACAAGGGTTTTGCTCGAGCATGATGGCCAGCCTTGGCTGGCCAGTCAGGCCCTGTGGTGGCCAGCGCATCATCCTCCATGGCTACCTACTTAATTAAGTAGGTACCAAGCTTGTGTCAACTGATGTGCAGCGCCCCGAGATGCGAGACCAGGTGGCAGGCTGCATACTCTAGGCACCTCTAGGTTCTAGCTCTTCCGCGAGCCACCAAGCATGTGCGCGGAAGGGCAGCTTGGAGATGTATGTGCGTCCCGACGGCGTGGTCTAGAATGCGCCGAGTCTGCCCAGGCTTGGATCGGATCCAACAAGCCGGGCACGAGAGGCTGGGCTGTTGCACTGATACAGCGCTCCCCATAAATACACGCGCGTGGCGCGAAGTGGCCGTCCAATGGGTGCAACAGGGTGTGCGAGAAGCTTTGGCTGGCACCAGGCCCGGCCAAAACAGCTTCCCGAATGTCGAGAAGCCAGGAAGCTTGTTCAGAAGTCCGCTGTGCGCGCATGAAACCGTCTCTTATAGTATGGCACGGTCTGCCTCAGGAGTGAAGTATCTGAGAACCACGCTGGCTTGTAAACTCTGACTACCCCCCTCTCCCCTCTGGGTTTCATAACAGAGCTCTGCGCCTGAAAGGGTCAATCACCCTGACGACGCCCGAGCATCTTGTGGCCCTCGACAAGAGACGTGGCGAGGTGGGCGGAGGGTTGGCAACACCCCAAGACAAGGCTGGGCACGAGGAAGGGAGGATCTTGAGCTCCAGAAAGATCTCGAAGGACTTGGTACTCTTGGTACTATCCTGTGTGGTGACGGGAGGGCATGTGGGAGGACAAGGGAAGGTTTGACCACATGTTTCTGTGGCCTGCTCATGGGCCTTGGCGGCAGGCCCGCAGCCAAGAGGTTGTCTGTGGGATACCATAGCGGGGGACGTGCATACTGTGTATGAAATGCTCCTCAACTGGTCGCCTGACCCCGTCGCCCCGGACCAGGACCGGGGGGTCGCAGTGGGAAGGGGACAAGTCAACAAGAAAGCAAAACCCAAGACCTTGCCTGCTGCAGAGTGCGTGCAGCTTGTACTCCGTACTGCTGGGACTGCTGGGACTTGCTGGAGGAATGCGAGGCGAGGTCAATTCCCGATGCAAGGTGGGCTGGTGGGAAGGTGGGCTGGTGGGAAGATGGGAAGGTGGGAAGGTGGGAAGGTGGGAAGGTCACCCACCCTCCCATTGTGGCTCGCCTGTTGCAGCCGCACCACCTGCTGGCCCAGGACGCTGGGCAGTTAGTTGACTGGCACGCAGGAGCGGCTAACTGAACGGATAAAGCTACCGACACCCTTGCCTTGGCCGTCGGTACGTGCGGGAGTCGGTGGGGGGCACCCCTGCAGGGCGATGCAGGGCCCTGCCAGAGGCACTCGAGGCCCGTTTTACCGTGTTAATGCCCGGCTGGTGATTGGGCACAGCGCCATCGGACAGGGTCTGCTCCCCAGATTCTGGAGCTGGGACGCCGGTGCGGCCCCTGCCCCTCCTGGCCGGATGGTTTGTTTCGACAGTTTGGTCGGCCGGTTGCTGAATCATTGCCCGGCTCGCCCCAGGGCGGCCAGAGAGGCAGACCAAGCAGACCTGGCACAGGCAAAGAGGGCCCTTTGGACCAAGACAGCTCGTTCCAGCCAGTCAGCTAGTCCGCAGCATGTTAGCGGCGATCACGCAATTCGTACGAAGCTGAGCACACCGGCCTCTGAGCGGCGACCGAAAGGCTTGAATGGCGAATCTCGAATCTCGAATCTTTTTTTTTCCTGTCCCCCCAATGGTCCACAGCAGTCCCGAGTGGTCCCTCTGCGCTATCCTGGCGGGGCAATATCGGCTTCTTCGTGCTGCTGCCAGTGCCGTCATGTTGTGATGACTGCACGACTGGCCACTCACTCCTCTCGCTCTGGTCTGCCCGGAAAAAAAAACACTCGCACTGGGAGATATCCACATTTTTTTACCCACGCCCCGTTTCTGTATCCTCGCTCCGGCGACAGCCTCTGGATAAAGACCGCCTCGCCGTCCTCGCTCGGTCTCTGATCGGGCCCTTCTCTTCGCCATGTCCTTCCTCTTCAACCGGCTTCCCAAGCTCGACACCTCCACCTCCCTCTCCCGCGGCAAGAACAACAGCCTGTCGCCCCTGCAGCAGAGGAAGATGCAGCAGGAAGTGGCCATGACCCCGGTTTCCACTGGCTGTCGGACGCCTGCAGAGGCCGGTATGTTTTGCTACTCGCGACCTCTTGTACACCCTGCCCGTCCAGTCCAACCCAGCCCAGCACATCATGCGCCGCGCCACACCCGGCGAGCGCTGCCCAACAACACCCAGCCGCCCCAGTTGGTGACGGCTGTGTCGGCTGTGTGCTGTTTTGGCCTGTTTGGGGCCCGGATATATGCATACCATCATGTGCGACGCAGATTCCCAGACTTGCTAACACCCTGCTCTGCCCCCAGTCTCGCGAATCGCATATCAGGCCAGTGATGTAATTGTCAGCGTACAGCCGTCTCTGGCTGTCGACTCCGAGTTCTCGGTCCACCTCAAGAGATACCATGGCAGGAGAGACAAGAGCCTGGTTGCAAAGAACGTCGACAGTGTGCCCGAGGTTCGTCTCACCCACCTTCCGGTCTCGGAGACATCCGCGCCTCCCACCAAGCCAAGACTGCCAGACTGACATGACCACAGGTTATCTCCATAAGGCACAACGCTGACCCTTTGCTGTCGGTCTTCGAGCCGGCACGGAACGGCCTCTTGGTCTCCGTCACCACAAGCTCTAGGATCCTCCTCGCCTCGGTTGGCCACTTATACAAGCTTGCCAGCTACCCCGTCGTCATCCACGTGGCTCTCCACCCAGACCAATTCCCAGATTACTCCGCCATCACCTCGATAAGGAATACAGGATGGTCATTCCTCCAGTCCGAGTCGCTTCAGGAGGCGCAGGATATGGCTCTGACCGCCCACGCCCTCGCCATCCGGTCAGGCAAGGGTGTGGTCCACTTCTTCAGCCCCGCGACCTCTCAGAACGACAAGCCAATCGATTTCGAGACACGGAGCGTGCTGCGTGAGATCCTGAACCAGGACTATGTGCGGCGGATCCAGAACTCCACCATTCCGGGAGCCGGCATATATGCCGACGACGGAAGGGTCGCCCTGGCCGAAGACCTCATTGACCTCGGCCAGGAGGCCAGCTCTCCCAGGTCGCCCCCTCCCAACGGCCTCGCCGTGCCCGAGTTGGAGGGCAAGATCTCTTCTGTCACATCAGAGAAGTCGAGCCAGCAGAGCGTGACCAGCAGCCCACCAAGTGTATCTTCGGCAACCACCGTCGAGGCTCAGCCCCCAGCAGTCACCTCAGAGCACATCTACAACTATGTCACTCTCATTTGGGCCCAAATCAAGAAACTACTCGGCCGTGAGTACCATGTCTTCGAGTACTCTGGGTCCCCTACTGCTGAGACTTGCCTGTTTATTTTCGGCCTGGATGCTGGCTTGTTTGGCGATACGATCGACAGAGCGCCCCCGTCAGAGGGTTTCGCAAATTGTGCCATCATCACGCCCCGGCTGTATAGGCCTTGGCTTGGAGTCAAGCTGATCGACATCCTGCCCAAGTCTGTCAAGAAGGTTGCCGTGTTGGAACAGATCTCCAAGAAGACGACCAAATGGGGCCCAATCCTCATCGACGTGCTGACCTCTCTGAGGAGTGGCATGGGAGGCGTCGACACCATTGTTGGCTACCACCTAGGCTATATCAACCACGAGACAGTCCAACAGGCCCTGCGCGGAATCTACCAAAACCTGATCGCGGAGAAGCCTATTCAGAACCTGGACGTTGGCTCAGCGCGCGCTCCGGAGGGAAACTCACCTTACGAGCTGGAGACGCCCAAGCTTGAGACCGCCTACACCAAGATCTTGGACCAGCTCTTTGGCTCCAGGGTATTCCTTGCGAACTCTCTCAAGTCTGACAATGCCGGAGTGTCGGCCACAATATCTGCCAGCCCAGAGTATGGATTCGGCTCTTTGTTGGCACGCAAGGAGAAGAGGTCAAACTTTATCGCAGACGTCAAGGAGTCCGCAGTCTCGGGCACGTTCCTGACGGAAACCCCGAAGCGCTCACTGGCTCAGTGGGCTGCACATGTCGAGGACCCTTCCAAGGTAGACCAGTTCGCAGAGGACGCTGTTTCTGCTCTAGAGACCGACAACTCAACCCTCTCCCGCAAGCTTCTCACCAACAAGGGCTTCTTCCGCAGGGAGTCTCTCTGGCTTGTTGGATCTGACGCGTGGTCGTACGACCTCGGAAACTCTGGCGTGCACCATGTTCTGGCGTCTGGCGAGAATGTGAACATGCTCATCATCGACTCGACACCGTACTCCGAGCGAGTCGCCACCGACGCCGCCCGGAGGAAGAAGGATATTGGCTTGTACGCCATGAACTTCGGCAACGCGTACGTTGCGTCGACAGCGGTCTACAGTTCCTACACCCAGGTCTTGCAGGCCATGGATGAGGCCGACAAGTTTGATGGGCCATCTATCGTTCTGGCATATCTGCCATACAACGACGAGCATGACTCGTCCCTCACCGTGCTTCAGGAGACGAAACAGGCCGTCGATATTGGTTACTGGCCTCTGTACCGTTGGAACCCGAAGAACGAGCTCAAGGGTGAACCGAACTTCTCCCTGGATTCTGAGCGAATCAAGAAGGAGCTAAAGGACTTCTTGGACCGTGATAACCACCTCACCCAGCTCATGGCTAAGGAGCCCAAGTTTGCGCCTGTGCTCTCGGAGGACTTTGGTACCGAGATTCGTGCTCAGCAGAAGCGAAATGCCAAGGATGCATATAATAAGCTTCTCGAGGGCCTGCAGGGTGCGCCTCTGACAATTCTTTTCGCCTCAGACGGTGGTAACGCTCAGTCTCTCGCTAAGCGACTTGGGAACCGAGGTAAGGCACGTGGCCTCAAGACTACTGTCATGGCAATGGAGGACTATCCAGTGGAAGACCTACCCACGGAGGACAACATTGTCTTCATCACCTCGACCGCCGGTCAAGGAGAGTTCCCACAGAACGGCCATGCCTTCTGGCAGGGTATCAAGGACAGCACCGAGCTGGACCTGGCCACTGTTAACTACTCTGTCTTCGCCCTTGGTGATAGCCACTACTGGCCGAGGAAAGAGGACAAGATCTATTACAACAAGCCTGGAAAGGACCTAGACAGGAAGCTGTCTGACTTTGGTGCAAAGCGCTTGGCTGAGATCGGTCTTGGCGATGACCAGGATCCTGACGGGTACCAGACTGGATACAATGACTGGGAGCCACTTATCTGGCAGGCTTTGGGCGTTGCGAATGTCGATGGCCTCCCCGAGGAACCACCTCCACTCACCAACGAAGACATCAAGCTGGCTTCCAACTATCTCCGAGGCACCATTGTCGAGGGCTTGAACGACCCCACAACCGCTGCCATTTCTGCGGCTGACCAGCAACTCACCAAGTTCCATGGTACCTACATGCAGGACGACAGGGACATCCGAGACGAAAGGAAAGCCCAAGGCTTGGAGCCTGCTTACTCTTTCATGATCCGCTGTCGCTTGCCAGGTGGTGTCTCCACGCCGCAGCAGTGGGTCCAGATGGACGACATCGCCAACACACTCGGAAACGAGACCATGAAGCTGACCACACGACAAACGTTCCAATTCCACGGTGTTGTGAAGGGGAAGCTCAAACCAGCGATGCAGGCTATCAACCGGGCTCTCATGACGACGATTGCCGCTTGCGGTGATGTAAACAGAAACGTGATGTGCAGCTCGCTTCCTACCCAGTCAAAGTATCACAAGGAAGTCCATGAGTGCTCGAAGCGCATTAGTGATCACCTTTTGCCTTCTACATCCGCCTATCACGAGATCTGGCTGACAGACGACGATGACAAGAAGACGCAGGTTGCGGGTGATGCGGTGCAGGATTTCGAGCCCCTGTACGGGCCCACATACCTGCCCCGGAAGTTCAAGATCACCATTGCCGTCCCACCACACAATGACACTGATGTCTACGCACATGACATTGGTCTCGTTGCTATCAAGGGTGACGACGGCCACCTACTTGGCTTCAACCTGATGGCCGGCGGTGGTATGGGTGCCACGCACAATAACAAGAAGACGTACCCGCAAACAGGACGTATGCTGGGCTTTGTTACACGCGCGGATGTGCACATCGCCTGCGAGAAGGTCATGCTGGTGCAACGTGACCACGGAGACCGCACGAACCGCAAGCACGCGCGTCTCAAGTACACCATTGACGACATGGGCGTCGATGTGTTCAGGAGCAAGGTTGAGGAGCTGTGGGGCAAGAAGTTTGCACCCGCCAGGCCATTCAAGTTCGAGTCCAACGTCGACACATTCGGATGGCAGAAGGATGAGACGGGGTTGAACCACTTCACCTTCTTCATCGAGAACGGACGAATCGAGGATACGGCCGACTTCCAGATGAAGACCGGCCTCCGCGAGATTGCCAAGTTGCACAAGGGCGAGTTCCGTTTGACCGGCAACCAGCATCTGATTCTGTCTAACGTTGCCGACGAGGACCTGGATTCCATGAAGGCCCTCATGAAGAAGTACAAGCTCGACAACGTCAAGTTCTCTGGGTTGCGTCTTTCGTCGTCCGCCTGTGTGGCGTTCCCGACCTGTGGCCTGGCCATGGCCGAGTCGGAACGGTATCTGCCCGTGCTTATCTCCAAGCTAGAGAGCACGCTCGAGGAGAACGGCCTGCGACAGGACTCTATTGTCATGAGAATGACGGGTTGCCCCAATGGTTGCGCACGACCCTGGTTGGCTGAGGTCGCTTTCGTCGGCAAGGCCTATGGCGCGTACAACATGTACCTGGGTGGCGGTTACCATGGCCAGCGTCTGAACAAGCTGTATCGGTCAAGCATCAAGGAGGATGAGATCTTGGCCATCATGAAGCCCCTTCTGAAGGAGTATGCTCTCGAGAGGGAGGAAGGTGAGAGATTCGGCGACTTCTGCATTCGCAAGGGTGTGATCAAGGCGACGACGGATGGCAAGAACTTCCACGATGATGTGAGTAACTTACACCCATCCTCTAATCGACACCATAGAGCATGACTGACTTTACACCAGGTTGCCGAGCTGGAAGAGGATGACGAGTAGATTGGAGGCACGGAACACACTCTCTCTTTACGGACTTGGCGGAAAGGTTACAAATAGGTCCGGCGGGCAAAATCCTAAACTTGCATTTGGGCAAAACAAAATCAAAGATGGAAATCGATTCCCCGGAAATTTATCCACAAATAGCATGCTAGGCGTAATGGATTTCGATAATAGTCGAGTGTACATAGTGCGACATTAAAAGTATAAACGCGTTTTAAGAGATATCGTCTACCTTTGCGACATGTTCTACTCGCACGACTCGGATCGGCTTTGTCGGCCTGGTCCACTATCTACTTCAGTACCTAGGTAGATGCAAGGTCTCCTTCATTCAGCTGCAGAGAAATGGCTGGCTCAACTCGGCAAATGGCCGTGGCAAACCCGGTTCGTATTCCTTATATACGGTTTTTTTGACAGATAGAAGTCGTAGCGCTAGAAATCGATGGCGTCCTTGTTATAAAGTATATTTCACGGAGACGCAGCACAGGACCTGCCCCCTTTTCGCTTGCCCACCCGTACGCCGTTCTCTATGCCTCTGATGAAACCACTCCCACCTCTATTCCGGGTGTCTTGGTCTTCGCTTTGCACTCATCTCTAGTAGCTCATAAGATCTGCGTGCGATGTGGTTAGTAATGTTGCGTCTCAGCCTCGCCCCACAAATCGACCACAGGAGAGCACCTCACCTCGTCCGAACAGACCACGCTTGGTCCAGTCCATCATCATGAGCATCCTCGTCCTGAAACTCACGGACTGCGCAAAATAGGCGCCGCGCCAGGTGTACACGGCCCACAGCCCGCCGCTCAGGTTCCACCCGCCACCGAGGTCGAAGACCGCCGAGTTGCCGATATAGGCGAGGCTGCCGAGGTGGTGGTACTCGAAGGCCTTGTAGACGGCGTCGTCGAGGTCGCCGTCACGAATGTCGTTCGCTCTTAGCCCGGGTGCGGCGTGGGCCATCTTGTTGAACTTGTAGGCGAGGTACTGTCCCTGCTGGTTGGCGCGCTGGGCGGTCGCGGGCAGCGAGGTGAGCTTGCTGTCGATCTGCTTGAGCAGCTCCCTCAGCTCGCCAAAATCGAGAGTGCCGCTCTGGTCCTTGTCGAACTCGGCGAATAGGCGGTCCAGCCGCTTCAGATGGCCGACGGCCTGGGGGAACTTGCGCTTCACCTCGGCCGCCACCTTGCGCCACTCGGTGAAGTGCAGGTCCAGGCTCTCCGGGTCCTTTCCGTGCTTCCAGGCCATCCCGCGCAGGAAAGTTACGATGTTGTCGGCCACATTATTCTGCACCGTCGAGCAGTCACCGATGGCGTAGACGTCGCCCAGGGGCGCGCCGTTCAGGCGCAGGTGCGTGTCAGTCTCGAGTGCGTGCCGGTTGGTCTGGTAGTTGCCGAGCTTCTTCGCCAGGGTCTGGCTGAAGTCTGTCTGGGAGACACCCGTGGACCACAGGCAGAAGCCCATTGGTAGCTCCTTGGTGACTGTCTTGCCATCCTCGCCTTTCTGTGTGAAAACGATGCTGTCCTTCTTCACCTCGGACACTCTGGAGTTGGTGAGGACCTTGATCCCGTCTCGTTTGAAGCGCTCTTCAGCGTATTTGGACACGGCCTCATCGTAGGTGTTGAGGATGTGCCCACGGCTCTGGATCAGGTGTACCGAAATTTCGTTGCGCAGTAGCTTCGGGAAATGCTTGGTCAGATCCTCGTTAAGCAGATCATACAGCTCAGCTGCGAATTCCACGCCTGTCGGACCACCGCCGCTGACCACGAATGAGAGGAGGCGTCTCCGCTCCTCGTCTGGGGTGGTTGGGAGGCAGGCCAATTCAAGATTCTGTATGACCTGGTTTCTGATCACTCGAGCATCTCTTATATCCTTGAGGAAGTGGCAGTTGTCCAGCCCCTTGACGCCGTGGGGATTTGTCTGCGACCCTACAGCAATAACCAATTTGTCATATGGAACGTAGAACCTGACAGTCTTGCCTTGGGCGTCGAGCTGCGAGACCTCCACAAGCCTGCTTGAGAAGTCGACGTCTTCGGCCTTGGCACGGATGAAGTGGCCCTTCACCCTTGCCAGTATCCTCCTTATCGGCTCGACAAGAGACTTCATCTCGAGTGTCCCGACAGTCGCCGACGGCAGCATTGGCGTGAACAGGAAGTAATTGGCGGGCGAGATGACGGTAACGTGGTAGTCCTCCGGGTTGAGCTCCTTCAGCAGGGCCACACCGCCCCAGCCACCACCGAGGATCACCAGCTTTGGCTTGTCCTTCCTCTTCTTATGCTCCTCGGTGTCCTCGTCGTCTATGAGGACATCTGCAATGGGGAGGTTCTTGGGGCCGCCCCGCCGAGGACTTAGTGCGAGTTGCGAAACATCGCACTCGGCAGCAACGGCGTGCTCGTTATAGGTGGAAGCGTCGTAGATGAAGAAGGCACCGAAGATGAGACCGACAAAGACAATCCCACTACCAACCCAGGCCATACTCCGATAGGCAAAGTTGAGGGCCCATGACTCTCGTTGTGGGAGGGGCTTCCCGGACAGCAGTCGAGCATCGATCTTGGACGTGAAGGCGGCCAAAGGCTGGCGTCGAAGGAGGTCTTGTGGCCTGGGTGGCTGCGGCGCCGATCGAGTGGGCCCGGGTCTTGACTTTCTGCTCAGGTCACGGGCTTGTACGGCCCCGAAATGTGCCTGCTGAACTGTTGATGGGAAATTTCGGACACTTGCGAGGCCTCGTTGGCGCCCTGCGCGGGCGGCCAGGGCGCTGAGTGACGCTTGCGAAGGCATAGATACCACCAGGCGAAGGTGGATTGCGAGTGAGGGCGTATGCCTGTTGGCGTGTCTCTGCTTGAAAGAGGGTCAAAGAACAGTTAGGGCATGAGCATGCCGGCGGGACACGGAGAAGAGGATTATCGGGAGAGGGCGATGTCTAGAAGGTGGTAGAAGGGGAAGGTTGTTGTCGGCCTCGCGCCTTGGAAGGCTGTACCTCCAATGGACAACGCATGGCCATGGCCAATTGAGAAGCTACCTGGGTACCTGTTTTGGGTACAGGGAGAGCTAAGCTGCTGTGTACCTGCTCCGTATAGGTAGCCCCTGTCTACGATCTTGCGTCATAGTTCCCTTCGCTCGAGCGCATTTCATCTTGGCGTCATCGGCACGTGGTGCTTAATTCGACTTTCACCCATCTGCACGTTACACTGAAAGTATTCGGCTCGAGTCTTTTCGAAGGTCAACATGGCCGAGAGTCCGAGATGGCCCAGAACATGCGCGATTTCCTGACTGTGGGAAGGCAAGAACAAGGCCAATCGGCCCCCTCGGAGAGCTTTGACCAGGCATCGCCCCCTCGCGCCCATCGGCCTTGGTCTCGGCCGCACGAATTCTGTAGTAGAGCCAACCAGACCGGCCAGCCCGTTCGTTACCGTTAGCTTGGATCCGCGAACTCGTCGGGGTTGCAGACCACTACCCCATGGAAGGGTGACATGAATCGAAGATCCAAACGTTGTAGCACAATGCCCACAGTTGGGCAGGGTCCCATCGCACAACAAACACAGTGCCTACCTCAGAACTGCCGTCACACCTACACACAAAGCACTCTGGTACCGGATCCACTGCCAAAGGCCAAATGAAACTATGCTAGTTATTCAAGTATGTATATATCCCAACCTCGCTATGCAATATTCCTTCCCTCTCTTGGTGAAGTAGCCATCGGCCACCACGATTAGCACCTGAAGTACCTCTTCTCCACCCATCTGTCCTCGATGTCGGGAATCATATTGCAGACAACGACCGTGATGTCGGGGAAAACGGACGTTAGTCGGTGTAGCCCCATGCGACCTGCCGAGTACGTAGCGAAAACAATTCTGTCTTGAGCCACTCCGTGGTCAACGAGGACCTGAACTGCCATCAACGCCGATCCGCCAGAAGACATCTGCGCGTCGAGCAGGAGAACACTCTCGTGGGTCTTGATATCCCTGGGAAGCTGGCTGTAGTGCAGTTCCGGCTCGCCTGTGCGTATGCTCGACTGGATGAGGATCCGCCCGGACTTGCAATCTGGGATCACCCGCTTGAGCCCTGTTTCCAGAGCCGCGCCACCTCGCAGCAACACGACTGCTGATACTTCACCTTCCGGAGCGAGGCCCCGGTAGTGGTAACCTTGCGGAGTTTCCACGGTCGTGGATGCAAACCGCACGTTGTTCATTGCTCTACGAACGTTGTCAGAGAGGGGGGGAGAGAGAGAGGAAACACCCCCCAGTAGCGTCCATTGTGGTACTTACTGCTCAATTATGAGAGTAGCCAGTCGGTCGAAGTAGAATATGAAGTCCTCGGGCGATGTGTCAATATCTCTAATGATTGTGTTCATGCCTTTGAGCTGCGCCGTCGCTTTGAGTACTACCACCTTTTCGCTAAGGGGCTCAGACTGGGCTTGGACTTCGAGCTGGTGAAGGGCGGCCCGGTGGTGCCGGGATTTCTCAACGAGCTTTTGCTGGACGGACTGGACCACCATGTCTGCCACAGGTTGTCAATTTGGGTGTTTTCCCATGGACGTGCCCTGACCTACCGATTGCGACGGTATTCTCAACCCGCGTCGGCACGATAACATCCGCATTCTTCCGCTGCGGATCGACATACTAAATGAAAAGTTAGCTTGTTAGGTTGCAGGAAGCCGGATCCCGGAGTATATGCATACGTTCTCGAAGTTTGGTTTCACCCACATGAACCACTGCTTGATCACACCCTCCACAGTCCTCCCCCGGCATTCAACATCGCGTAATATTCTTCGCGACAAACAGGTGTCCGCGTCGGCCTCGCAGTAAATCTGGGTGTTTGTCAGCACATGTCGAGCTTGGTCAGGCCGTATGGCCGATCTCCTGACCTTCATATCCAGCAGCTCCAGCACTCTTGGGTCGTGAAGGGCGAAAATCCCCTCCACCACCAGCACGTGGGGAGAGTAGATGGCAGTGGTCTTGTCTACTCGGGCATGTTTCTCAAACGAATAAATAGGGATTTCGGCTCGTTTTCTGTGATGATCATAAGTCTTGGCGGCCAGCGCGAGGGTCGCCTTCGGCGCATGATGACACCCACCCAGCCTTGAGGTCGCGAAGGCATTCCACCAATTTGTCAAAATCAATGGCCTGGAGACCTAGGTAAGCCCACACTCAGAGAATTCTGACCGGCACGGCATGACACTGACATCTGGAGAGTCAAAGTCATACTCGTTGAGAAATGCCTTTCTGGACGACTCGGCGTCTAAACTCTTGTAGAAAGAGTCCTGTATTGCACATCAGCGACGGCACTTCCCCATGTCAGTCTCGACCTGACGCACCATGGACAGAATCACAACCCATGGCAGGTTCAGTTTGTTGACGATGGCCCTCGACAAGGTCGACTTGCCCGAGCCTGAGCTACCAGCTATGCCGACCAGGGACACATCAGCCCACGGAGGGGAGTAATGAGCCCTCTTGGCGATGGCATTTGCTGAGGTCACAGAGTCCATGGTGAGAGCTTGAGGCTTTCTGAAAGCAAGCCCGGCCAAAATGCCGCCAAACGCCACACAGGACGGATGTGCCCTCGGGTGAACTACGAAAAGTTAGCATGGTCACCCAAGTCTATCAAAAGAGATAGGCGCCCACATTTTTTCCCAGTATCAGTTGCAGGGATACCTTCTTCCCTTGAAACATATGTATCAGTGTGCGGTTAGGCTCCGAATATTGTCTGTATGGCCAGGTATGAAATTAAATTCTGGGTAGAGACTGAAAGTGTGTATATAGGATGAGGAGAGTGAGGCTCTCGTGAGGGCTTTGGGGGGCACGATTTGCTGCTTATCACTCCCGAGGTTGCACTGTCCGGCGCGCGTGCCCGAGTACAAGGGTCGGCCGGCAGACTCGAAAGGGGTGGTGTGCACAGGGGCCTACAGGCTCGCCCACTTGGCGTCTGCGCGACGCAGTGCCAGGTTGCTAGAGCCGCAGCCACAGCCCAGCAGCCCAGACGGGACCTGGTACCTAGAGGTGCACAGTTCCCCAAGGCGGAAAGACGGGGCAGAAACCGTCAGCGAGTGGGCCATCCCGGAGTTTTCTGCACTACTAGTAGGCTCTGCGCCAAAACCTCCAAACCTCACGAGCTTCCGTCATTTCTTCATCTTCCCTTCTCACCCGCATCCCGATCCCAAAAGATCGCCAGCTCAGCATCCTGCGCGCACATCCATACACCCCCAAAACCATAGACAGCGACAGGCTGCAGTCAGTGCCCATCCATCGGATCTCATCAACCCATATGAGCTTCTGTGGTGTCGCGTCATACCAAGCTATGAATGTCTTCTAGTGGGCCTCCCACCATCCAGTTCCAGCCTCCCGGTTCAGATGACCTGGCCTTTTGGGAGAGGGTTGCTGCCGAGTTTCGAAACAGATTTGGCAACATGGTACGAACTGACCGTTCGCGCAATGGCGCGTTGAGCAGGATGGCATTGTTGACCTGATTGCCCTGCAGACGTCCACAGCGTCTACTACCACGCCGTTTCGGCACGCCTTCGAGCAACGCGTGGTGGACATGTCCATGCCGAAAAGGTTAGTCATTTCCCGCTTGCCCTCCTGCACCTGTCACTTTCATGGTACAGACGCTTTGCCCTGGGTCGAATGATGTTATACATATATCAATGGGAATCTCTCCTAGACAAGAATGCGGAAGAAGATATATCAAAATTAATTTCTGACTACTCACCCACCCCCGGTCTCCTCAAAACCCCTCCTCTCGCACTGCAGTGAGCATGCCGCTGACCAAGATGGACAGTGATATCAATGCATTGATACTAGACTATCTCACAGTGGAGGGATACCCACAGGCTGCTGCAAATTTCTCCAAGGAGGCAAATTTGCAGCCCATGCAAGACGACCCTGCCATCAGAGCCCGCCAGGAAATCAGGAATCTGATCCACCAGGGACACATCCAGGACGCCATCGAGTCACTTAATGGCCTAGACCCAGACGTATGTCTACTTCTCCCACTGTCTTCCCTCTTGAGCCTTCGGTCTTGAGCCCAGCACTATGATTAGAACACGAGTTTTACATGCACCACGCATATGACCTTCGGGTCGTTGATGATAAACAACCACTTTTTTAATGAGCACCCTCCACACCCCGTATCTTAGTTCGACAGTCTCCTCTTGTGCGGCCGTCACTAACCTGCCTCAGATCCTGGACCAAGATCCACACCTGCACTTTTCGCTCCTCAGGCTGCAGCTTGTGGAGTTGATCCGCAACAGCAGCGACGGTGACAAGAGTGTCATGGATGCTATCCAGTTTGCGCGCGACCAGCTCGGTCCTAGGGCATCGCGGCAACCTGCTTTCTTGAAGCCGCTCGAGAACACCATGGCTATCTTGCTTTACCCCCGGGACAGCTTGAAGCCCGAGCAGGCGGCCATCATGCATCCTAATCTGCGTAGAGAGGTCTCCGACATGGTCAACGAGGCCATCATGCAGCGCCAGATGCAGCGAACCGAGGCAGCCCTTCGGCATCTGCTAAAGGTCCGTGCCTGGAGTGAGGACAAGGGTCGCAGTTCTGGCATCAGCCTCCCTGAGAAGATTGAGCTCGGTCTGAACGGCGAAGACAGCTCCCATGAGAATGGGTCCTCTGAGCCTATGGTTACGAACTAGTTGTCCTCAGCCGCCCACTATGATTATTGAGGCTGGGCAACCGCTTTATTGATACGGGGACCACCAAAGGCAATGGTCCGGCGTTACACTTTGATTTCCAGGGTCCTGGTAGGTTAGGAAGCGAGCAGGGCAAAGCCCTCGGCGTTGGCGTTATGAACTCGTAGGCAGGTGGAGTGGGCCTCACCAGCGGTACAATTGTATGATCATGATAGCCCGAAAGACAGCAGACCTTTCGTCCAGATCTTGACATGGAAAAACCATCTTGCACTGAAATCTGATTTTGTTTTCCCGAAAGCAACATCCCAATTTGTCTTTGTGGTCAATTGCCCGTAGCATCACTGTCTACGCACTAGGCTCTGGCAGGATGATGACCTCTCATGCTTGCCAACCGTTGCAGCGGCAGGTTTGCTTCACCCAGGTATCACAAGCACAAACAATCCTAGCTGATGATTCATTGCTGCATGTCACTGGTTGCTCATTGTAAAACGTATTGCTCGGGCACGTTCATTTACCAATTATGTACAACTCCCCCGCCCGACCGTGCCTCCCACCAGACTCCAAAACCGCCTTACTTGGTCCTGATGTGCTTCAACTTGCCTGGTGAGTAGAGGAAATTGTTGGCATAGGCCTTTGGCGTAAACTTCCTCTCATTGGGCTCCTGAACAAAGTACTCGTAGCCCTGCTTCTCGGCAAAGTGCACTGCATCCTCCTTGCTCTTGAAGTTGAGGTGAGTGCCCTGCATGTAGTCGCCCGAGGACTGCCAGCCCATCAGGGGGTTCTCCCACCTGTGGCCCTTAGGCAGCACGTCCCAGTCCATCCGCCACTTCTTTGTCTGCCAGTCGCCGGACTGCGTGGCGGGCTTGGCCTGCTTGTAGATGCGCACGGTACGGGCCTGCAGCTCCATCGGGGCGCCGGACGTGATGGCCGCGGGGAGGACATCGGTCTCCTCGGATCCATCAAGGACTCGCTTGGGGACAGGTGTGAACGTTCTGTATTTTTTTGTGCGGAGTGTCAGCAGGGCCGTCTCTCTTCAGAACATGTCCCTCCTTCATTTGGGCAGAGAGGCAACAGCCTGGGCAAGGTTCACGCACGAAGTGGCATTATCAATGCGAGCGGCATAGTCGGGCTGGTTGGAAATGCCTCCCTGTGACGGCGCCGGGGGGGCCGGCTCGGAGACGGGTGCCCTTGCCTTGACGATGGACGGGGACTGCTGGCTGCTCTCGAAGCGCCGGGCGGCGATCCGTGGGGCCTGGGACATGGCCCGCAGCAGGCGAGCTGCCTGTGGTGTGCGTAGTGAAGCCATTGGGGGGCGGGTCGGGTTGATTCCACGTCGCCAGGTCGGATTTGTGACCGGAAGGGTTCCTGCTGATGTGGTGTGCTGCGGCGAGAGTCGTCGAGCTTCGTCCAGGAACGAGGTTGTGACGTTGGATGAGCTAAGCAGGATTGGCGGGTCATGATTGGACGAAAATCAGCGCGGTCTTGGTCCGCAGCACTGCCTCCGGCTTCAACCGTTCAACGCTGAACGTCAATCGCATCTTGCAAGAACAACGTCAATTGAAGCGACCAGGCCAACGCGCAATTGACCCTCCCCTCCTCCTTCAAGTCACGGTTGATTCGAATCCCACAGCCACCATGAGCTACGTTACACGCCGAGCGCTCTCGACGCTCATCCCTCCCAAGGTAAACCGAGTCGCCGCGATTTCCTGCTTGTAGAGGAGAATGCTAACGCTACGGTGCACAGGTTGCTTCGCCCAAGGTACGTTCGAAATACTCGATCACCATACGACTATAGCGATGACTGCGGTATTGGAGAGGCAAAGCGCCGGGGGCCAGCAGGGCCGGCGAAGGGCTCAATGCTCGCCGATGATGTCCGACAACCCGTGATGGGTTGTTCCAACATGGATGCGTCGGCTCGGATCCGCGACTGCAGGAGACAAAAGACATACCTTTGCCGCATTATCACGGTTGGGGAATTGAGGCTGATTAGGAGTGCTTCACAGGCGATCGGAGCCAACCCCAACGCCATTGCGATGAAGCGCGTTGTCAACTTCTACGAGAAGCTGCCCCGGGGTCCCGCCCCGGAGGTCAAGGCCACTGGGCTCCTCGGCCGCTACCAGGCCAAGCACTTCGGCAAGAACCCATCGGCCAAGCGTAAGTATTACTGGGATACGTCTCCGAATAGACGATCTGGATAATCTGATGCTGACAATGCCCGGATGCGCAGCTATCGTCCACGCGCTGGTCTTCCTCGTCGCCGTCGGGTACGCCCAGAACTACTACTTCCACCTGCGTAAGTGTTGTCTGGGATCTCAAGAGATGGCCAAATCACTGACATACAACTCTCCAGGTCACCACAAGAACAACGCTCACTAAAGCGCCCTGTCGCTGAGAGGAGAGAGAGGAGGTGCGCCCGGGACTTGATGTGTAGATGTCGGAATTAGACGAAGTGAGGGTGGATCATCAGAATAAATTTCCTAGCGTGGTCCAATCTCTGAAGACCCAGGTATTCTATTTGCGATGAAGATGAGCTCTGTAGAGCGACACACACAGCCGTTGTTTAATTGCACGTTTGCCCGTGCCCGGGACGTGCCCATGAATATCCTTCTCTCAAACCTCTCACAGTCCCAGCCACCGAGGCCGGGCCCAAGCTCGTATAGTCCGATGGTGCGTGCTTCAGCAGTTCTTAGCAGTTCTTGGCAGTTCTTCGATGTAGAATTCAATGTCTGTCCAATGGGCTTTACTGAAAGGCTCAAGTAAGCATGTAATGATCCACGATTTCGTTGTTGGTGAGGCCAGAGTTGGCCCGTTTCCTGCACAGCAGACTGCACAGCAGACTGCACAGCAGAAAGGGGTTCATAAATAACAACCGGGTTGGCTGAAGGCACAATTGCACTGCACTGAGAACAGGTTGCCTTGGGATGTTCGCCAAACCCCGCGGCCAATGGGTGTAGGCCCCACAGCACACTATGAGGCAGATGGGCACTGTAAGCTAAGAGTAAGAAGCTGGGATGCAAGGCCAGATCTGGCTAGCGCCCTCGGATGAGCTTAGCTTCCTTCCTCCTGATGAGACCAGTGCAGCAGAAGTAGCAGCCGCAAAAGCCAACAACACCCTCGTCTTGCCGGCGACCTTTCCTTTTCTCCTGGGGAAAAGAAGACACAGCACCTCTTTTGTGCGTTAATCGGCACTCTCATTGAGAGCAGAGCCTGTCAGCTCCCGTTTTCCTGACCCTGTTGGCGTTTGAGGCCGCGCCCGTCCTGTGGGTGCTCTTCTGCGTCACCCCCAAGTCGACACTACCTACCGAGCGACCGACCGACCGACTGACTAGCCTGCTCAGCCTGCCTGCGCACCCTCGTCACTCGACAATCGACTCCAGTCTTCAGCCTCCACCCAACCGCGTCTGCTGCCCCCGGCCCCTCGAGCCCAGCCTTTGCGACAACCACCGCATCACGCCCCAAAGTGACTCGACGACGCAGCTGGCGCCTTGTTCCTTTGAGGAATTCACTCCCAGCGCATTTGTCGGATGATGGCGGCTGTACCCGCGCCAGCTCAGTCCGTCGAAGCTACTGCGACTCCTGCTGCTCAGCCTGTAAGTACTCCCTCCCCTTTGCTGCCCCGCGCCGCGGCGCCGCGCCGAGAGCCCCATCTCGCTTTCCGCAGTCGTGCTGATGCTCGCTCATTCAAGTCACAGACAGAAGATGCCAGCCACGACGTTGACGCAGTCTCGCGAGACGCCCGTCCCGCACCCGAGATCGAGTTGAACGGCGAGTCCCCCGCCAACGTCGTCGTGGACAAGCTAGTCAACGACATTGTCGATGAGGTAGTCAATTCCGCCGAGGTTAGCGTCAGTGGGGGATCCGATACCGAAGCATCCAAGTCCAGGCATGACGACAAGGGCCATGTCAGGTCATCATCGGTCAAGAAGCCCACGTCCTTCAAGTCGGTCCCGATCAACAAGAGTTTTCAGGCCAAGCTCGCATCGAGTAGCGCTGCGACCAAGGCCCCAGAGAAGACGCCGTCCACTGCCTCGTCGGCCGCAGGCCCTCCAAGCACCTCGTCTACGCCCAAGCCGAGATTAGTTGCCAAGACGACAGGAACTCTGCGTGATGCATCCAAGTCATCGGCCCAGAACGGCCGGCCCGCACCAGATGGGAACGCTGTATGGAACAAGAATCGACGTAAGCTTGTCCTACTCGCATCCGACTGCTTCTTTTACCCCGTCCCTCCAACAGCTAACATCCACGACCTTACAGCGCCTCCGACTCCCGACCTTAAGAAGATGACGGACGAGGAATTGTTGAAACTTGGCATACACGTAGCTAACAGACTACAACCTGATGTGGCAAAGGGCCAGGCAGCATGGGCCGACATCGACGAAAGCGATGATGAATGGGATGCACCAGAGACGATCACGTGGACCGATGGCACCAAAACCACGATCCCCCATGCCGACGAAGCCGCGAATGTACCTGAGCCGACTCCAGCTGTGTCTGCACCTCCACCGGCCCCTGTCCCCGCACCCGCACCTGTGCTTGCGCCTGTGACTAGGGAAAACAAGCCCCTGGACAAACCACGCTCGCCAGCTCCGTCAACGGGCTCTCCCTCGGTGAAGCCCAGTCTGCCGTCGGGCAAGGGCCTGATTCTCAAGGGCGCACCGGAGAAGCCGCAGCTAGTTGCAAAACCTCCAGCGCCACCAACCCCAGTAAAGAGTCCGTGGGCTGCACTGCCGCCCGTTCAAAAGGCTTCCCCCATGGAAGTGCCCGCAGACCAGCCGCAGCGAGGCGGGCCACCGGCAGGATCAGGCTACGGCACAAAAGGTGTGACGCAGCCTGCGGCGCGAGAAATCGCCGCCGATGACTTTAGTCGATCGCCCCGACGGGATCACCGCGAGCTCTACAATTCTCACTCGGGTCGGTATGAGCCCGTCGCCGACCGTCGCGGTATGCCAGCAAGACCTGAATATCAGCCGCGACAACCGGCGCTACTTCAAAGATCATCCCATGGAGACTCGCAAGGTCCAGCGGAACCCTCGGCCGCGTTCCAAACATCCCACACTAGCGGCGGCTACGGCAGGCGGCGCGGGTCTTCCAACGTTAGTGGCGGAAGTGGCAGCTTCCAGAGGTTGGTACGTCCTTACGAGCAGGGCCTGCCTCCTGCAGAAATGTTAGACCCGCGTCGCGGTTCCTTCACGGGAACCAGCGATCATCCTACGTCCCCACGTAACTTCTCGCCATCTGGTCAGCATGGAGGACCGCGACAACCCGGTGCTTCACCCTGGCAGAACCGCGCATCACCGGCAATATCACATGCCGCACCCCAAGTACCAGGCACCAGCGAGATGCAGCCAGTGCCTCCAGCAGCCCCTGTGATTGACGACGTTGAGTTTCAGAAGAAACTCATGAAAGAACGCCGGGAGGAAGCAATTAGAAGGCGCCAGGAAGAAGAGGCCAGGGAAGAGGCCGCGAAGCAGGAGCGTCTGCGCAAGAAGTTGGAGGCATTGGGCCCGGCCCCGGAGAGAAAGAGCGAGAAGAAGGAGGCACCCAAAGAGACAGCAGCAGCGGACCAGTCGGACGAGGCGTCACACCAAGCTCCATCTACCTTGGAATCGAGGGAAAGCAAGCAAGCCACAACGCTGCCAAACAAAGCGGCCGAGACCAGCCAGGACTCGCTTCCTAATGGCCTTGACCAGGACGCCCAGACTGAGACCAAGGCTGCTGCAGCTACCGAGAGGCACTCTGCGCCAGAAAACAAACATGCGCACCCTTGGAATCCTCGTGTACAGTCTCAAAATCCCCCGGAACGACTCACGTGGAATGCAGGCAGTCAGGCATCCAAGAATGTGTGGGGTCCACCAACCAATGACCGCTCTCTTGGAAATGGAACTTTCAGCGCGGTGCCGACCCAGCAGTCGCAGTTGCCCCAGATGCGCAGTGGCCGTCCCGGGCCCGGTCCTATTGCTCCACCAAGCGCGGCGTCAAGGGCACCTGGGCAGCATTCACAGCCGGGCCCGATCGGACCTCCACAACGGAGCGGACCGCAGTCGCAAGGCCAAGATGAGACCGCACAGAGAAGGAACAAATGGTCGTCTGCTGTCTTGGCGTCGGATGAAGACAGTCGACAGCAACGTCAAAAACAACAACGTGACCTGGAACAGGACATGAAAGCTCGAGGATTGGACTACTCTGACCTGGCTGCTCCCATTAATGAGGCATGGACCTCCACCAAGGAAGATGAGCAGGGACATCGAGTACGTGACTCGATGCAATGGACCTTGCGCGGCAACAATGCGCAGAACGCTGCCTCTCGCACCACGGGCGCTGGTGAATTGAGCCAGCAAGACTCTGCCGCACGGTTTGTGCCTCCGCCTGTGGGTCAACCCGGTTCTGCGGCTTCTGGGTCCCAGCGATCCAGGTTCTTCCCCCCGAGCCGGGACGCGGACCAGAGAGCACCTCCCGGCCCAGACACCGGCAGGTCTCATTCCCCATCGCCCCCACCTCCTGATATGGCTGGGCATCCAGCTTTTGATGGTGACATGGCACACCCCCACGTGTCGCTGCCACCGACAAGGCCAATTGTGAAACTGCCGCCTGCAGCGCCATCCGCTTCCGCGTCGTCACAACGGCCCGGTCAGACCAGCTCTACGAGGTCTACATCCACCACCCAGCCGCATTCTTCCCGGCCCTTCAGCTCCTCCGGACCAGGTCCCAATCACAGCACGCCAAACTTCTGGCAAGACCGGATCAAAAATCTTCTGGCAGACAACTCCTCCAGCCCCTCGAGCGTTGACTCGTCGAGCAGAACCAGTCTGTCGCAGCCCAGCCACCGTGCCGCCGCCACTGTCTCCTTGCCGACGGTCTTCGGCCCAAGCTCAACAGCTGATGATGGCTCTTTTTCCACCAAGACAATGGATGAAGATTGCTTTGAGGAGCAGGAGATGGGATCACTTCCGCCTGTCCATCTTCCGACTCAGGTCCCAGAGGCGGCTTGGGAGCCCGCCAAGGCGCCACCTCGGCAAGATCGGAAGCTCAAAGAAGCAGTCACGACCACTGCTGAACCACTGTTGTTCCATCCGGAGGGGAGAAGCTATGTCATTCTCCTGCCTAGCATGTCAGGACGTAGGATGGTTGCAATGGCCGCGTCATCCGCGAACAGCCCTCAAGGTCGGCGCCCTCAACGCGCTTCGCGTTACTCCTCGTCATATCGTGGCGGCAACCGAAACCGGGATTCGTCAGAACAGGGTGCGTCCTCAGGCTCAAACTTCAACCGAGGCGGCCGTGGTTCATATCGCGGCAGGTCAGACTGGAATCGTGCCGCGGCGACGCCCATCCAAACCCAATAAACTGCACAATCACATGTGTTGAGATCGATCGTCTGAGGACAGATACCTCAGGTGGTCAGTCACGCTCTTCGTTTCATCCAGAACGGACCTGTAATGGAACGAGACACTCTTGGCGAATTCTTTTTTTTTCGCTTCCCGGCTAGCGCCAAAAACTGTTCTGATCCAGAGCCGGTCCTTGTACAACTTCTATAATGTCTTTGAGGCCACATCATCGTTCTTGGCATTTTCTACACATGCACTTGCGAGCGGTCTTTGACGTTGCTGGCCATGGACATGACGAATCCACGAGACGGCGGTTTGGATGAGTTCTTACACAATCCACACATCGCAAGGTACAAGGTGTAGGGGGGTGGGGGTTGGGGCTGGGTCGGAAGCCTGTCACTTACCGTCCAAAAGATTAATTGGAAAGGGAAAGGGGAACGATTATTCCGACCAAGGGGTCGTTCGACGAAATACTTGTCTTAGGCCTTATGCAACAGGTCACAATCGATTGTCTCATGTGCCAACGTGGGCACATCGGTAACAGCTTGAGGACATTGCCCTGTTATGAGAGGAGCGCAACGAGCGAGACATCTCTCGTGAAGCAACGACCGGGAAGACATGAGTGAGGGAAAGAAAACTGGTTTTCGTGTGAGACAGGGAGTTCCAATTGTGGCAGAGCCCTCCAGCCTGTTGCTGATTCTAGGGTCTCCATCAAGATGTTGATACCGAACTGCTTTATGCAACACAGAGGGGAAAGTGGTCATTGACACAAGACCACTCCAACGTACAATGACCTTAAGACAACTTCCACAGCACAGAGCGCCCTGGTTGATATTGTTCCTCAAGGACGGGTCCAATACTAGGCAGGAACAAAATACAATTGATTCAAAAGTGCTCTTATGGTGATGCTCTGTTGCATTATTGTGGAATGGAGTAGTATTTTTTGGTAGAATAAGAGGTCTGTGTCTGCGGTCAGTGTCGTTGTGGATTTCTTTTTTTAAAAAAAAAATCTTTTTATTTTTTCCACAGCACCATGTTGTAAAATTCTTACAGTAGTAGTTTACGGTGCAACAGAGGGCCAGTGACGAACGTTTGGGGCGCAGCTGGAGCGGATACACAGTCGTCACAAAGTCAGCTTTTTACCAAGCGAGGCGGCTTGCGAAAAGTCGGGTGGCAACTATCGACAGTTGAAGTCACTGGACAAGTTATGTTTCCAATATCAGTGCATAGCGCAGTCATTGCATCTAAATACACACTCGAGCGGTATACACTATACACATTATCAATCATGGCTTGCCCGTCCCTCCAATTTACTTTGTCTCGTAAAGCGTCGTTTATGATCCTGTACTCCGAAACTCCATCCTGGAATAGTACTAAGAAACTGGCCAACATCTCACGGCAATAGAGGACATTACTAGCTGATCTCCTCAAGCGCACAGTTCGGGTGAAGCACATAGACGATGTCCTGGCCCCGGGCCTCGGCCTGCGGCGCTGCAGATCCCTCGGCGGCATCGTCGGCAGCAGGAGTCATGCCTTGGCCGCGTATTCCCATGAGAATATTGTCCTGCAGGGGGTGGGATCGTTAGCTGGGAGTCTCCAATCAAGCAGACGTCATAGGTTCGCTCGCTTACCTTGACCATCTTCTTCAGCACCATCTTTGCCAACGCGTGCTCCCGGCTGTAGTCCTCCTCGCCCTGGAGGTCGTCCTCCTTCTCCTCCAAGTACCACTGAATCAATGCCTCGCCCTCGATGCCCTCCCCACTTCCAGCTTCGTCATCGGCGATGCGCTGGACGATCATGTTGACCATACTGATATACTTGTCGTACGAGATCGTCTGCTTGCGCCTCTCCGGCCTGGCGAGCCCCCCGCCAGCCTCCGGCATCTCCTCGTCCGCGTGCTCCTCGCCCATCTCTGCATCGCCATCCTGGTCTGCGGGGACGCCGGCAGCTTCCGAGGCGGCACGCAGGAGGGTCTCGGCGTCCTCTACTTGCTCATCATCCTCAGCGACCTCGACGTCGTCGTGTTCGACGGAGATGATGCTCTGCCTGAGGAGATTATACGCCTCGTTTACCATGTCCGGCGTGATCTCCTCCACACAGTTGGCCTTGGCAATGGCCTCGGACAACCGGATCATACTCTCCAGCTGACGCACCGTGATTCGGTAGCTATTCTTTCCCATGCCCCCCTGCGCATCGTCGGCACGTAGCTCGCGATACCGCTCAACGAGAACTTCTTTGGATTCTTCGGTGAACTCGGGCCGGAAGGTACGCGCGAATCGAATGTATCGCTGGAGCTGCTCTGTGCTGAATTCAGGCTCGACCGCGTCGTCACGCAGTTGGTGGATGCCAACTATGTGCTCAGCCAAGTGGCGGTCGACCTTTTCGTTGCACTCGTCGAGGATGACGAAGAACAGATCAAAACGGGACATGATGGGGGCGGACATGTTGATGTTGGCGCGCAGGGTGGTCTTGCGGTTGTACCGGCCGCCGACAGGGTTGGCAGCAGCAAGAATTGACGTTCGGGCATTCAGGGTGGCTTGAATACCAGCCTTGGCGATGGATATTGTCTGCTGTTCCATAGCTTCATGGATAGCAACCTGATCGGCAATGTCCATCTTGTCGAACTCGTCGATAGCACAGACGCCATTGTCAGCAAGCATTAGAGCACCGGCCTCAATGGTGAACTCGCCCGTCTCCTCATCTTTCACGACTGCAGCGGTCAGACCGGCAGCCGAAGACGCCTTTCCGCTAGTGTAGACTGCTCGTGGTGCGAATGAGCAGACGTACTTCAGAAATTGCGATTTGGAGGTGGATGGGTCGCCGACGATGCAGATGTTGATGTCACCTCTCAGCTGCATGCCCTCTGCAGTGGACTTGTGCACACCAGACATGAGCTGGAGCAGGAGACCTTTCTTGACCACCTCGTGGCCGTACACCATTGGTGCAAGGGAGTTGACGAGCCTCGAGTAGATGTGGTCGCTGTGCACCATTTTTCGGAGATCCTCGATCTCTGACGGTCCAAATGAAGCAAGGACTGCCTCTTGGGCCTGCTGCGCATTCTCGTTATTAGAAGAGTTCAGGGAAGCAATGATGTCTGTCACGCCACCTCCCAGGTTTGTGGTGTCGGGAGCAACCATGCAGGCGAGGAACGCAAGGCGGTATGTCAGATCGCGGACGCCAAGTGCCTTCAAGCCACTGATACCACTGCCGCCGGCATCGCCACCGCGAGGGTTGTTGCGATCGTCACGGGAAGCTTGGGCATGGTTTCCAGGGAGACCCAGTTGGCTGACGTCTGGCACAACGATCAGAGCACCGGTGAAGATGCACTTCTCGCCGGCCTTGGCCCGGTCAACGATCTCGCCGCGCAGGATGACATCCATAGTCCGAGGCATGCTTCCAGTGGGGATCTCGGAGCTGTTCTCCTGTATTCGGACCTTTTGCCAATCGATGAAGGTGCTCTGGCGGATGTCGAGCTGCCACGCCTGGCGGTTGTTGCAAGTTGCGTTGGGGCACTGGGTGGGCTCGGTGTAGCGGAAAGTCTGCTCGACGTTGGGAATGACGGCACGGCATGCCTCGCACACGAAGGTGGCGACTGAGAGCTCGGGTCGCACCTCGGATGTCCTGGTCACGGTCCCTGAGATGGACAGCAGCTGGCCAATATTTCCAGCGCGGAGGCTGCGGACCCTGGAGACCAATGGCAGGTTGTAAAAGGCAATAGAGAAGACCTTGTCTGTCTGCTGGTTTGTGGTCTTGCTGCCTGGCCCCGACTGGCTGCCAGAGCCCACGTTGCTGGCCCCAGAGGTGGTCATGGTGCTAGACGCAGTGGGCTGGCGATGCTCGCGGAAGTAGGCCGGCTCGTGTTTGGCGATCATGTTGTGCAGAGCGGCGGTAAGGTAGGGCAAGAACCGATAGTACTGATCAACAATACCGTCCGCAAGCGTGCCGTCAGTCCATGTTTGAAGATGTTTGAAGTCGACATAAAAGGTTGACAGTGCGTACGCGCGCATGCCATGAATCTGGGCGACGTAGTATTTGTCTGTGGTGATGGCGCTGGATGTTGGAGGGCCTGAAGAGGTAGGATCTTCTATGAACCTGATGATTGACCTGTCAGCGCGGATCGGAGTAGGCACGATGGGATTCGAAAGCAGCCATACCCCTCGATGAAGTCCTCGAAGTGCTTCTGGACCAAGACGCCTAGTTTGTCCTCGACCTTTGGGATATTTTGTGTGTCTGCTGGCCGCCTGTTGGGGATCTGGTCATCTTCAAAACCCTCGTTGCCCTCATCATCACTGGGTGCGCCGTTGCTCTCGGAAGGAGGACCGCGGGGCCGGCCACCCAGTGAAGAACTCGACGGGTTCCCGCGCCGTTGTCTTGGGGTTCTGGAAGGGCCGTCGGACATGGGAAAGCCAGCCTCGCTGGACGCTGTTGCTGCCGTTGCCATCTTGAGATAACAATTGCCTATGGGAGGAGGGTGATGTGAAGATCAAAGTGGTGGAAGGAGGGGTCGGGCGGGCAGGAGGCTGAGATGTCAAGAGTCAAGACAGGCAAGAGTTTGGAGCGCGCATGTGCAATCAATTGCCCGATTAATTGTGGAACGCGTAGAAGTCGCGTCGCGTGTCATGGACGCGGCATCGTAAAGTGGCTGCATAAAGGCTAGGCCGTAAATGGAAGTCTGTTTTTAGTCCGCGCCTTGGCCAACCAGCCAACCAACATCTACCTTGCAGTCAACCTAGGCATCTTCGTCTTCCACCTGACCACCCACGAATGAATGGGAACATGTGCCTGAACAAGTCAGGATGGAGTCCCCATGGTTTCGCCGGTCCCATTTCGTTTTCGTAGTAGAACAAGAAACCTCGAGCATTGAAAGCACGCAAAGCGTGAGGTAAGGTATGAGGAGGCAAACTCCAAACCTCCCCTGGTAACAACAGTTTACTGCCCCTTTGCCTCGTAGGCATGTATCTGAATATGTCAATATAGCTGTGACATCGCGTTTGAAGCCCAACACATTACCTTCTCTGCTAGTTTGATCCACTCTTCAACTCCTCTGACGTATGGGTCAGAGTTTGTGTCCGCCACAGATTCGTGACCCCAGATTACTATCTCGTCAAACTCTGCCCTCGTCTCAAGCGCGCCTAGCGACATCTCATCCTCGGCGTCCAAATCGACAACCTCAGGCTCGTCTGGCCTGGGTCCATGAGGCTTTGGAGGTTCTGTCTTGTCGACCACGACGCCCCGGTAACCCTCTGGGAGTCGCAGGGCTCTGCCATGCAGCTTCCGGCCTCTGAAGTAAGCCACCCGTTTGCCACCTGGGACACAGTTAGCGAAGCGGTGTGCCACTATTGCTGAATGGTAGATACCTGGCTCCTGTGATGGTTTCCAGTACGAGTCTACCTCGCTGACGGGCCCGTCGTGCTGGATGCGGCAGGGGAGGACATTGGGCGTTGACTTGCTACAAGAGGGCCCCTTGTGCTGGTCGACTGAAAGCATCGGCTGCTCCATGTCGCAAGGCGTTTTGTCGAATATTCAAAATGTACTTTGAGGTCCTTTCTTCGCTGTCCTAGCACGTAGAGTCGGAGCTGGACGCGGGCGGGTCACCATTGAGGCGTGTTCCGACGCGTAAATTGATGCATGCACGATAAGGCGACCCTTATCTCCGGCTCGCCAGGTCAGGGTTCCACGGGGACCCCCCTTGGCAGCCTCTTGGCCCTTGCATGGATGGGGGGTGATGATGATGCATGCTAGGCCTTTCGCAAGTCTGTCAGTCTATCTACTGTAGTGGTAGTCTCACCACACAGTCCAAAACCGTGTCAAGCACAACGGACGGCGTTGATGGCGCATTCGGACATTTGCGCATTCTGTTCTGTCCGCCGGCTCAACAACGAGGCCGAGGAAAAGCCCCCGACAGACTCGCATCCCGCGGCTCAAAAGTCTTGACGTCATGGATTTGATGTTTATTACTCGGCGTGAACCACCCCAGGAACAGGTGGACCCGCGGCTCCTTCGTTGTATGTGGACTCTGGATGGCGAGCCTCGTACATGTTGTGCAGTTTGACGGCCTCTCTGGCGACGGCTTCTACTGGGCAGGCTGGCAGGCTGGGCAGTGAATATTGGAGCGGTGTGCGCTGGCTGCATAGATTCTCAAAGCACTGGACCAACAAGCACTGGACCCCCGAATTGTCCCCAGGGCCGGCGCCGTTGCAACCATACGACCCTGGATTTGGCTCTGATCCTCGCTAGATCTCCCAATGCTTGACAGCTCCGCACTCGGCAATCAAAACTGTTCGATGTGCCCGGGCCACTATCGCTACGCTCTCGCTTGGCATCCTGGAATTCAGTTTGGTCAAAGTTCCTTCTATATCAATAGCCTCGTGACATGGGTGGCTGGCCGGCCTCCGTAGAGACAGGGCTGGCTACCTCAACATTTCCCAAGTTGGGCCGAACTTTCCTGACTGGGCGAGCAGCTTGCAGCCTGCTGTCCGCCGTTCGCGCTCAGGTCTTACACATTACTTAGGAATTGTCGATCGGCCCGCACGGTGTCGTGGGAGGCGGGAGGCACCCTGCCCCCCTGCCCACCCTGCCCCTCAGGCCCCTCGATGAGCTTGATGAGACAGTCCCATGCGCGAGAGTCTTGACAAGCGGACAGGCTGATGGCCCGGATGGCTTGCGCGGGCTTGAACTGTACTATCCACAGCTATCGTGTAGCCCAGCCTGGCCCCACCACACCATCTCTGTCCGGTTCGCATCCCTTGCAAAGGAGCGTGCACACTGCACACATGCAGTTCCCGAGGCTGCAGGGATCCCTGCTCGTCAGGTTTGCGGCATGTCTCGCTCACCCGGCTGGAATCCAGGCACCAGAGCAACCAGAGGTACCGGGGCTGTGATGCGAAGACTCCCGAGTGTACAGCGGCAGTATGCCCACATGCGCACATTTCGGTTGCGCAACCCTCTTGCAATCTCGACCCGCCCAGAGGCACGTTGGTTCTGAAGCACGAGCTCTCCGCATCGCATGTCTGCCGAAGGTGAGGTCCGAGAGAAACACCATAGCATCGCGGCACACAGCTCCGCCGACATGGCTTGGCATCGCAATTCGACTACCGGCCCTGGCCTTCCCGAGCTTCAAGTCTCCAAGCCCGCCGGAATCTGGTCGAGACCTTCCAGCACCTTGCCGAATGCAGAAACAGCCGAAGTACCGTGTTGGGCCGGAACTGACCATATCCTTGTCGCAAGAGCTTGCTACCAACGCGCACAGTCGCAGCGGAGCGATGAGGTCAACGAGGCCGATGGTACCTCCCCCTGCTTTGCGACAGAATAATGTGGGCACTCTTTCCTCTTTACGCCCCCATGCGACTTTGTCGCATGCCTAGTATCCCACCCGCGGCCTCACCCCTCCTACGTCTTCGTTTCTGCTCGTCACCCACTCTTGCTTGTGATAATGTGCCGCGTCGCCAGCTCCTGAACTGCTCAACCTGCAACACCAAGCTCGTATTCCCCCCTCGCGGCTTCCTAGACAGTTGTTCCGGCCTGGCTCTCCGCCTACCATGCCGTTGCTACCCAGCTTCATCACGCGACCATCCAGCCAGTGGGTCGAGTCAGCCCGCGGCACAATCGGAGGCATCACTTGGGGCCCGAGTCTAGCTGCTGCGAAGTGGGCAGTTCACTCTGTATTCAGTAACATCCAGGTCGGAACCCTGGTGCTCGTGGACGAGGTCGATGGCACCAATCATGTCTTTGGCGAGAAGCTGGGCTCCTCGAAGCTGCCCGGAAGGGCCGTGGTAAACGGCATGGTCAGCGTCCCTAGGGTGGAGCTCGTTGTCAAGAAGAATGCCTTCTGGATGCGGCTCATCCTGTTCGCCGACATGGGCTTCTCAGAAGCATACATGTTGGGAGAGGTGGACTGCACTGACTTGACGGCCTTTTTCCAGGTGAAAATCACACCTGATCCCCCTGGATGGTGATAATGCCATGCTGATATTCCTGCGTCTTGCAGCTCTTCCTGGCGAACCGAGAGCAGTTGGGCAACGGAACGACCTTACTGTCAACCTTCTCAAGCTACGCTTCCGCGCTGGCCAGAAGGACAAACACCATGTCAAATTCCCTGCTCAACATCTCAGCCCATTACGACATTAGCAACGAGATGTTCGCTGCCTTCCTGTCGCCTGATATGACGTATTCTTGTCCGATTTGGGACAAATTCGGCTCGCCCGACGAGACACTGGAAGAGGCGCAGATCAGGAAACTTCAAGTCTTTGTTGACGAGGCGCATATCAAGTCGACGGACCATGTGTTGGAAATCGGCACCGGCTGGGGCTCCTTCGCGATTCAGGCCGTGCAACAGACAAATTGCCGGGTGACCAGTCTCACGCTCTCACAAGAACAAAAGGCGCTGGCAGAGGACAGAATCGCGAAGGCTGGCTTGTCGGACCGAATAGAGGTGCTGCTGATGGACTATAGAGCGTTGCCTGCACCCCAGCGACCTTACGACAAGATTGTCTCGATCGAGATGCTGGAGGCTGTTGGGCAGGAGTTCTTGGGAACCTACTTTGCTTGCATCCACCGCCTTTTGAAGAAGGACGGTGGAATTGCAGTCTTCCAATGCATCACCATGCCCGAGGGACGACATGAGGCGTACTCGAAGAGCGAGGAGTGAGTCGTGACCTCAAGTCACGGCACTGGCGAGGTGTGCTAACCATTGTCCAGCTTTATCAATCATTACATCTTTCCCGGCGGCTACCTCCCCTCGATCACGCAGCTAATAAACCACATCAGCAAAGAATCCCAGGGAACGCTTGTTGTGGAGAAGGTGGATAACATTGGGGCTCACTACGCCAAGACCTTGAGGCTGTGGAGAGAAAGTTTTATGAACAACTTCGAGTCCAAGATTAAACCTGCTCTTCTAGAAAAACATGGAGATATGACGGATGAAGGCGTTGCGGTGTTCAGGAGGAAATGGGAGGTGGGTCTCACCTTAACACCAACTTGACCTGATGCCACTAACAGAGACCAGTACTACTTCAGGTATTGTGAAGCCGGGTTTCTCGCCAAGACTTTGGGAGATGTCATCATATCTGTTGGACGAGACGGCGCAATGGAACTTATGGAGGGCATTCCCAAATGAAGAGCCCTTCGTTGTTGCCAGTGTCTGGAATTCCGGCCGGATCCGAGATGCCTGTTTCCGCATCCTTCTTCGATTCAACCCTTCTGCAAGAAGCATTACGCTGTATCGATTTTTGTACCGCGTATTAGACTAGACACAGTCGATATTCTAATGGATATAATTTTGCGCTGAGCTGATCAGTTACGTCGCTTCTTTTTCGTCTTTTTGGGTTTCGCCTTGGGCTTGGGTTCAATTGGCTTTGGAACAACGTCGGGATACCGGCTAGCATGCTCTACATCGAACGCCGGCTTATATCGTCTGAACAAGAGCATGGCGACCCGAGCGTCTTCGATACTGGAGTGCTGGCCGGTCTGGATCTCAACCCCCAAAATCTCCCTGGCCAGGACTCGCAGTGCTGGCTTTGGACCGTGGCCATACTTCTTGAATCCGGAGAACTTGGCCGTGTCGCGGATGTCCTTTCGCGGATGATCAAGCATCAAGACGTCCAGGTCGTGCTTGAGATCGTGGCCCACGAGGATCCTCTTGTGCAGGAGCTGTGACACTTGAGCCTGCACATATGCGAACTCCCTTGCTACAGCCATGTGCTTTGGAGCTATGCCGCTGATTCTTGTCCTCCAGTCGACGACTCGCTCTTGAGGTCGAACATATGAGTCGTAGACCTGACGTCCGTGGAAATCGACAATACTGACCCTGGCCAGTGCGTGTCCGTAGCCTCCCTCTCCAACCCCAACCATCTCACAGTCGATGGCAATGTACTTGCCAACCTCGCAATTGGGTGCCAGGCCCTCGTTTGGACGCACAGCAGAGGCGGTGAGCAGTGAATTGTCCCTGACGCCGAGACCGTATGCTTCTGAAACGGCTTCTGGCGAAATGTCGTGGTCTTCGGCCCAAAGTGCGAGAGAAGCTGATCGACCAGGCTGGGACTGCGAGGCCCCCATATTTGACTTTTGACTCGCTTTCGAGGCGCTATTTTTGAGACGCTGTGGCTTCGGCTTTGACAGAGCTGGTTTTGGGCTGCCCTTGAGCCTCTTCAAAGGCTGCTGTGCGGCTTGGGATACGGCGCTCTCTTCGGCCTTCCTCTTCTGGCCTTGAGGCTTGGTCGACTCTTGCTTGATCTTGGCCTGCAATTGTTTCCAATTTGACGAGAGTTCAGGCGCCATCTTCCAAGCTTGGACCCGGTTCACTGACGTCTTGGAATGAATTGTCGCTCATTGAGCCGTTCCCGTGTTCAAAAATGGCACTTAAGGGCGTAAATGGCCCTGGTTCTCAGGGAAAAGACGATGACCGACAACTAGAGAAATGAGGTCTCACTGAAAAAGCATCCTGCAGGTCAGATTTGCCGGCCGAGACCCTGGCGCGGTTTCCCTAAGAAGTGACTCGGGCGTCGGCTAGGCGATAGTGGCTTATCTGATTCCCGCCCCAATTTGTTGGAACCTGCTACCGACCGCATTGGCCTTCTGCAAGACAACACTAACACTGTAGTGACGCCAAAAGGAGCGCTACCAACTCAGCGTCACAAAGCCCGTCACTTCGTAATCAATCGATCGACCGATCAAACACATAACCATCAACCACAGCAAGCCCACACTGCCGAATTCCATCATGAGCCCTGGCGTTCCTAATGGAGAGCCTGTCGTCGGAAGCGATGGATCGCGAAAAAAGGGCAAGGCGACGCCCGAAACACTCGTGTATGCAAACATGAACTCGTCGCCGTCTCCCGGCGCAGACATTCAACCCCACTAACCAGCGCTATTCTTTAGGGTCGGGTGCATCGCGATGGTGGAGAAAAACGGCCAGCCTCGGCGCGCAGAGATCCTAGGCATTAAGGACACAAAGAGCGGCCGCCAGTGCTATTGCAACTTTGACAATTTCAACAAGCGACTTGACGAATGGGTTCCTCTCTCCAGGATCGACTTTGAGCAAGACGTCGAGTGGCCGAACCCGGACAAGGATAAGCCCAAGGACGGCAAGACCAAGAAGGGCGCCGTAGCACCGTCCAAGAAAGCACAGCCTGGGAAGAGAACGCAAAAGAGGCCCCCTCCAGGAAAAAGAGAACAGTCAATCACCTCGGAAGCCCAGACGCCGCACCCATGGACCGACTTTGTCGATTCACAGTCGCAGTCGCAGTCGCAGACGCAGAAGGGCACGCCCACTGGGGACGACGGCACGGAGGTGGCCACGCCGATTCAGGATGGCGCACCTACACCCGCAGCCGCAGAGGACATGGACATCGATGGTGACGAGACGCCCAAGCCAGACTCGTTCAGTAGGGAGGATGAGATCGAAAAGCTGCGGACCTCGGGTTCCATGACACAGAACCCGACCGAGATCGCCCGCATTAGAAACATTTCGACGGTTCAGTTCGGCCAACATGACCTTTTCCCTTGGTATTTCTCGCCATATCCCGAGGTTTTCACTCAGGAGGACGTCATCTACATCTGCGAATTCTGCCTCAGCTACTACGGCAATTACACCAGCTTTAAGCGGCACCGTCACAAGTGCACGCTGCAACACCCGCCGGGCAATGAGATTTACAGGGACGACTGGGTCTCTTTTTGGGAGATTGACGGCCGGAGGCAGCGAACCTGGTGTAGGAACCTGTGTCTTCTGTCCAAGATGTTTCTCGACCACAAAACCCTTTACTACGACGTGGACCCTTTTCTCTTCTACGTCATGACGAGGCGGACGGACAAGGGCTGCCACCTTGTCGGATATTTCTCAAAGGAAAAAGAGAGCGCGGATGGCTACAATGTCGCCTGTATCCTGACATTGCCCCAATACCAGCGCAAAGGTTATGGCCGACTGTTGATTCAGTTTTCCTACGAGCTTTCTAAGATTGAAGGCAAGCTGGGATCGCCTGAGAAACCCCTCTCTGATCTGGGTCTCCTTAGTTACCGGCAATACTGGATTGAGAATATTGTGGACATGCTGCTCGAGTACCACGACAAAGACGATAGGTGCAGCATCGAACAGATTTCCTCAGCCCTGGCCATGACGACGCAGGACGTCGAGCACACGCTACAGGCTTACAAGATGCAAGTCTACCACAAAGGAGAACACAAGATTGTTGTGCCGAACAGCCAAATGGAGGCACACAACAAACGAGTGGAAAAGAGGAAGAAACTGTTATGGAGAGAGATCAAACCCGACCTGATCCAATGGAAGCCGCCTGTGTTCACGGCCTCTAATAGAACCTGGGGCTGGTGAAGGACCCGAGTGATGTCCAATTATGGGTTGCCTATATGAAGTGTAGAATTTCAAACCAGCATAGCGATGAAATCAGATACCCCTTTCGAGCAATGACTTGGGTAAGGAGGTCGCAAGAACAAGTCAGAGCCACGTTGTAACGGTACGCCAGATTCACTCAGCACTCGCCTCTTGAGGCCAGCGCAAATTGCAAATTATGCTGCCACGAGCCACTCAACCCAGCAAATTGAGGCCTTTTGGTGCTGGACCTTCACATTCTACATGTGGTTTCTTCGAAACAACTCGCGTACGTGCCAGTTTGGAAATACAGCTGGGCCATGCGGAGGGGATTTAGTAGAAGGCGTCGAGCTTGCCACCGCTCGAGCTGGCTCGTGCTTGCGAAGCCGGCTCCTCTTCGTTCCACAGTGACTCAACAGCGCGGCCGAGGCGTGCGATTCCATCCACAAGATCCCACTCTTCTTCCCAGGCGAAACAGAGCCGCACACTATTAGGGAACTGCACCGCGTTCTCGTCACCCTTAACCTGGAACATCTCACCCGGGGGCACTATCAGGTTCTCATCCTCCAAAGCTCGTTTCGCAATGGACTGAGCATTCGGTCCACAGGGAACGTGATCCACAGGAAATAACCCCCGTAGGCTCTGCCACCGCCGTCCGTGGGGTTCGAGTCGAGCAACTCGACACCGAACTGGTCCAGATGCTGGTGCAAGGCTTTCACCATGAGGGCGTGCCTCCTTTGGAGGCTGGGCCTGCACGCCTCGTCTATATGCCGCTCCAGCTGGCCGCTCTTCATCATCTCGCACACGATGGTTGCGGAGAGCTGGCTGGGGGCGCCACCGGACTTTGTAGAGCCGGTCTGTGCGAGGCCGAAGGCGAAGTCTCGCGTCCCTTCGACCCAACCCGTCCTTATACCCGGACCCACGATCTTTGAGAAAGAACCATTGCTGATCGCGTGGCCGAACCACTTTCCGTCTGGTTGCGACTGGTCGTGCGCGCTAGGCCCAAGCGCAAAGTCGATGTCTGACAGCCGTGGGAGTATCTTCACCTTTGCTGGCTGTGTCCCTGACGGGAGGGCCGAGGAGGCGTCTGCGACGGGCCATTGCAGAAAGTCATAAACGTCATCGCAAATGACGAGACAGTCGTACTTGCGTGCCAAACGAACAAGGGCCTCCCTCCTCCTGAGCGTCATCGTCTTTCCCGATGGGTTGGCGGCAGAAGGGACGGCGTAGATTACGTGCCTGTAGACCTTCCTGAGCTCCGGCGTCTTGTATACGGGGCACTCGTCCGGGTCGGTCTTGTCCTTGAAACTCTCCAGCCCCCGCTCCAGCCACTCCAGGTCGATGCCCTCATCGTCTTCGGGAACTGCCTTCAGCCGTCCTCGGAAGCCAGAGTCCTCAAAGATTGCACAGGCCAGGTAGTAGCAGGGTGCGATGGCCCAAACGGCTTTGGTGAATACCGGCTCAGTGTAAGACTGCAGTATGCAAGCCATTGATTGACTAGCGCCGCCTGAGATGCAGATTCTCTCCGCGTCCGCCTCGGTGCCATATTGCCCGCTCAGAAATCTGGACAGCTCTTCACGTAGGGGCTGGTAGCCGGGATCAGGCCCATATTGGAGACCTCATCAAAAATCAGCCTGGGGGAGAGAGCGGGTCAGGAGACGGAGCCAAAGAATGCCCCTAACTCCTCCAGAAATCCTACGAACCTGGGACAAAGATGTCTGGATCGGACAGGACTTTTTTGGCCGCCGCCTTGAGAGCTTCTGCTGGCAATACGTTGGGCGATGGCCAGCCCCGGAGAAGGTTGATGAGGCGCTTCTTGGGCTCAACGGGAGGTGGCTCTGGGGGCGTCATGCTGAGGAGAGAGAAATGTCGATGATATCCCAGAAGAGCACTCGGAAAAACGCGAGGCCAACCACAAGTTTTGATATATGTAAAAGGTCTACGGGAGATAGGCATTGAATGAGCCAATGTCTAAAAGTTTATGTAACCGATTCACATGATCGATGGGCGCTGGGGCCGACGGCAGTCGTCCAACAAGGCGATAGAGGATGTGGAGAGGGGCCGCTCTGTCCGGCTTTCGGCGTGAGCCTTGATCGGCTACGGTAAACGCGATGTCCGCAGATCTAATGCGCCTTCACTACTCAAGTGCTACGTGCAAGTGAGAGGAACGGTGGGAGTTAATCAAAGAAGAACAAATGTAATTCTTCAGCAAATTAAGCAAACATCCAGGTCCTCAGCATCACGTCACCCCCAAGCACTGCTCTGTGCGCGCGTGATTTGGCATTCCTCAGCCCTACTACATATGCCCAAATCTAATTCTCGCGCCGATCTATCAGGGCCGGGCCGGGCCCCGAGGACCCACTCTTCTGCCGGGTCCCACGGCCAACTTGTACAACAAGCCTCCGCATCTCATCGTTGGTTTGAACGTCTCAACAGTGCGTTCAGCGTGCGTTTTACGCCTTATTCATGGTCCGTGGGGGGCTCCTGGGCCGCCCGGGCCGCCTCCAGAAGGGACAACCGCCCGGAGGGTCTCGTGGTCGTCCGATCCGCATCAGCGGCAACATTTGACGACTCCTCGCATTCGCAACAACCACACTCCTCTTCGAGATCTCAGCGCAGACTCATCTCCATCTGGGGCACAGAAATCTTCGAGGAACCTCCAGCCAGAGCTTTCACGGTCACTCACAATAAGTGACTCTCCCGTCCATAATTTCTGGCTTACCGGCTGGCCAGTACCTATAACATCCATCCTCTTAGGCTGGGGCCTTCATATGCTCTTGCTTCTGAGGTGGATGGAATTCAGACGTGTGGTTTTCTGCAAGCGAATGTCAGCCCAGTGTCGTTCTTGTTCTCGTTCTTGTTTCCGTCCTTGCACTGTCCAGATAAGCGAAGCTGGCTGCGATTTTCCGAGGAAAGACTAAAAGACACACTAAAAAAAAGCAAGACTCTTTATAGGGTATCCTAAGGTCTGCTGGGGGTCGCTCTGTGGCTACAGTAGTAGGTATTTACAGGGTTCCGGATCCATCCGCCCCTTCATGTTCAGTCCTCCCATATATTAAATGGAATAGCGTCCTTGAAGATAAGATGCGGTTTGCGGTTAGCCAGGTCTAATATTGTCTCGGCGAAAACACCATTCGCCCCTAGGGAAGATTGTCAGCGGTACGTAGAGGCGTGGAAGGTGGACATGGATAAGCAGGTCTTACAAGCAAACCAACTCCCTTAAACAAGCACACGACGTTAGCTGAAATCAGACCCGAGCGATGTTTTTGTGGTAATCTCACTGGTATAAGCGTATCCCGAGTTGACGTCGATACTCTCATGGATGAGTCCAAGCTTGGCAGTTTTCAGGACGTAGTCGAGGCACCCCACGATTTCAGCATCATTGTCGGTTGTCTGTGCTTGGATCAATAAGCTCATTGGCCAGGCATTTCGCAGTCCAATGTGTGGTCCTGCGTGTATTAGCAAACACGGTATCAACAACATTGTGCAGAACTTTCTCACCCCCAATGCCTCGAAACTCTTGACCCTCCAGGTAGTACGGATTCGACGTTCGGCTGAGTAACATCTTGCGCGTGTTCTGGTAGACTTCGTTATCCGGCGGTACGAAACCCATCAATGGAAGAGCCAGCAAGCTTGGGTAATTTGCATCGTCCATCAGTATGTGAGAGCCATAGCCGTCTACTTCGTATGCAAACACACGGCCGAACTTTGCGTGTTGGACCACGCCGTGGTCCCAGATACCGTCGGTGATTTGCTGGCTCCACTTCTCACACTTTTCCGCAGTATGCGCCTCACCAGCAGCCTTGAGAGCTTTCGCCGTTCTCCTCAGTTCTACCGCCATCATGGCATTCGCTGGAATAAAGAAGCCGAGGATTGTGGCGTCATCGCTCGGCCTGAAAGCGCTGCGGATGAGACCGGTCCCGTTGTTTAGGGGATTTCCCACGCCGTCTAAATTCAGAGTCTCGGTCCCAACAAAGGTCTGACGCTTGAATGTGTACGTGTTCCTCTGATACTGTCCAGTGGCAGCGTCGAATGTGGGTTGGCTCTGATGGCCCAACACCTCTAGCACAGTCTCCAGGGCCAGCAGAAATCGCGTGTTCATAAAATCGAGAGAGCCGGTAGTCTCGTAGAAGTCATTGGCCAGAGTCAGGAAATGGCCTAGACTGTCCAGCTCGTACTTGCATTCGAAGACGAACGAAGGCTCATAAACTGGGTGTACAAAGTCGTCCTGGCCGTTGTAGGTATTCTTGAGACCAGAAATCGGAGGTGGTTGAAACGCGTTGCAGTATGGTGCCTCAATTACGTACTCGGATTGCGTGTTGATTGCGCCTAGGATCAGACTGGATATGCCCTTGTCCTTCTTCGCAAGCGGCATGTAGGGGGACAGTTGGTTGCAACTGTCACGCAGCCATTCAGCTATGATGTCCCCAGTGATGATGAACGACTGAGGTCCCATCCATGCATCGTCCTCCAATGCGCTGCGACCGTATTCCTTTCTCTTGAATTTCTTGGTCCCGTCCGTGTGGAATTTAACAGTCGTATCTGTGGTCGAAGGGAAGGTGTTCTCGAAGAGACGAGCCAGATCAGGATCCTTCATTCGTGAGGTAACATCGATGATGACCTGCTCGACGGCTTCTGAATGGAACGTTCGACATTTAGGGTGCGGTCGTTGGAATGGGAGCTGGAGAGGTCCCTCGCTATTGGGAGGGCTGCGCAAAGTAAGACAGTGGTCTGCTCCACGGTGGAAGGGCTCAGGCATACTGAGGGCTTGTAGAGTACTTAGCATAGTCTGGACATGCCTCCGCATAGTCAAAATTGGCGTCGCCCATTAATGGCTTCTCTTGTGCATAACCAAGCGATCCATGCGCGAATACATCCGGCTGGAGGATGATGAGGGCCGCGACAAAATGTTGGAGGATGCTGAACATCTTGGAAAGGTGCAATAGCTGACAGGGCCAGGCGACTGAAATCGGCGCAAAATGTATGGGGAGGTTTGGCCAGCAAAGTGCTTGTTGCGATACCAAACAGCACGAGGGCGTTACGGTCGCTCGTCAGCAAAGGAAGCGATCCTTGCGATTCCCCGATGCATTCATTGGCGCATAGGAAGTTCAGTAATGGAGAGGGCTGCGAAGAACAGAATACCACAGCGACGGAAGTGAGGGCAAGAGGTTGGGCAAGGTCGAGGATGGTCAAGCAAATGCCCATCCACGGAGTCGATGTGCCCCTGCACGGGAAGCTTGTTACCCCACAATGATCGTCGCGGCCTTCAGGGGTCCAGCGTCTAATCTTCAGGGGTCACACAACGGAGCGTGCGGTTGTACGGAGTACACTAAAATGGGGTCAAACAGGACACTTTCGAGGTTGTGCCTGCTATCTCTGTTTCCAGACAGGCTAATAGCCCATCTTCTGTCTGTGTCTACAACACTTCGATTACCACCCTTGTGCCGAGATCGCTTCATTTTCAACAACGCCAACTGCCAGCCATGGAAAACCACACACTTTTCCTATTTCTTGCTGAAGAATGACATGATATTGCCCTGGCCCTTCGCAGCTGCTTTCTTGGGCTTGGCCGGTTGTGGGCCAACCTCGGTCTTCTTCTTCGCAGCTGCCGGCGCTGGCTCATCCTCTGAGAAAGACTCCCAGCCAGCTTCTTGAACCGTGACTGTATCCAGTGTCAACATATGCGTCCCAATCTCTAGAGCACCTGACTGTCCGTAACTTACCCAAGTAACCCTGGTCGTCCATGACTGTCTTCTTCTTCATCACACGCCGTTTTCCGCGGCGCCGCCCGTTGCTGGAACTGGAAATATGCTCGGCCGGCTCTGACCTCTCTTCTTTTACCGGCTCTGGCTCTGGGGTCTTCTCCTCCGGCTCTTCCATCGGCGTGTCTTCCTCATCAGGCTCGTCATCTTCGCTCTCCTCCTCCATCATACGCTTCAGCGCTTCCTGTCGGTCTTTCCTGGCCTTGTGGGCCGTGTCGTCTTCGACCTTCGGCTCAACCACAGTATCGTCCTCCCCATCATCAGAAAGTTCCTGCATGGGGGAGTCGTCTGCGGCACTTGCTGCTGTTGGCTGAGGAGTGCTCGCTTTCTTGGGCTGGGATGCGGCTTTGGCGAAGGATTGCATGATGCCACCGGAGGCTCCGCGCTTCATGGCAGGAGGTGGTTTCTTCGACCCGGACGGCACTGGGGTGGATTCCTTGGAGCCGGGTTTTTGCTCGGTCACAGCTTCTTCCTTGGCCTTGATTCGTGCTGCTGGTGCTTGCTTCGAGGCATTTGGCTTGGTGTCAGGCGCTTTGGAGGCCGCCACACTGGGTTTAGGTACTGTCCCCTGCCGCTCTTTACGCCACACGTATGGATTGCGGATAGGCCCAAGTGAGTGTTGGCGGTCGGCTGAAGAATCCTCAGCGGACGGGTCAAGGACGGGTTTGGACACATCGGCGAGCAATTGAAGATCCTGTAGGGATATTTAATTACGAGCAAATCACAAGCAACACGGATGGATATTACCTTCACAGGGTGGGGTCCCAGACTATAGACATGAATGGAATTCACACCTTCGTACTGTGAAAGTACATCTGTAAGCTGGTTAGCCAGGATTCCGAGTTCATAGTAAGAATGAGCTCAGCCCAACCCTTCAGGCTTTCCTCGGCAACGAGAGACAATGTGATGACGGGACCGCCATCAACCGTGGAGTCGACTTCGGGCTGAGAACTCGTCATTGCCACGTCGCCGTCCTGCTGAGAGTGGCCGTTTGTTTGGCCGGTCTTCGTGAAGCCGTACAGCATGTAGGTCGCGTGGACTGATCCGGAGCGTTTGCCATTCTGCCAAGTGTGGAACTCGTAGAGCATCCTGAAAATCTCTCAGCATATGCTCCTTGATTGTATGCGACCGGACTCACTGTTTGGCAATATTGACATGGACTTTCAATGCCCTGCTCAAAGTCCGATACGTGACCTGGTGAAGCATTAGCTATAGCTAGTGGCGCGGCATCGGTGAAGCCGTAGCCAAAGACACTTACAATCTTACCCTCTGAGAGGATTTGGTCCGCGAGATAAGTCTTGTGATTGTTCATGGCGAAGGCGTAGCTGTTTACACATTGGTGTGGTGGTCTACGCGAGTGTTGCGAACGCAAGAGCCTTGACTTGGAGTTTCTGTTTAGACAGGAAGGGGCCGGGCACTTTCTGTTGGACGCGTTACACTGCAGGGGTGGGGGTGGCTCTTTACAACGCGCTTTCACGCTGTCACGCTTTCCCGGCAGGTCGCGCCTCCCCCCAAAAGCGGACCCAGCGGCGGCCCTGCCCCTTCACTGCAGAGCCGACTTTGCTTGCGACTTTGCGCAACTTCACACAGCGCTCTCCAAGTCCCTTTGGTCTCGGCTGCTGGTATTACGATACAGGCACCCCAATCGTTCCGAGGCAACGGATTTACGAATTATACAACGTGCGTGGTCAAGGATGGACATCCGCAATGCGGGTCTTGGCACGAGAGACGATGCCTACGACATATCCGACCCGACCGACTGGTTGGGAACACCTCTGGCGAGCCTGATGCCTCTCGAACAGGCGCTTCGATGCCACGTCTGCAAGGATTTCTACAATTCCCCAATGATCACCTCCTGCTGCCACACCTTCTGCTCCCTCTGCATACGAAGAGCGCTCGCCAGCGATGGGAAGTGCCCGCTGTGCCGCGCCACAGACCAGGAATCAAGGTTGAGGGGGAATTGGGCAATAAGAGAGGCCGTGGAGAACTTCGTCAAGGACAGAGATACGATACTTCGTATGGCGCGGCAACCACTGCCTTCTGCGCAGACCTCTTCAGTTGATGCAACACCACAGACTCCCAAGAGGAAAGCAGGTGGCGGTACACAAGACGGCGGCCACAATTCGAAAAGAACCAGGATGTCTACCAGGTCAAGCAGTGCGAGATCAGCGGAAACTACCTCAGCCATAATACGACAAGAGACGGGAGGACAAGAGTTGGAGGAGGTCGAGGTTGACGAGGAAATACCTAGTAGGCTTCTGCGCCCCCCCCCCCCCAAAAAAAGGCAGGCGATTGCCTATGGCTGACGCAAGAATCAGATGATGGCCTGGTTGCTTGTCCCATCTGCTTATGGAGAATGAAGCCCGAGAAAGTTGATCGACACCTCGACACCGACTGTCCTGGAGAGCCACGACCTCAACCCAGCCAGTCCAAGCCAAACAACCTGGGGTTCCCGAGTACCCGCCCTGCAGCCAACATTCCGACTAAACCGCAAGAGAGATTGTCAACCCTCAATTACTCTATGGTGAAGGAGACTGCCTTGAGAAAGAGGCTTAAAGAGGGTGGAATCTCAAGCTGGGGGTCCAGACATCTACTCGAGAAGAGGCACAGGGAATGGGTTACGATTTGGAATGCAAACTGTGACTCGGCGCGACCAAAATCCAAATCAGAACTTCTGCAAGACCTTGATACTTGGGAGCGTACGCAAGGCGGCAGTGCTCCTTCTAACTCTCACTCGGCCAACCTGGGTGCTCAGATCAAAGACAAGGAATTCGACGGTCAGGGATGGGCCTCGAAACACAGCGACTCGTTCAGGGACCTGATCGCAAATGCCCGCAAGTCTCGCCAGAAGGCGGGTGGGACGACACAAGACTCATCCCATGAAGCCCGAGATCATACATCTGATGCCGGCAATGTGGTGCCTGAGCAGCGGCCAGATGACCTGAACAATTCACAGCAACATGCTGAAGGCTATGTGATGCGAAACTCTGACACAACGATGGAACACAGTATCACCGCCAGCCAAATAGCAGCAGATCAGTCGCCTAGAGGGTCGGCCGATGATAGGCTAGCAGGGCCTCTTCCAGAGGATCGACCGTTGCCCTCCCAGACCAACGCATCTAGCTGTTGACGCGCAAGGGCGATGATCCGTAAAAGCACTCCTGTAAATGGCTAAAACGGCAGAAGTGGAGGAAGGCTAGAGCTTTAAAGTGCTGGGCATTCGATGTGTTGACGGTGTTTGTACCGTCTTCAAAAGCGCGCATTTCACAAACATCGACCGCTCTTCTGCCCTTGCCGCATCTTCACATTCAGATGCTTCGTAGTCAGCCAAGAGGAAAGTGGATGCATCCATTTTCCTCTTGGCTCACTTTCGTTAGGATTCCTTCCATACTGAGACGCTTGACGTCGTCGATTCCTCCGAGCATTACATTCCAGACTCCGTGCAACACTCAGGTCGATTTGGGATACCGGGATGACAGTGGACCACATCACCGCCTCTATCCAGCCTACATGTTGATGAGCTCATGAAATAGCAACGTCAGTCAACCGGCAATGCAACACATTTGTACTTGCGCTCAAACCTTGGCACGAATCGGTAGTGCTAGTAGAAACCCTTCGAGTCCCCAAAACCCTCTAAATAATCTGACATGAACCTTCCAAGGTCATGCGAAGTTTTAGCTGCGGGGACTTTCTAGGTGACCGAAAGCGTGTGAGTCTCACAGATCAACCACAGGCAAGACGAAGCGAAGCCCAATAGGCAACAAAGATACCCCTAGAAGTTGCAGCACCCATCAAGGCTCGGGTACGGTTCAATGCGCAACCTGTGCTTCCGCAGAAGCAAGCTGGAATGCGTTGGCGCAAAATGATTGGGAGCCACACTATCATCATCCGATGAGTCGTCCTGGCCAGGGGATGTCTCGCGGCGTCTTTTACCACGCCCCGTGTTTAGAACGGTCCCGCGGTCTCTTAAAGACGCCGCCACGTTCCCTTTCTTTGGCCGGGCAAGCTGCCATCTAGGCTGTTCTTGTATCTTGGCCCAGCCCGCAAGAACTTGATATGGAAAAGTCAGCCAGGTTGTTTGTGAACGCAAATGCCTTCGCCAGTCTACCTAGGTATGCAACGACTGGGCGGGCACAAAATATTTGCTGGGCACATTGCTGAACTGTGTGAGAGCGGTACTTCGCACCGTGCCGATCACTCACTCTGTGGTCGTGTTTTCCTATCCCTCGTGTGAATGGATGTCCTGCTCAAGATTTCCACGTATTGATGATACATTCATGATGCGCTGTGGCCCGGATTAGCTCGCCTCCTCGTTCTGGGGCTCGTTCTTCAGCGACATTTTACTCATCTCCCCTGAGAGCCCGTCGACTTCCTGGCTGTTCTCCGTGATAGCTTGAGGGGTATCCAAATCCGCAAGTCTCCTCGCAATGTTCTCGGCTTCCATTTGCTCTGCGGCCTCCTGCCTTGATCGCTCGACTTCGTCTTCCTTGCCCGTCTGCTCCATCAACATTGCCTCAAGCTCATCGTCGAGCTCGTCCTCGTCGACAATCGGGCCTTGCTCCCCGATGATGTTGTTGATCTCGTCAGCCTGGCCTATCTGTTCACGCATGTGGTCCACGACCTCCTCCACTCGCTCCGCACCTCCCACCTGTGCGTTCAGTGTCTTTAGAACATCCGTGCTGGCAGCCATGACCTTCACTAGCTGCACATTGTCCGACGCCTGCTCGATCTTGGCCGAAACCTCTTCTATCTGGCTAAGAGTGGCGTACCGCTGTTGTAGGGACGTTTCTGCCCGCTTCTTGGACTTCAGGGCTGCCATGGCCGTGACGCGGTTCTTCTTAGCCACCGCCTCTTTTGCCGTCATAGTGAGCTCCTCGATCTTGCTGTTCAGCACTGTCGCCTGGTGGCTCAGGTACTCCGCCAGCTCCCTGAGGGACGCAATTGTTTCGTCCTCTTCTGTGATGGCTGATTCCCGGTCGTCGGGGTTCCTAATCTTGACTGTCTTGCCGTCATAGACAAGCACGCCCTGATCCCTTGACATGAAGCGCAACAAGACCTCCACATCCGTCTCGGACAACTGCTGGCCCTTGAGTATGGAATCCTTGAATTCTGCCTGGAACTGGACTTTCGAAAACGTTCTCTCGAATCGCGACGTCAGTCCGGCAGTCTGTTCGAGCACCGCCTTCGAGGCTGCCTCCACGTTTGCAACGACCACGAATTGCCCGCCTGGGAGTTTCTCATCTCCACCAAAAATCAAGGCGCCGGTGAAACCCATGTGCCTGAACCCCCAAGAGGCGACACTCCACGGTATTGAGCTCCATGGTCTGTAGTATATGCTCTCGTTGGCCCTCAAGAAGTCTTGTATTGGTATCAGGTCTTTGTCTTGTGTGGCCTCCCTAATGACGGCACCGAGAGCCAGTGGGCGGCCATATCGCTTGCTTTCTAGTGCTCGTAGCAAAGACTCGTCGGCCTTGAGAACAACGTGGTCGGGGGTCGGTGATGAGCCGGATCCGCTGGGCGCTAGGCCAGCGCGCACGAGTCCGGCAAGGCCGCGCCTCCAGGCAGATATGTTTGCGTTGTATCCGTCAGGGTTGGTGGAGCGAAGGCCGCGGAAATCGGAGTAGAGGGCCGGTACGCGTGCTCTGTGTCAGGACGGTCAGCTCGAAATGGTGCATCCTGACGGCAGTGAGGTCTCCTGACTTGCGGAAAGCCGGCTCGTGTTCGATGAGCCAATCTAGGGCGTCGGACATTCTGCGACGTACGCTTGCCTTGGGAGGTTGGGAGGTAGAGGGGGGGCGTGAAGGCAGTCGATTACTATGGCGACAGGCTCTGGAAAGCCGAGATGACGTCGTGCTGGTGGCCAGCCCCTTCGGGGGGATGTTTGTCCAACGTGATTATTTGATCTTGGCGATGGAAATACAGGCAGGTGCAACGCTCGATGTCGCAGGACAGAGATGACAAGATGAAAAGCAGAACACAAAAGTCTAGGTTGGGGCTGCAAGGAGGAATGCGTGGTCCGTCCTGAACGACGTCCATTTCTTAAGCTCCTAGCTGATCTTGGGGCCCAGGTCTTATCGGTTATCTGGGCCCCTCTCACATCGGTTTCACCTCGGCAACGCCAACGGTTGTTTACTTGTTTATCTACAAACTCCCTAGGTCCCTAGTTGGGTTTATCAACTACAAGGACAGCTTTGCCAACCAGCTGCGGAGGGTCTCGGTTCCGTGAGATAAATGAGATGAAGTCCATCGCACAACACTCTCCCTCCACATGACCAAATCAAGCAGCGCGACGCTCTCGGCCACTGATCAGGTAAACCCCTGCCCTGACCTCCAGCAAGGGGTCGGCGGATGGCTCGAGTCCAGGAATGTCCCTTGGAACAGGATCAAAGATGATATGCTTCTGTTCAGCAGTGTCGCCGTCCACAAGCGCATCAAGGGAAATCACGCCCAGATCAACCACACTCCTATCCTCGGGCCAGTGCACACATGCGTCGTGTGTAACGTCTCCCTCCTGGGCGACCTGCGCCGTCAAGTGGAATACCACCGGCCCAGCCTTGACCAGCTTCGGCACCTCGTCGAACAAGTAATTCTCATCCCTCCCGCTCAATTCCTCCTCGCTCAGTGTTTTGACCCCAGCGTTCGGCACGATCCTGTACCGCACGAATGTTTCATTTCCGTCCGAGTCGATCAGTTTGAAGGCATTGACTCCAAAAAACTGCTCATTAGCGAAGCTCTCCGGGGCCGGCTTGGGCGCCTGCACGAAGGCTAGCGCCTTGGGGTGCGTCGCGAGGAATGATTCGACTGTGCCATCTTTCAGCGCCTTGAAGAAAGAAAGTGCCTCGTCACCGTTGGAGCCCGGGAAGGCATCCACGCTGTGGGCTATGATATCTGTGTGCACCCGCCGGGGCTGTGTGGCCAGTTGGAACCGGAGCGCGAAGCCTCGAGGGTCGGCATTGGAGGAGTTATCTGGGATGTTGGGCAGCCCAGTGGCTATTTCAGGACTGCGTGAGCTTTGGATGAGCTCGGCGGTAAGACCAGGGACGCTTACAATTTGAGAACCGAGCGACGACCGGTGTGGACGGTTGATTGAGGTGCGGTGCTACGGACAGCTTACCCGCCTCAATGCTTGGGGTGAAGGTTCCTTTGAGGAGAATTCCCTTCGCATGTGCTGGGCACAGCAGTGTTCGTAAGTGTCTGTTCGCCGGCACTAGATTGGTGGGAAGATGGAGCGCAGATACTGCATACCAGGTCTGTACCCAGGGTGAGGGCCAAAGATATCATGGAGCGTATTGACCAATCCTTGGCTAGTCTCCAAGACGTGTTCGTCGGTAGGAAGAGGCATGTTTGTTCCACACAAACAATAGACAGGTCGTACCCAGGGACGTGTACTCTTGCTTCCGAAATTCCAATGAGATAGCTTCTCGTGGATGGGAGGTCTGACTTTAAGTTTCCATCACTTGTCTTCTCGCACTAGGACACAAACACTCCATTGGGCTCTGTCGGCCATTCCTGGAAAGGTATGCTATACGTGATACTATCAGGATTCCAAATCACGCCTCACCCATTGGGCAGGGCGAGGGCATTAGTTCCGATGCCCGCCCTGTTGCTGACAGAGGCACTGCATATTGGCGCTGGGCTAGCTTGAATTCGGCTTTGGGAGCTTCACAGAACACTCCGTACACATCTGTCCACGACAACGCCCCGATCCTGGACATGGCCGTGCCCAGTCTTGCATTGGCGTGCTCCTACCAGGCTAGCTCACGTCCTGGAATCAAGCTTGGCCCTAGCATAAATGATACCGCAATGAGGAGTATGGCGATAAGAGTGACTGAGCCGCATAGTTTACGGTTTCGAATGCTTACCTGGATATAAGATCACGACTGTCAAGGTCAGAGTTGCCGGGTGGGCACCCGGGGCCGAGTGGGTCGGTAGACCCACGGAGCACAATTGAACCACACAGAACAGATGCAATAATTCCTAACTAGATTCAATAAGTAGCGAGCTTGGCCGGCGGAGTGGTGGGATTCGCCGTTGTCCCAGATTCAGGGACACGGGCTGGAAATGGGCCACCCGGCTGGGACCAGCCGCTGTAGGGAGCTGATTCCTGCTTGACTGGACTGCCGAGTCTATCACCACACGCGTGCGACATTGCACTGATTCTGAAAGCCACGTGGATGGTGGCGCAAGAAAGTCGACGAGGACCGAGCCTACCAACACACACTGCCTGCCTAACACTACCGCAGCTAGGCAGTTCAGATGATTTAGCAAACCTGGACGACCAGGGAGGGACCCCGCTGTTCTCTCAGGAACGCAAAGTCTAAGACCTGTTCATTGACCCCAACAAGCTTTCGTGAGGATACGATGCTCAGGTGGTCGGTTGATGGCTCGTGTATGACATACGAGTCTGGTTTGTTCTGACCTCTTTGCAGTTGCGGCCGCTCGTGTGGCAGGAGATGCAGCTTGACGTCGAAAGAGCGGTGGGGAAGCTGTGAGGAAGCTGTGAGTAGGGATGGATATTAAAATTTTAATTTTCAAAATATTTCAGTTAGCCAGCTAGATTTTATTTTATTAGGTTGGGTGGGTCTAAAAGGTTTTATAGGTACCTTTAATCTAATAAGTTTTTTATATAAAAAAAAGTAGTTTATTAATAATTAATACCCTTTTAAAATTATTAAATTAATATTTTAAGCTATAAATTACTTTAACTCTATATTAATATATTTTATAATTAATTTATTTAAACCCTTAAACCCTTAGTTAATAATATAAATTCTTTATACTTAATTAAACTATTTATAAAATTAATTAGATTTTTTAAATAGATTAATAATATTAATTACTTTAATTAATTTTATTTATTATTTTTATTTAAATAATATTTAAAAATTAATTTTTAAATTAAAGATTTCCTTTTAAATAGTTTAAACTCTTTAATTAACTAAATAATTAAGTATATAAAAGTTTATATAAATAAATATAAGCTTATTAATTAATTTTTAATTAAATTAATTATATAATTATAAATATATAAAGTTTATTATAAAAATAATTATTTATTTAATATAAAGTTAATAAATATATTAATTAAATATTATATAATATAAATAATAAAAGGTATATTTAAAATAACTTATTTTATTTATTTTTTAATAAATATAATATTTCTATAAAATAAAAATTAAAACTATAATAAAAACTTTAATATAGTTTAAACTTTATATAGTTAACTATAATAATCTTAATTTAATTATATAGTATATATATTTTAATTTATTTTATTATTTATAATTATTTAAATTTATTAAAAGTATTATTAGAAAAATTTTTAAAGTTAAATAAATAAGTAATTTAATATATATTAATAATCTATTTAATAAAATAAGTATAAAAGTATATAAAAATATTTATTAATTTATTTTAAGTTATTATCTATTAACTTTAAGTTATATTTATTATTTTTATTTTTAATTAATATAAAACTATTTAATAAATATATAACTTATTAAATTTAAATTATTTTTATATTATTATAATAGGGTTAAAGATTATTTATAAATAATTAATTTATTATTAAAAGGGTTAATTAAAGAGAATATTAATAATTTTTAAAGATTAATACTTTAATTAACTTTAATTATTAGTTAATAAAGTATTTAAATATATATTTCTATTTAAATAATTAAATTAATATAAAAGTTATAAAAGAAATATATATTTATTAAAAAATTATAAAGTAATTTATTAAATATTTTAATAAATAATAACTATTAAAAGAGACTATATAGCTTTTATATTATTAAGTTATTATATTTTAAAGTTAAATATACTACTTTTTAAATATTAAAAGAATATAATTATAAAAATAATTTAGTTAAAAGTAATTTATTAAAATATTATAATTATAATATTTTTAATTAATAGTTATAATTTATAAAAATTATAAAGTATATTTAATATATAATTAAATTAAAATAAAGTTTATAAGTTTTATTATTATTTTATTAGGTAAAATTAATATTAATATAAATTGAATTAATTTTATTAAAATTATTATTAATAATTAAATTAATTAAAGGTAGAAAAGGGTTATTTAATTAAAAATAAATAAAAATAGTATTAATATTAATAGTTTTTAATAAAAATTATTTAATTTAAAATCTTTATAAAAGATTAATAGTTTTATTAAAAGATATTATTTAATTTATTAAAAATAAGGTTTATATAAATTATAATAATTAATTAATTTAATATATTTTAATAATAATTTTTATAAACTTTATTAAAAGTTAATAACTTACTTTTAATTAAATAATATAAAAGTTAAATTAAATAAATAATAAGTTATAAAGTTATTCTTATCTTTATATATATTAAAAGGTTATTTTAATATAAAATAAGTTTTTATAAATATTTTTATAATATTTTTATATAAGTAAATTTTTATTAATTAAAAGAAGTTAAAGAGTAATTTTACTTATTTTTAGGTATTATAGGTAGTTAAAAATAAGTTATAATTTATATTTAAATATATTCTTTTATAATAAATATTAGAGTAGATTTTATAATTATACTATTTATAAGTTATTTAAAACTTTTTATTTTATTTAAAATAAATAAAGTAATTCTTTATTTTAAAGTTTTAATTAATAAAAAAAGAATTAATTATTTTAATAATAAAATAAATTTATTTTAATAATAATTAATTAAAAATTTAATAAAGTCTATTAATAAGTTTATTAATAGAAAGTATTAGTAAGTAATTAATAAGAAAATTAGTAGGTAGGGTAGAATACTTAACTATCTATTGTTTTAGGTATAGTAGGTTATCTAAATAGGTTTAGTATGGTTTTCGCTTTCTTTTATAGGAGGGCTTAAAATTTTTAAATTTCTTTTAGAAGGGTAGGTGGGCCTAACTTTTTACCATCCCTAGCTGTGAGCTGCTTTAAATCCCTGGTACGGGTGCTGTCTGATATTGATTCCTTCAATCGGATAACAACTTGGCCAGGCAGTCTGGCAGTCTGGCAGTCAGACATGCAAACAGGTGCCAAATGCAATGCAACGTAATGCGACACTGCAGCTGCAAGAAGGGAGTGGGCTGGGGCTCGCAGGCCGGAAGAGGTGGGACACATGATGTCAAAACAAAAGGGGCATGTTCCACACAGCCTGCGCCGACTTGTCTAGAACCCAACCGATTTTCTGACATGGTGGTTTTAGGGAGAGACAACCCGGACCGATCTCTACTGACCGGCACGATGCGCGGCATCACCTCGTCGAGTCAAGCCCATGGCCAACTGCGTGAGGGTCACTCCAGAAGTTGAGAACCCCCGGCAGGCCGCGAGAGAAGGCAGCGGTGGGTAGAGCCGTTGGTGCGCCCAAGTCCCTGGAGGTTGGTTCATGGCAACGTGGATGAAGAACGTGAGAGAACCTCGCCGCGGGATGACATCAGTGGGCAGTCCAACCCTGCTGCCCGAACGGTGCTCGAGTTGTCGAGCAGCCAACCACAACAACCGATGCGCCGCATCTCGCTCACCCTCCCACCTCCCTGCCTCTCCGCACTACTCCGTACTGTGGACGAATGCCGGCTGGCGTAATGGCGTTCGCCTCTTGGCAGTCGTTGGACGGTTGAGGGGGTCCGAGGCGTCCAGGCGTCCTGGCGTCGGGGCTGGCGGCTGGGTCTCTGGTGACACACTCTTAATAAAGGGCGTTGCATCAGCCTGCATCCCACCCCATCCAGTGACAGGCGGCGCCCTTATACCCTGTTAATGGGACCCTTGATGCAGATCTGTGGGGTGCCACCCACCGAATATGGTTCCTACAAAAGAACAGGTCCCTGCCGCTCTTGGGTAGGGCGCGCTGCTGACCACACAGTGCATCCGAGGTGATCTCAAGCAGAGTATATCTTGGGCTCATCATCCGGCCCCTTTTCGCAAAAGACACTACTTCCAGTGTCTACCTTCTTGGAAATCTCCCCTCCAAAGTGGTTCTCCTCGTGATGCCCTCACCGAGACATCCCAAGAGGAGCGTCGACTACCTTCATGGCCACATTAGCAGCGAAAGCGAAGATGAATCAGGTCATCACAGATCGACTCGGCCTCGCGGCTATAGCCCAAAACTACAGAGAGGCATTTCTGAGACTTCACTCATGACACGACAAAGAAAGGCCGAGGGCGTCGACAACAACGACAGCCAGTTCGAGTCCGACACGGACTACGACCCTCGCGACAAATACTACCTGTCGGACGAAGAGGATCCTCTAGACACACACGTCCCCTTGTCTGATGAGAGAACAGGGACAGCCAGGGGCCAGTCCGAGGCAGACCATAAGAGTCACTCTCGCCATGGCAGCTCTCGACATGGCTCATCGTCGACAGGTGGACATACGCACTCCCGCTCTCATGGTGGCTCAAACGGACGCCATCATCACCATCACTCGCACCATCGTCACTCACATTCGCATCCCCCCTCTCACTCACACTCACACTCGAGAGATCTAGATGAGGAGGATCACGTTGAGAGACACAGGTCGGCAGCTGCCCCTTCCAAGTCGTCATCACACGCCAGCCACCCTCGGCCGAGACCATCGCGAGCCAGCTCCTCGTACTTGAATGCTGCTCGTCGCCCACAGATGAAGCGGGCAGGCTCGTCGTACAAGTCCGCATCACGCACCCGGGCAAGGGCGCGGCCGCGTCCGGTCAGGGGTCTGTCTCAGAACGGCCAGCGACGGGGAAAGCAGAAATCCAACAAGATGCCATGGGATACTTTCCCGTGGGAGGCAGCCGCGAAAGTCGCTGTCCAGGCCGGAGGCGTCGCACTGATGAAAGTAGGAACTGAGCAGATGCCTTGGAGGACAAAGGGAACTAAGATCGCCAGCGCCGCCCTCGGGGCTGCGGTCGTGGACCACGTCCTCAAGCCTGAAAAGCGAGGCGGTGTCAAGTATGCGGCCATGCGGCATTGTGCTGAGGTTTTGGTAGGAAATATGGTAGTGAGCCCTACGCTGAACAAGGTGGGCGGTGGGGGGAAGAAACGGTAAGGGGAGTGAGCCAAGGGGGAAATGGATGCACCCACGTCCCAAAGGCGTAGGTGTGTGCTTATATTGACCGTCAGAAGACCTTAGCTGGGGTTTCTAACTAGCGGTTCTCAGTGCCCGTTCCAGGCGTGTGTTCTTCTCCTCCTCTCAGGGTGTTATGAATCATGAACTCAAGGAGAGCGGGCAGAGACAAAGTATTGGGGGCTGGGCCATTTGTCTTTTTTGTAACAAAGCATCAGAGGCGTAACAAATACGGGGTCAACGAGGAAGGGATTTGTGAAATTCAGGCAGCACAAGTAGCGCTTCTTCCAGCATCTCATTGTATACACAAAAAAGCCTAGTATTGGTAAACCAAGATGAGCCTAGAAATACCTATGACCTGACAACAATAGCCCTTCCTGTCCTTGCCCTTCGGCCTTGAACTCAAACATGACCCATGGCCTCATGTTCGCATTTCTGGCCCTTCACATCTTCTGGAAAGCCTAGACTGAGCTTTTTTATAACAATTGATTAGGTGAGTCGAACAACCTTGGAGAACCTCGTTTCCGCCACCATTTGAACCTCAACAATTCGATAACTTGACCACAATTTGAACGTCGGATTCCGCCAGTCTCCTTGTCGTCGTCGGCTCCACGAGCTCATGTTTCCGGTAACTGGATAGAAATTCAAGTATACCATCAGAAGCATTCGCATAAAAGCTTTATATGAAAAATACGTCAAGGAAATTTCTAACCTGTATCCGGTCAAGTTAATGGCTCCGAGAGCCCCTGATAACCGAGTTTCCAGATTTGTTTTACTTTCCCTACCACATGACACCCGGTGATCCTAGAATATGGATTGTAGACTCTCTTTAATCAACTAACAAACAAGCTAATGGATGTGTGTTACTTATTGAATATTTTGAACAGCATACCTAGGTACCTAGGGTATGATTGACCTTCGTTACAAGTCGGAGTTTCCTTGATTTTCCGAAGGATCTATCTACCCTGGGTGGTTTCGTTTCTAATCTCCATACATATAAAACATATGTCCTCAGGTCCGGGTAAGAGGCGAGATCGACTCCTCAAGCCGTGTGCCGGTGCTGTCCTCTGCAGGTTAACGTTATGTAGTGTATATAAGCATCTTCCTCAACAAGAGAACGGAGATTCACAGGGCAAAAAACGGAGGGTACAGGGCAACGTATACCCCCAGTGCGCCAACCTTAATTTACACCACCAATTTACCATATAAAACAACAATACATAGTCATTAACTACTTATACATCTATCACCCTACACAAGTACCACTCTTATCGCTTCTACTTACCCCTATCGCTTCTACTTGCCCCTATTTTTCTACCCTAATAATTTACTACTACTTTCCTCATCGTCGCTTAGGGCGCTCTAGTAAGTCCTTAAGTACCTAAACCTCCTCCTAAGTCTCCTCCTCGTAGATTGGTAGGTCTGTAGGTTAGGGCGTAAAAAGCACTTGGTTGGTGTAGTGTAGGTAGTAAGGTTAGGTTGAATAAAGTCCTCTAATTAGTGTCACGGGACGTAACCGCTACACTATAGCCATACCTATGTTCCTACTAAAAGGTACAGAATTGCAGAACGTCCTGCAATTCAGAGTGTAGTCCATATAGTCGTGCCATTACATTACCCCCCCTACTTCGTCTGCCAGAACGTATCCCATAGCATGAACTAGTTCGTACTAGATATGGTGACCTATAGGTTTCTGGTTGGGGAAGTAATATACCTTTTAGAGGTATGAACGTTGCTAATTGATATGTACTATATGATAACCTGAACTTAGCCTTACCTGGGTTTGAACTTGCAACCATATAATTACAAGCCCTTTTGTTCTGTAATTATGTCACGGGACGTAACCGCTACACTATAGCCACACCTGTGTTCCTACCAAAAGGTACAGAATTGTAGAACGTTCTGCAATTCAGAGTGTAGTCCATATAGTCGTGCCATCACAATTGGAGGGTAATATCGCAAGACACTATGAAGTAGCCGAGAATGCCGATGTGGAAAATGGAGTTGGCTATGTGGCATGGTATCCTCCTCGACTTGGTGTGGTTTCTCTCATCTCGTACTATAACTCTTCACGCATCATGCATCACGGATTCGATAAACCAACCCAAATTGTCAGCACGGAGGGGGTGCTGAAGATTAACATTCACGTGTGCACCGAAGATTTTTCACCACGGGTAACAAGGCCGGTATTGGCAATGGTGTGATGCCTGACTTTTACGGGCGATACGAGAAGGCTTTCGTAACCTAGCTACGTGTCTTCGCTTCCACGTCGGATGACAAGCCGTTGCTTTATGAGTTGGATGCCGCTATCAAGGGCATATAAATTGGATCTGCGCTGCAGCAGAGCTTGGGGACTGGGCCGAGGAGGGAAACAGGAGACAACAGGTGAAAAGCCGTATGTAGTTGCTACCTTGGCTCGGGCACTGCGAGACTCAACCACGACTTCGCCGGCCCAAGTGCTTTCCGACTCCCTATGAGCGCTGTATTCGCTCTCAGCAGAGCATGCCCGCTTCGTCCTTATGGCAGCTGGAATTCGCGTTTCTTACAGCGCGTACCTAGGTACAGTCCGAGCATGGCGGAACGATAGGTCGATCAGAAATCTATTGACTGCACGTCTATCAAGGTGCCACGTTGTACATCTAATAGCCGCCGATTGGAGTAAATGACTCTACACCCTGTTAACGCCTTTGATCAAATCCGCGATGCTCATCGATACCTGTGTTGTCCTCGGTATATCGTGGCCCCCTCCGTGATCAAATATCTTCCTATGGTCGCAAAAGTAGGCAAGTTGCAGGCCAGCCGGCATTCTAGGGTCTTTCGCCCCAACAATGTGGACAGTTGGCAATTTTATCCGGAGTTCCTTTGGGAAGGATGTAAAATCAAGCCCAAAGCAGTCTGCTTCATCGGGCAGTTCATCTGCCTTATGCTCCAAATCTGCTGTATAATCCCACAGCCCCTGACCCTTGGGTAGACTCGCGGGATCATAGAGCATGGAGCTTTTGGCCTTCATCTGGTCTACTGTTCTCTGATTCAGATCTTTTGCCCCCTGAACGTCAAGACCCATGTCCTCTAATGCTGGCAGCGGTAGGCCACCGCAGATGAAGACAGCTGATCCAAAAGGAAGGGGCAGGTGAGGGTTCTCTTTGGCGTGGTATAGGAGGTAAGTGCCGACCAGTGAGCATCCCTGTGAGAAACAGCACACTCCATCATACGGACCGTTCTCCTGAATGTACTCATCGAGCCATCTAGTGGTGAAGTTAGTCCTGCTACGGGTCCTAAAGTGTTGTATTCTAGAACACTCCAAAACACGAAAGACGGGGATCCGTAAAAGATGAAAAGCGATACTGACAGATGGGCAGCACGAACAGCGTTTACAATGTCTTGTGCAGCTAGCCACCACGCATATGTTGGGCTACGAAATAGCATGTCGATGCCGGGGTGTGGCTTGGCCGAGTATGGGGCATCCGGGAAGTCCCATTCCCAGTCAGAGGGCAGCTTGTTCCTGAACGAGGCTGGAGGTCTGATTAGCTGCGTTATAAGCAAGGGGTAGAGGACAACCAGTGGGGCACACCTGGCTGAAGACTCACCTGACTGGGACTTGAATATGGAGCCGCTTGTTCCTTGGCCGTGGAGGCAGAGGATCTTCACCATGATGTCGGCGATGTGAGTGTTAAGGTCGGGGCTAACAAGTCCGGAGGAGAAAAAGAATGCAGACGTAACATAAAGTTCCGCGTGCTCGCACTGCTTGTCTTGTGTGTTCGCGCTCTTTTGCTTGCATGTTCGTACAACGTCTTCTCACATGAGACGACATTGCACATGTGAGCCAGGCAGTTAGCTCCGTCGGGGTCCGAGGGAGAAGTCCGTGGCCGGTAATCAGGAGCCCGGGGCTGGCCACAGCGGGGCTCGAGAGCACCGAGTACAAAGGATGGATTGCATCTCTGACCAGCACGAGTGATCCTACCTTAGTTTAGAGCCTTCGTCTGCCGGACTGGGTTCGGACATGACTTTGTAAGAAGGATCGCCAGCCAAAGGGACAGGAGATGGAGAGGGAGATGGGGACGAGTTAGTTAGTCCACCAAGCCCCCTGACCATAACCCCACTATCCCGCACGACGTCGTGGGGGAAAGCAAAGAATTCCATCTCAGATCATGCAGTGTTTGTACCACATGTTGTATCCTGGCGGAATGGTAAAACACGTAATTATACGATTCGAGGTGAGTCTGCATGGCACTAGTAAACACAGATATGCTGTACACATATGAGTACTTACCTACTTACCTATTTACTGAGTACTTAAGTAGGTACTTACGTGCCACAAGTAGAAGTGCGAGGCCGGGGGTCTGCCTGGACTGGGTCTCAGTTGCAGGCATCCATCATCACCTGTAGACCGACGTCCGGACTTGTCTTCCATCTTACCCGACATACTTCTGGGCTGGCCGAGAGCCATCTATCTACATCCTCCGTCTGGACTGTTGTATATCGAAATGGATCACTCCTCATACCAGCCCTAAATGCAGGCCAAGCACCTTCCCGCGCCGCCTCTGCACGCCGGCTCGCGTCGTGTTTTCGACCATGGCCTCAACCTCGCCGCCTACAGCACCGGATACGGCCCCGACTTCTACTGCTGTGCCTCAGTCTCAGGGCCCTGGAAGGCAGCAGGAGTACTCATGTGTATTGTGTAAACAACGCAAGGTCCGCTGCGACCGGCTGAACCCTTGCAGTAGTTGTGTTCGCGCCGGAGTCTCATGCCTGCCTGGCGTGAGGCAGCCTTACAAACGCCGGCGGAAGCATGCCCAAGGCGGCGACCAGAAGAGGGCCCAAATATCAGAACGACCTGGTGGGCTCTACTCAACACCTGCAAGGTCCCTCGATAGCACATGCAGCCCTGAGGGCTCACGTTCCCAGCGCCAAGTGCCAACATTTGGCCAGTACGAGTCCCCCCTTCTCTCAACAAATGATGGTCAAGTCAATCGCCGCGAAGCCCTTATGGTTACTGATTTGTCCTCCATAGAAGCCTATGGACTGGGCTGAACGATGAGGTGCGTTTTCAGCATTTTACTGTGCCCTGCTTGCGCATCATTCGTTGACCAAGTCCTTGCTCTCACCAGTTCCAAGACCCGAGGACCACCAAATCTTCAAGCGAGGACGAGGCTCTTAGTTCTGCAGAATTTGGCTCCAGCATGAGCCCAAGTGCCCTGCTGTTTTCCGCCTTTCGAAATGCTGTTGATCTAAGGGACTATCACCCCCCACCGATGCAAGCCTTCATGCTATGGCAAGCCTTCTTACAGAATGTGAATCCCATGTCCAAAGTTATACATGCGCCATCCGTCCAACCCATCATCATTGAGGCTAGCAAGGACCTAGATACCGTTCCGAAGCCTTCGGTCGCCTTGTTGTTCGCCATCTATGCAGCTGCAATAATGTCTCTGAAGGAGGAAGACTGTCAGGCACAGTTTGGTGCGCCAAAACCTCTTCTACTCACCCGTTATTTCTCAGCATGCCAGCAGGCTCTTGCAGCAGCTTCGTTCATGAAGTCACGGAATCTGGTCACGCTTCAGGCCTTCGTCATATTTCTGGTAGGATACTCTTTTAAGCCCTTCCATGTCCATATGCTCACTGTCCATTCTACAGCTCCCTGCCCGCCAAATTTACGACGAGCAAACTTTCTGGCTCCTTGCTGGCGTCGCTGTAAGATTAGGTTTGAGACTGGCCGCACACACTCCCACAGAGTCTCCCGGTGACTCGGTTTACGTGTCACAATTACGAAGGCGTCTTTGGAGGCAGATTATGTGGATTGATGGCCGCAGTCATCACCACATTGGATTACGCCCTCCCTTTCACGGCGTTCAGGCTTTCCCCCTACCCGAGAACCTCAACGATGTCGACCTAAACCCGCATATGGAGGAGATGCCACTAATACACAAAGGCCCAACAGAAATGACATGTAAGTCTGTCTTAATCCTGGTGCAGGCTCACTCCGTCTCCAACTGCTTACCACCGAAGCCGAAGTCTGCCTCTGCCGTTACGAAGTTGGCGAATTCATGATTCAGCATGGGAGCACTTTTCAAGACCCTGCTATTCCCATCCAGGAAAAAGACCAACTTATCGATCACTTCGAAGCCCACATGGATGAGAACTATCTAAAACATCTAGACCCAGCTATTCCTCTGCATCTCATGGCTGAGGGCGGAGTGCGGTCGGCCACCTGCAAGATGAGGTTGATGGCTCACCACCCTTCTCAGTATCCTGATAAGGGAAAATCAATACCTCAATCCGAAAGAGACATACTCTTCAAAGTCAGCGTCAAGATGGTCGAGTATGACGTGCTTGGAAAATCGACAAAAACCCTCGACAACTTCGCGTGGCATATCGATAATTCATTCCAGATTGATGCTTTCGTCTTTATGCTCATCTCTTCCCGAAACCAAGATGCCACTGCAGAACTGACCAACAAGTCATGGCAGCTGGTTTCTGAAATGTATAAGCACAGACCTTCGCTCATGGATGATACCAATAATGAGTTGTACGCAGCGGTCAGGGAACTCACACTGCATTCATGGGAGGCGCGGGAGGCAAAGATTGCACACAACAACCTGGAGCCAATCCCAGTACCGGAAATCATCGCAGAGCTTCGGGACAGGAAGGCCAGGAAGAGCATACCAACTGGAATCTCGTCGGCCATTTCGACCACCGCGACGTCAATGCCATCCGAGGCGTCTGCTCTTCACCAGCTGGCCGGTGTAGCCACACAAGTTGACTCGAGAAATATATACAACAATGTAGGCTATTTGTATGGGATGGCACCTGGATTGGCCACGAATACGTTTCAACCAGTTCTGGACCAGCAGTTCGATAGCATCTTCCGTAACCTCAGTGGGGATATGGGTGCGGCTGGACCGGTTGACTGGGACTATTGGGATGGGCTTCTAGAGCGGAATAACGTGTTCAGATAACGGGGTGGGTGCTGACTAGGAATCCAAAACAGCAAGCCAGCAGGAAAGGATTTGTTTGACAAACACATGATTAATTTCATTGTTTAGAGTTTGCATTCTCTATCATGGGTGTGTCAAAAATTAGATGTGCCTTAAAATACAGTATGTCTTACGGAAGTCTAATCCTAAGTTCTAGACGCGCTCCTGCTACCTACCTAGGTAGGTACCTACCTACTTAAGTAGGTACTTACCTAGGTACTCCGTAGGTAGTAGAGCGGTATTAAGCGTTCGGTCTTGTTGACTCCGAGGAGCCACAAAGCACATGAGCTCATAACCACGTCCTCGCCACTCGTTCTGGTTATGTGCAGCCAGGCAGCTTGGAACTGTCGCCGAAAGACCTTGGCTGGGTCCCTAAATGCGGAGAAACCAGCACAGGGTGGGCGGAATATCCGGGGATCGTGGAGCCGAGCCTCCACCTTGACAATGCTGGCTCGCCTAGTAGGGCATTATCCTACTTTCGGTCGAAATTTCCGCTGCCGGCAGCGTAAGGAAATGTCTTGACCCCTGCAAAGTCGTTGATGTTCTGTTGCAACGTACCTAGGTAGCATTTGGCACTCGCTCGTATCCACTCATGATCGCCCGGGGTGGTGGTGGATGAGCATATATAGAAATGAGACCACCTCCTGTGGTTGGCTTCTAGATGAGCTCCCGTGATGTGCTACTTTGCTGTTTGTTCCAGTTGGTGCAACTCTAGCTGCTGTTACTGATTCACAATGAGGTCCTCCACCGTCGACACAGCTATCCTGCTGTTGACAGGCCTCACCGGCTCCACTGCGCTTCCCAAGAGATCTAACGATGGCGTGGTGCAAGTTGACATACCTGCTTCGGCCGCAGGCGCGTCCATCCCGCATTCTGCTTCCTTCCAATCATTCTCTTTCGAACCTGCTTTCTGGGTGGAGTCAGTACCATTCTTCTCAAAAATGCATCACTTAAGGGTCCGTAGCAGGTGACTAACCCATGGTAGGTTCTTTGGGAACGCCTCCGAGCCAAACGGACTCACTTTTGAGCTCCTTTCGAGGCTTGTGGAGCGCGGCGGGGAGCCTATTATACGGCCAGGTGGGATTACCCAGGACAGCATGATCTTCAATGCTTCTGCCGCCGACCCCGTACGCACGACCAACGCGGCCGGTGGCGTGTACCGCACCACATTCGGCCCTGAATATTGTACGTGTATAACTTCTTTCCTATGAACGCCAGAACGCCAGAACTCGTTAGATCTGGATGCCAGGGGCTAACACGCCCAAGACCAGAGTTGGGATAACTTCCCCAAGGGGACCAGGTTCGTCTCGACTCTCAACTTTGGAAATAATAGTATCGATATCGCCCGGGGCATGGCTGTGGCGTCTGTGCAGTTGCAGAAGGACAAGATCGCCTATTTCGAGCTCGGGAACGAGCCAACAAACTATCCCAGTTCCAGATGGAACTTCAGCACCGACGCGTACGTTGCGCAGTGGAAGGACTGGACAGCGCAAATCGACGCAGCAGTGAACGAAGCGGTGGGCGCGAACGAGTCTGCCTTCCCAAGTGAGCGGTGGTGGGCTTCTAGCGCCACCACAGACCAGACAGGTCTTCATGTTCGCCCCGCGGACATTATCCCCGCTGGCATAAATTCGAACAACCAGGTTTCTCAGTATTCCATCCACTCGTAAGTTGATATCGAGCTCAGTCATACACACTCAACGTGGGAAACCACCACCCCCAACACCATTTAAATGTATTACACTGTCATGTGAGGTCGAGAGTGCAGTCCCTCCGAGAGAAAAGCGCCACCTTGATCCCCCACCCACAAAACCCACATTTTTACACAAGTACTTGGCTTGAAGCTTTCAGATCTCATAAACTGACCAAAAATTAGCTACGAGTTCAGGTGGGTAGTCTGGTTCATAACCCGTTTGCCGGCGAAGCCGCATACCGTCCCTTCACCAGTACACCAAGGTAAAACTTGAAAAATTATGGTTAGATAACAGTATAACTTAGCACTTGTGATCCGGCTCGCCTCAAGCTGGCTACCATACCGAACATCCTCAACCATACTGGCCTCCTCCGGTACGCCGATGAGGAGATTTATCCTTCCGCAAAGGCGGCGATGGAGGCCGGCTCAAAATGGGTGATCGGCGAGTTCAACTCGATCTCATGCTCTGGAAACCCCAACGTCTCAGACACGTTCGCGCAGGCACTGTGGGTCGTCGACATGGAGCTCATCTACGCCGCGCGCAACGCGTCCTCGGTGCACCTCCACCAGGGTGCCACGCTGGTCTTCCAGAGCAACGACCAGTCCAACAGCGCCGGCGAGAACGGAACCCCCGGCTTCTCGACCTACAGCTTCGTCTACCCGCGCAACAGCTCCAAGCGTGGGGAACCCCGGGCCCTTCCCAGCTTTGTCAGCCTGCTTTTTATCACGGAGGCTCTGGGCGACGGCGCTCAGGTTGCGGCCCTCGAGACGCCTGCCGGTCTCAACAAGGACCATTTCTCATCCTATGCCTTTTACAGGGATGGTGCCCTGAACAAGATTGCACTGGTCAACATGAAGCCGTTTTACAAGAACTCGACTGAGGACTTTGCTGTAACCGTCGACCTGTCGCAGTACACACAGGATCTAGAGTTCCCGGCCCAGCTCAAGCGTATGACCGCTCCGCATGTTGATGAGGGGAAGACGGAAGTGACCACTTGGGCGGGGCAGTCTTTCAAGAACGGTGATGCGACTGGGGAGCTTGATATCGAGGAGATTGGTTCCGACGGGTTAGTAAGGGTGAGAGGAAGCGAGGCTGTTCTCGTCTTCCTTGACAGCAGCTCCGTGTACTCCTCATAGAAATTCGACTGTGATCGGGTTTGGATATCATAAATTCAATGAAGCTTTGAAGGCTGGTGTCTCCAGCACAGATACCTTCACAAGTGTGTTTGGCGCCGTAGTAGTAGTAGTATACATTTGGGCACTGCTCAACATGAGCCAGGGTTGCCCAGGTGTCTGCGACGAGGTGTTGTAACAGCTAAATTTTACCCCGAGTGTTATTGTAGCAAGTGCCTGTTTGCCTCGCAGCTGCAAGTTGGTGTGTTTGTAAACATTCACTTGAAATTCCCCCTGGCCACGGCAATCATCGACTATGATGCAGGAATGTATTCTCAGGGTCCCATCATCTGATAGTTTCCACGTGCTTCAATGTTGGCACCTGTGCAGTCTTGAATTTACTGTAGATGAATTTGTAAGTCTGTCAGCTATTGAGGACTAGGTCAATGACAGGAAGAAATGTACATATCACTACTTCTCAAAATGTAATTAAGCCACCAGGGTCCTAGAGGGACAATGCATCCTCCTCCCACTTGACCAGTTTTGACAATGCCCCTCGATCTCGTCTCTCATGTTGCAACAAAGAACTCAGCAGCTTTGTAAGTCCGAAGTCAGGGCCACACCATGAATCATGTCTTGAAGCGTCTGTGCAACCTAATGACAAGCCAAGACTCCTCCACCTATCTCAACTCTCAAGAGGGATACCTTCATTCTATAGGAAAGATTCTATACATAAAAGCTTGACTCATAGCACTTGAGGGGAAGATAACTGGTGTAGTTCATATTCTACTTATGAGGACCCTGTGTATGTCTTCGGACTTATACGGATTAAACAAAATCAGCTATGTGCATCAACGAGGTTGGTCGAAGCCTATGACGGGGCCGGAACTATGCCCGCACGTCCCAGTCGATGATGCTGGTGATCATTCCAGTCAGGGGACAAGACACAATGTTGCCGAGATGCAACTTCTTGTGTGCCCGATGAAATGACCTGGCATCGAGGTTGCTGCTCTTGACCTTCTGAGGATCACGCCGGAGAAGACACAGAAGCTCCTTGAGCCGGAGAACCGGGTCACGACAACAGCGCATCATAAAGTGTCCTATAACAGCAGTAATAACCATTCCCACCTAATGGGCACACCTATGTGTATAGATATCATACGGACCGTCAACAGTAAGTAAAGTGGTATCTGTGACGGTACGGGTTAATAAGTGATAGATTCCAAGTTGGGGCAACTTGGAATTGTGGTCTTTTGGCCGGGGGGTCTGTGGCGTACCACTCCACGGGTCCGTCTCAGTATCCCCAAGCCCCTGGTGCTTGGTAATGTCTCAGGCCTGCTATGATGGCTTGTTAGCGACCTTCCCATGTTGGATTTCATAATTACTATCCTCAAGGATACCATATGAAGGCGCCATTCATGTCCTCAGACATATACGGAATAGAAGCGAAACCACTTAGTTGATACATACGAACTTCTAAGACTTCTTGTTCACCAGAATATGGAAGCATAGGAGGGAAGAGTCTGCCGGCTGCCCTGGTGAACTTAGAGATAGAGTAAATTACATAAAAGGATCATCTCTGTAATCAAATATCAACAGGTCTTGAGAACCGTCTGAGTTACCGGCAATGTAACTCAAGCGGCTTGCACAGCCTGTAGCGGGCCTTCAGGCAGCTGGCTGGCTGCTAGATTGCATTGGCGGAATAGCCTGACCTCGTGTTCAGCAAATGCCCCAACAACAGAGTGTAGGAGTCCTCGGTTGTGGAAAAGGACGAAGTCCCCAGCCTCCCAGTCATGCGCGTACACCTTGTTTGGCGCGATGCCTGGCCTCTGCAGACGATATACTATTTCTCTCACCTGCTCCAGGTCATCGACCACAGTCCCATCCTTCAGGTGCAGCCTCCTGACGGCAGAAGGATGCACCTGCAGAGCCAAGTCCCCGGTGACTGGGTTACGCCAGCACATTGGCAGGATCTGGATCTTGTCCTGCTCGATCTCAGGGAGTTGATCCAGGGGCAGCTCCTTGTCCTCGCTGACCAGGCCGAGCCCGGTGGGTCTCGACTTGGCACTGCTCATCCAAATGTAGGGGTGGGCAGCGTATTCGACCTTGGTGGTGCGCGCAAACTCCTGGTCCTCGGAAGACAGCTGGTCGAACATGTCGTAACCGCTGACGAACGCAGTCGTGCCTAGCGGAACATGCAGCTCGTCGCCCGTCCCGTCGTCGTACCGGCAGATTTGTCGGCGGCCGCCCGGCACCTTGACGGCAAGGAGGGTGGTGACAATAGGGGGGGCAAAATCATAAAGTGATGCGTCTATATGCCACCTGTAATAGCGCGTGTAGTCTCGGTCGTCCTCGGGCGGGATCGAGGTTGCATGGAAGGTCTTGTGGTGGGGGTGACGCAAAGTGAAGTCCTTGAGACCCTCATACTCAGACACGAAGCCATTTCCGATGACCTGTACTTGCGGTTGGGAAGGGATGGTCTTGAGGTCAGGGTGCAGGATAGATCGCTTGGCGTCGAGGGTTTTGCCATGACCGTACGAGGTGGCCGTGGGGTCGAAGCGCCGGGTGATCTCAAACTGAGCCTTGGGGCTGACGTGGCCCTGATTCTTGAAGACGAGGACTTGGTGGTTGAAGAGGGCATCACGGATGACAGCAAAGTCGGCATCTGCACCCCATCGTCAGCCAAAGCTCGAGGAGGCGTGTGTGACAGGGATACTCACCGACGAGGTTACCGATTAGCCCTGGTGCAGGCATTACGGGTATGATTCTCGTTGTGCAGATAACAAATACAGATACCGGTACGTGTCACGCGGTTCTCGCACTCATAATGACATCAAATCTTACCCGTCATGTTTTCAATATCGACATTTGAGACGACGGCACCCAGACGAGGTCTGGTGGCGTGTGGTCGCTCTGAGAAGTCCAGGGGATGAACAGTGATGCGAGACATGGCCTGCTTGTCTTTGCTGTGTCAAACACGGCACGTTTGGGGAATTGTTTCGGGAGACGTCAGAGGCGCAAATAGGAAGCGGCCAGTCTTGTGTGAGAATGAGCGTGTGTATTTGCTTGAATGTGGTGGTCAAGTGGTGCAAGAGGAAAAGGTTGAAGAATTGGGCAGTGGACGGACGCCGCCTCTTTATACGGACGGGCCCATCAATGCTTGCGTCGGGGCCGGCCGCTTGGGAGACGGCGGTGGCAGCCGGTGACAACCGTTCCGGCAGCGCTTCCGTTGCTGATCAGAGATAAGTGTGATACAGAGACGGGACAAGATAGACAACATAGAATTACCTGACACTTTCATGAATTATTCGAGGAGGTGTGTGCTGCAGACAGCTGGCAACCAAGAATGGAGCTGTACGGAGCAGCATGTCAACAGCAAACCACTTACGGAGGGAGTGCCTAAGTACCTTGGTACCTTGGTACCTACCTAGGTACTTAGTTACTGACGGCCTGCAATGGGTCTGCGCCCATTGAGCTCTCTCTATCTCTCTCGCTCTCGCCCCCTCCCCGAAGTTAACCTGAACTCCGTATTAAGCAGCCGTTGTAAGAAAGGCAAAATCACACATCTATCTACCTAGGTATCAATCTGGCTGTAACACATCATGGCCCTCACTCCCGTCGCCCAGGTCATCACGCCCAATGACCACGACCAGCAGCCCCGCTACCCCACTCGGTCCATCTTCCTCGCCGGGCCTACAGACTTCAACTGGCGGCAAGGCTTCATCACCGCCCTCAAGCAGCGCCTCACCGCCGTCAACATCACCATCTTCGACCCCTTCCAGCCAAGGTGGGACGCCACCTGGAAAGAGGACGTCGACACGGACCCGCGCTTCGCCGCCCAGGTCGACTGGGAGCTCTCCCGTCAGGAAGGGGCCACTACTGTCGCCGTCTTCTTCCACGCCGACAGCCAGGCCCCCATCAGCCTGCTCGAGCTGGGGCTATGCGCCCGCTCCGGCAAGGCCGTGGTGGGGTGTGAGCCGGGGTACTGGAAGAGGGGCAACGTGCAGGCCGTCTGCCGCCGTTACGGGGTCCCGCTGGCCGACAGCCTGGACGGCCTCGCGCATCTGGCGGCGGCAAAATTGGCTAGGAGCAAGGCTTGAGACTCTGTTTTCATCTCATCATTACTTTCTGGAGCTTGCTTGCAGCCAGCTTTGTGCAATTGTTCACAACAAGGAGCAATGCTATAAGGGACAAGGTATAGCCTTTTTTCCCCCACTGGCCTGGCCTGGCCTGGCATGGCATGTTCTATTCCTCTGAACGCCCAGCCCGCGCCCTTGGTCTCGCAAGATTTTAGTCCGGATCTATCATCAGTATACACGGCCGTGAGATGGCATTGCTGCTACCTCTGTACTCCCTGCCCAGCCTAGCTGAAGCCATCGTCGGCCTCATTCCTCACAGCCTCGCTATTGTCCGCCAGCGGAGCTGTCTCCAGAACGGCACCGGCACCGGGAGGACTTGCAAGGCTCAGCCGCCTCGACATGCGCTTGTTCTTGTTCAAACGCTCCGGCTCCTCCTCCTCTAGCAGCTCAATCTCATCTGCCTCTTGGGCGGGGGCGTCCTCTAGCCCGTCTAGCGCCAGTCCTTCTTTCAACTTCAGGTGGAGTTGCGCCATGTGTTCGCTCGCCAGTGCCCACCCGCCGATCCCATCCTCACTCTCCAGCTGGCTGTACATGTTCCTTGCCTCGTTGAGACACCGTTGAGCAGGTATGAATTTGGCCTGGTTGATCCACGCCTCGGCACCGAGCACACTCCAGAATGCAGACTTCCTCCGCCAGCTGCCCCATGCCCTGGAGCCCACTCCCTGCTTCGTGGCACAGCACACAGCCATGCGCTCCTTGAACAGCGCATCGCCGATCTGCCCCGTGATGCGGCTCTCCATTATGCGCGTACCCCACTTGACTGCCTCGTCCACCGCAGAGCCGCCACGCATGCGCAGGAGCTCCAGGCCCAGCGCCATGGATCGCAGTGTGCCGTATGGTGAGCTGCACCGCGTGTTATATGAATAAGAGGCCTGATCGAGCATCGAAACGACGTTGTCCAGCCGCGTCTTGGACGACATGTTCTGCGGCATGATCAATAGCGCGACGGCCGTCATCTCGTTAGCCGCGGCGTGATACTTCCACGCCTTGTCGTTGCTAAAGTCGGACCGCAGCAGCTCGTACGTCGACATGGAGAGCTTCCAGTCCCTCAGCATAAAGGCGTAATCGGCCAGTTTCCGCATTATAGCCTCAGGCGTGTCTGGCCTATAGTAACCCGATGCCTCGTAGTTGCTTGAGGACGAGCTTCCCGTGGAGTTCCTTGACCCGCTGGCGAAGCCTGTCCACCTCTTCGACAGCGTCATAAACCTCCCACTGATGCCTTTGCGTTTTGAAGCAACCTGGTCGTTCCAGACGGAGATGTTGCGCTCCATGGTCGGTATTACAGACTGTGTTACCATTTCACGGATGAAAGTCCTTATCGCAGTCGCGTCAGACTCATAGATGTACCTTGTTAGATCTGCAGGCCCGCCCTGGACCTCGCTCCTCTCTATGTCAGCGAGCTCTTCCTGGGCTGACATCCATTCGCTACGGGGCAGGGGTATGCTGTCGTCGTCCGTCTCGACGCTCTGACTGCTCCGTATCCTGAGCAGGTGGCAGTGCAGGCCCAGGTTCCTTTTCATCTGGTCGAACAGAGCCATGGTCTTGGTGATATCGCTGTTCTCCTCATCGTGCACAAGTACGTAGTAGCGCAGGTATTCACCGTCCACCCAAGGCGGTAATCTCCTGTCACCATTTGTAGATTCGTGGTAGAGCCTCCGGAACGTCTCGATCGGGGCAGGTTCTCGTGAGCTCGCTGCGATGACGCAAGCCACCGGGTGTGCCCAAGACTCGTGGGCAGATAAGGGTATGCCAGAAAGCAGACGCCTGAGATACAGTGCATAGTAGGGGGAGGTCGCATCCATATCCAGGCCATGAGTCGTTGGCGTGCTGGGCTGAATGAGGTTCGAGAAAGACTGCTCCGCATAGTTCAGATGCCTGCTCACGACGTCCTCGACATCGGCGACCCGTCTCCCCGAAGACGCCGGGTTTGTGGCCTGGCCGTTGGGGGCCTTCAGTAGCCCGTCTGGTGGCTCGACATTCTCCCCAAAGCGAGTGAAGCGGACCGAAAAGTCATCCCATGACCTGCTCGACCCGTTGCTGTCTCTGACGGTGACCTTACCCGGCACGCGCTCGCCGAATGGCCGGAGGAGCTCCCAAAGACCACGGTCGAAACCCTTCTCCCTGGCGAGGCCGTCCGTATCAGGCGACGCGTATATGGAGATGTGGGGGACGAGTGCCTTGAGCAATAGGTTCAGCGGATTACCGGGCTCTGCAGCAGCGTCGGTATCGAGAAGGGAGTGAGTCAGGGTCACGGAGCCAGATCTCGCCCTGGAGAAGGGTCGGGCGGGGGATCCTCTGCCGACGGGGGACATGGACCTGGAGCCCGGTGGTGTGAGGGTCGAGGCGTACAGGCTGGCAGCTGAGGGATGGGATCGTCGCTGAGGGGGGCCGGCTTCAGACTGGGAGAGAGACATGCTGTCGAGGGTGCCCTGCCTCTTGGGCAGCCTTATGGAGGATGCGGCCGTGGGCGGGGAGCTGATGGGTTCGGGACCATGTTCATTGTCCTGCATGAAGGCAACGGCGGGGCTCTCGAAGGGCCGAGAAGGTCGGTGTGAGCAGAGGAGATGGCTCTGCGTCCCTGGCCAGCCTGCACGGCGTAGGGCGAGGCTGCAGCAGGCTTGAGCGCGGGCTCGGGATCGGGCTTCGCGGTGGGCTGCTGAGCTGGGCTGGGCGGACGGCGGATCGCGGACGTCGATGATTCCCCTAAGGGCGGGGCGAGCGGGCGGCACAGGGCGACAATGGGTGAGTGTACTGCACCTGCCTGGCTTGGAGCAGGCTCATGAATATTTCGTGGGTCTAGGGGCTCGATGGCCTGCTGGAATCAGACTCAGATGCAGTGCACGTTGGAGGAAGCGAGCACCGGGAGTTGCGGCAGAACTGGAGCTGATGCCGCCGTTCACATTCCACCCACAGTAGATCCATCGACCTGGGCATCTGGGCATGGAGTACCTGGCTGTAAATTCCTACACCCCCCCCCTTCCCCAAGCTCACACCCCGAGACCCCCAAAGAGATACCTAGGTACTAGATACCCAGATAGGTAAGCCCCTGCCCCGGGTCACGGTGGGGCCCGTCTTATCACCTAAGTACCTAGGTACTCCGTACCTACCTACCTACCTGCACCCTCTTACATCATCCCAAGCCCAGCACATGTTGCTTTCGCCTAGGTCCAGCAGGATATACAGTACCTCAAAAGTGCACGCGATATTGAATTTCAGCAGCTCATAGGAACCGCAGTCCTGATCTGATGTACTAAAAAAAACACCCGGAGGAGCTCCAGGACCCGGCAGTCCAGAGTCTTTCAGTAGGTACCGCTTACCCAAGCCCGCCTGGGGCGAGTCCAGAGCCATGGATGCCTCATTCGGCGACGCCAGACCAGACTCTATACCCGTCACCAGCCCAACCGGAGCTGTTGCGACCGGATCCGGTTCGGGGACTGGGAACGGCAGCCCCCCAACTGCCTCTGTGCTAGAGCCACCGGTTGAGGCTGGGGACCAGGCTCTGTTCCCTCAGTTGCGCAATGATCCTGATGAAGAGTCGGCGCCTGTGCCCCCAAAGTCGGCCTCCCAGGTTGCACCGGCAGAGGACGTCGACGATGGAGACGACCACACAATTGCAAAACCATTCCATCGTACCTCAAGCCCGGACCCGGCAAGTCGAGGTGGCGCCGGAACCGCATCCGAAGAGGAGTATGACGATGGCACGGCCGGCCCAGAAGACGTCGGCGAGGATGGCCGCCCGAGGAGGAGATTGGTGCACAAGATGCACAAATTCAGTTTGTACGAGACGGCGAGCAGGTACTACATCGTCGGCGGGGACGTCACTGAGAAGCGGTACCGCATCTTGAAAATAGACAGGACGGTTGACGATAGTGACCTCAGCATCACCGATGACAAGATCGTCTACTCTCAGAAGCAGATGAACCAGCTGCTTGACACAATCGACGATGGGAACAAGGGCACCGGCGGCATCAGGCTCAAGTGCACCACCTGGGGCCTGCTGGGCTTCATCAAGTTCACGGGGCCCTACTACATGCTGTTGATAACCAAGCGGAGCATCGTGGCCATGGTCGGCGGCCATTACATCTACCAGATCGAGGGAACAGAGCTCATCCCCCTCACGCCAGCCAGGTACAAGACTGACCAGCGGAATGCGGAGGAGTCCCGATTCCTTTCCATTCTGAACAACCTCGATCTCGCGAGGTCCTTTTACTACAGCTACTCCTACGACGTCACGCGGACACTACAAGAGAACATAAGCAAGGAGCGAAACGCCCTCAACAACGGGCTGCCTTGTTTCGTCGACGATAATCACAACACCATGTTCGTCTGGAACAGCCATCTTCTCAGTCCCGCCGTGGATGCTTTGAAAGACCCTTTTGATTGGTGCCGCCCCATCATCCATGGCTACGTAGACCAGGCCTCTGTATCCATCTACGGCCGGACCGCCTTTATCACCATAATCGCCAGGCGATCTCGCTACTTTGCAGGCGCTCGTTTCCTGAAGCGAGGCGCCAATGATCTCGGCTACGTGGCCAACGATGTTGAAACAGAACAGATCGTCTCAGAGGCCTTGACCACTTCCTTCCATGCCCCTGGTGGCAAGCTTTTCGCCAGTCCTGAATACACTTCCTACGTGCAACACCGAGGGTCCATCCCGCTGTACTGGACCCAGGACAACACTGGTGTCACGCCGAAACCGCCAATTGAGCTGAATCTCGTCGATCCCTTCTACAGCGCCGCAGCATTGCACTTCGACAACCTGTTCGAACGTTATGGCTCTCCCATATACGTTCTCAACCTGGTCAAGGCAAAAGAGCGGACTCCACGCGAGTCAAAGTTGCTAGAAGAGTACCGCAAGGCAATCACATACCTCAATCAGTTCCTACCTGAAAAGCACAAGATTATCCAACGCCACTGGGACATGTCCCGTGCCGCCAAGGCCCGAGACCAGGACGTGATTCAGACCCTGGAGAATATCGCAGAAGAAGTCGTCTTGACGACTGGCTTCTTCCAAAATGGTGATGGGGTCATCAATGCGACGCGAGTGCAGAATGGCGTGGCTAGAACAAACTGCATCGACTGCTTAGACCGCACGAACGCCGCGCAATTTGTGATCGGCAAACGAGCTCTTGGCCACCAGCTCCATGCCCTGGGCATCTTGGGCGACACTGCTATAGAATATGACACTGACGCCGTCAATCTTTTTACACACATGTACCATGACCACGGCGACACAATTGCGGTGCAATATGGCGGTTCGCAGCTCGTCAACACCATGGAAACATACCGCAAAATCAACCAGTGGACGAGCCACTCACGGGATATGATCGAGAGCTTCAAGAGGTACTACAACAACTCCTTTATGGATGGACAGCGGCAAGAGGCGTACAATTTGTTTCTGGGCAACTACATCTTCGCGCAAGGGCAGCCTATGCTGTGGGACTTGGCCACGGACTACTATCTGCACCATGCTAGTCCGAGGACTTGGTCAGTGACGAGCAAGAGGAGCTACATCCAGTGGTTTACCGCCGAACATCTGAAGGAGCGCTCGCTCCCCGACTATCACCCGCCAAAGGGTTCCGAAGCCAACCTGCCAGTTTCCTATTTCGACGATTACTGGCTGGAGTACTATCGCCCTTTGACTTTGTCGTCGTTTCAGAAGATGTTCCCTTACAAGATGAATTCGACTATCAAGTATATCCCATTCAAGTCGACGCAGGACGGTCGTTATGACCTGAGCCCTTTCCGCGTCCGCACTGATGCAGATGGAGACTCACATGACAAGAGGCGACACAAGAAAGGCGTCACCATCCTAGACCCTCACGAGATTGCCAAGGCCGACGGCGACGATGATGCAGCCTCCATCATGTCTGGGAAGGGAGACGGCCCGAACAAAGGCGGTATATCACTCCAGAGATGGCTACAACCTGTGGCTCATGACAAGGCAATTTATAATGGCAGCCCTCACAGCATTATGAAGGAGCCCTCGACTCCTATTGTCAATGGAAATGTCCAGCAGCCAATAGACCCTAACCAGCCGAAAACGAAGCCCACACCACTGGAGAAGTCGCGGCAGGCTCAATGGACATTCACCAAAGTCGTGCATGAATCTCTCAACCCCTCCGTCAGCAACCAGGAAGCAGAGGACTACGATCGCTACATCAGCCACCCACAGAACCTTCCCCTCGTCGTCTCAGCTGACACACCAGCCGAGGCAGTGGAAGGTGAGTATCAGGAGTATCTCAACGGGGCATGGCAGAGTGACGGCCTTCTCCTCGTTCCTCCGGGTTCCTCGTCAGGCGCCCCAGGCACGAGCAATGCGGAGGACTACTACCACATGTACTCTGAACTCCTCAAGGTCGGGGAAGACCCTCTTACTGTGAAAGAGGAGGACGCCCAGAAGAAGCGCTACAAGGCTTATGGAAAGTGGTTGCGCGGAAAGTCGCTGTTCAAGCAACAGCCTATCGACTAGAAGTGGGTTTCGTCGGACGAGGATTGCCAGGATTTGGGAGGAAGGGCGTGGGGGATCGATGAAGTGGTAATGAGGCATGTGTGAACCCGTCAGCCTTATTTTGTCCCGAAGCATTTTCCTAGAATCGACTACAGAAGATTGACCGAAAGAAACGGTGTCTGGCATCTCGGGCGCTGTCAAGTTTCAATGGGGTGCAAAACAGGCGCACGACTATGCGAGAAAGAAGGGAGCGGACAGCCGGCGTCCCGGGTTTTGCCGTATGGGTTCCTTTTGCAAGCAAGCCGCCTGCCTAAGTACTTACTTTAGCATTGGCTTTATCTACCATGAGTCTTTTCCAGATCCTTGGCCGTAGCGAGAGAGAATTTGCACACCGAGAACTGGCACTGTGTTGGTGTTGGGGACTGGCAAGATCGGAAATGTTCGTAAACATAAAGTCAGTGAGGTTCATCCAGGCCTAGCCAAAGGCCTAGTCAAAGTAGCGTGGTGGAATTGATGACGAAGATCTTCCGATTCATTTAAAAAGTCGAGCAACCAGCGGCTCTTTCGAAACCAATAGCGCCGCCTTGTCCGCCAGGTCCTCTACGACCCCATCTCCGGTGCCCTTTGCAGCGATCGTAAGCATAGAAGCAGTCTTGATGAGCTCGGCATCTAGTTGTGCGAAGCGCTCGCCCAATTGATCCCGCTCGTCGTGCACCGTCATGTAGCAGATGACAAGCGCCTTGATGAGCTCGTCCTGGTAGGCCGGGGTGGATAGTCGCGGCCAGCAGTTGGCGATGACAGCCTGCAGGCCCTGAATCGCTGCAGACAAGGTGGCGGGGGCGAGGTAGGCGAAGGGATTTGACAGCACCTCGCTGTGCATTGGAACAAGGTCCTGGCCACTCAATTAGCGTCCCGTCCATGTTGGCATTTGGAAGGGCGACGGGGCTGCCATGACTCTACTGACCTTGAGGTGCTTTACGGAGTAGATCTGCATCTCATGCAGTATCTTGGCCGTCTGTATCAACAGAACTTCCACAATTCTAACATGTTCCTTGACGTGGAAGTATGCCGAAAACACGCCGTCGCGCAGTAGCTTGTCAAGCAGTTTGCCCTTCGGAGAAGCACTGTGTGGTTCCACCTTTCCGGTCTTGGACTCCGTCTTCCTCGCCAGGCTCAACAGGGCTGTGTATGCCGCTTCCAGTAAGAGAACGGAATCCTCCTCTGGGGTGATACTCGGCAGAAAGTGCAGCGTAGGGAACACTGCGTCTCCAAAAACACTGGCCAGACCTGTATCGCGCAGTATGTTTGACGGAAACTTCTCCAGGAAAACGTTCAAGATGAGAAGACCGCGCCTTCGAATTCTTGTTGTTCCATCATCTAGGAGGGCTAGGAGGACGGGAATGAAAAGGGGCCACTGTTTGCTCAAGATGTCCAACTATGACAACCCTGTTAGCTGGCAGAAACGACCAAAGGGGAAAGATGTCCAGGCTCGTAGCCAAACCCACTTCTGCAGTCAAAACCACCCAGTGAAATACTGCGAGTGCTCTGTGGTCCTCGTATTTCCAGGGCTTCACCTCTCTCGTGTCATCTGCTAGACCGCGGTGGGGGTCTTCCTCTTGGGAGAACTCTGCTTTCCTCCCTGAAGCCGTGACAGCCTTTGGCCGTGACTTGGAGAAGGCAGGGCGAAGGTATTCCTTCAATATGGTTTGGACCAGATCAGGCTGGTTCCATTTGTGCAGAAGCTGTTGGGACAAGAGATCTCGTGCGACCTCGCACGTCTCCTGCGCCGTCCACGGGTCTGTCACACCGGGCGCCGTGAACGAGATGACAGTGAGAAGCGTATCCACGCTGAAGGTAATGGAGTAGTCACTGTGCAAGATGCGTAGAATACTGAGTCCATAGGGTGCTAGGTCACGGCTTCGGTGGGCAACTTGCTCGTACTCCGGGCAGTGGTCGTCTGTAGTCTGGTGAGGAGCATGTCCAAAAGCGTCACATGGGGAATTGCCGACTGTACCTGAGACTTGTCCAGTCCCAGCACCTGGACATGGTGAGACCGTGCGGCCAATGTATTCGCAAAGCTGCTGTGCTGAGGCGGTGTGCTCTGGCTTCTGCGGCGTGCTGTGCGCGTGCTTCAGAAAGGCGAGAGCCGCCACGAGGCCTGTCCGCACATCCTGGAGTGGCTCGGATTAGCCGCAGTCACGCAGTCGGGTCTGCATTCGTCCTTTCACTTGCCGTCTGTTTCAAGCCCAGTATGTCCTCTGTGATCCGTACCAACGTGAGATGACCCGGCAGCGCTACCGGTAATGGGACGAGACGTTAGTCGGGACGGCCACGTTTAGAGTGCATGGAATGATCGGTTGGGCGGACGAACAAGCACCTATTGACCGCCACTCATCATCGGCTGCCAGTGGGGGAATCTTGTGCAAGCTGTCGATGGCGGCAATAGCACTGGCGAGGGCCGACATGCTTGGGAACGTCTGCCCGCAAAACAGGCGTTGCGTTTCACCTCCTCAATAACGGCTTGCAGAAAGCGAACGCATCAAGCCGTAGGTGGTGACTCTCCGTAGTGCCAGGGGTTGGCGGCTGTCACACTTGCTTTGGGGTGGCAAAACTGGGGCCTCAGGTGCTCATTGGCAGCAGGTCTGGCGGACCACCGCCCGCAAACTTGGGCTCTCAGCCCTAAGAGCCCGACCACCCCTCCCCCCCAAAGAGCCTACCACAGCATCGGACACAATTGCGTGGGGCAACTCCAGACACGTCCGAACAAAAGTTCACAGCTATGGCACGAGGATTCAAACCACAGGGTCTGAGGGTATCTCAATTTTGACGAGTCTAAAGGATATCGGCTTGGTGCTTGTCCCATCCGTGCGCCTGCAAATGTCGCCCATCATTTGGGTGAGACTAGATGGGGATGCCCAGCTCCTCCTTGCGCCTTCGCACTTCCTCGATCGCCTCGGATGGATCCGCCTGCTCGGGGTTCCTGAGCTGCCAGGCCATGCAAATATCTAACGCAGATGCCATCCATCTGCCCGGCTTCTTGATGTCGAGGGTTTGCAAGAGCCTGCGGCCGTCAACAAGCGGCTTGATCGATGGGGCATCCATGAGGTTCAACGTGTCGAGATGGTCGATGAACCTCTTCCACCCTCCTTCCACGATCCCCGACGTGGAGCCCTTGTGCGCGTTATCCGCCGCCTGTACCATCAGATCGTAGAGAACGGCAAAGAGGACCTGAAGTCGCCAGTGCGTCCCCTTTGCCTCCCAGCGTCTTATGGCCATACCCAGCGTGTCTCGCCCAACTCCGGGCGCATCGTCACCGGAAACCTTGCTCTTGAGCTCGCATATCTCCTCACGGTGGCAGACCGCCGCCGTGATCAGATCCGACATCCTCGTAGGCGCCTTGATACCCTCACGTGCCGCCACAGTTGCAACCGGGGGCTTTTTCTTCGGATTAGCCGAGATGGAGCACGGGAGCCTGGCAAAGGGGGCGACGCAAGCTAGAACCCAGGCGTAGTATCTTGCCTCGTCTGATGTCACCAACACCTTGTACACCGAGTCAATATTTGACGGCGAATCATGCAGGAACTCATAGGCGGCGCTCCAGCCGTGCAGGCTTGGCTGAGGCGTGTCGAGGTTCACCGGGTCAGTGAAAATGGTGTGGTACAGGCCAAGCTCTTCGATCAGGCGCACAGCATCGCGAGGGTGCTCTCCTAGGCGTTGGTGCAACGTTAGCCGGAAGACAGACGTACAGGCCATCCGAGTTGGTAATGGCGGCTGACATAACAGGGGGGCTTGCCTTTCAACATCTTCTCGACCTCTGTTCCTACCCTCTCGCGGCTGATCTTGGCGCGCAGAGCCTGGAGAACCCGGGGATTGCCCATGAACTCCCTGGTGGAAGGGGCGATACTAAAACGGAGCCGACTCGCAAACCGGACGAGTCTGAGCACCCGGAGTGGGTCATCCATGAAGGTTTGAAACGGGTCCATGGGGGTTCTGATGATACCTGCCTCCATATCGGGCAGGCCGCCAACGAAGTCCTCGACCTCACCGGTGTGGATGTTGTAGAAGAGCGCATTCACGGTGGCATCCCGGCGCAGCGCATCCTCCTCAGCTGTGCCGAACTCGACCTGTGGGTTCCGGCTATCTGCAGTGTACTTCTCCGTCCGCAGGTTGACAAAGTCCACGTCCAGCCCAAACAGCTTCACGGTTGTCGTTTCCAACTGCTTGGACTTCTCTGGGTTTTTGGCAATCTTGTGCAGGCGGCCAATGTCCTCGGGCTGGAGGTTATGCCTTGCCACATTCTCCGGGTACTGACAGAAGCGCCGGAGCTCGTTGCCAAAGACCTCGCCCGTCATGCTGTTGATGGCGACATCAATATCGTGGCTTGGTCTGCCGAGAAGCTTGTCGCGGACCCAACCGCCGGCCCATCTTAGGATGACTTGACCGCCGTGCTCCTTGGCCTGAGTCTTGTCAATGTGGGCTGCCACATCGAGCAGGAGGGACTTGAGCTGCTTCTCCAGGGGGTCCAGCTGCAGTGTTGTCATCATTCTGGCGGCGTCAGGGCTGAGCTTTCTCTTCATCTGGGGCCGCAGCGGAGACGGAATCCTCGGGCTCAGGGCTGCGCTGCGAAGGCTTGGTCGAAACATAGGTCATCAGTTTACGAGGCCCATGAGGTCGAGGACCACGAATGACTCATTCGGACAAGAGCGCTGTGCCGCGTGCCGCGTGCCCAAACAGATCTCAGGCCCCGTGCTTCCTCTTCCTCCGTGGAGCCGAGTCACTCCAGCGCTCCTGGCCAACTGCAGGCGTCTTTGGGGGAGGGGGGCCCGTACAGGGAAAGTACAGGACAAGTACAGCAGGAGTGATAGCGGGATTGAGGTGAGTACGGAGCAGGTGCGAGAGGGCCTGATGCTCATAGGAGGTGCTTGCTCGTGTGAGGATGCTCGACCGCAGTGCTACCTGGGGTTGCAGACGAATCAGAGCTTCCACATTAGTGGGCCCACCCCGGCTGAACTTGAGGCTCAAAACATGCTGGCTACCCTTGCTCCACTTTACCCACCTCACTTCACAAGACATCACCAGCACCCCACCACTGCTCGTCCGATGTCCCCCCGGGCCCCAAAAAGGCACTGCGTTTCGGCACGTCTCATCAACGGTACCACCAAACGGCCCTCACACCGCCTTGCGATTGGGCCATCGGCCTGCCCTGGGAGTCAATCTGATAATGTGACACGGTTGACATCGTGGCTATGGCACCTAATCTCATCATGTCGACGCCTCCGGCAAGCCGACCCCTCGCCGTCCCGTTGTCAGGACATATAGGATAGCGGGTATCAAGGGCGATTCCAAATCCATCAAACCGCCCGCCCATTCATCGGACTATTCATCGAGGCGTCATGGCCGACGGTGGTGGCACTGCGGCTTCCTTGTCGATTTACGGCTGAACTACTCATTGTCCGACTAAGGACGACTTTTGGCAGGTTGTAAATAGACAGATGCAGCAGGGGGGTTAGGCAGTAGGGCCTCAGCAAGTTGAGGCCATCACCAACCCGCTCTGCAGAATGACTCCTCTCGCGGCTGGGAGGTGAGGCTCCGGCGTTTATGATCCACGCCGGGGTCCTGGAGTGATGGCCCAACCGGTTCAAGCCCTAAACTCAAGCTTTGTCCTGTTCCTCGGCATTTGGCAGCCCAAGGGTGTCTGGCGTCTTAGTTCTCGGTTATTCATTCTCTACAGATCTCAGCCAAGACCTCCAGCCCCCTGGCCCCGTGAGGCCACCCGTGGGAAAACTCCCGGCCGGCCCTGGACTCAGGTTGTTTGAAACCTGCCAAGCGGAGAGGGGAGGCGGCGCCAGCTCCCGCCAAGAGACCCAGATGTTTCTTGAACCAAAGTCTGAGCGCCAGCCCTTCCCAATCCGTGCTACTACGTGACCCTCACCAGGGGGCCCTCATGCTCTATGGGGCGTCACCCCCGATGCTCCCTGCCACACAGGCCGGCTGCCAAGTTTCTCAACCGATGGTTGATACCGCCCTGGGCGGCATCCTGCGAGAACACCGCTCCCAGATTGTCGGAGCCAAGACGGATCTCCAGTTTCCACGCTGCAGTCTTCCATGTTGCCCTGCTGCCGGCGACGGTTGCGATAGGTCCCCTACGTTGCTGCCAAGAGAATGGCGAAGCTTGTGTGATCGCCGTGATCCTCAATTCGTTTGTGATCGACCATGGTGATGTTCATGACCCGTAACTCTGAAGAATCCCAGAAGCCTGACACGGGCATGGCCCGCCTGGAATACCACGGCGTCACCAACGCCGGTGCGCGATAGGCCCAGCACGGGCTACCATGACTCCATGGCGGTTCCTCCTTCCCTGCGATCAGCACTCGGGAGGCCAAGCAACACGCTAAGCTGTGATCAGCAGCAGCCACGCCCGGTGACAGCTTCTCGTCGACCGGGATGAGGCCCGGTCGGCGCTGGCCGTGACAGCCTGGTGGAATAGCCCCCTGAGCAGCATAGTGTGGCATCGCAACTTCGTCCTCCAACGAGTTCGCCCTTTGCCTTGGCAGTTTGGTCCGATAATCAATGAATTCTTCGAAACTACTCGCGGTATGGGTCTCCCAGAGGGCTTCTGAGAGCGAAGAAGCTTTGCGGACCAAGACTCCAAGGCACTACATGGACGCCAACCGGCTTCGCCCCAAGAATCTATATATTGGACGTCCTCCTCGCCCTCAGCCATCTCAATCTGCCTCATCATCATCAGCTCAAGCACAATCAGCCCAGTCATCTCCGGATCATCCAGCCTCTTTCACCTCTTTTTTTAGTCTTCTAATTCCTCCATCCTGTTGACCAGGCAATTTCCGTGTTAAATCATTCATAATGAAGTCCGCAATCATCTACGCCCTCATCCCCCTCGTGGCTGGCCACGGTGCCATCATCAAGGCTACTGCCGTCGGCGGTGGCTCCGGCATGGCTCTCGGTATCGACCCCAACACCCCTCGTGACTCGACCCGAAGAGATCCCGGCCAGCAGGACTCCACCCGCTTTAAGGGTGATGCCGCTGACACCGTCGGTGAGACCCTCGGGGGCGGCAGCAACGACATCGACGCCGGTACCAAGGCCATCATGACCATGACCGGTGACATGCTGCCCCAGGTCGCCCCCGGTGGCGAGATCCAGATGACCGTCCACCAGGTCAACGGTGACGGTGCCGGCCCTTATACCTGCATGATCAACACCGACGCCACCGCCGCCCAGTGGACCGACATCCAGGTCACCCAGAACGTCCCCGGTGAGGCTGGCCGCAACAGGGTAAGTGACATACTGTACACACAAAGACACCGCAACCGGGATGCTAACATTGCCTCTCTCTGAAGGACGGTGCTACCACTGACTTCCCCCTCAACGCTGAGATCCCTGCTGGCACCGCCTGCACCGGTACCGTCGCCGGACAGGAGAACGTCTGCATGGTCCGTTGCCAGAACCCAGCTCGTGCTGGTCCCTTCGGAGGTGTTGTCCCGGTCCAGATGGCTGGTGCCAACACGACCGCCCCCAACACCCCCGCTGCCGCTCGCCGCAACCTGGCCATGGCCATGAAGCGCGACCTGCAGCTGCTGAAGAAGATGGTCAAGCGCGCCTCCACCCTGGAGGAAGACGCCGAGGAGCTCGACATCCCCGAGGACGACCTCGCCCAGCTCCGCGAGGACGGCGAGGAGATCTGAACAGTGGTCGCGAGCGACTCTGCGGATCTAGAGGGAAGGGACAGGCAGAAAAGTATATAAAAAAGAGCTGGAGACTGGTGCTGATGCTGATAATGCTGCAATGCCCCTGATGATCATTTTCTTTCTGTAACTAGCCAGATATCCAACTCAGGGACTTGACGTCCTAGTAATTTACATTCCTTTATCCAAAATCCTGTTCCCACTTGGTTTAGATGTGAGTACTTGGGTACACTTGGGTACTTGGGTAGTAAGTAGTAGACGGGCCGGTCCTTTGTCAGGGCCCTTGCAGCGACGGCGTCCCGGGTCTAGACCTTTGAGACGTCCGATGCGGAGCCGGGACGGGCGGCGCCCGTTTAGCAAAGGCCCGCTCGGGCGGGGCGGCGCACTTACGGACAGAGTCCAGATCGATTGGAGCCCTGGAGGCCTGGGGGCCTGGAGGCCGGTTCCTCGCTCCCACCTGGGGGAACTGGGAGGCAAGTAGGTTAGCTTCGATTTGCGAGACCTGTGACCGGGGCTGACGCGCATCATCTTTCAGCTCGTCATACTCTCAGCCTGCAGCATTGTCCCCTGAGAGCCTGGGCATGGGTCAGGTCACTCACAGGCGCATCGCACGGCAGCATCATGGCGTGCTGGCGTGCAGGCGTGCAGGCGTCTTGTTCTGGAGCATGGCTTGTCAATGGCCGCAGGGTCGTTGGGTGGACCGTAGATGGTGGAGGTTTGCGGACTACGCATCGATGATATGAAGCGTCGATCCGGGGCGGAAGGTTCAAGTGATCTAGCATGGCGCCGGCCGAGCGAACCAATCCAGGGGGGCCATGTCTGCCGATCCTACCCCGGTCCCGGCTCCTGACTGGCAGACTGGCAGACTGGCTTCGCATCGACAGAGATTGGGGGTGGTCAGGCGATTAGTTTTCAGATGAGCACTGCCTAGTTGCAATGCTGTTGTCGTCCCTCGTCCCCGCCGTGGCAGACTGGCAGACTGGGCAGGGCCGCCCATTGCCAAGCAGCCGCCTGCGGGCTTGGTGTGTGTAAGCTTTCTGGGAGGGTTGGCGACTGGCCTGAGTGGGTGAGGCCCGCCTTGCCCAGCTCGCTCGGCGGAGGAAGCTCTCCTCAGGCTCTGCACAGAACATCCACACACCCTTCCGTGTTCGCGCGCTACTGCAGCCACAGGGAGGCGATGCTACCAGGAGGCGGCCATCCTCGAGGCATCAGTCACGTCACCAACCACCTGGGCCCGCGGTAGGCATTGATTGTTTTATATGAGGCCCGCAGGAGAGGTGGTCGAAGATCGGGGCGGCAGCCGGTGACGTAATGGGCGAGGGGAGGGGGGGGCATGGGGCGCAGTGGCTCTTTCAATTGTGCCCAGGTACCTAGGTACCCAGACTCAGGTAGGCCCGTGGTAGGGCAGCTAATGCTGTGCAGGTCGCGCCGTCTCGCCCCCGTATATACCTGTGCCCCGTCCTCTGGTGACGATGCTGTCCGTATGGTCGAATCAACTGCCACGGCCCGGCTGGCCTGGCTGGCCTGGCCCGCCTAGGGGTGGTTAGTCTCTGTTCGCAGGCATGCAGGCATGATGTGCCAGTCTGGTGCGTCTTCTCCAGACAAACCGACAAACCACCACAGGCCAAGGGTCCTCCTGGGGCCGAGGCGAATCACAAGCTGGGACGGCCGGGCGGGCTGCGATAATTCGGCAGGGACGCGGACAAGAAACAGCCATGATACTCCCAAGAGCCCATGATCGCCCGTCTTGGCTCCTCGTTCCGATCTAGTAGCCCACCCAGGCAGTCAGGCTGCTGCGTGCTGGTGTCAACTCGTCGCTTCCGTGGCCGTGGCCGTGGCCGTGGGCAACCGCCCGCCCGCAAAGGAGGTGCTACCAAAGTGCTACCGACATGCTACGCAATGGGAGGGGGCAGGTGCTTGGCCGTCCATTGTGTCCTGTGTCTCTCCCTAGTCCTTCCTTGAAGCTTTTGTGCAATCAAGCCTAGCACCCGTCCATCCTGGGAAGCTGCTCGAGTACAAAGACACTGCCTCGCCCGCACGTCTCGACACACCTCGTCCTGCTGGCTCCTCTTTCAAACTCGTCCCAGTTCCTAGACCTCTCATCCAAACTCAGATCTCTAGTCTCCAGAAACCAATCCAGATCGACTCTCAAGTTCCTCCAGAGACGTTCAGAATCCACACTTGATATCATCACCTAAGAATTCCAAACATCATGACAGGTTGGTGCCCCCTCCCAAGCGCCCCAAGTCCGCGGTACACTTCCCCAGATTTCCCTACCCCACAGGCCACACGAAGAGCTATCGAGAGCTCCACCAGCCAGCATGGTCCAGATCTGTGCGCTAATACCCCGCAACCCACGCGCTCTAGACCAGAACCAGACAGCGACCCAGGAGGCCCCCGGCCTCGCGGGCCTGCAGAACCCCTTTGCCTCGTCCACTGCACCCGCCGGCGCAGACCCCGACGTCCTGTCGTCATCGCCCACCGACAGGCGGCAGAGCGCCGAGTGGGACGCGTCAAAGGTGCCGCCCAGCCGCTTCCAGCGCCGCAAGGGCTCCATCTACAGCACTCCCGCCTCCCGCGACGGCCACGTGGACAGGAATTACGCCGAAAAGTATCACGACAAGCTTGTCGAGAAGGGCTGGGCGCCGTCGGCCAAGAAATAGGGCCGCCGACGACTGTGAGGCGCAGCAGCACACTTCTCGTCAGCATTTGAGCTGAGCGCCTCGCGTGTGCATCATTTTGCTTGGGTTGGCGAATGCTAAGGGCGTTGTGTTGTGGCAATGGCAGGACGGGCTGGGCGGGTGGAGGGTTCCCATGAGTTGTTAATTCTTTAGGCACATCAGCCGAACTTTCTTGATACAGCCACGCTGTGCAGAGTGCAGGGTCTCGAAAGACTTGTCCGCGCCTAGTTGTGGCAAAGAGCTCCCATGTTGAAATCAATTCGAACCGTCCATTAGAGCCTGCTCGCATGCTTGTTGTGCTGTGCAAGCCTACCTGACTGGAAGTCCAGCACTTGTGGGGATCCCCACCGCTCTTGAGAGAGCAAGCGCCGTCCGTCTATAATGCCACATATCAATCATCCATATCGTCAATGTCAATCGCATCCGGGTTCGCGGCGACCCCCTGCGGCTCCGGTGCACCTCGCGGGTTGTCAGTGGCAGCCACGAACCCAACGGGCGCCTGAGCTTGCTTCTCCAATGCCGCCATGGCGTCCATAACCTCCTGATCCGCCTCGCCGTCGCCCTGCGCCTGGGCTTGGGCCTGGCGGGCAATGGCTTGAGAGGCGATGAAGTTGACGTCCGTGTTGTACTGCGCCTGGACACTACGCTTGATCCTCCGCATCTCCTTGTACGTGTCGTCGTTGCCGTGCTGCACCTCAAACTGCTCCCACTTGGTCCAGAATTCGGGGTTGGTGCGAGGGTCGCAAAATTGGGAGGCGTGACCATAGATTGCGCGAGCTCTGTCGATCTCGCCGAGCCGCTTCTCCATGTCTGCGAATTTCAGGCACATGTCGCGCGCCTCTTGGTCTGGAAGGGCCGCAATGGCGCGTTCGTAGATGGGTCTTGTCGAGGGCAGCCCAAAGTTGGATGCGGACTTGGTGATGTAGAAGTTGAACATGTCTGCACGGTCCTCGTCAGATACCGCTCGCGTTGCTCTTTCGTAAATCCGCATTGCATGGCGTGCCAGGCCCCTTTCCTCTTCCAGGTTGCCGTACATCAAATACAGCACCTTGGCGAATTTAGGCGGGCAGTCTTCGATGGCCTGCTCAAAGAGATCGCGCAGTCGTTCTATGCCAATCTGACGGTCCACGGCCTTGGTGAGATACAGGTTCCACAGTTCAAAGGCCACCGGGTAGCTGAAGAGGTCCAGACCGCGCTCGAAAATCTTGAATGACTCTTCGTAGTAGTTGTTCTCCTCCAAAAGGTTCGCGTAATTGACGACTGTCTGCGGCGTTGCGATTCGAAGCTCGAATATCCTCTCGTAGACCTTCTTCGTTTCTTCCAGAGAGCTGACGCTCTCCACCAAGTCAACGTAGAAACTCCACAATTTCCAGCTCTTGTGTACTCGCTGTTGCGGGGACAGCGTCTCGTCAAAGTAGTCGACGGTTGACCGTTTCGGCGCCTGTACTGCTTTCGCCATAATCTTGACAGCTTCATCGAAATTCTCGTTGCGAAGCTCCATCTCCGCCCACTCGATCCACATGTCGGCCAGCTCAGCCACGGACTTGAAAGGTACCTTGACGGCCTTCTCCATGATAATGCGGGCGTTCCGGAGGTCACCCCCTTTCTCGTAAAGCTTGGCGTAATTTGCCCACAACTGGTGGAAGGCGCCGACCGCCTTCTTCGGCTGTATCGCCGCAATCGCGTCCGTGTAGGTCTGGACGACCTGTTCCTTGTTGTCACCCCAGAGCGCCACTCGCTTTTCCCATTCGTTGACGTTGTTTGGATTCTGCCGCAGTAGAACATCGTTGAGCAAGAAAGGCCGCCGGTCCATCAGGTGCTCGAATCGCATCATGCGGATATCGAGGTCGAAATCGGCATTCTCGTCGGCCACTCCTTTCTCGGCTCGGCCCTGCGCCACTTCCATGAGAGCTCCTATTATCGACTCCTCAAACTCCGCATACGAGTCGAACACGAGGGTGAAGTCACGGACCGTCATGACCGTAGTAACGCCCTCCTCAAAGACGTCCCTAGCTCGCTCAAAGCTCCCCTTTCTTATGAAGTATGTGGCTAGTCCAACCCACAACTTCCCCCTCTGATCCGAGAACCGCTCGATCCCACTTCGGATGATCCGCTCCACATCGATGCCTGTCTCATGGCCTGTCTTGACCTTCGTGGCGTGCTCGACCATCAAGTCGACCATCTCACTCCAAAGCTCGTAGTTGCCCTTGCCATGTTTGCTGTGGAAGCGCGGGTTGTTGAGTACAAAGATGTACTTTTCAATCGCCTCTGTGTATAAGCCCTCCTGTACTAGAAGCTCGATAAAGTCTTCGGCGTCCTCGGGGTGGACCTGCATGTAGCGCCTCCAGATCTTGACGGCCGTGATCCCGCCAGCCGAGTTCGCAAATGGCCTATAGAGTGCCCATATCCTGTTGTGTTGGGTAATCGGCAGGGCACGCAGGGCACGGTCAAAAGCGTGTCGGGTGAGGGTAACGAGAGGCTGCTGCATTAGGAATTTGAGGTACATCTCCCATATCCTGGGCATCTTGTTGAGCAGGATCAAAGCCCTCTCAAACAGCGCGTTCACCTTGCGGTATTCGGCGGCGAAGACAGCAGCGTTCAACTTTGCGACGTGTTTGACCCGCAAAGTGAGGTAGGATTTCCACAGCTTGTACGAGCGCGGGAGTTGGATGCACGCGCGCTCCAGGACAAACGCTTGCTCCTGAACGGTCCCGTGCTGAAACTTGAACTCCAGGTATGCGAACCATGGCTTTGTGCTCCCAGGGTTCCGCTGGATGTCCTGCTCGTATACGAAATCGTCATCCGAGACGAGTGTGATGTCAGGCTGGCGTGCGACGCCATTCCTGGCGAGCGCGGTCGTCGATGGCATGGCGGGCATCACGATCTCGGCCGCGTGACCAGCCAAGGGGCGCGAGGACAATACGGCGTGTTAGACTGGTTCCCGGGTCAGGACATCACTGCCACCGCGTCCCAGCCGAGAAGAGGTGAGGAGGTGGTGCTGTCGTGGGTTTGGGAGCGACGTTGTGAGCGTAGATTACAGTGTTGCTTTTTCTTTTCAGTCGCGCGGCTGCTAGCTTGGTTCATGCGCTGGGACGCGGGCGCTGCCGAGCCGACCGCTGCCGCTGACAAGACGGGCCCGTGCTCCACCTCTAGCTACCTGGGCGCTCCTGCTGCGGCCTATCTATCTCGACTGACGACATCAGGAATAGGTCAGACCCCAGCTCCCAACGTCGGCGACAGCTTGCACTGGCCGGCCGAATTCATTCCACTCCGCCGCGGCCTCTCGTCACCACCACGAACGCTGTCCCTACCGAGCTGACGAGCTCCGATAACTGTCACGTCAGTCGAGGGTCCCACTAGCGAGCCGGCAATATGTCTGGAGCAGGAGTAAGACGCCTCGAACAACGCGGCATGTGCTGCAGCGGACATGGATTTGCTCACGCCCCGTGATAGGAAAGGGAGGCAGTCTTCCCGACTCGCCAATCCCTCGGGTTAATGAAGGCCAAGCTCAAGGGGGCTGAGCAGGGCCACAGCTTGCTCAAGCGCAAGAGCGAAGCTCTCACCAAGTACGTGGATAGCCGCTGGTCAGCCCGTTGGAACCTGACACTGACTCTCTGCTTCTCAGGCGTTTCCGAGGTACGCTTTGCGCTTTGCGGCCCATCCTACCTGACGATCTTCCCGATGCCAACAAATGTCTAACACTGAACAGAAATCACGAGGCGGATCGATGAGGCCAAGAGGAAGATGGGCCGAGTGATGCAGATTGCCTCTTTCTCTCTGGCCGAGGTCACGTACGCCGTTGGTGGAGACATCGGCTACCAGGTGCAAGAATCCGTCAAGTCGGCACGGTTCAGAGTGCGGGCAAAGCAAGAGAACGTTTCCGGTGTGCTGCTACCAGCCTTCGAGAGCTATACCGAGGAAGGCATCAATGACTTTGCCATGACTGGTCTCGGAAAAGGTGGTCAGCAAGTACAGAGATGCCGAGAGACATATGCCAGAGCTGTTGAGGCGCTGGTAGAGCTCGCGAGCCTGCAGACCGCATTTGTGATACTCGACGAGGTGATCAAGGTGGTCAACCGGAGAGGTCAGTACTTGCTTTGTTGGCCGACACAAAACAGCCGAGCTGACTCCGTTCCAGTGAATGCCATCGAGCATGTCATCATTCCCAGGACAGAGAATACCATCAAATGTAAGTTCATCACCGTGCAATGCGTTGGACGACAGCTGATCGTGATGGCAGACATCAACTCGGAGCTGGACGAGCTGGACAGAGAGGAGTTCTACCGTCTGAAGAAGGTTGCAAACAAGAAGCAGAGGGACAATGCCGCCTTGGACGCCGAAATGGCTGCTAAGAGAGAGGCTCAGGCAGGGCACGAGAAGGCTGGTGGGGACGAGGATACTGGGCCAGCGGATGTGCTTGGGGCTGAGGAGGATGAAGACGTCATTTTCTAGAGCAAAGCGAACAATCATGCATCAGGGTATGGGAAAGGTCCAACGTCAGTCAGTTGTTGTCGAATTAGTTATATGATGCTTTACACCCGTACGCCCATGAAGCCACATGTTTTCTCCCGGTGGTATCGATCCCGTGCAACGCCTTTCGGGTGCTTCTTACTGCCTCTGGTACGTGACCTTGATGTTCTTGCCACCAAGCTGGGTGCCAGCCAAGTTCTCCCTGGCAGCGATAGCACCCGCCTCGTTCTCGTACTCGACGAACGCTATCCCCCGACGGCCAGGCACCATACGAACCTCACGGAAGCCCTCGAAACGGCCAAAGAGGTTTGTGAGTGTGACAGCATCGCTGTCGTCGGGAAGATTCTGGACGAAAAGAATCTTGTTTGGTGGCAGGTACTCGTCGGGAACGACCGCGGCGGCGGCGGGGCCGGTGGGCTTGAGGCCAGCACCTCTTGCTGCTTTTGACGGGCGGCCAGACTGCTCGCCGCCTGGGGCAGGGCGCTTGAGGCGTTGCTGCTCGGCCTCGAGTGCCTTCTTTTTGTCTGTGGTGTAGACGTGGGTTAGCCTAGCTGCCAAAACGAGGCGATGGCTGATCTGAGGTCCAACGTCTGCTCAACGTACCTTTCTCTGCTGCTCGCCGCCTCTTGTGCTGCTCGAACTCCTCCTCGGTTCCGAACTTTTGCACTGTCGCGTCGCTCCTAGACCTGGCCAGAGCCACCTGCATGGGCTTCTCGAACAGGTCGAAGCCGTCGGCCTCCTCTGCAGCTTGTTTGGCCGAGTCGTGGTTGTCAAAGACGATGAAGGCCTGGCCTTTGGCCTTCAGATTGGTCTTGGCGACGATATCAATGACATTGCCAAACTCAGAGAAGATCTCGCGGAGGGCGGTTTTGAGGGGCTCAACCTTGACGCGCTCCTCGAGGTTCCGCACGTAGACGCTGAAAGAAGAGAGACATGTTAGCTGTGCCAACGACCTACGCAGTGTCGGGGTGCAATGACACGAACGTGGTTATCGGTGGTCCCGTTGATGCCATCCTTGGTTTTTGGAAAGACCTTGGCCGCTGGAGCACGCGGGTGTTGACTGTGGTCTTTTTGAGAAGTGCTGCTCGGGTTCAGGTACTTGGCCTGGTTTAGACGGAGCTCTGCCAGGCGGCAGACAGACAGCTCGGCCGCCGGAGTGATGAGAGGACGGTGTGCGCTGTGAATCACACTGTACTCACGCACGGCCCCTCAACGACCAACCCACTTTGTCCCTCACCCATCTAAGGAGCCCTGAGTACAAAGGGAATCAGTGGTCATGATATTCACTTTCGGACAACAGGGTTGCTACAGAAGGCAATCTCAACCACTTTGTATTACTATAGAACCCGTATACTGTCCTTCTGTCTCGACACTTCGGACACCCTCTGCTTACGTCCCACACTGAGCCCGAAACTGTCACGAGGTTAAAGACCTGACAATATCAAACATCACGTCTTTGTTGAACGCAAAATTCAAGTCATCATCCTGTACGTTTAGCCCAAAAGCGTCCGGGCCATCGTCGAGGATCTGTATGGGGAGTATCAGTATCGTTAATCTTCTTGTGGTTGCCTGCAAGCCCCCTGAACAGTGGGTTGACTGAATCACTTACACCACAACGTCTCATGTCCCTTCTGAACGCGCCCTTGAGCTCGGTGGCCCGGTGCAACGTGCAAGTATTGTCCCAGATGACTAAGTCACCTACATTCAGCCATTCGATGCTCAGAATGTATTTTCTCTGCGTAACATGCTGTCTTAGGAAGGCCAGCTTGTCTGCTGACTCTTCATCAGACAGTCCTTCGATGCTGCGAATGTGAGATGGGATATAAAGGTTCATGCATCCACTCGGCTGGTGTGTCTGGACCAGCTTGTGCCTCGAGAAAGGGTACCGATCCGGCTCAAGCTTTGCAAGGGCTTCGGGCGACGCGGTCTTTCGACTGTGCCAGAAAGAGTGCCTCGCCTGTAGCATTAGGAGTTAGCCATCAAAGACTCAGAGAATAGGTCTCATGGGAATAGAGCAAAGAGAGACTTAAGGACCGTATGGTAGTCCCTATCTCAAAATCTGCAGCTCATCAAACCTTTGTGGCATAATCGGGAAGAAGGATATGTTTGTTTTTAAAAGGGTCAAAGTCATCCATGAGGTGCTTACCACGTAGTCTTTACTTAGCAGCTCATCCTTCCAGGAAGCATCAAGCTCTGAGAAGGCTGTCCTCGTGTCCGCAAAGTCTAAAGATCCTTCGTCAGACAGTCTGCTTTTGAATGGAGTAGCAATCAGAGGGCTATTGGTGCCTCTTGGCGCGAATGCTAGTCGCTCTCTCGCAGCTTTGGCCACACAAGAACATGTCCCAGCTCTTACCCGTATTTCCGCCAGCTTCCAAAGGCGGTATCTCGTAAGCCCTTAGAATGGAGAACCTCGTTCGTCTCACGTTGTAGCTACCGTCCACGTGAAACAGCTCGTTCCCCTTGTTGGATAGTGCCTTCATGCTCATGGGATCAAGCAAGGTTCCATCAACCTCGAGGTTGCTCTGGTCCGTCAATTCAAGTGACTTAAGCCTGGACTGCTCGGCTGGCATTCCTTTCAGACGTTCGGTTTCACCAAATTTACGCCCCAGCTCAACCTGCCTGGCGTCATCCAGCGATGTGCCCCGAAACACACATACACCGTACTGTCATAGTTGGATCAGTTAGCACTTACTCGGATCAATCTTCGCGCTTGGACATGGGAGATGAACCAACCTGAGAGACAGTGTCTTTGATCTCTATTATCTGTTCATCGCTAATCGGTTTCGAAAAGTCGATGCCCTCAACCTCGGCACCGAAAGTCGGGTGCAGTCTATTAATCTGGAGGCTCGAAGCCATGACGGTGGGTAATTCGAACGGCAGCTTGGATGCTCTTCGAGAACGAGGACGGAAGCATAGTTGCTGATAAGTATATAATGGTATCGACGAATGACTCGGACAATTGGAAATTCAGCAAAGTACTTATCTCTGCCTTCCGAAAAGGGACGCATCTCCTGCCCCAGAAAAACCCCGGATCTTGTATCTAGTCATGCATCTTCCCCATAACATATTGTCGAATGGCAGAGACCCACCATTGGCTCCAATTAAACATTGAAGCTTCTGCGAGAGAAAACCAAACGGGATTTCCGAAGGCTTGCAGACATTTATCTTCGAGATGAGGACATGGCTCGGGCAGTAGTAGCTAGTAGCATTATTAAATAGCTTATAATAGTATAAAAAAACCCTTATTTTATATTTTATTTTTTTATTAAGAATAGATATTTATAAGGTAAAAAATAAATAATATAGGGTAATAAATACTATTAGCTAATTAAAGTACTTTATTTAACTTTATTTAATTATTTATATTACTTTATTAATACTTTTATTACTATTATTTATAAACTTTATTAATACTCTTTTATTTATTTAATAATATTCCTTTATTAATTATTTATAATTAATAATATTAATTAATAATTTATTTTAATTAATTAATTTACTATTAAAATATATAATTAATAATTATAATTAAATTTTTAATATTATAATAATAATATTAATCTTTAATTATATTTATTTTATAATATAATAATAAATAGATTATTATCATTAAAATATTAATATTATTATTATAAATAATTAATTTTAATATTTTTATTTTTAATTATTTAAAACTTTTATAATAAATATAATATTTATAAAATTTTAAAGTTAATTTAAATAAAGTTATAAAATAAGTTAATTATATAATAATAAAAGGATTTTAATTCTAATTATATATATTTATAATACTATTATAATAGTTAATACCTTAATATTATAATAAATAAATTTTTTATAATTAAAATAAATTATAATTAATTAATATTTATTTATTATATAAAAGGATTATTAATAAATAAGTTTTTAAATTAATTATATAAATTATTAATTTTATAATTTTAAAAGTTAATAATACTTAATATAATTAAATAAAATTAATAAAAGTTTAATAAAAAATTTAATTATATTATTATAAATCCTTAATAATAAAGTTAAAAATTTAAATAAATATTTTAATATTAATATTTAAATATATAATTAAAATTTAATATAATAAAAATTAATTAATAAATTAATAAAAAAGTAAGTATTTATACTTTAATTTAAATTATATTAAACTTATTTAAAAGAATATTAATATTATTAAATAACTAATAGTAATAATAATATTATAAATATTTTTAATATATAAAAGATAATTAATATAAATTTAAGAGAATTATTTTATATAATATTTATTAATAGATTATATATATATAATTAATAATAATAAAATATTATATTTTTAAAGTATTTATATAATTTATATTAAGAAGAATTTATTTTATTTTAAAATATTATTAATAATAAAAGAAATTTAACTTTTAATAATTTTTAAATAAGTTTATAATTTTCTTTATTATTATTAAATTAATAATTTAATAGTTTATATAATTAATTATAATATTATTTTTATTAATATTTAAATATAAATTTTTAAATATATTATTAATTATATATTTTTATATTAATATAAATATTACTTTAAATATTAAAAAAGTAAAAAAGTTATAAATAATAGTAAAAATTAATAAAAAAGAAAATAAAAAATTAATAAAAAAGAATTTAATTTTAAATTTATTTAATATATTAAAAAATAAAGTTATATTATTTATAAAAGTTTTTAATTTAAAAGATATTTTTATATTTATAAAATATTTAATTAATTATAAAATTTATAATATAACTTAATAATATTTTAAAAAATTTAAATTAAATAATAATTATTAATTATTTTAAATTTAATATATTAATAAAAGAAAAATTATTATTAAATAAATTATATATAAAATTTATAAAATCTATAACTTTAATTTATATATAACTTTATTAATAAAAGTTATATATTATAAATTTAAAGTTTATTTTAATTATAAAATAAAAATATTTTTATTTAATTAAAATTATTAATAAAATAATTAAAAATTATTTTTATATTTTATATTTAAAAATATTTATTAAAAATATTTATTAAAAATATTTATTAAAAATATTTATTAAAAATATTTATTAAAAATATTATTATTAAAAGTTTAATAAATAAAAGTAATTTAATAAATTTTTATTTTAAATTTTATAAATAATTTTTAAACTTTTTTAATAATAAAACTTTTATAATATAAATACTTAAAGAATAAATTTTATAAAGTAATTATTTATTTATAAATTATATTTATTTTATTTATATTTAATATAATTTATTTTATATAAATTAAATTATTAATTATAAAAATTAAAAGTTTTTATTAAAAATATTTATAAGTTTTATTAATTAAATTATAACCTTTTAATTAAAAACTTTTTTAAAAGTTCTTTTACTTTAAAAGTTATTATAATAAAAAAGACTTTATAATAAAATTATATTTAATATAAATAAAATAAAATTTTATAATTTATAATAAAATTATAATAAATAAAAATAGTTTTAATAATAAATAATTTAAATAATAAAATAAATAATAAAATAAAAATTATAATAACTTTTATATAATAAATTAATTTAATATTTAAATAAAATAATAAAACTTTTAATTTTAAATTAAAAATATTTATAATAAAAAATTAATAAAAGACTATTAAATAGAATTAATAATTAATTATAAAGTTTATAAAATAAGTAAATTATTAATTATAAAATAATAATTTATAAAAATAATTTATTAATAATAATACTTTTATTATTAAATTAATAGTTAAAAACTTTATATATAAGTTTAAAGAATTATTAATTAATTTCTAAAAGTTAATTTAAATATTAAGGATTTTATTAATAATAAAAAAATTTAAAAAATTAAAAGTTTTTAAATTAATATTTAAATATTTTAAATAATAAAAAATAATAATTAATTATAAAGTTAAAGCAATAATAAAGAAAATAATTAATTATAAAGTTAAAGTAATAATAAAAGAAATAAAAATAAATATAAATATAAATTTAAAGTAATAAATATATAAAAAATAATTATATATTTTTATTAATTATAATAAATTAATAATATAAATTAATATTAATATATTAAAGGTATTTATTATTTTATATTATTTATTTTTTACTTTATAAATATTTATTCTCTTTTTATTTTTATTTTATAAAGGAAGGCTCTTTATTCTATCTATATTATATATTTATTAGTACTTGTCTGGCTATTAAGTCAAGCCTGCTATTGATTTAATTTATCAGGCATGACGGCTAGTACATTGTGTATGGGTTACCTAGGTACCAGCTCCACTCTCTAGTGCTGACGTGCTGAGATTGTTTCGGATACCTTGAACGCAGATGTTACAAGCTGTTAGAATAGTGAAGAGTATTTCCATTTGAATGTGGTCCCACTTTGCTCCTGATTTCATCCCGTACGGTTGGAACAGCGTAATAAGGTAAGCGGACACATCGTAGTCTGAATATGACCGTCAACATGAGAGCCCCGAGAGTGTTTTACTTCCTCTTCGGCCTCAAGATTATGCAAATGTGGGAGTAGAAAAGAGATGTAACCTGTGAAGCGCTTCGAAGAAGGCTGTGTCACACAATTAGAATTTGATTTTGCACTCATTCATTCCAAGGAGGTCTCGGTCAGTGAAACTGAGATCCTCTAAGCTGCCAAAGATGCCTAAATCTCCGCAACCTACCCTAGGGTAGTCATTGCTGATTATCTGCCGAAGTTCCAAGGTTGTGCGGTGTTGATCCAATTAGGTGTAAAAATCTTCCCATTGCCAACTGACGTCTCAGCTAAGTCTCCTTTAGCATTGAGCTGGTGATGCCGAGTTATGCAACGCTCCAGGGTGTTTTTGTTTCTAATCCCCATACATACAAAGGGTACCTAGGTATGTGGCGCCTTCATCTAGTGGTAACCGGTCAAGACCCAGCGTTCGGAAGAAAAAAAAAAAAAAGACACAACACCAATGATACTGTATACAGAATACAATATATGTGTGGCACGTGGCCTCACTACCGCATCACACAGTCATAAGATGCACTGAATTTATGCCGCGGCAAGGAAGATGCCGTCGGAAGGTACCTAGGTAGCTGCCACGCTTATCGTACATTTGGAACTGCGAGTCAGGAACTCAAGCATCCCCTAACAAACAAGGCATGGGCAAGGCCAGAGGCTTTGATAGCTTATAGTATATATAGTAAAAGTGAAGAGCAGACAATCGGGATAGTAGTCAGCCGAAGATCCTCAAGCGTTCTTCCATTTGCTACCTAGGTAGCTCCTGTTGGGCATTTATCAGCATTGGACGGCAGAAACAATGGTATCATTCCTCTCGTGGCTCTTCAGTGGCAAGCGGCAGCAATGCCGGCAGCCGGGGAGGGTAGTCACCGACACAGTGGTTAAGTTAGCGACCCTTGAGAACTCGCTGATGATGCGAAGTATGTGTATGAACTGGACGTTTCGCTTTGAACATGCTTTGGACGTGGCCATGCTACAGAAATCTCTTGAAGATCTGATCAGCAAGGGCCACAACTGGAGAAAACTCGGCGGGCGTTTTCGTGTCAATGTCAGTGTAATACCACGTCGCCTTCGAAGAAAAGGCTAACACATGAAACCAGACCGAGGGGCAACTTGAGCTTCACATCCCCGAGGAATTCTGTCTGAAGCGGCCAGCAGTCCAATTCACTGACGAGGTTCATGCGACGAGTGTTCACGAGCATGTGCTAGATGGAACTCTCCCCGGTACTGAGGACAGGCCTTGCGTGCTAGACACGCCCGAAGCACTTGACGTCTTGCTTGCGGGTCCCGACGCCCCAAAATCTCTGGACGACTGGCTATATTCAGACAGGCCCGCGCTGGCTGTGCATGTTATCACCTTCACTGACGCCACCTTCGTCACGCTCAGTTACTCTCACTGTCTGGTAGATGGTGTGGGAAAACGTGAGATAATGACCAATTGGTGCAAGGTGCTCGCTGGCCGGACAGACGATGTGACTCCCTTGGCAGACTGGGACGAGGACCCATTGAGTATAATGTGCCGCTCTCCGTCAGAACACGAAGAGCGCTACGTTCACGCGGAGGATCGGCTCACTGGCTGGCACAAATGGTATTGGGTTTTGCGATTCATCGCAGACCGTTTCAGCAATCGGAATCATTATAGGCAGCGCAACGTGTTCATCCCGGCCTCGACAATGAAGCGGCTGCGACAAGAAGCTGCTGACCACCCTGTCACGAACAAGGCACGCCTGAGCGATAATCAGCTTCTGACAGCCTGGTTAACCAGACTGGCCTGCTCACCTCTGAAAGGCTCAAATCGTCCCATCGGTATCACATCGGCCGTAGACCTTCGCGGCTTCCCTCTCCCCGGTCTCCGTCCTGGCACTGTCTACCTGCAGAACCTACTCGCATATACCTGGATCAACACAACGGAAGAATCGCTGTTACGCTCGCCATTGGGCACAGCAGTCAACCTCATGAGGACAAGTCTGAAGCGGCAGCTCACATTACCTCAGGTACAAATCGCGGCATATCTAACCCATGATGCCGTGGGGAGGACGGGGACGCCAGACTTCTTCACCGGCAAGGATAGCTTCATGGTTTCGGTCAGCAGCTTAGCCAAGGCAAAATACTGGGAGGCCGTGGACTTTTCCCCGGCGATCCTGAAGAGTGGAAACCGAGACGAAAACGCGGGCAGGCCGACCTGGCAGAGCAGCACTCCGCGGTCGGGTATGAAGCCAAGTTGTTTGGTTGTGGTCCAAGGGTCTGATTTGAAGGGCAATTGGTTCGCACAGATGGTGCTCTCACAGCGCGCTTGGATGATCGTCGAGCACGAGTTGTCCAAATGGTGAAATGACCATAGCCTCACTGGATTCTCACCTCATCTATGCCTCTTGACTTCACAACCACATATGCAGCAGAATCGCCGCCACCCAACACGATCACAGAGTACCAGATAGCCTCATTCCCTACAGCCACATCTTCCTCAAGCCGTGCGACCCTGAAACAGGATACCGCCGAGTTACAGGCCCCAAGAGAGCAGTCTAGACTGCAGGTCGATCGCAAACTCAACCCGGGGTGGTAGAGACAGTGCTTCTATTCTTATCTCTTCACCTTAATGCTACACCCACTAGGGTTTCTAATATCATATAAATATAATAAATCGGTCAAGAACGACCGGGTCAAATCGTGTCTGCATACCTAGCATCGTCGACCTCAAATATTGTTAGAAGCCCGCTGCAAAGAATGGCTGTGGGTAGGGTAACAGCTTGCGCCCCTCTCAGGAACCGAGCCTCAGATTAATACAACGTCAGCATCAACCCTAGGAAGATGGAGAGAATGCTGGCTTTTATCTACGTGTATAGACTACTTAGGGCTAGGAATTTCTTATCCACCAGAACAAGTGAAGCTTTTCAGCCATATGGCAGATGGCCCATGATTTGTGCCCGAATTGGCCACATTCGCATCATACAGACTCTATTATGCGTGTCACCTTCCCACTTCCTTGGGCGACTGCTCTTTTGGGAGAAGACAACGTTGGGAACAGGGGCACTCAAAGTCTCTATCGACCTCGTGAATCATATACGAAGGGGACGCAAGCCCGCGAGCGACAATGATCGCGTTACAAGCCGTGCGTATTTCGAGGAAACAGAGGACCACAAATACGAAAGCCGTCACGGTCCAGAGACCAAAACACGGCTTTTCTGAAGGAAACGAGGTGCCGCCAGTAAGTATTGAGAAGGGGGTGTATGTTCGCGCGTGGCCCTTGCTGGATTACCGGCCGTCTGTATTATCATTCCCTTGGTCTATAAATATGTACGCACCAGTCACCCATGTCTAATGCTCTGATTGCCTTTCGTATCTTCATGCCTCCTTGTCTACCTTCTCAAGTTCCACAGCCGACTTTTCGTCCTCCGGCTTTGAGTCTGCCGCAGGAGGCTCAGCTGAGCCTTTACTTTGTGGTCGCTCCTGCTCCTCCAGAGCGAGGTCCTTCCTCAAGTCCGGCAAGAATCGGTCTATTCGCTTCCACGATTCAGACCACAGCTCCTCTTTCGTTGGGTCTTGGCTTGGCGGCACAAGATACCCGTTGCTCGACATGAACAAGAGAACGTTCTTCAAGTTCTCGGGGACCGCTTCCTCCTGCAAGAATGAAATGTGAGTACGTGTAACCAAACTGAGTAGGGCAAAGCGGTACTCCTTACGAGACTGTCTCCTTGACCACTGTTCATGAGGCGGTCCATTATGTCAATGATCTTGAGCCACAAATCCAACATTCCTTCCCACTCCGAGAGCAGTACCAGGTACTGCAAGAAAACCTTGCACAGCAAAGAAGCTGCTTGGACCCTTGTCTCGCTCATGCCATCACGGTCCGATGAGAAGACCTCGGGCTTGAGCAGCCGCAAGATCAGCGGGAACAAGACCTCACCGAAGATTGCTGTCCATTCTCGGTGGTCACTCGACGTCAATTCCGGTGAGAAAAGCGCCCTTTGAAGAGAATTGAAGGCTAGTTGGCGGATTTCTCGGCGAGGATTCGTGCATTGTGTTGTCAGCGCTTCGAATATAGGCAGCCAGTACGCAGACCACGCTGGTAACTTGTCAGTGAAATAATACTGCACAATGATCCAAAATTGACCCACCCTCGTTATTCTCCAGGTGGGACTGCTTCATAAGCTGCGGAATACGAGAAGTCATGCTGTAGATGATGGTAACAGCCTTGATGCCACGCTGCACCGTAGGGTTTTCACTTGAGAACTATTAGCACACGTAGACACGTCTTGTTCTGCAAGACATACCTTGGAGTCTCTGGTTTTGCAGAGCTCGGACGAGCTGGTTTTCGGGGCTGTCTCCGGGGGTCCATCTTGGATTCTTTAGGCACAGTGACACTCGCAGCAGATGCGAAATCATTGAGCAGGCCGATGGCCGCTTCGTAGTTGTCCGCCATGATAGCTGTTGACGAGGGACTGACGCCAGTCTCCAATATCTCGAATACTGTGGGTGCGGACGTCTTTTCGGATGCCAGATTGCGCAAGATGGCCCAAAAGTCAGGTGAGGTCATGGTTTCGTTTCGCAGTGGGCCCTGCTCATCAACGCAGAGCTTGAGTCCTTGAAGAACCAGTTTGGAAGTCTTCTTGAGGCTGTCCAGAGGGAAGCTCGATACAGTATGGAGGAGTACCGGGGCACGGATGAAGTCATACTCCTGGACGTCGGGTTGAGCCTCTTCCTCTCCACTTCGTTCATACTTCGAGGAACTTACATAGCTGGCCTGAAGTAGTCTGAAGGAGTAGAAAGTGGTCCTTGAGACAGTGATAGGGTGGTAACTGCTGATGTCACGTAATATAGCTTGCAATGCATCAACCACACGCTTACCCAGTAACTGAACGGTGTGGTCGTCCCGAAGAGCGAGGGTCGTGCTCAGTTCCAGTATGTAGACAAGCGAAGGATCATACGAAACGTTGTTCCGGGGCTTTTGGGCCAGGGCAGGAGAATGAGGGGGGACGTTGTCCGATTTGACCGTGATGACCACTCCAGACCCGCTGTCCTCTGGGATTTGGTCCAGCAACGCATCGACCAAGGCCTCGAGGCTGTCGTCCGGAAGGTTTCTGACCTCATTAGCACCCTGCTGGACTAGAAACAGGAACCATGACTTACGAAAGATGTGAGAAAATGTCTCCAATCTGACACTGGTTGATACACTCAACTGTGCTGAGCGTGCTGTCCAGTTCCTCTTCAGACGGCTCAGGCGGATCATCAGCAGCGTAACTCTGCAGGAAGTTCGAGAAGGCTTGAAGTAGGCCCGTGTCATTTTGCTTTGCGGCACGGTCGATTACTTGCGACGGACTTCGCAGTGGGATTGGTGCTATCGCTAGCCGCTCTCGATCGCTAGGAAAGCCGACAAGTGAGTTTGCGAAAAGATTCAGCCAGATTCGGATGATCTAGTTATAGTGTCAGCGAAAAGCTCAAAGCCGTCACCACCGAGACCACCACTTACGTCTTTCCAGCCTTTCCGGATGATATGCTCCTTAGACGTGACAACGCGGAATAGGACGAGCAATGCAAGTTGAGTCCTAAAGTCGCGTCCTATCTTGACTGCGAGTTCACTGACCATGACCTTTTTCTCATCGACTTGGACTTCCGTGTTCAAGCTCGTATTCGAGCTTGACTCGTGTGTCAGAGTGGTCATAAGACTCAACGAGTAAATGATCTGATCGAGGGCTTCTGTGACGTTGTACTTGGAGGCGATGCGGGCACACTCATCGAAGCCTGATACAACTCTTGCGAAGACCGTGTCGTCAGTAGCAGACATGAAGACGTAAGATAGCGTAGAAACGATTGGCTTCCAGGTTGCGGCAAACATATCGGCGTCGTAGATATTGGTGTCGCAGATTATCAGAGGGCCTGCTGCTTCCGTCTTCAAAAGCAGCTCCCTCCAGGCATAGTCAAACGCATGCTTGTTGTCATGCTCGTCAGGCAAAACGATCTCATTCGTTTTGATGGCGTCGAAAATCGCTTGCAAGTACTCGATGGCGAAATTCTTTCCCCCATTCACGCCACGTAAGTTGCGTGCAAAGTCTTCCACGGTCATGCGATTCGCAGATTTGAGATTGGGATTGTGTTGGTCAGTGTTGAGCATGATGATGGCGTAGGTGAGAACATAGACAGCATCCTTATCTGCTACATCCTCGGGGATCGAGTTGGCACAATACTTCTCTGCGAATGAGGTCACTATCCTCTCAATCAGAGGAGCTTCGCCTGGTAGTCGGAACGACTCGAGCATCGATCTCAGTGCTTCATCCACACGCTTGTTTTCGAAGTCAAAAGAGTTTATAAAGGCATCGAGGATCGCCTCATTCCCTCTCTTAGAAAGGTACTCTCCCAGAACCTTCTTCGACACGAGTGTAGTTGACCTCAGAAACCGAGCAACCTCCTCCGGTTCCGTCGCAGATTTGATGATACCCTTGTCTGCTAGAAATGCCAGACCTCCCCGGGGGGATTCGTTGAACTTGCTTGTACCTTTGATGATCAGTTTCTTCTTCCGACGAGATTCCCTGAGATCTGCTGCGTCAACAAAGCCTTCTGTTCGAGCCGGTTGGTCGAGCCTGTCTGCAATGAACGAGATGAATCTCAACAATGCATCCAGGCACAGTGGCGGCACGCTGGTTGTGCTCCATGTGGCGGAATCCGGTAGTGCGTTGCGAGATAGCATCCCAACCATGTCCTCGCACAAGTCTGCCGAATTTGGATCGCAGTCATAATTGATGAACAGCTCTACCATGAAGGTAGGCATCCTGGCAAGTACGCAGATATTTTCCACCATTGCCTGCCTCGCATCTGGCTTCCGCGCACCACCTTCCAATCCCAGCTTCTGCCTGTCCTTGATCGGAACTGGGGTTGAACGGCCACTACTCGTTTGCGAAGGAGGGGGCTTCACCAGCTTAGGGGCTTGGGGTATGCCAGAATATAGCGACGGGTCGATTCCAACCTCTCGAGGTATCTCAAGAGATAGGTGAAGGCACGCCACCAAGTAGGACAGAAACTTTTCCTGCTGCAGCTTCAAGACCCCCCTACATGTTGATAGCAGCGTTCCGGTGACAAGCAGGGACTCTTGTAAGATGAGCATGTTGTCAGACCGCACCAACTGGAATAAGTAGCAGCAGAGGCGGTCCTCGGCGATGGAGGCAAGGGCTGGGTGTTTGGCGATCGAGGGCCCGGCCACCTCGAGGGCTACATGTATTATCCGCAACGCCATTACTCGCATGGTATCGGGATGCCTGCGGTCATGGGGGTCCAGGAAGTTGACCAGAACTCTGAACAGTTCGCGAACTGACGGTAAAGAGTACGGTCGCAAGTCGAGCGAGTCCGCTGTTCCAGCCTCGGATGCCAGAGTGGCCTGGTCTGCTTCTCCGGTGCCCGTCGACGGCGCACTTCCAGACTCAGAAGACCGGGGCTCTGCACGGTTGGGTTCTGGTGAGGAAGTAGGCGCAGCTATCGCTGGAATATCGGTGCCGTTTGCCGAAGGGTCCATGTTCACCGTGTCCATATCGCCATTCGTCTTCTTGTCCAGTGCGTCTACCTCCTCCCCAGCCTCTTCCTCGAGGTGTTTGAGATCTTCGAATATGATCTGGCACATGCGTACCATGGAGGCCTCTGCCGTCTGTCTCAAAACCTCGGAGAATCTCGGCCGCGAGCAGATTGTGAGGCCACGACCCATCATGTCGCATACACTTTCGTCGCTGAGTATATCGCCGCCTGGCCCCGACAGCATGTCCTCCATCAGATGCAGAATCATCAACAAGACCACCTCCTCCTGCGGGGCGTCACTTATGTCAAACTGACAGTGCGTGATGGCGGCCGACAAAGACTGCATTGCCACGGCAAAGCGAGGCGACTCGGGGGAGATGAAGCCGTACGCGAGGAACTTCCGTATCGCCCTCAATGCAAGGATCGTGACTGGAGCAGCAGTTCCTTTTGTCTGGATGATCTGTAAGAAGGGGTACAGCATCGTCAAGGCGTCGAAGTTGTGTATGTCCCGGACGCCGGTCAACTCATGCCGCAACCTCCCGAAGCCCGATATCAACGGATTGTCTTGCATGCTCTTCCCCTTCTTCCCACGTAGGCCCCATCGCACCAGATCGGCCGTGCCGTCACCCATGATGTTTGCGGCCGAGCTCTTGCCCCTGGACTTGCCCAAGGACACGGAATTCGAAGGCCCCAGCTGCACGGGACTGGGGCCACCACCCAGGATGGCAGCCACCGAGGAATGAGGAGACCGGGCATGTTTTTGGATCGCAGAGGTAATCGCTATACACTCGGCTATGACGAGGGAGACTGGGTCTACCGCGACCGACACTGGGCGACTGCGGTACTGCATGCGAGGGGAGTGGTGTTGCGCCCGACGGAACGAGGGGGTGGTTGGTCTGGACGGCGCGGGTGAGACCGAGGGCTCCAGGATCTGGGGGATGGGCGCATCGTGGCTCATGATTACGGATGGGTTCGGAGGCAGGCCGAATAGTCAATGGGACAGATTAAAGCTATGTGCTTGTTGCCGGGCCGTGGACCGTGGAGCGTGGACCGCACCAGGGAAATCGCCTCGAGGGGTTGCACGCGTTGGTCGATTCCGGCCGAGGACGCAGGGCTAAAAGGCAGGAGGGCTGTATCCGCTCAAAACCAAAAGAAACCGAAAAGCATCTCCCCTCGGGAAACAAGTGGCAAGAGGGGGAGACAAGTGGAAGCAGGCGACAGACAAGCCGGCGCGTGAGCTCGATGGGAGAGGCACGGGTAGATCTTTAGCTGGCCGGCCGCCTCTTAGGACACATGGAGCTTACTCTGCAGGGCGGCCGTGGACAGGTACGTACACCGGTGCCGTACCTAGCTGGACACCACTGTACTCCGTAACTGGGTGAGGTTCGGGGGCTTGGCGGCCGGCAGGCAGCTGGCCTTGACGACCCCCCCATGCTGCCATGGGCATATACGGTGTACAAGTACCTACACATATAAGTTGAATGCGATGAATAAAATGAGTGAATGTAATTACGTTCAAGATTGACCGCCATGCCGTAACAAGTTGGGCCTGTTTCTCTTTTACGTGCACGTGCAGATGGAAGAAGAGCTTCTCTCTCGGAACGGCGTCGTCGCTGCCCAGAGATGTTGTTGAGCAAGCACCAGTGTGCGGTCAAGATATACCCGTGAATTCCTGTTTGACATGGAGCCTGTTTGTTGCCCAGGCTGAGCCCTTTCGTAACGCGTACCATCAAAACGCCTTGGTCATGTGTGCCCTTAGGCGCTCTCCCGTCTACCTAGGTACTTTACAGCATTGAAAATCAAAGTTCCCTTTTATCTTCCGAAGCAATGTCATAACGCCCAGGGCTATCTCCACTCAGCCCGCTTCCCACTCTCCACGGTCGCAATGTTTGTAGCAAGCTGTCCTGGACATGGGAAGGGAGCGTCCAGTCCTGCCCCCCTTGGCGCGGAGGGGGAAAAAAGTCAATACAGGTTGGAACGAGTGCGACAGACATCTATCTGCAGCCTGCCCTCCGCAACGGTCTCTTATCTGTCGCTGCCATGCGGGACTTTCTCGACCTTGTTGGCAGGCTTCGAGGACTTCCGTGGCTTTTCGGCAGAGTCCGCAGCCTGTCTTTCCTGGTTCTTGGCGATAGTCTCCTTATCCTTTTCCCATTGCGCCTTTGCGTCACTGAAGCTGAACTCCTCCTTGATCCTGGCCTCTTTTTCCTTCTTCTTCCTCTCTTCTTCCTCTGCTGCCTTCTTCTCTGCCTCCATCTCCTGGGAAACGGGTTAGCGGTCAGGTTTCGGGCTGCGCGTCCAAGCTTTGGCTGGGCTAGACGTACCTCCATGCGCTTAACATCATCAACACTTGGTTCATACAGATGCCAGATAGTATAATGCGGCAGACCGACGACAGAGTAGTCCATTCGCCTGGACATCTTTCCAAAGCCCTCGGTCTCTGCATGCTTCTCAAAGCTGAAGGCCGGAAAGTGTACACCCGATCGGAACACACGAGCCTTGGCCAGAATGCTGACACCGCCTACCCCATCGATCTCCATCTCCATATCTGGATCTCCGTAGGGGTCTCGCAAGTAGGCCAGATGGGGCCGCCACGTCGCATACTCGGCGTAGCCTTCGACAATGACGGCGTCCTCGTCTAGGGTATCCGCCAAGGCCAAGGCAGTCTCCGACTCCTGCCATGAGTTGAGGTCGTACGGCTGCTCTCCGCCGAGCCACTCTGGAAGCGGCCGCCAAACATCTATGCGGTCGTCAGTGTCAAAGACTCCACCAGCTGCGGTCGGGCAAAACTCACTAGGAACAATAACGTCTTTGTTGTGACGCATCAGATCTTCGAGGATGGTAAATGGGGCAGTTTCGACATCGACGTCTCTCCAGTAGACCCACGAATGGTAGGGTCGTAGAGCCGCACTCAAAAGCCAGTTTCTTGCTTGGGCCATCAGCTTTCTCCTGCTCGCCTGCGCTGCGAAACCGTGCCGGCTTTCCGCGTCCTGGTTGACGCTTTGCCCAAAGTCCTTCTCAATGACTGATATTTCGCCATATGGCATTTTAGGGTCTTCCTCAGCCTGCAGTGCTTCCAGGCTCTCCGTCAACACTTCGAGTGTGCGATCTTGTGAGTCCGAGACCAGGAAGGCGAGGTCTATCAGGTGATGTGGGTATGTGAGGTTGTGTAGGTGGGAGAAGAACATTGGCAAATGGTTCTCGGCCTCGCGGAGTGGCACGCACAGGAGGATGCGTTCTTCGCGCTCCCAGCCGCGAGCGGTCCCCTGAACGTTGGACAAGTCGTAATACCGCACAGTTTCGAGTTGGAAATCCTCACCGCCTGAAAGCAGACCAAACGAGAATAGCGACGCAAATGATACCCCTCCGCCAGGCCATACGAACACGCCGATCAAGAACGCAATCGCCAATATTATGCCGAGTCGTATCAACAGTCGTCGCCGCCGCCGGGCTGCTGGTGTTGTCCCTCGTGGTTGAAACCTGGAATACGTGAGAGCACAGGTTAGCCAAAGTCAGCCTGAGGTGTCGGATAGAGCCGGTAGGTCTGCGAGATGGGGACAGGTGCGCACCGGTGTGGTGACATGTCGAAGGAGAAGTCCTTATTCCTTGGATACCCGTTACTGGCAGCATACCCACCGGCATGATGCCTCGGCACCACCTTGGAGCCGGAGGACGAGTATGTTGGCAGCATTGGGTCGGTGTTTCGAGGGCGGTTGTGTTGAAGAAGGCGGTTGGATTCGAGCGCAGTCGCGAGGATGCGTTGCCGGCGTCCAGGGACAGGCTGGCCCGTCCAAGCTGGCTGGCTGTCGTGGCGATCTCCCGGAAGTCGCAGGGCAGTGGTGTCAGGTGGAAAGGTTCATAGTCTATCGTATGGCCGAAGGACACAGATGACGGGCGATTACTTCGTGTTCGGGTGCCACAAGCCACAGACTGCCTGGGTAGAAGGAAGGTGTTCTGCGTCGACCTCGTGAATGCGAGATGAATCAGCGTGTTGCGACGCTTAGTTGGTTGGTTGCGGCCCGTAATGGCGCTAAGGCCACCTACACGGTGCCTACCTAGGGTACTTAGTACGCATACACCGAGGTACTTTGTGCCCGCAATGGGCTAAGTACTTTAAGTAGAAGGCCTGTAGCGTGGCAGCTGGGGCAGTACATTTACACAGTAGGCTGCAGTTTCAGGTGTCACCATCTGCTCGGCTAGGGGGCGCATCGCAAAGGGACGTCTGTGGTTCAATCTGTAGAGACCCACCTGTCCAGCTACCCCTTGCAGCAGTTTTATCTTGAGACGGTATATTTGATTTCAGCTATAGATTTGACAAATTCACCCGAGGCCTAGGTGTGACCCACACGTTTACTTCCTACAGCAGGAGGCCTTTTCACAGTACACATATATACGACTGATGCCAAAGCCCATGTGGAGTAACGCTGTAGCTGAGAACTTGCAGCACGAGTGACGACCGCGATCAAACGGTCTTGGCACGAAGGCCTGCCACGGGAGCCGCGAAGAATTGTAGCAGGATCTTACTCACTTACCTTGCAGCAGCACCTCGAACCGCATTCCGGCGACACAGGTTAGGGAGGCCACTCCGATTACCTAGCAATATGTCAGATCGGTGACGCACGACCAGCCGCGAGAGCTCAGAAAGAGCCTGCACACAAGCATACGTCTCAGAAAGCCGTTAAACTCAGCCGTACGAGCCGGCCCTAATCTGCCACGCTCCAAGACGGAGCACGGAGATCACAGGCACTGAAGCCAAATGACAATTCCCGAGGGAAAAGACTCCACTACTGGTCATCACCACACGAGGCGGCTCTAGTGTGGGAGGATGGCTCGGTTCGTACAAGTCGTTGAATGGATAAGCTGTTGTCATCATAAAAGATGATGTGCGCAGGCAAAGGAGAGATCTGAACTTACCATTCTTCAGCATAGGAAATGCTGCGATGACACCGGCCCATTCAGACAGGCAACAAGCCTTGCAGCATGGACTGCCGCGCGCACTCAGGCGATCTATAGCACATCTGTGATCGCGTATTAGCCCACCGCCACTCAGAAAAGCCAACGGGTACGAGATGGTTGCGAGTGTGATGCTCAGAAATTGTTTTTGGTATAGGTTGTGTCTTCAAGTATGTTCAGAAGCAGAACTGAATAAAGATGTTTCATCATAAAATCGCAGCAGGTGCAGGGTAAGAACAAGGTCCGGTTGCTTACATTTCACGCAGCGGAAAGGCCCGTGTCAAGAAGACTAGCAATTGACCTGTGATGTTGTCAGTCAAACCCGTCTGCCATGTGTATCAATCATAGCAAGAGGCTGGAGGCTGTGCTTCAGATGGTGATGCATGTTTGTTCTCGCTCATAGAGTTCGCGTGGAACAAGTGGTTAAAATTTCATCAACAGCGCCAAACCAAGTCCAAGCTCGCAGATGGTTGAAGGGAGGGGTAATTTTGAGGATGAAGACTTACCACAAGGCCGGGGCTGAACAACAGTGAGGAGAGCACAGTCGCGTCACGACAGCGCAGCACTTGCTGGCTGCAGCGCCGTGGCTGGCTAACAGACCATAAGGCCTCGTTTGGATGCTCTGAGGAGATCAAGAAGACTCCCGCACACCTTTCCAATGCAGTAGCGTCCCGTGGACATACGGCCGTGCTGTGGTTGTTGGTTGTTTTGGTGGAAAGTTGTGTGAACGAAAGGTTGCAGAAAAAAGTGAGATCCAATTCCGGCAGAATTTTGTAGCTACTGGGGTGTGGAGACCCAGAGCTCGGGCCCACCCTTTTTTAGCCTCAGTTGACGGGGCAAAACTGCCATGGGCAAGCAAATCAACTTGTGGCAGGCAGGAAGGCCATTGTAGTCCAAAACCCAGGCATTCATTCAGAGCCTATTGCAATCAACTCCGTCTGGGCCTGGAACTGGATAGGCTTTGCTGCTCAACCTCACTCCGCATCAGATTCAAATCCGTCTCAAAATGGCAGACAGGCGGCGGATCAACGGTCCCGTTGGCAGCACCTTGACCCCGGTCTTTGCTGGCGACGAGAGCACAGTCTTGTCTGAAAAGCCAGCAGGCAGGACGAGGCCCGTCAATACGGCCCGGCCCATATGTGAGTGCTCCTGCCCGCGTTTACCTGGATCGAGGCTAACGACATTTTAAAAGTCCTCAAGACTGGTGTCACCCCTTCAGCATCGGGCTCTGCATACCTCGAAGTGCAGACATCAGCAAAGCCCGGAGTCTCCGGCCTCAAGCTGAGCTGTACAGTACATGGACCGAGGGCGCTGCCGAGATCAATGCCCTTCTCACCACACATCATCCTCACCACTCATGTCAAGTACGCGCCCTTTGCAACGAAGCAGAGGAGGGGCTATCTGAGAGACTCAACCGAGCGGGATCTCAGTATTCATCTCGAGACAGCACTACGAGGGGCCATCATCGCAGATCGCTGGCCCAAGAGCGGCGTCGACATTATCATCTCTGTCATAGAAGGCGACCAGGACCGCAGCCTCAGCCTTGGTGCTCACGACGAGGCTTGGGACACGATGAATGTCTTGGCAGGATGCATCACGGTCGCATCGGCAGCCCTGGCTGATGCAGGCATCGATTGTGTCGATACCGTCGCAGGGGGCGTGGCAGCCCTGGTGGGCGGCGGTGAGGGCAAAGATACGGAACCCGAGGTGGTCGTCGACCCGCTAGCCTCGCAACACGACAAAGTGCTCGCAGCATGTTGTGTCGCGTACCTACCAGAACGGGGCGAGATCACAAACCTGTGGTTCAAGGGAGATTTGCCTGCAGCAGATGCCACCCTCTACACAGGGATGATTGAAAAGGGCATCCTCGCCTCTCAAAGCGCTAACCGCGTTCTGGTCAGTTGTCTGAAAGACGCTGCAGCTCAAAATAGCTGACGTACAAGAGGCCCTGGGATTGCCGAACACGACATGGGCAACAGCAAATACCTAACCAGGCCGAGGACAAGAAGAGTCTTCACCGCGGTACAGAAGCTTTGAGTGGCTCAATGAGACGTCAGTCCATTGACGGTCAGGCAGCAGACCTTGCAATAGCCGTCTTGAGCCACGGAAAAAGTTCGGCGGCCTCCCGCACCAGCCTGTGGCCTGGCATCTCAAGTACAGGTTTGTCTTGTTGGGTCTTTGCGCACGTCCTTACGCCGTCACCCAAAAGCGAATGATTTGTGCTCAGGTTTCGTTGAAGCAGGAAATCCGACACGAGAGACAAGGTAGAATAGGGAGGGGTGGTGGTAGCTGTGGAGATGTGGCGGAAGGTGGTCAAGTCTCCAAGTCTTGGTCACCTACCTACTTTGTAGGTGCCCAAGTACCTAGGTAGTTGAGGAGGTATACTTGCTCAACCTGGCCGGTTGGATTTTAGGATCTGGTATGGCCATAACCCTCACTTCAGGGGCCGGTACGGAGTAAACCAATCTCAACCTATGATCCTGCAAATCAGGGAGGTGTGTCTATATACAGGAACGGAGCCATGGTCCGGACGTGATTTGTTAGTAGACAAGAATGGGCAAGCCTTGTGGTGGCTTGGACACAACGTTGGCAATCACGCATCCCAGCTACCCCTGTGGAGTTCTCGGCCTTTGGGGCTGCCCGCCTGCCCCACACGGGTCGCATTGCACCATCATCCCGCCCTCTAGTGTACCTACCTGGGTTACAGGTAGTCCAGCTATCTAACTACTGCACACTCCCTCCGCTACGATCAGCATCACGCTTGCCAGACCGATACCGTGGGCCGCCTCGCATCATGTATCCGTCGGCTGGCTACTCTCAGATGACTTGATCCTCCCTCTTCTTCCTGACGCAACTGTCTAGTCCCGATACCAGCCCAAACTCGACCATCGGACCTGACCTCACGTCACACGTGCCTCCCGAGCGGCCGCGGCCCGAACGGGCTGCCACCAAGAGCCAGCACCTCGGCGGTTGAGCATCTCGACAGACCAGTCCAAGATGGAACACACGGTGGAGACACTCACCAACCACCAGCCGGCCGCCACGTTCGACAATGCGAGCATCTGGCACAACCTCACCTCCTGGACCTCGTTCAACGTTTCCAGATACGCCCCTTCCCTGGAGGATCTGATCCTGGCCGGTCCTCGCATGGTCATGAAGCTCGGAAAGCTCGGCTCTTACATTTCCTTCCCTGACGCCGTCGACTTCGGCCAGCGAGTTGTCCCCGACGCCACCGGCGCCGATATGTTTTCCACCACCTCCTCCGGCCCCGCCAGCATCATATCCACCGGCTCCAACATCGCCTCCGCCGCCCCCTCGAACCTAGCCGACCTAGACCCGACCGCTTCCGTATATCGGTTCTCTATGGAGGGCGCAAAGGGCTTAGGTAGCGTCTTCAGCTACGCCACCAGCAAGTGGGCCCTCTGCTGCATCGCCATGGCAGTCGTTCTTAACAGGACACACATTTTCGCCGCCACCCGCCGCCGCCTGAGACTCAAGTGGCACACCCGCCTGGCTCTGCGAATCGCGCCTATCGTTCTGTTTCTCATACAAGCAAGGAGCATACTGCAGTCCATACAATGTCAGACATCTCCTGACTTCTCTGAGCTGCGGTGGGGGAACGCAAGCAAGAGTTCGGACCTGATGTTCTCACAACAGAACGCGTTGCTGCATGGGATGAGCTCCACGTTACTGTTTGGCGCCACAGACGAGGAGTCGTGCTTGGCTGTGCAAATGATACCATCAGGTTACGAGGAGTCACCAGAGCTCAAGGGCTCTTTATCTCGGCTCTGGCCTCTGTTCGGTACCTTCTGTCTCAGTCAAGTCCTCGAGACCATATCGTGTGCCGTCCAAGGACGTCCAGTCTCCGCCGAGACGGGTATGACACTCTTCGAGCATTCCCTCGCATTTGCCGAGGCCGACGCTGCAATTAGCAATCAGCTCGGCTGGGGTCTATTCAGTTCTGGGGCCGCAAATGCCACTGCCAAGGCGAGTGCTGGCGCGAACATTGCCATAAGTCGGTCGATGATCATGAAAAGAGTCAACACCCCTCCTGAGGTCCTTCTTATTGCCTTTTTCTCGGCGATGAGCCACGTCACAAGCCACGTCCTTGGAGTCTTTGGCAAGCAGGCAAGATTCCGCCTCATCAGCACGGGGCTGTGGGCATCGTGCTTCATGGGAAGCATCGTTTGGAGCGCCATCACGTTCTCCTTGGAGGATCCCGCCCGCCAGGGACTTCTCAGGTACCCCACTGTGTGTATCATCGGTTTCATACCACACGTATTGGTCTTGGTCGGCATAATAATTTGCTTTACAATCTATTCCGTGGCCCTCGTGTTGTCTGCCCTAGCAACACCAGCAAATGCGGATGCGGAGCAGCCCTTGACGTTCAAACAGCGAGTTGCACTGGCGCACGCCAACATGCAGGCGAACCTCTCGTTCTCTGACCTCCGGATCACGATGGAAATGGACTTCTACACCGCACTGCTACGAACTGGGTTTGGTGCTATCACCATGGCGTCTGAAGCTGTCTACTTGAACGAAGACAGGCATGTGGGCCTGAAGCGCACGACATGGCTCGAGGATGAGCGATACCGAGAGATTGAGGAATTGAAAATGAACTGGATCAGCTCTGGTATTCCAGGGTCACGATATGACTCAACTGGGGTCATAGGCTTGGTCCCCGTTAAGGATGGGCAGCTCAGGGCTACCAGTGGGTATGCTCGTGAGAGAGCCGCGCAAAAGCTTTCGAAATCTAGGGCTGGCGAGCGCCGCAGCATGCGCGATGGGGTTGGGGCGGCGGAGCGTAGTGGCCGCTGGCTACTAGCCCTGGACTACATTATGCACATCAACAAGCTGGTTCTCACCACCTGGGCGATGGCAGTATGCAAGGTCCTCGCTTGTGTTGGCATCCGAAACCCCCCAAATTGGCTGAAGAACTGGTCGAGACTTCCAAAATCCGGCCGACCAGAGGAGAAGCATTCGAGGAGCAGCCGGCCGTACGAGGCCATTATCGCAGGAGAAGGGTCCATCGGTCTCGCCGAGATTCATCGTGCTGACACCGTCGACGTGGAACAAGAGCTTCGACAGACTTATAATGACAAGGGAGCTTGGCCTGACGAGAGTGCGCGGGAGCGATGGATGGACAATAGGCTGTATCTCTGGTGGCTGTACGGAGGGTGGTGGGGAACCAAAGACAGGAGTGGCGACTATAAGCCAGCAGCAGAGGAGGAGGACTCAGACTGGGATGCCACTAGCGTAATCACAGCAGCCGAGTCCGAAGCCTCAGCAAGTGATGACAACGAAGACGAATGGGAGGATGACGATGGCCAACGGACGCCTACCCAGCGGTCGCCGTATACTTCCAGAGAGAGCACGCCGGTCTTTGATAACCCCATACAACCATCCGACCTCGCTGCCCTTCTTCATCCGCGCAGTTCCGAGGAGCGAAACCAAGCACGCGCTCTAGCCGCGCACCTCGGCTCGGACCGCATCTTGACGCGCTCGGCCTACAGGCGGCTCGAGCAGTCTCAACGCTCACGCGTGATCTTCCCCGGCCAGCACGCGCATACTATCAAGAAGATGACAGCAGAGGAGGAAGCGGAGGTCCTGGAGCAGATCTTACTCGAACGTCGAGCTGCGGCAGCTCCGGACGATGGACCGGCCGGTACCACCGCCACCGCGGCGGGATCGTGGGCTACGGGCGCGTCAGGCATGGGGCCCGATGGCCCTCAGTGCGTGGTGTGCCATAGCTCGCCACGGACTATTATCGTGTGGCCGTGTCGATGCCTCAGCCTGTGTGACGACTGCAGGGTCGCGCTCGCTATGAACAACTTCGACAAGTGCGTCTGCTGTCGACGCGAGGTCATCAGCTTCAGCCGGATCTATGTACCTTGACCAGAAAGGTCGCGGCACGAAGGGTACAGTCTAATCGCCCACTGGGCACAATAAGCGAGGACGGGCAAAGGGCACGTTTGGCGTAGCAGGCGTTGACTACTGCTTTCACATTGTGTATTATGGACGTCTTTCTTGAACACTTTCATGTGCAAGGTTCATACATCAGATGTCTGACGGACGTAGGGAGGACAAGTATAAGTAGAACTGGGTTTATCCAGAGGTCTTCCCTTCGCTATGCAACGTTCTATCCCGGTGTGCAGTCTTACATGGCAGCCCACTCTAGTGTGAACGTCCGTACCCGATCGGCACTCGCGTTCCGAGAATCTTCTGCGGTCTCTTCCAGCGGGGCTTGGCCACCTATCAAAAACCCCTTCTTCACACCCGTGCCCAAACGGCCACCACTCACTAGGTCCAGCAGAGTAACTTCCTCGTCCCATCCGAAGCTTGTGGCCATGAAGTGTGCGTGATACCTGAAGGGATCACCGGGGTAGACACTGTAATCAGCGCCAAAGCGGATGCCCGGGGTAATATAGTAGCCTCTCGAATTGAGGTGCCTGTACAAGGGGTAAGAACGAGGGGCCTCAACCGGCACACTGTAAGCGTTGGGGTCTGACAGCATGTCAACACTTGTAGTTTCCGTCAGGTGACGATCTGCTGCCACCATAGTGGGCCTGGAAGTGGCCTTGGCTCTCCTTTGCTGAGGATGAGACGAGAAAAACGACTCCTCATGGCTCGCAGTTAGGGTCGGTGATACAGAAGCCCTCTCACTCTGCTCCAGCGGAGTAGACGGTGGCATTTCAACTTCCTCGATGATGGGTGGGCTATCGGACCGAGCGGGGGCCCGCTTAGACTTCTGTTTTCCTCTCATCTTCGCACCCTCCGCCTTCCTGATAGCATCTTCTTCGTCAAGAATCCGTGAGAAGTTTTGCCGCCGAGTCCTCAAGGATTGGAGGTAAGCATGTTTGGCGGTGTGATCCATAGATGTCAGGTGGGCGAGGTGAGAGGCGGCCTCGTCCACGACATGGGCGACACCTTTGTCCACCAGCAGTTTCGCCTCTTCAGGCAGTAGCTCCAGCGGCAGTCCCGAGAAGAGGTTTTGGGTTGGATTCTGCGGTGTGGTGCCAACCAGGACAGCGCATATACAGTGGTCACGTCGCAGGGAGGCGACATCCTTGACCTCGAAGACGTGGTACCGGTCACCCACTTTGGTTATGCGGATTAGCTCTACCATCTTGAGTGGGCACGATCAGCGCCAGTGTTTCTATGTGGTAGATGTTAGCTCAGCTCTTATCGGTAGGCTGCAGGGCTGAAAGTGCTGGGAGACAACAAGAGTCATAGGTTTTGACACACAAGTGGTATCAGCATTGAAAAATCTCAGGGGATTGACAGATTAAAATGTTGATTTAATCATTCGAGTTGCATGTGAAGTTTGACTTGATAATGGCGAAAATGCATACGTACCTGTGCTGTTGGGTTGAGGTGAGGTTTGATGAGAAGTTTTGCGAAAATCTGCCAATTTTATGTTCAGGCTGGCAGAAAGCTGGAGCCCGTGGGCGGTGTGAATCTTGCCCAGTCTCAAAATAAGCCGGGGGTGGGTGCGCAGACTAGATCATAGGGTTAGGTGACGCTAACGCCCCAAGGCACTGAAGTCACTCGATCAAAAGTCGATACCGTCCTTGACGGTACTGGGTGGTGACTTTTCCTTGTGATCCTCCTCCTCCATTGGAGGAAGAACATATGGCTGGATGACCAGCCCTTTGGTGCCACTCAGATGGAATGAAAGATCCTCTCGAAAGTGGTGATTCTCAGCGCCACCACCGCCTTTTTCGTGGAAAACAGGCAAGCAATGCACCCTGAGTATGCCCTGACTCTGCTCTTGGACCTTCGATTCACTGTTGGATGACGGCGGAGCGGCACCCAGCTTTGGTGGCAGCGGTATCATTTCAAGCACTCCGTCAGACAACAACTCCACCCAACGCGTCACTCCATTGTTTCTGGGAAACAGCGTAACGGGCAGGGTAATGAGGGCAGTCAGTCTGGCGCCGTGCTGTCGCAGGAGTGCCCTCAGTGCGTGCATAAACTGAAGTACCTCAGCAGGCTGGCAGACGCCAGGGGGGTAAAGCGTCGGCGACAGGAGGCTGGGCACAATAGCGCGGTGGATCGTCGACGGCGGAGAATTCTGGAGCTCTCCTTGAAGGGTTTGGATAAAGACTTTGAATGGCGATTGCTTTTCCTTTGCCTCCGAAAAGGGACTTTGGGGGACAGAAGCCGGTGTTGTTGATATGGTGCCTTGGATGGAAGCTGAGGCCAGTCTCTTGGTCAGATCAAAGGCGTGACAGAAGACAGCTTTGGAATCGTCTCCATCTACAACCAAAGTTAGACAGCTGCTCCAATGTTCTAGAAGCGCAAGGGGCATGAGTGTTTTTATTTTGCACTTACCATTCGAAGTGGTGTTGGGAGCATGCCTACTCGAGAGATTCTCGTACCTCCAGGCAATTTTCATCTTGTCATCTGCCGAGCTGGTTGGCTTCGCAGAAGTGCCTCCCTGTTTGGCGGACACGGCCGGCAACTCATATTTCCAAGCTTCGGGAAGGCCCAGCACATGCACCTGGTGGCCTTGGACAAGACCTTCCGCTGCATAATACTTGAGCAAGTTTCCAGAAAAGTCAGTTGTACCTTGCTCTTCTATGAGAAGTGATGAGCCAAGAGGGAGACCGGCATGGCCAGCGAGAATGCCGTCCAGAGAAGCAGTTCCCGTGGACGTTGTGATGCGACCATCCAGGGGAGACGGGCGCAAGCCAGGAGAAAGCTGTGATCCAGACCGACTCTGGGCTACAGCTGGCGACGAGGAAGATGCAGATATTACTGCATTCCTCTTGCGGAATGACATTTTTGAATCGCCGAGCAAAGACACGCCGGGGCAGGTGGTTACTTTCCTGGTTCCTTCTTCTGCGTTCCCCGCCAGTTTTTTTTGATAGAGCACCAAGCTACCTAGGCACCAAGGTACCCCTCCATAATATCCAGGGCATCGACGTACGCAGAGGTACCTAGGTACCTCGATACCAGGCACTCAGTTAGACAACTGAAGCGGGCACCTTATGTACCGCAGTAGGTAGACACCAAGTACCCAGGTTCCCATTGGCGCCGCCGCCCATCCCAGTGCTCCGTACTCCGTACTGCTAGATTAGGTACCTAGGTATACACCGTCCGCGGTCACCGCCTGCCCTATGCAGAAGCCTTTCAGGCTTGCTGCAAATCACCGCATTTTATCACGGCGGTCGCAGGACTTCAGCGCGGCTTGGGAGTGCGCCTCCAAAATTTTGGTTGCCCTGCATTTCTTGCCTCCTCGGCTCTCGACGCCCAACACAAGACGCCTGAACCTCGGGTCTTCTCCATCCCCCTGCTGCTCCGGTCCGCGCCGTTCATATTTCTGCACAACCATCGTGATGGCCGAGCCCACCAGCGACGCGCTGCTCTTTGAGGAGCAATTCGAGATCACAAACGTCGACCACAAGAAGTACGACCGAGCAGCACGCATCACTGCCAGCTCCCTCGACCGCGCCACCAGCCTGGAACTCGATATCAACACCGAGCTTTTCCCCCTCACTGCCACTGAGAACATCGAGGTCGCACTGGCCACAACGTTGAATCTGGACGGCTCGAGGGACGACGAGAAGACATGGCGCGACGTTGCGAAGCCTGGGGTGCACACGCTCGCCGACGGCTACAACTACGTCTGCTACGGAAAGGTCTACAAGTTTGAGGACGGCAAGGCCGACAAGACTCTGTATGTGCCCGAGCGCTTGAGAAAGCGATGGTCCACGACTGACTCGCTGTGGTTGTAGGAAAGCATACGTCTCGTTCGGCGGGCTGCTCATGGCCCTGGAGGGTCCCGACAGCAAGCTCACACCACTCCGCGTGGACAACGTCTACCTTCTCGTTAGGAAGTAAACGGCGTGCCGCGTCTTGCCACGTTAGAGGATGCCGACGATGCAAATATTGGGTATTGATTCTAGTAATGTTGACGCAAAAGAGTCTATCTGAAAGGGCACTCGTCCTGAAATCCCGGATCACGAAACCCCACGCCCGATGGCCCAATACCCCGAGAAGGAGAAACACCATGTTTAGGGCCGCCATGGTCTGTCAGGCGACAAGTACTTGTCTGTGCTCGGCTTGTCCTTGGTCGGTTCACACACTCCTCATCTGCTCGCGGGTGCTGTCCTTGGTTAACCCCCAGCGTCCCGCTGTCGAACGGCGTTATTCTTCATAGTCGTGCGGCCCTGGAAATGGCAACTGTCTACGCAGTCGGGCTTCGATGCTGTCGAATTGGGGCTCGTTCTCACGGGTTAGGATGCCCATGCGAATGAAGAAATCCAACATGATGACAGCGCAGTTTGGCTTCCACCTGCCTGCTGCGAGCTGCTCTTGCACTTGATCAACAGTGCAGAGCATGAAAGACTCGACCTCGCCGTCGTTCGGCTCAGGGATAATAGCATCAGGTAGCTCAAGATCATATACCCATTGGCACTCGGGATAGACGTACCCCTCGCTGCCTCCAACTCGTGTGTCGTTCACATATATATACTTGACGAGCCCTGCCAACGTTGCGCGCTCACGCACTATTCGCTCGGGCAGGCTTGCTTCTTCATCAGCCTCGCGAATGACACACTCGAAAGGATCCTCGTTTGTTGTGAGACCACCAGCGACAGTGGTGTCGAACATGCCGGGCCATTGGCTCTTGGCCTGGCTGCGTTTGGGCACCCATAGCTTGATGCCGTAGGGCGCAGTCGGACAAGGGACGTACGCAATCAGATGCACTCCGTATCGCATGTACCCAAAGAGGGCAACCGCAGCTCGTTCCATGCTGAAGAGGAGTTCCCCGCTGCGCCCGTACACCGGCCACAGCTCACCCCTCCAGCCTTTCAAAATTTTGAATGTCTTGTTGAGGCGCAGGTATCGCGTCGTGGCCGCGGCAAGCTCCGTGCGCTTCCTCTCGGTGGCGGGTTTGTGGAACATTTTGACCGTCTTGGAGAAAGGGTCGAAAATCATGTCGCCCCGGACTGCAGGGGGCACCAGTTTGAGCTCGTCAAAAACACTTTTGAGCATGTAGCCAATGGGGAAGACGCCCTCGCTGTCTTGCCAGACAAGGGTGTAAAGCTTGTCCATCTGCCTCGCATATCTCTCCGGGTGGCTATTCATGTATGGAAAGCTGCAAGAGCGGTCAGTATCCCTAGCGGACAACACTACGGATGCGATCTACTAGGGACAGATCTCTCGCACTCTTGCGGCATGAGAGATGTCAGGCGAACCCCGGCGGTTGTTTGCTACCGATGTTGCACCAACATCGGAGGGGGCGGACTGCAACACGGTGCTGCCGTCTCCCGCCCGAAGACGAGCCGAGGACGGGACGAGGCAAGAATGCATACATGTCTCGGGATCCCGATCGATCAGCATCCAACCAGAAATTGTGGCTTACCCGTCACATCTGTCCAGCAGGTCCTTGCTCGTGAGCCTCGGTGCCATGGCTGCCGCCACTGCCGCCACGCCGTCTGCCGCTGGGCTGGTGGTGTATAGTCGACTGGGTCCGGATCGGGCCCGGGCTGCATTCAGATTCGTTGGTGGTGAGCGAGGCGTTCTTGCATATAAATGTCAGACGAGGAAGGACTGGAGAAGAAGGAGGTGCCAGCGGGCTAGTCAGGAAGGGGCATAATCTTTATAGCAGCCAAGGCGGGCGGCCAGAGGGAATGAGAGAAGAAGACGAGCCTCACATAATCTCCCGGCACGGGCGGTCCCTCTCAACCATAGTAGATATGCCTCGCCAGTTCCCTCCCAGGCTGCCCGTGGACGGGAGAAGGTCCCTGTCAGATTAAGGGGCCGCATGTTCATGGGACAAAAGAACGGCCAACCCTCTCCCGCCCAGCGAGCCTGCGGTGCGGCCAGGTGATTTGCCCGGGCTAGCAGATCAGGTGGTTTCCTGGTGCTGCCGGTCCAACCCACAACGGAGACGGCGCTACACTAGGGATTCATCAGGCTGTCCGGGATGTGTGGTGCTTGCGGTCCTGGTCAGTGACTGTCTGCTCTGTGGTCCTGCCATGTGGGTGCCAGGATCCGAGGTGAGAGCCCACACAGCCCAGCTGGGCAGCCCGGGGCCCTGGGGCCCTGGTCCTTGGGCGGTCCCGAGGGTGGGTTTGAGCAAGGGTCGCTCTGGCAAGCGAGAATCGGCCGGAACGCTGAGGCTCCGATGCTTGCTGCTGAGTCGGCCCTCTCACCGTCGGTTACACAGACCCAGCTGGAGGGTACTATCAACATTGACGGGAGGATGCCCGGGGGTTGGGATGGAGCTGGAGCGGCTGGCAACGCGGGATGGACGACTCTGCGAGTAAGCGAGCCTTGCTGCCTGCAGGGTGTGATGATGTTTGCTGTGTGACGGCGGCAACAGGACGGCAATGGCGACGGCAGCAGCACCATCAGCTCTCGCCACCCCGTCCCACCCCCCTTCCTAGAGCCTGGTCACAACGGGTGCCGTGCACCTGTCATCATCTGGGTGTCGGCTCAGTGGACATGATGAGAGCCCAGGCGCGGTGAGAGGGAGGAGGGTGGTGGTGAGGGTGGGAAGGGCAGAGGTCCCATCTGGCTTTGACCGCCCGTGTTATGCCGAGCGCTCAGAGGCAGGCATGCTGGCATGGCGTGCGCAGGCCTGGCCCAAGGTGGTCGAACCTGCATTATCTTGTGCGCCGGTGGGTGCCCCCAACAAGCGTCGAGTCCTGGCCGCCGCACCTGTTGTCGTTCAAAATGTGCGTGTCACAGCTTCTTCGCTACCACCTACTGCAGGCCGCTCTGCTGGCGAGGGCCTGTGGGCAGGCTGCCGTTCCGTGATGAACAAAGTCCCGTGCAAGCCAAGCAAACCGAAAGCATCAATGGGCTGGCTGACGGAGCTTGTACCACTCGCTGCTACCCCTGGCTGGAAATAGGCACGTCGGTCACGACTTCAGCCGGGGCAGCAAGCCGGGGCAGCAGCTTTGGCAGCAGTTGTTCGGCCTCTGGCTGGTCGTTGATGCTGGCCGTTGTGATCAGCAGCGGCGCCCAGGACCCAGAGTTCGGTTCCCCCCGTTGGGGAATTGGCCCGTGCCTCTTCTCGCGTCTTCTAGAAAAGGTCTAGCGTTCGTGAAGCTTCTTAGCCCACCCACCTACCCCTCCATCATGAGCTCTGCTGTTACTGTGCAAGCTGTGGTGGTACTGTGTAGATGGGCCGTGGGTAGCAGTAGCAGTAGCAGTGCTGCAGCTTCGCAGCTCGCGCCGGCCACCACACACACACAACATTCCCATACTGTATAACGCGGCGAGGTTGTCGCACATCCAATTGTGATATCATCTCGGCTGCGTTCAAGGGATATAAACCCCACGTGCAGCCAACGGGCGTCGCAATAGTCAGTTCGCATTCGAGATCAGAGTCGAGCTGCTCTTCAGGCCGCATATTCACAGGCGCAGACTCTGCAGAAGCACATGCCCAGGGGCTATAGTTCAAGCCACCCGGCACACAGGCACACCAAGACCATCTCCAACGGTTGCATCCGCTGCTGCATACGCCCGCTCTCCTGCAATCAGACTTTGACGCCATCCTCACCGACGTCAAGCATCACCTCCTTTAGGGTGCCACACTCAGTCGCCTCCGGGACGGCACCCAGCCACAGCTGGCCTCGTCTACTCGGTGACCGCCCTGTAGCTGATCCATCACACTGCACGTTCAGAAGAAGCAACACGCACACGCACACGCACACGCACACGACGTCTTGGGATAACCCCCGGCTCGGTCAGAGAACCCGGTCTCACGCGCAACAATGTCGCAACCGCTGTTCGGCCTCGTCCCGGCGGGCCTGCCTGTCATTACTCAGCCAACCGAGACCCCTTCGCAGACATCCTTCATCTACAGCATATCAACCACCCCAAAGTCCTTCAGCCACGTCGTCATCTTCCTGTTGCCCGGCGTCCTCCTGCCCAGCAATACCGCCGCGGCAATCTACCTCGTTACCCCGCCCGACCGCTCGCAGGGCCAGGACGTTCCCAACTCAAAGTTTCTGGGCGGCGTGGGCCCCGGCAAGGAGTCCGCCATCTTCAAGCTCAACGAGTCGTCGCTGTCCGCCCCCTCGGCCGGCCAGATCGTCCTGGGGATCAGCATCGAGGACGCCGGCTCCGTGGCGAGCCGCATCACAGAGCTGCAGGCCGCCAAGTCGACATCGCTCGCCCTGGTCCCCGCCGGCGTCGCCGCCGCGGCCAGGGCCCAGCAGCCCAGCACCCTCGTCCTCGCGCAGCGTATCATCAAGAACGCCTTCAACTTCCTCTCCAGCTTCTCCGGCCAGGCCGGCCAGGTCGAGGTCGTCCCGATGAAGGCCTTTGAGGACTGGTGGAAGAAGTTCGAGAGCAGGGTGCGGAGCGACCCGGGCTTCCTCGAGAGGGACGACTGAGCCGCCTCCAGGGTTGCAGATAGAGTGCGCGCGTCGGTCAACGGAAGCGAGCGACGGCGTACGGCGACGTGGTCTGGACAGGCCATCTCTGGCACCTCGACCGATCAGGAACGGACGAAAAGACCGTCCCCTGCCTCACATGTGAAGATGCATCACGCTCCCGGCCGGCAACTCGATGGTTGCTGCCTGCACCTGCCTGCCTGCCTTCCTGCCTGCCTGCTCCACACTGCGTTTCCCGGTGAGACATCGCTTCCCCGTCTGTTGTCCAGTGGGAAGGAAGGTGGTCCTGGGACTTGATCTGTGTGCCGGCTGAGTCAGAGAGAGCCAGGCCTCTCGGAATCCGTCGACGCAGTAAGACGAGACTGAGCAAGCCCGTCAGACCCGTGACGGACCTCTACTGTCTGCTACGATGTCAAATGTCAGATTTCAGATTTCAGATTTCAGATTTCAGACGGGGCATTTAGATTGGGGATTGTAGGAGGCCCCAAGTGGTCAGCTGGAAGCCAAGGCTTGATGTGGTTAGCTGTCGTCGCAATACCATGGGTTGTCTAGACTGAGGGATAGAATTAGGGCAGGCGGGGTGTCAGATCAGGGAGAAATCCGCTCAGTACGAGGCTGGGCATCATCGCCTGACCTCGACCAGGATGAGGCTTCTAGGCATGCGGTGCCCTCGAAATCCCCTCAGCTGGCTGCTATCACTTGTTGGTTCCGGTCTTCCAAATCCTTTCCGCTGCAGAATCTGCCGCCGCATTGAGCCAAGGCGCGAGAATGCCATTCAGCAAAGTGTGGAGCTAGTCACAGTAGAAAATAGCCAGAATTGACAATCGCGGCGGCGGTCGCAAGTCAATAGAACAGACTGCCATGTAGATATGGTGCGAGACGTGCAGAGAAACCAAGCACAGCCCGTGATAATTTGTGGGAGCAAGGAATACTATGCCATGAGACTCCAGCCCCTGCGATAATTGGGTAAGTCTAAGCCTTTCCGCCCGCCGCGGACCCTTGACACGAGGATCCCATATGAACTTGGTACTGTAACGCCTGCTCCGGTGAGAATGCCTCCAGCTCCTTCGCCACCAAAAATATTAAAATCATATAGTGTCTGAAAGTAATGGTCCTTTATGCCGTACATCAGGTCTCTTAACAGTGGTATCTCCTGAGCTTCGTAAACATTAATCTTCTTGCAGCGGCGTCATCAACGGACTTTTGAGCCTTGTAGGGCTGCCAGCCCTGCTCCGCCGGCCTGGGTTGTTGAACATGCTAGGCGGTACGAGCCTCTCGCGGCTTTCGGTCCGCACCACCAATCCGGCTCTATCTAGGGCTGAGCCCGAGTCGAATCGCTCCATGGTCAGCTTGGGAGTGGCCAGCCCTGAGGTCCTGCCTAGTTTCGAGCCCTCGCTGCTATCGGAGTGGTCGTTCTCGTCCGAGTCAATGTCGCCCAATTCAAACTGACTCGCCTCGCCTTCCTCGATGACACGTTCGTAATGGGGAGAGGTCCTGCCAAAGAGCTTGTTGGTCAAAATTGACAAGCCCCGCGCGTTTTTCTTGGGGCTGCCAGGCTTCCTCCACCGGCCGGTCAGCCCGCTGAACTTGTTGAGGAAGCGCATTCTGCGATCCCTCTTTCGGAAGAAGTAGCCAATCAATAGCAAGATCAAGATGAAGAGAAGGAAACTGGATGATTTATTCGGCCTGGCGTGGTCGACCAGGTCCTCAATGGTATCGTCCCAATCGTCGTCGTCATCGTCGTGGTCCGTCTTAAAGCTCGAGCCGGCGTAGTTGAAGTCGTCGGGTACTGCGTTCGTGTTGCTGCCGAAGCCGACAGGTAGGAAATCCGAGCTTCTCGGGGGGATCTGCCCAGCAGCATACAGGACCATGGGGCCCAGAGTCCAGCTAACCTCGATTCCATCGATCTTGTCCACGGGCTGGAAAGGATCCAAGAAACCCTTGTCCTTGGCTTGCTCCAGTGCGCTCTGTGACGCGTTGACAGTGGGCGTGTGGTCAAGACCCAGGCGAGGAACGCCAATGCCGTCGTGCAGGACGTTGATCAGCCACGACGCCTTGAAGCACGCCTCTTGGGCGTTTTTGGAATCGTCCTTCTTCTTCCGCGCATCAATCTTGGTATTCACGATGGTGTCCCAGTCCAATGTGCAGAAGTCTTCCACCTTGCTTTGGTATGTCTTCAGGTCATACGCAGTGTCACCTTTTCCGAAGACACCGTGTGTGGTATGCCAATACTCCGAGACGCCGACGAAGTGATTCACATCGAAGTCAATGGCAGGGACGTGTTGACCATTCAGCAAGCACGGCTCATCCACACATGGAGCGTCTTTACCCAGCAGAGGGAATGTGTGTTTCAAACAGCTGGTGAAGTCCCCGGTTCCCAATAATACCAAGCCGGTCGAATGGGCGTCATCGACAGGTTCCCCGGAGGCTGTGGTTCGCAGTCCCTTGGGGAGGCATGGGTCGGGAACTTCCGAAGTATCAGCATCGTACATATCAACAAGCTTGTTGACGTAGTTCTCTCGAGCCTGGTTCACGCCGAAACCAAGCCAAGTGGCCGTGAATACCCTGTACTCGGACCGGTCCCCATCCAATGTCCGCATGCGCAAGAGCTTCAGGTCGCTGGCGTGCTTCGCTGCCTCGGTCGCGTTGGGCGCAAAGGCGATCTGTGCCGAGGCGCCACCCATGTCGAGAAAACCATACGTGTTGTGTCCCTTGCCGTGGTTGTGGTCCTCAGGCTGGTCGAAGCCCCCCAGCAGGTAATTGGTTGCTATCCAGCCGTATAAACCCTCTGTCTCGCCTGGAATGACCTGGATGTGCAGGTCGCAATCGGGAAGCGAGAAGTCGGTGTTGGTGCGGAGGTAGGAACAAACTTCGCGTGTGAGGGCTGACTGTTGGACCTTTGGGAGTAGTCGCATGCCGGCCGTTGCCATGAGGAATATCGGAGTGTCATCCACCTGGTCCTTTGGGATGATGTCGAGAGCATGGTCTACAAGGCCCTGGAGGTGGTCCGGGCCGACGGCAGTGGGATTTTCACCGTAGGTCGACACGCCGGGATGTATCTTCTTGGTCCATTTCTTCTCTGTGTGAAGTTTTGGCAGGCTGCCCAGCTCCTGTTTCGAGGCCTTTTTCCTAGCCTTTGCGGGATCTTTCCATTTGTAGATGTGCAGGCGCGTGCCCGAGGATCCAGCGTCCAGGACAATCCCGTATCGCCCTGCAAAAGAGGACAGATTAGCAAGAAGGGGCCATGGAGGGGGGGTGGGGTGACGCTGAGGGCCGAAAGTACATTTCTTGCCCATTGGGACGACGCGACGCGGTCGCAGCTCGCCGAGTTGCTACGCAAACGATATTGCGACCAGATGGAGATTCGCTATCGGTCGATCGGAGGCTGTTGTTGACGATGTCGGATAGGAACGAGCTGAATCTTGGTCGAGGACACGCACGAATTCCGCCGGGGTGAAATGAAGAGCGATCCGTGGAAGGGTGTGGAAAAGGGTGACTGACGTCGCCGGGGCAATCACGAAACCGGAGAAGGGAAGATCGCTGTCCCAAATGAGGAAACGGGTGATCAGAGGAGTGCAGATCAAGGGGCGGGCGGCGGGGACGGGCGGTGGTTGTGCTGATTGATATCAAGTGATGCAATGCAGGACAACAAAGGAAGCCAAAGTTAAATGTTATTTCTGGTAGCGAGTGAAACAGAAGTAGAGTGCAATAAACGATTTGAGTTAAGAGGACATGTGTGGATCTATCAAGAGCGAGGGGTACAACCGAGTCGAGTTTCCCGCCAGAATCCCAAGGTTGGGTGAGAGGAGACTGAGCAGGGAGGAAGAAGACGGGAGGACGTCCAGGACGTTCTCCCACACAGTAGCTGCCCTGAATGCGGGAATTGGGCTGTCACACTGTCGAGCTGCTTTTGGTGCGTCCCGAGAGGAGTGCTGGCTGGGAAGATCCTGTCTGAGGCATCTAAGAATAGTGGCCGATTGACCAATCCCCCAGCGTGTTTTAGTGGCAAACTGAGCCAACCGGCCAGTGGCCGCCGCCCTGACATCCCGTTACGGCGGGTCCAACAGCATTCAAGCTTTCCCATGTCGAGACCAGCCGAACCAGCTATCTGGGGGACAGTGTGGTCCATGAGCCACCGGGCTGTAACACACCGGGATCCACCATCAGACACACTGTGCTGCTGTTTGGCCTGCACGGCACCAGCAACTGACGAGCCAAACTTGCGACGAGAGTCCGCGTAATCCTCCATCTGGCTGTCTGGGCGCCCCTGCCCACCCAGGCAGCCTGCAAAAGAAACCGCCGCTAAGTCTAAGTACTACCAAAACCCTTCATGTTAGCACCACAATTATTCCACAACCATATCATATGTGCTTGATTTTAATTATATCAATATCTTGAGAGTAAGCTTCTGATTCGAATAGTGTTAAAATATCATCAAGAACTCGTGGTTGTGAGCAAAAAGCAGGTGGATAACTTCTGGGATCCTGATTCTGGTACATAACCAGCGGCGGTTTCTTTTGCAGGCTGCCTGCCACCCTGTCTGCCTGTCAAGCCTGTTATCCAGCCAGCCCAAGTAGGCCTGCTGGCCCGGCTGGGCTGCCGGGCCACCACTTGCCACGGTGCCACCCCCCTTGCCCCCTCCCTGCCTTTGTCCGCATGTGGGGGTGGTGCAAGTGGCAGGCAGAGTGGATGATTTGATGGCCTCACCTCGTGTTGTTTACGGCTTTATGCACGAGATCATCACCCAGTCAGCCAGGTGCCTCATGCATCAGCAGCCCCGCGTTCTGACAGACCCCAGCCTGCCAGCCCACAATGGTGCCATCATGGTGGTGCGCTTGTGCAACCTGGTACCGAAACTACCGAACGAGACAAAACAGTACCTCATCACCACAGTGACAATGCAATATGGACCCTCTTGTTATAGTGTACAGAGTAGTGTACTCAGTAGTACGCACTAAGCAGCGGGCCATCACATCAATAAGTGGGCGGCTCTCTGCACGCTAATGGGGTTCGTCAATAATAAGGTTTCTTAGCAGGTCTAGATGCCCTGCCAAGACCTACAGATCCAGATTGGAACACTACCTAGGTAGGTAGCCATGACAAGTGATATATCTAGGTGCCTTTGTACATGATCATCACTGTGGCAAGATCAGGCCTTCAAACAGTGATACTGCTGCATCCTTATTACTGAGCCAGTATGGCTAACCTCCCTCCAATATGGCATTTTACTGGCAGTCAGTCATTGTGAACAGGCTGCTTTGTAGACAATTCTTTTATGAAGTCATTTACAAAGTTGTGGGTACTGAGGAGGTTAAGAGGCAGGAGATTGTTGTCCCAGTTGAGGTTTCCAGATGTGTGGTCACTCTATGTGAGTGTCTTGAGTGTCTGTGTAGATGCTGTCGCTTTAGGTAGAAGATATCTACCTATACTTAAGTAGGTACCTAAGCCAGACTTGTTCCATGCTGTGATAAGAGTGCATTTCCATGCACTCAATCTGTGCCACTCACACACTTTATTGCTAAAGTCCTGCATGGATCAGATCCATTGCTGATGAATGGGTTGTATCTTAAGTGGTGCAGGTTATTTGAGTTTGCTACCCTACTTATTAAGTACTTACTTAAGTACCTAGGTAAGTACCCATCATGGCTCCACAGTGGTGTCCAACACCCACAGACTGCACCTGATTAATGATATCCAAGGACTCAGGTCTGCAGGCAATCACCCAGATCATCTCATGATCCTAGTGCCTCTTCCAAGCATGATCCAGCTCAGACTTGCTGTCTTTGTACAAACTATGACAGCATTGCAGACTATATTCAGATATGCACCCCCTGAACCGTCAGAAATAGCCTCCCCTCCTCTTAACCATACAGAACCTGAACTATGATAACTAGGGTAGAGAGCTATTTGAATGCAGCCTAGGTAGCCCATAACGCTAAGATGTAAAGCACTGGTACTAAGAGGCTGGGTGAGTGGCTAGTTTGCTGCCAGTAACACACATGTGTGACTCTAGGATATCCAACTTTGCTTCCACCTTGAAGAATGCAGTTGGTGTTTTCACAAACTTGCCTGGGACAGGCAAGGCTTTGAACCTCATAGCTGTTAACATTGTTTTTTTAAGCGCTGGGTCTTGAGCATTTACCACTGTATGAAAGCGCCATACATGTCCTTAGATGTATACGGAATAGAAGTGAAACCAGCTAATCTGAAAGGCTATGGCCACCACACTGAATCTTAGAGATGGAATGTTCACCACAACTAAATGCTATCTGTGGTTTTGCTTCTATTCCGTATACATCTAAGGACATATATAGCACCTTCATATAGTAGTAAGCACTTAAGACCCAGCGCTTGGAAAGAATATAATGCTGATAATGATAGTTATAATATGATAGGTGCTTATAGTGTTAGGGCGAAGAGTTACAAGTAGAGTGAATAGGTACATGCAGTGTAGGCGTAGAGTAGGTGTAGAGGAGAAGTAGTATATTAGGTAGTAATGGGCTATTAATTATTATCTCTCTTTTTTTTTTTTAAACCTTTTAGTTTTCCTTTATTCTCTTATAGTTAGCATTATACCTATATAGTAGGGTATTTATGCTATTAGGGTGCTAATATTAGTATTCTTTACCAGTATTATATTAAAGCCCTATTAATACCAGCTTATTATAATAAATGTTTTTAATAAGCTGCCCTCTTTTTTATACTTTTATTTTTAGGAGTAATAATAGTATAGTATTGTGGTATTATTGTGGCGTTATTATAATATAGTTAAGGCTAGGTTAGAAGTAAAGGGGCCGGGCTATAGCGCGCTATGCCCTAGAGTAGTATAATAGTAATTAAGGGGTATTATTAATATAGGGGTTTTTGGCAAGGCTGGGCTAATATAGTGGTGGTATTATAGAAAAGTAGGGTAGTTGCAGTCTTTAAGGAATTCTTTTTTTATTTTATTATTATTATTCTTTTTATTATTTTAAATAGCAAGTTATATTATTAAGGGTGCCTATTATTTTAAATAGCTTTATTATTATAATATAAGTAAAATACCTTTTTACTTTTATATTTAAATTTTTATACTCTTATCCTTTTTCCTTCTTCTCCTTTCTTCCCCCTTAATATAACTAATTAAGCGGTAAATACCCCCTTATATATAATAGTTTGCAAAAATTATACTAATATATTATGGTAGTAATAATAGAGTAATAGTAGTAGAAATAATAGTAATAACCCTAATAGTAAGTCCCTCCTTTTATTATTATTATAGTATATTTATACTATTTAAGCCGGGCATTTATATTAATTTATTTTTTTAATTATTTATTATAATTACTACTAATATTAGTCTTTTTAGCATTTTCTATATAGTATATTTATAATATTTATACTTTATATTAATAGCTTTTATAGATTTTTAAATATTTAGTACTTTTACTTTTATTATAAGTTGCATTTCCTTATAATATTATACTTATATAATATATAAATTATATTTATATTGGGCTTTTATTAATAGGTACCTTAGTTTTTCTTTATTTTTACTTTTTCTAGTAGTTTTGCCCCTTAAATAAATATATTTAAGTTTGCTTTATTTGCACTACGCCCTTATTATAGTCCTTTTGGGCATACTAGGTGTTAATATTATGCTTTTAGCCACCTTATAAGAAGGTTAAAAAAGCGCTTAGCCTTATATATATAGCGTTTATATAGTATATATACTATGTGTGCTACTTTAAGAAAAATAGTACTTATTACTATTATTATTAAACTAATAAAATATATATTTTATATAATACTTTTATTATATACTTGTATTATATATATGTAGCTAATATAATTTTATTTAAATATTAGTAAATATTATGCCTATTATAATTATAATAACTAGATTTATATTCTTATAAGTATATTTTAATTTTTTTTTTTTATATGTTACTAATCTGCTATATGCGTGCTATATTAAATTTTCTTTATTATATATAAGCCGCTTTAAGTCTTTTTTTAAAATAGTAAGTATAAGCGCCTTATAAAAGTAATTTGCCTTTTACTCGCTAAGAGTATAGTTGCTATAACTATGTAGATTATACCTGCTATTGCCTTAGTAGTTGTAAAAAATAAGTTTATATTACTAGTTTGTTATAATATTATTATGCTTAAAAAGCTTATATATAAAATGCGGGCATTATATGTGCTTTGCAAAGAGTAAATAGAAGATAAAAAAAATAATAAGAAGAAGTAACCTAGGGGTATATAAGGAGCAATAATTTTATAAAAAATATGGGTAAATAGGCGCGCTATATTCTTGCAAGTATAATATAAAGTTATTATAGAAATAATATTAAATCTCTAGGTAAATAGGCATATAAAATATTTATATAAGTAAAAAAAATAAATATAAATTATATTATATATATAATTTTAATGCCATATTAATATATTTCCAACTATTTTTTAATTTTTATTTTATATTTTTATACTAAATTGTTTAATATATAAAAATATAGCTTTTATAAATTATTATTATAACTATAGCCCTTTTAATAAATAAGGTATTATTATACTAATTATAACCCTTAATGCCCTAAAATAGCTTCTATTTTAAAAATATTATTTTATTTAACCTTAATATTAAATTATAATATAAGTACTTTACCTTTATAAGGCTTAAATAGCTTTAAAGTAATAATAAAAATAATATTATAAATATAATATTATATAAATAGGTTTAGCTTATAAGCAAGGCTATATTTTTTAATTATTTTAAGGATATAAAATGGGCCTAAATACTTATTTACAAGTTTCCTATTCTTATACTTTTATTATAAGTACTTTATTAATATTATAACTAGGTTGCTTTTTGCAAATTTTATATTAAGGTATTAGTAGTTATACTATTTTGCATATTTAGTATTAGCATAATATAAAT